ATCGCCCGATGATGCTGGATGTAATTACCAGTAAAACGTCGTACTCAAATTGTAAATGTTGTGGATTTACTCTCCAACAGACCGGTGGGCTGAAGTAGTGAACTCATTGGCACGTTTTGATTACGTGACAAACCTTACTGACTGTGTTGGGTGCTGGAGGGTTACGACACATTCATACTTATGCAATCTAACCCCAAACACCTTCATTATGAATAATAGAAAGGCTGTTTTTGTTATGTTTTATCCGTGGTTGTGCAAAATACATACAATGTATGAAACACGAGCTTGTGTCGCACACAAAGAGTTTATGGACACTGAGGAGTATTCCATTATGCAATGAACATGAGAAAAATATCACAGAAATAATGTGAGTATATTGCATCCGTGACATTTTGAGTCTCTTTTTTGCTGACAACAAACCGGATAAATTTAGACTTCCCTAAAGGCTCTCTTTCAGTGGGAAAGGGCCATAATACAATCGCAAGATATACGTGGTTGTTTAAAAGGGCTTCTTAAGGAGTTATCGAGAAGCATGGATCCTGGGTCTGCATGAGATAGGGTTGACTTGTCTCGTGCGACAGAGCACAACATTGCCGAGAACCAAGTGTAACACATTCACGAACAATGTGCGCGCATTGTGTTACAAATTCGAGTTACAATTCAGCAAATCCAAAAAAAAATCACTCATGTCAGGGTTTTCGAATTAAATTTTAAAAAGGCAAGCATATTTTACGTTTTCCACACAACAAAATTTTATTTTAAATATACTATACATCCACTAGACCATCGGCGTCCTCTGGACAGCAGCCACATCACTCCCCTAGCCCTCCCTGATTAGCCCACAAAGAACACACACGCACATCACCGTCTTAAATTGACAAAGTTCACCAATATTTCTCACGACGCCCTCTACTGGTACAAAAGCTGCGTAGGCGTACACTCGCCTAACTGCAGTATCATAAAGAGCCCTGCAAACACTTGATGACGGAAGGGCCTCAAACTATACGTACCTCTAGCGAATCCCTCGAGAGCGATGTTCTTTATTGCATGGCCCGCGGGCCACTGGCAGCCCCTGGCGTGCAGCCCCAGACAATACACAGCACGTGGCGGTGTGGCGGCCCTCGCACTGATGATGTCTTATTGACGAAAGTGCCCCCCCCCCCCCCGGCCTGAGAATTAATGAAGAACATCGCTCTAGAGAATATTTTGACCATCTCTTTGATGCTGGACAGAGTTCCTGCGAGAGATTGGTACATCCATGCTCTACCCCACCGCACGTAATCTGCCTTAATTTTTTATAATAACATTAGGCTTTCTGCTGGATGCTTATAGATGCTACCCACGCGCAGCAGTGTTTGTTCAGCCTGCATACGCATCTCCCGTGTAATCGCGGACTGTTCCTTAGCCTATATTATAGTCTATTACTTATTATACTGCAACGCGATACCACGTTATAGGAGAACATACCACTGTGCAGTGGGATCCTTTCTCAGTCCATATGATAAAATGATTGTTAATTAGCCAAGCAGAGGACCTCCTTTTAACTTGGAACATATCCCACGAACAGGCATTGTATAAAATACTCCTCGTTGATCAAACGTCGCTGGAGAGCTTATTCAAAAAGGGGGAAAGACTCAATAATGAAAACATATGACAATTTGAAAACATATAAACATGTATGTACTGGATGTAGCCAACCATGCTAACAACAAACACACAAAGCTGTTCTAAATAAATTAGTTTTCAATTAAACAAAAAATATTTTGGTCATTGCCAGAATTTCTAAATTGACTCATCATGATAATCAGGCTTGTGCAACCGAAATTACTCCATCACCTGATATCTGCTTCCTCAATCTCACGTCTGGTGCCCATTTGTCTAAATATTAGCGCACATTGTTGCAGATGTACTGTGCTACGCTGAAAATTTCAATCTTAAAGGACTGGAGAGATCGTAAACAACTGACCTTTGAAATGTGCGACTTAGCAAGACGTACAATGTGGCTGCTGAGCATCTGGGTTGGATTATGTGGGAAGAGAAATTCCTTCAGATAACCTTCTCCCACGGGGTCAGAAAGGTAGTTCACTTGTTTTCTCTCTCGCTGTGGCTCTTTAATAGCAGTGGTTCTGGATATTATTTCATTTTGCCGTGCAAAAGGCTGTTTGGTACGTTACATTTTCCCCCCAAAATCAGCATTCCTATCAAATCATGAGTACATTTACAGCACCAGGCTGTGACGAAGGTACCAGGTTTCACAAGGGTGTCGAATCTTACCTTGCAGTCGGGGCAATAATGCGTATGTGGCTTTACCCAAGTAGGTACTTTGCAAGTACATTTTAAAGTTGGAAGATTTGGGCCTACTCTTATTCGAATAACGTCCACTGGGAAATACATGGAGCGTGTCTTTTTTTTTGTAATACACCCGCAGTAGTGACTGTAAAAGTGCGTGGTAGCAGGGATCGAACTGTGAACACATCGCCACGTCACGGGAACGCGATGTTATTCTCTTCCTCGCCTGGTATACGGGTCGGGAGCTCGATCACGACCATGGCGCCTGTATATTTGGAGTTTGCGTGTTCTCCCGATGGTATGCATGGACTTTTTTTTCTACCGGGTCCTCGGTTTTGTCCCTCCAAATTTAGAAACAAGCATTGAGATTAAATTTTGATTTAAAGCTTTCGTGACTGCAGGGATTCATATTCACGTAGAAGGGTAACAATAAAATAATAAAAATATTGTTTTACATTTTAATTATTTGATTGTTTCCCTTCTACGTGACTTTACCGAAAGAACCAAGAATATAGCATTGAGATTATTTATGTTATTTGACTGCTATAAATGTCCACATGATAAGCCATTTTGTTGACCTTCAATCTGTGGCCAGTGGCTTCTGAAAAACAAGATAATAGCCCACTGAGCTATTATCTTATTTTTCAGAAGCCATACCTGGTAAAACAAAAATTATGTTTTTAGTGATTTTCTTACCTTTTCTATAATTTTCAGTCCTATCGTGTTTTGTATTGTTTATGACCCGCCCCTAGGAGCCGGCCATAAATGACGTCACGCACCTGGGGGGGGGGGGGTCAGACATTTGTGACGATGTGTGACGAGGGGAGGGGGGTTTGAGAAATGTGACGTCACGTCAAAATGCGCAACTTTAAATAAATATAGACTACACGTTCTATTTAATTAAATAGACTTTTTAATAAATGTTTTCCCCTACAACATCAGAGTGCAGCGCCACATTAAATACGCACTACAATGACAATAGTTTAAAGCGATTTGAAGCATGTTTTATTTTTGAGGGAGGGGGGGGGAGGCAGTGCTTTGTGACGTCATATTTGAGGGGGGGTCTGACTTTTTGTGACGCCGTGTGACGAAGGGGGGGGGGGGTCAAAAATCGTCCAAAATCGCGTGACGTCATTTATGGACAGCCCCCTACTGGACATCTGTGCAAAAAGACATGTGTAGCTCAGCAGATTCCTTCAGGATAAATAAAGGTTCTGATTCTGAACCTCCTCTTCAACTAAAGGCAGAGACGCCACTTCTGCTGAGACGACATGTCTCCACCCATAGCGCTGCGATCGTGGACACTTTTGAGATGTTTCTCCTTCTCGTTTCCCGCTCTCCTTTCTCTCTCAATGTCAACAACTCGGACACTATCGACACGTGCACTTGTCAATGTGTATTGCTCGTCTAAAGTTTACATTAAATCAAGATGTGCTACCTTTCAGCTGCCAGCGACAGAGGCATGTTTAGGTGAACCAATCAAAACGGCGACCGCTGGATTGCAAATCCATCACGGCAGCATATCCATGACATTGCTTCTTAAACAATCCAAATGTCTTTGTATGCAACACTGAAGAACACCACAAGTTCTAGATCTGTCCTCCAGACAGTCTCGTCCCTTCACCTGATGAAGGCCGCTTGTGTTGTGGCCGAAACGTTATGATTTTTGTTATTTTATTTTTTTACCTACGGGACTTTACCCAATAGAACCAAAGAGTATGAACACCACAAGTGACGTATTGTCTAATTTGTGTGTTTGAGTGACTCAAGGAAGGGTGTCTATTACCTTTGTCAGCCCTCGTGTGAACTAAAGAAATTAATCATGATTCTGATGCCAATGTAATATTAGCCTCGAAATGCATCAATGAGTCTCAAGGTTTTATTTTTTCAAGAGGATCCTGGGATGTTTGAGGGGCAGTGGGTGGGGGGGGAGGGCAAAAAACAAAAATCCCGCTTGCCAAATCAGCTGTGGCTACAATGTGAATCATCACGTCCGTTGCGTGTGAACGCAAATTTCAATGTGCAGCGTGGTGGGGCTCACGTTACACGGCACGACTAATTACACTTTCCACCAGACCGCATGCACGACTTCCCGACCCATCACAACAGGCGACGAATACACTCAGCTGCAGGTATCTCGGCAGTGATGCGGTTGTAACTGTCTGCGTCTATGTTACAGCATGAAGACAGCCCCAAAAGCATCTCTTACCTTAACAAAAAACGCGTGCCTCGTGACGAGTGCGTGCTTACAGCTCTTCCTTAAGCGCGGAAATTTGCGGTAATTGAATGATGCAATGCGCGCGCGCACTATCTAGCCAGCAGTGGATTGGCAAAATATGGCTGTTAATTATAATATCAAATCATTACCCAATTGTGTTGTTTCCTTATAACCACTGTTGCTGACCACAGGACCGAAATGGGGGTTCGTGTCCCTTTCAAAAGTGTCGCTCCGAGCCTTTCATTGTTGTTCCTCGCAGTCGCGGCACGACGAGACAGGTTGTTGCACGTTGGATGATTTTTTTTTAAACCAACAGAAAAAAAACTACAACCCTCTCATCTGGCGTGACACGGCGCGAAGGAGTGGCCACCCACCGCCTCCACTCACGCAGAGTGAAACGAGGAAGTGCGTGCGGCAACAGCAGCAGGAACAAGGCACGAAGCGTGAGATCACTGCGTGAGACCCGAAGATCCTGGTGAATCCAGGTGCCACCCCCCCCCCCCCCCCCCCCCCCCCCGGCGTGAGTGGGGTCTCAACGTGAGATCACGGCGTGAGACCCGGTGATCCTGGTGAATCCAGGTCCCTACCAGCGTGAGTGGGGTCTCAGCGTGAGATCTCAGCGTGAGACCCGGTGATCCTGGTGAATCCAGGTCCCCCCCCCCAGCGTGAGTGGGGTCTCAGCGTGAGATCTCAGCGTGAGGACCCATCCAGGCGTGAGGTTCCAGTGTGCAGAGGAGCCACGCGCTCCGGCATCAGGGGACAGGTGAGCGAACTGGCCGGCGTGTCGCCCTCGTCTCGAGCACTGTGGGCCTCGAACAACCGTGCCTCAATGCAATTGCAACCTACGCCTTGTGTCTCAATTGTCGTGCGTCTCCATTACCCTCCAATGCTTATACCACTTAGGGCTGAACGATTTGGGGAGCATATCTAATTGCGATTTTTCTGACATTGCGATTTGATTTGCGATTAAGCTTCAGTTTAATATTCGCTGTGTAATAGATTTAAAACATGTCATGGAGCATATCGCCGGTCTGATGCTCTCTTATATAATGCAAGGATGAGAACTTAAAATATATTAATTGCTTCCTACATGTTTTTAAAAATAATAATTGAAATAGAACAATCAAACACGGAAGAAGTTTTAAGTTAAATAAGTAAAGTTATAATAATAAATAAAACAATTCCAATAAAAAATCGATTTTAAATCGATGAATCGTTCAGTCCTAGTCGCACTTGCGAATGCATTGCATGTGTGACAGCCGGTTCTCAATGACAGCGCTGTACAGGGTGGTCCAGCTGTCTTGTGGCCCCCAATTAGTTGATCCCGAACATTTATTTTCCCCTTTGCTTATTCGTTTTCTGTCTTTCACACCCATTGGAATGCAACGACATTACGTTTTAGAGAATGAAATTGGTGGATCACAAGACCATCTGGAGCACCCTGTACAGTAGTTAGGGCTACGATGTTTGGGATGGGTGAAGGTGTGCTGTGTCACACACACACACCTACAGCTGTTGTGAGCGTGGTTTCCCACTTGCACGATGGGCCGTGCCTGGCATCACGCTATTATCGCGTTTGCCAACCGTTGGCTTGAGCCGTGCCTGTGATGACGACTGGCACGGCAGGATGCTGAGGGCTGCGGCCAATTGTGGCCCACGTGGCACGTGCATCATGTACACGGGCGCTGTACGCGGTGGCCTTATCGTGGAGTAAAACGTCTGGAGTTTTTTTTCTGGTGGGGAGGAGGGGTGGTTATGATTCACAAAGGGGTTGTAAAGTCAAGTTAGTTGTTCGCTGCGTTCACAAGGCAAGGCGAGCGACGCCACGTGCAGAGTCCGGCGCACAGGTCAGCACGCGCGTGTTTCTGGACATGCGGTGCACGTGGAAATGGTGCTCGTGTGATTTGCTTGGGGAAAGGAAGCGGCCAGTTTACGTGACTTGTATTCAATACACGGTACACAGTGGGCGACTGCTACCAAGTGTGTTCACGAGCGTTGGGGTAAAACACTTCCGCGATCTTTTCGTCAAATTCTCTTGACCGTAACTGCGCGTCTTCACGCTAAAGCGACGCGCAGGTGATTGCCATGGACTGCGATAATGGCACGCAAATGCAACAGCAGCAATGCCCCCCCCCCACTCCCACTCTGCCGAGTCTTGGTGCAGTACAGCCCAGTCGGGACTCGTGGTCGCCGCTAACAGGGATGTGGAAGTAGTATGGTGTGTGATACCCTCGTCATTAACGTGATCATCGTCGTCATTATCATCCGTCTTCATCATTCTCATCATCATACATTGTCATCAGAGTCCATGGTGATTAGTCTTCGCCGGGTGGAGTGGTGCTATACAGGATTTGGTTTCCACACTGCGCTCTGAACATGGAAACCCGAGTTTAACTCCCATCCAAGACTAAAATCAATGGAAAATGATACCCTGAACCAGTCCTGGGCCCCCTCCTTCACCAAGCAGCACTAACCAGTGTGGCGAAGTATGGTCAAACAGCCCTCAAGATTGGCATGGCATGAGGATGCCTTAATCCACGAGTGGATTGACAAACGGTTGTAAATTATAATGTATTATATGAGTAATAGGTAATAATAGGTTAAATATTGTAAATCAAAAGGTTTGAAACGAAATATATTCTTTTTTTAATCATGGTTGATGAGCACAGGGTACCACAGGCCCCAAATGCCAAGGGGCCAACAACAACACAGCATCATTGAAGGTGTAACCGATTATATATTTCCTGAATTGAGCAAGGTTCTAAGAACTTGGGGTGGGGGAGGGGGAGAGACCGTGGGAGGGAATTCCAAAATCGAGCAGTGCAAGTGTAATGACAACTTAACACACTTCTCTTGAGATGGCACTTTATTGAAGACACGTTCACTTGACATCAGGCAGAGACCCCACTGCAACAGCCCCGAGTCTCCTGTTCATCCCCCTTATATACCGACCGAGGCCACGCCCCCCTTCCCGAACCTTCTCGCTGACTGGACGCTCGCTCCACCGGCAGACTCTACCGCCATCTTCCGTCACCTGACCACGCTCCTATTCTCGAATATTCCCGTAGCCACCAGTCCCTTCGCAGACACAACTGACACCCCTGTCATTACCTTCCCGCGGCAACTAGTGCATTCACACTGTAGGCTGCCTCCCCTTGTCATTACCTCCCGTGGCGAAGAGTCCCCTCGCGCCGCATGCAGGCCTCTCTTGCCATCACACAAGGACAGAAAAGCAGGAAGAGAAGTGTGTTTGCTCTCAGTGCTTGATTTCAATTGTCCGCGTGCGTACGCCGGTGCTGTCGATGCTGTGTGCAGATGGGTTGTGAGCACGGAAACAAAGAGCAGCCTCAGAAGTGGCAGCAGGAAGTGGGAGGCGACGTCCGCACGTGGGACATTGTCAAGGCCACTCAGTGAGTATCCCTGTTGCACGGTTACAACGAACTGGCTTAGTTAATGCGGTAGATCAGTGTTCTTCACTAATTTTCAGAGAGGGGGGGGGGGGGCACTTCGGCCGATGAGTTTGAGGGCCGCCGTACATTTTAAACTATTGGCTTTGACAGCATGATGGGGGTGTTTTCACATCTGTGTATTGTTGGGGGCCGCACACCGTCGGCCGCACCTCATGGGCCGCACTAAAGGCCACCAGTGGCCCGCAGCCCTTGCAGTGAAGACCGCTGCGCGAGATTCATCGTTTAACTCCACATACATGAAGGCCACGTTCAACTACAATGTACATGGTCACCAACGCTCCCAACTATTTGATCACAGCACACGTTGCTTCGTTTTGACCAGAAAATAGCTTTCTGCGCAAGTGAGTCATTAACTGTGGAGACATCTGGATGCCACTTGGGAGCCAGATATTTCTAGATTTAAAGCTTTCGTGACTGCCAGATATATGTCTAAGAATATCTTCTTGCCATCCAAGTAGAAAACTCTACTTATAGGAAATGTCTCTTTTCTGTGAAAGTAACAAAGTAAGATGCCACAGAAAAAAGGGTTTCGTGATGGAGAACACATTATAAGCAACACATAAAAACCCCACTCAGTTCTGTTTTTATCAGCAATTGAATATTTAAAATAAAAACTACAGATGTCATCCGATCCGAATTGCCTGTAGACATTGCTCATGACTTTAATATCAAAGATACTCACTTCACCTTAACCACAGATCACCGGGAGAGCCTAAGTAAGCAACCTTTATGCCTGGGCCACTTCATATTGCCCGTGACGATGGCAGTCAATGTCACAATTTTAAAGTGTAGAACCCCGATTTGATAGAAAGAGGAACAGATCAACATGTCATCTTAATAACCGAGCGAACTGGGTGTTGTAGACTTTAGCTGCCAGGTGGCTAGGAATTAGGAATGCGGCAGTGGGAGTTTTGTTGTTCTCATATCTGTCTCTGTGGAGCTTTCAGTTGTATCTGCCCTCATTTGCATCGGCTCTTTTTAAGGGACTTGTTTTTTTTCTCCCATATTGCAAAACCACTCCCTTAATTGCACCGGCCAATTGTCTCAACGCGGGGATCCAGCTGAAAATGAGTCGTAAGGCTCAATGAGCCTTCTCCCGAGTAAAGGACGTTACAGTTGCTAAGCGTTGTGGATAGGCTTTACAACCACGTACAACGGAATACAGCATGTTAACGTCTTGCGAATAAAATACGTTTTTTTCTTACCGTGAGTTCAATTGTTGCCATCCCAAACCCTGTTGTATTCAGCTATTTCGCAATGTTTGACTTGTGATGAGGGAAGGTTTAGCGCTTTAAATAGAAGCACTGCAGCAGCTGGGGCGGCTGCAAAAAAACCAGGTTTTCCAGTTCTTTGGAATTTGCAGCTACATCCACTGCACCGTCCTGGGATGCATAATTTCCGGTTTTGGTAGTGCATTGTCTTATCGTGTATGTGTATGCAAATGAGGCAAATTTGACATAATTCAACTAATAATAATAATAATCTGTTTCTGTAGTGCAGCAAGGTATGTTATCATTCCATCGCTTGCTGTTTGTATTTGTGTCTTTATATAGAGGGCACTGCGTAAAACTACTGCTATGCTCCTCACTTTCACCCACCCGCAGTGATAGCACGGTGAAGTATTGTCAAATAACCCCCACGGTTGCACGGTGTAGACGGGGCATCACGCAGGGTTGGAGTCGCAATAAAGGCTGCGCGTGTGTCATATTCTGCTCGTTGGGATTTTTTTTTTTGCAATCATGCCAGCCCTGCCGGTATCAAGAGTGTGCCACTTCACGTCACATGGGGGATCTTTCTGCTGAGAAGCCCAGTGTGAGAGTTATTTGGCTTTTTAGCACCGAATTTAAGTCTGGCACTTGTGGCCCGTACATATGTGACCCAGTAAATAGCCTTCGTAATCCTGAATCGGTACATTTGATATTCACGGGCATTCTTAGAGCACATACGCTATTGCAAAGGTGCTATTTTTTAAGCATTGTAAGATTCAGAGAACATTTACGTTTTGAGTCTACTGCAGAACTGGCTGACAGTGACACATTCCCGAGAGCAACCGGTAACGAGTTCCAAATAGATGGGCCGAACACTGCCAAAGCCTGCGAGGGCTGTCTTGGTGCATGGGCGAATCGGGTCACCATGTGCTGCCGCCCGGACACACTCACTTGGGCAGCTGTGTGCAGATCCAAATGCATGCCTGGGTAATCTAGTGCCACGTGGCCCTGGCTGCTGTAAGATCTGGACATAACAATGCACATTCACGACTGAGCATGAGGCATGACATTATTTGGAGTTCAGTATCCCGGCATACATCTGTGTCTCTTTCAAACAGAGTTCGAGTACTCTGTTCGAAATAAAAACCCAGCGCGTTTGATTCGAGAGCTGCGGGCGCGTGCCTCTCTCTCTCTCTCCACCCGCCAGGTACGGTTTGTTGGAGCGATGTCGCGAGCTCGTGGAGGCGGGGAAAGACGTGCGGGAGCCGGACGCCGAAGGCATCTCCTTGCTTCACTGGGCCGCCATCAACAACCGCATAGACGTGGCCAAGTGCGTTTTTGCAGTGTGTTCTTCTTCGCCTCTGTCGATATCGACGATCCCCTTTGCCATCACGGCGGTTGCTGTCTCGTTGCCGTGGAGTCCCTGATGCCCGTGTGGGTCGATGCGGGGGTAGGCAGCGTGTGATCTGGTATTGTTTCACCGGCTGCTGTTTTGTCGCTTACACTTTTGTCGCAGATGGGAGATTCTAAAGTTTTCAAAACATATTGTTCCTTCGCGTGTCTCTTTGCTCCCCACTGAACTCTTACCTGCTCCAATGTTTTCCCGGATGCACGGGTCAGTGCGGCAACTTTTCATCGTCTGCTTCAGATCATTTGTGTACCTTGTGCCCTTCTCCTTGCAAATGTTTTCCTTATTCTGACACAGACCAAAGAGCATCTGCTTAGGTAGGCGATGGTGGACATTCAAACACAGTATCGCATGTCTGCTGCACATTCAAAACATCTCTCATGTCTGCATGGCAAGGCACGGTGAGGCCGTCATCCAGCAGTGGATTGATAATGCGCTGCACAATTGTACTTGCATGGTCTTATTTCGCACCAGTGTTAGGTGCAGTCTCGGTACTAAATTGAATACCACATTTCACTTTTGCTCACACATTAAATTCTACCCAGACATCTGTCTTAGATTGCGCCATTACAAAATAATGTTTTACATAGTCACACCGAAAAAAGCAGTGTGTTGGGAATTAATCTCTACGGATACATTATTAATACCTCTTTATTACCGTATGGAGGGCCGATATGAAATAAGCCTCCCACCCCACACGCAACATTCCGTTCCTTAAAACATCCTTGCAAGAACAGCCCACATGCTGCCGGGTGTGTCTCCAATGCGGTCCAAGTGGCTTGCGTTTGCGATTGCAGCAGCCTCGTGCCCTGTGACGATGACGGATTTGCGATCGCTTTTTCATTCTACAATCCATAATTATTTTTTTATTTTCTCTTGCAGCGAATGCTGTGTGCTCTCTAGAAGCAGCAAGGGTCACATTAACCCGATGCCTTATACAAGTTATCCGAGCAATTCGATTCTTACACGCACCATTCAATGCACTTATTTACGTAGCGTAAGAATTTATTTTTATTGAAAATTGGATACGATGTCACGGATATGCTAGTTAACGTTGGATTACACCGGTGTGATTCCAGCCGACGGGTTTTAATATATGGCTGTGCAACCTATTCCAGGCAAGGGCCACCTACAGAGTCTCTTAGATCCCCGCAGGCCAAGAAGGTCACGTGATTATATTCACAAGCTTGATCTCACCCTCTTAGGTGCAAGTGGGCATGGTAGCCTAGTAATCAGCTCGCCGAGGTGTCTGCCGAGCGTAGGTGTGCCCCTGTTGGTCACGTGCTTGTCAAAACCACACTGTGGGCTCTTTTTCCGGCCCGTGGGCAGTAGATTGTACACCGCTAGTTTAACATAACGTGACATTTCTAGCTGTCACGTAGCCCTGAAATGCTGTTAGACTCTGCAGTGTTCATTGAACGTCAGTATTTATTTTAAAGTAACAACCCTCTGGAAACTTCTGCTCTCCGATTTGTGCATTGTTATGCATCTCCCTCCTCACCAATACGTCAGGCAACATCACATCCCATGCCTTGGGTCACCATGTTCCAAACAAGATTTTGTGTGTCATTTGGGATCACTAAAAAGCCCAATTGAATCTAAATGTCCCAGCTTGTTTACGGCTAACTGTTGCGAGGATATTCATGCACTCCTCAGAATTCCCAGCTTATCATCCAAATGACCGGACTTAAAGAGACGTGATTAGTCTTAATATTCAGCTCAAAATTACACAATGAAGTGCGATATGGTATTTCATCATCGGTATTGATAATAATGACGCAGCTTATTCTTTTTAACAAGCTTCCACTTTATTATCACCCTGGTTAGTTCCCCTGCAACAAATAGGTTGCCTTTGAGTAAGTGTGCAATTCTCTTTTGTGAAGAGGGCATTCACCGTCACTGTTGGCCAAGTCTGCAGTGTCGGTATTTGAATACAAAATGCAGTGAATTGATTAGAGCTGAGCTATCTGGTTAATAAAGTAATCGACTTCCACCGATAATCAGTTGAGTTGCATGACTAATCGGTTAACACGTAAGTAGTTGGGGAAAAAAATATCTCACTTCTGTTTCCGCGTGTGCCACTGGACGGGAGGTGCTAGGCGGGGCTTGATTACGTCATTTGGATAACGGTCACGTCATGCTGGGCATGGCTTGCGGGGGGGGGGGGGGGTGAGTTTCCCACCTTCAGAAGGCAGGCTGTTGGTACCTGAAATGTTGATCGCAAAATCGTAGCTGTTTACAATTTTGGGTAGATTAGTCAGCTTAAGGGACGAATTCATCCCATCTCTAGAATTGACTCTGACCCTGTCCACGAGTCCCAGCGGAGGCATTGGCAGCAGGCCGTCTCACCGCAGGCTGTCTCGCCCACGCCGAGTGGCAGGCACAGCCCCAAGAGCAGAACCCACTGAAGCCATGCGTGTACATTCATACCTGTCCGTGCACACACCTATGCCCTCGTCTTTTCCCACGTGACATCCCCTCCGCATCTGTACTCTTCCATCATCTCCGTATCGCGAATGTGGCTATGCCATACAAAGTAAGCGTATGCGAGCGGTATCCATTCTGGTGTTAACACTGTTTTCTGTGCTTGTCCAGGTTTTACCTGTCGAAAGGAGCTGTTGTGAACCAGTTTGCGGGGGTTTTGAATGCCACGCCAATGCACTGGGCTGTCAGGTAAGGTTCTGTGGAGATTGTCACTGTTTAACATAAACAGTGCAATCCTTGTGGAGTGATTACTGCCCGATGCCACCGTATTGGTGGCAGTTTGAAATATTCATAGAGTAATACTGAGAGCATTGGTCATTATTTAGCAAGGAGGCAGTTCATGGAACCTTCAGTCCTCTGGTCTCAGGAATTGTAATGGATTTCTGTGTGTTGATACTGCTCCATGTATTGCCCTTGCACATCTGATTTAATCTCAGATCCTGTTTTGTTGGCCACTCATGCATTCCTCGTCTTGATTTCTCCTTCTTTCAACATTATTTGGTTCCTTGATTTTAGCTATCAGAGCTAGAATGTGGCCAAATGAAGTGAAAAAACATTTTTTTACGTGTTGCTTTTTTAGGAAGTGATTTGTAACTTGACCGAGAGCATCAACGCACCAGACTTTAGAACACAGTTCGATCCCAGGGGGCTGTCTGGATTGAACTCCATGGTCTCAGTGGTGCCAGCTTGGCAATTTCACATCAGAGTTACCCAGCCACCTCTTTTTACCATTTTAATCTCTTATCCACACAATATATTTACATTTTACTCTCATGAAAGATATCACATTACCAGCGCATCTGTTTTCGAAAAAAAATCATCAATGTGTAGTGAGTCCAACTGAGTTGCAGACGTTGTTCCTTTTAGAGGCAACACATTTATTTGTAACACCGTAACACAAAGGGTAACTGCCCCTTCACCAGATACAGCCTAGGATGGTGACCACCCAGCTAACTACTCTATACAGAGGAGTTACTGCTACGAAGGGTCGGGTCCCTACTCGGGTCCGTGACCACGTGATTGCCTCGAAGACGTAGAGCTTCCAGCGTGAGATGTAGGCTTCAGCTGGTGGACGTGGAGCTTCAGCTTGTAGAATGCAGCGACCCCGGTCCCTCTCAGGGACCCGCCTTATATCCCCCTACGGTTGGGGCTGCTCCACCCTTGGCCCCGCCCGCCTTCTGGAGCCTTGTCGCTCCCTCTCGAGAGCTCTCCCTGGACACGTGATCACCCCCTAGTCCCCCCACCTGGGGGCCTCTCTATAGACATTCTAGATCACGTGTCTGCAGGGTCGACCAGAGTGCCATGGCCCGGGGCAACCCTGCCCTTGGGCTGACACTCTACCGCTCCCCCTCGTGGGAGCCCCCACCACACGCTATGCGTGCTGCCCGCGCTATCCCAGTGCTCACCAAGCCCCGCTAGGGCTGGTACTACACCTGCCCACAGGGTTTATGCGATGACGGTTCATCGCGTGCCATGGCCCTCTCAGGCCGGCACCATACAGTGACATCCCCGATGTCACTACATATGCATTCTACTGTATTTGTAATTTTTAGGTATATATGCAGTAGAGCAGAGTGTGTGCCCAGCTCATGCGACCCATAATTTTATTTTTTTTCCACGTCCTTCATTTTATCATTTTCACTGAGCCTGGGCTGTCAAATATATTCAAACAAATGGGAATGCGCAAACTTTACCCTCCCCCCCACACACACACACACAAGTAACCTGCCAATCGGCTAACTGCACAAACAGTAGTCCAATACAATTCCTGATTATATTGGATCACTTGCAGCTCTCTTTCTTTTCCCCCTGATGACCCCCTTACTCAACCGTTGCATGTCTTTCCACCTCCCGTTGGCCCGTTGTCCATTGCAGGCAGGGACATCTGGAGATGGTGGTATTACTCATGGCCTTTGGTGGAGACCCTGGCCTGTGGGATGACGAGGGCGGCTCCTGCCTGCACACCGCCGCGCAGTTTGACCATCCGCACATCATTGCCTATCTGCTTGCAAAGGGCCAGGTGAGAGAGATGTCTCGGTCAGTTGGGTCCATTGGGCTCCTTTGCGTTGCCCGTGCCTCCAAGTTTAATTTTAACGGGATCAGACTTCAGACACTGAAGTATATTGCCTTTGGAAATATTACTTCTCGTACATGTTGTGGAAATTCAGAGGTTTTTGATTTTATATGTACAGGGTGTTTAAAAAAAGATGGACCTAATTTCAAGCAGCAAATTTCACGATGGCAACATGTTACAATTACACAAAAAAGTTACAAACGGTTTTAATGAGTTAGCAAGTTTTACTAACCATTTTATAAATGCTCTATGTGCCCTCCACCTGCTGTACGGACAACATCGAGACGATAGTTGAATTCGTCCCAAACGCCTCTCAAAGTGTCTCCTTCCACTGAAGTCACCACTGCCGTGGTTCTGTTCTTGAGGTCATCCAGAATAGTCGCTAATGGTGGCACAAAAACACCACGGTCTTTGACGTATCCCCATAAGAAAAAGTTGCGGGGTGTGGTGATGTCTGGGGATCTTGGGGGCCAAGAGTGTAGCACCAGGTCTTGGGGTCGCGTGCGACCTATCCAACGTTGAGACAGTGTGTCTTGAGAATGACTGAGGCTAGGAGCTGTTTGTGCACTGGGAGAGGCATCTAGCGGTAATCATTTGAAATTCTATGCCCCGCCCTTTCAAGTGTTAAGAGTTTCATTCATGGGTGGTGCGTGGTTGCAGAGACATAGCGATTTCAAATCGGGTCCATTTTTTCAAACACCCTGTACAATATTTATATGTATAAAATATTGACTTAAAGCTTTCGTGACTACAGGAATTAATATTCTTGGGTCTTTCGTTAAAGTCACGTAGATAGGTTCATAGAAATTTTTTTAAAACTACAACGTTTTGATTGCAACACAAACAATCATCATCAGGAGAAAATATAGCGGGAAAGCTGCTGAGGCAGGATGTTTTAAAGGTTTGAAATGGGTGTAGCCCAAGAGTCATAAGCGAAGTGTGCTCGGTTAGTGATGTTAAAATGAGAAATTTGCATATCAATGTAAGATCGGAGAGCTACCTCCACGACGACGAAACTGCGGAGGTGGCCATTGTATTGTGAGAGATTAGCAAGTCAATGTAAGACGAAGCTGCGGAGGTGGCCATTGTCTTGTGAGAGATTAGCAAGTCAATGTAAGATGAAGCTGTGGAGGTGGCCATTGTATTGTGAGAGATTAGCAAGTCAATGTAAGACGAAGCTGCGGAGGTGGCCATTGTATTGTGAGAGATTAGCAAGTCAATGTAAGACGAAGCTGTGGAAGTGACCATTGTCTTGTGAGAGATTAGCATGTCAATGTAAGACGAAGCTGTGGAGGTGGCCATTGTCTTGTGAGAGATTAGCATGTCAATGTAAGACGAAGCTGTGGAGGTGGCCATTGTATTGTGAGAGATTAGCATATCAATGTAAGACGAAGCTGTAGAGGTGGCCATTGTCTTGTGAGAGATTAGCAAGTCAATGTAAGACGAAGCTGTGGAGGTGGCCATTGTATTGTGAGAGATTAGCAAGTCAATGTAAGACGAAGCTGTGGAGGTGACCATTGTATTGTGAGAGATTAGCATGTCAATGTAAGATGAAGCTGCGGAGTAGACCATTGTCTTGTGAGAGATAAGCAAGTCAATGTAAGACGAAGCTGTGGAGGTGACCATTGTCTTGTGAGAGATTAGCAAGTCAATGTAAGACGAAGCTATGGAGGTGGCCATTGTATTGTGAGAGATTAGCAAGTCAATGTAAGACGAAGCTGTGGAGGTGACCATTGTCTTGTGAGAGATTAGCAAGTCAATGTAAGACGAAGCTGTGGAGGTGGCCATTGTATTGTGAGAGATTAGCAAGTCAATGTAAGACGAAACTGTGGAGGTGACTATTGTCTCGTGAGAGATTAGCATGGCAATGTAAGACAAAGCTGTGGAGGTGACCATTGTCTTGTGAGAGATTAGCAAGTCAATGTAAGACGAAGCTGCGGAGGTGGCCATTGTATTGTGAGAGATTAGCATGTCAATGTAAGATCGCAGAGCCACTTCCACCTCGAGGAAAACCAGCAACGGTGGCTGTGTTAGTGAGACATTTAACCTGTTCATGAGTTGAAAATAACTACTAACATCGGAAGGTAGGATGGAGACATTACAGCCAGTTTTGACTTAAACTGGTTAATAACGTCCTTCCAATGATTGCTCAGTTTGTGCCCATCTTCTCGGTTGAAATTGTGTCTGTGTCTATATATGTGGATGCTTCATAAACTAATCTTTGTTGATAGCCAGTGGGCTTGCAAAGTACCTTCGTTTTAGAGAAATCAATTTTGTGTGATCCCACCGCATTAAAACAATGATCAGCCACGGCCGAGGTATTGGTCCTACCGGGTTTCAGATCTGCCTTATGTTCACGAACACGGTCCGAGACATGTCGCTTAGTTTCCCCAATATAACTACTGCCGCAGACACAACTTAGTTTACAGGAAAGCCACCCATATAGATGCCTACCTAAAACCTGACTTCCACCACCATCCATCCCAGAAGAATTCCTTCATCAAAACTCTACACCATAGAGCTCGATGTTTTTCCGACCGTCATCACCTTGCCAGTGAACTGGAACACGTACACCAAGCTCTCAAGATGAATGGATATTCAGACCACACAATCCGTAAAGCTATCACCCCAACGTTGGGAAAGAACCATCTGAGGAGCCAATCAAAACCATCACCTTGCCATACATAGCAGGGGTCACTAAAAAGATTTCCAAAATCATGAGCAAACACAAAATCCAGGTTCGATATAACACAGTACATAAAATTTGTGATCTGATCCCATCTGTGAAGGATGTCATCCCTGACATGCAATACCCCGGCGTCTACAAACTAAGCTGTGTGTGCGGCAGTAGTTATATTGGGGAAACTAAGCGACATGTTTTGGACCGTGTTCGTGAACATAAGACAGATCTGAAACCCGGTAGGACCAATACCTTGGCCATGGCTGATCATTGTTTTAATGCAGTGTGCTCACACCAAATTGATTTCTCTAAGACGAAGGTACTTTGCAAACCCACTGGCTATCAACAAAGATTCGTTCATGAAGCCACCCACATATATAGACACAGACAATTTCAATCGAGAAGATGGGTACAAACTATGCAATCATTGGAAGGACGTTATTAACCAGCTTAAGTCATAACTGGCTGTGATGACTTCATCCTACCTTCCGATGTTAGTAGTTATTTTCAACTCTGGTTTAACATTAACAGGTTAAATGTCTTTACATTCACAGGTTAAATGTCTCACTAACACAGCCACCGTTGCTCGTTTTCCTCGATGTGGCAGTGGCTGTGCAATGTTACATTGACTTGCTAATCTCTCACAATACAATGGCCACCTCCATAGCTTCGTCTTACATTGACTTGCTAATCTCTCACAATACAATGGCCACCTCCGCAGCTTCGTGGTCGTGGAGATAGCTCTCCGATCTAACATTGACATGCAAATTTCTCACTTTAACATCACTAGCCCCGCCCATTTCGCTTATGATCCTTGGGCTACACCCTTTTCAAACCTTTAAAACAGCCTGCCTCAGCAGCTTTCCCGCTATTTTTTCTCCTAATGACGATTGTTTGTGTTGCGATCGAAACATCGTAGTTTTTTGTTATTTTTTGTTATTTTCTTTGAAACTATCTTCGTGACTTTACTGAAAGACACAAGAATATGTATGTATAAAATTTGCTGATTGTAATTCACATTAATAGGTGATATAATAAATATATACTGTAATTCAAGAAATGTGGAATTCTTCACATCCTGTATCAGTGTAATATGGAGATTGTTTTCCGTCATTTGACTCGTTTGGTTGTACATGACGTCATGCATGATATCTGCTTTCTCGTTATTGAGCAAACCAAAATGATTCTAAGCTGTGGACAATCATACCAATAACACATGCACAGTATTGTTATTATCTGTATATAACTAAATGACAAAGTTCCTGCAAAGTCAATGGTTTTTTTTTCTTTTTCTGAAGCAAAGTAAATTTCTAATGTGCGATGTTGAGTCACGGGTACTTGTGACTGTGAATCCTGAACATGTGATGGAATAAGCGGGGCTCTAGTGGTGACAATGTGTGTCTATCATGCAGGACATTGATCTGCTTGACAAGCACGGGCGGACGCCGATCATGTTGGCGGCACTTCGGACTCAGGGGTGAGTACAGAACCACGGTCATTGAAAACAGTTTCACGTTGTTAGGGATTGTCAGCTTCCACCACCAGATTGCCATACATGTTGCCATCAATTGCCAACATGCGTGCCAGATTGTTATGACAAGAGCCAAACAAAAGGTTGATTCTTTTTAGTGCCTACATTTACATTAAATTAGTTGGCTTGTGGCCGCATCTGTGGTACTGCTGCACGTATATGAGTCTATGCTTCTATTACCTTAAATCAATAGCAAATTTTACGTCTGCAGGCACCTTCCTTTCTTCCTTGGGCCCCATCCCTTCCTGATGAGGCCCTAACCCTTCATGATCAGGCCCCTTTCATCACTTCCCTCTTTTGGTTCTGCGCCTTTCCTTTTCAGGACCCACCTCTTCTTCTTTCAGCCCCGCCTCTCTGTTTAGGCCCTGCCTCTTCCTCAGGACACTGGGTTGGGCTTATTTGGGTCGTGCTGGGGGTTATGGAAGAGGGTGGAGGCAGTGTGCGAGCGCACCAGTTGGTAGTGGTGGCCGGAGACATTAGGGATTGGACAACTTCACTGCAATCACCAAATCCCTCTTTAGAGCCACAATATAAAAAAATATATATTAATAATAGATATACTGTATTTATCTTACTAGCTGATGAAGAAAGAGACATACGTATGCATTTCAACAAACCTACAGCCGGTTTTATTGCACGGACCCCACGTTGTTGGGTATGGCCTATTACGTTTATGCATTTATTTGGAGGGAGGGAATTGTAGCCAAGTATGGTCTGGAAGGAACTGGAAAGCGAGGAAGACCTAACAGAGAATGACTTGAAGACGAAAGATATTGGTGCCAGAAAGATGTGGCACACCTTGAGCATATTGGCACAAGACAGGAAAGCTTAAACAAATGATAAAATGTGCAGTGGACACCTACGGGTTATCTGCCCATGGATCGTGATTATGATGGTTTGCTAATGATTTGCGAGTATGAAAATAATCCCGGTTCACAGTTACAAAATTGTCATTGGAAACCGTAACGCCTATCATCCGAAAATGTATCTCCTTTCATTTTTGGAATACCTCTGATTTACAACAATGGATTGTCAACTCACGTGGTAAAATATCGCGTGTACATGTACAGCCCTTGGTCAGTCCACTGCTGGATGAGATCCTCCCCACGCTGTGCGGGTCGTTGACGTTATTGACTTTATGCTAAACAGTGCATGGACTGGTGAAATGGGAGAGCGTAGACCCGTGGGAGCATTTGGGTTCACAGTGCAACAATTTATATTGCTGCAAAAGTGGATTGTCAGGAAACTATTGCACTGTACAGTACACATGGCACTGCATTGTGTACTGTTATCAGCACATAAATGGTTTCGCGTGCACTCATATTGCTGCTAAGATATTTGTATAGGCAGAACAGTAAACGAATGCTTGTCTCTACATTACATTTCAGTATTTTCGTCTCATCAGCTGATGGTCTTTCTAGACCAGACTCATCCAGCAGCATTTGCTTACACGAGCAAATATTTATTTAAATGGTTTCGACTATCTGTGTATACTCAGCAGAGTTAGAACCTGTGAAACAAATATTGGTAGGTTGCCAGAATTATTGGCAAGAGCACTCTCTTTTCAAATAAGGGGTCTGGTTAATAACAAAAAAGCAATAGCGGGTGAAAAATAAGTGTGGTATTGCATTATGGTTAAATACACAGACTTAATTAACTGACATAGCGTATGAAGATGTATTTTTATCAATGTTACATCACATTTATTACGTGCAAGGACTGATAGAAGCCTGTATTACCCACAATGCAGTTTGTGCTCACACCAATGTTGCACTGCGACCATCTTATTTGATTTAACAAATCCAGCCATCGCCAGTTCCCTCCAGTCACCACTGGCTCACCGGTGGTCAGTCGTCTTCTTCACTATCCTATCACAACTACCATGGTTACCGTTCCAATGAACTTCACTTCTTGATTCCTCCACCCATGTTGAGGGCTCAAGTCTACCAGACACTGTTTCCTCTCATCCATACTGCATCAAACCACCACACTGCAGGTCACAACACTTATCTTTCTGCTTTTAATCTTACACCACCCAACTTTGGAATTCCCTCCAAAATAGTAGATTTTACAAAGTTTGTATAACCCTGCTATATTCAATTCCCTCATTAACGCTAAACAATTACACCTTTAAAAGTTATCCAAAAGAATGCTATGTTCACTGTCCTAAAAGCGCGATAGGTTTCAGGTAAATCTTCCCATCATCGTCGATATCATCTTACATAGCCATGATCTACCGACTCCCAGATTAGGCCTTCCCACATTGTTGCCATGCCCCCCCCCACGGTCTTGCGATGCCGTAATCCATCTCGCATGCAGTGGTCATCCACATGGGTGTGCATTCCTTTCTTTGGCTGCCATTCTATCACCAGCCTCATCTGTGGTCATCCCTTATCCCTTATAGATGTAGTGGAATAAATAGGCGCATGGGGGTAAATGGTGAGATCGCGCGGGGGGGGGGGGCAGGACAGTATGGGTCATATGGGGACAGCCAGGTGCGATGGTTGGGACGATGAGGTAACGATTAGGTCAATTAAGCTAGGGAGCCAGAGACGGCTGTGATTGGCTGGTGTTGTTGTCAGGGCTGAAGTGTGATTGGCTGGTGTTGTTGTCAGGGCTGAAGTGGCGTCTTAAAGTCTGGAGAAGTAACAGGCACACGGGCACGCGGAGTGTCCTTGGGACGCGGGTTAATTAATTGGAGAATAATGAGAGCGGGGATAAATTGGGGAGACGCGAGGAGAAAGGGGAGTTGGATTCGGGGGCTGGACGAAGCAAGACGTGGAGCAGAGCTGAAGTGAAGGCAGCCAGCAGTGGGGAGAGGAAAGCAGGAGCTGAAGTGGAAGCAGCCAGCAGTGGAGAAAGCACAGTGATAGCGGAGAGCAGAGACGAAGCAACCAGCAGTGGAGAGAGCACAGTGACAGCGGAGAGCGGAGAGCAGAGACGAAGCAACCAGCAGTGGAGAGAGCACAGTGAGAGCGGAGAGCAGAGACGAAGCAGTTAGCAGTGGAGAGAGCACAGTGAGAGCGGAGAGCAGAAACGAAGCAGTTAGCAGTGGAGAGAGCATAGTGATAGTTGAGAGCAGAGACGAAGCAGCCAGCAGTGGAGAGAGCACAGAGACATCGGAGCTGACGGAAAAGCAGAGATTGGAGAGACAAAGGCGGCGAGCGAGTCGATTGAGGCGTGACGAGCGAGCCGTGGCAACAAGGGAACTGTGAAGCGTTGAGGACGTGTGGAGAACTGTAAATAAAGTGGTGTCGGAAGAAAGACAAAAGTTGTCCGAGTGAAATCAACCACTACAGATTTATATATAAAAACGTAGTAGAAGTCATGCTATGTAATGTATAAACCCACTCCAACACGTCTTGCACGCGCGGACTCACGCGCACGTAGCCCGGAACCGACGCGCATGCTGGTGCAGTGTGGAGCATCTCTGGGGCGCGTGGACCAGCTGCACGGCAACTCGGTGCTGCACTACTCCGTGCAGGGCGGCGCGGGGATCCCCACACAGGTGCTGCTCGATGCCGGAGCTCCGATCGACATCGTCAACAAAGAGGTACCGCTTCTGCATGGGTCCGTGCCAGACGAGCCGCTACGAGTTTAAGTAACAAAAACAAGGTCTGGTCGTGTGTAACAACAACACAAATGTGGGTAAATGATACCCATGCATGGTTCATGTAATGCTTTTCCATCGCATAGGTCTTTTAAACGTATTTTATTGGTAGTATGGAATGCTGTGTTATATGTGTCCTTTTTGTGTCTCCAAGTTTTGGGTAACCCTTTGATCAATTTTACCACTTTTAAATTCAATAGGGCAAGTGGCCAATAGCAATACAACTTTCTTCGACAGTTTGGTTAATATTTGACCATATTCACAAAAGTTAAGAGTGCCCCTCCCCTCACTGTTACAGACAGATAAAGCTAAAGCATGAATGCTTTCAGCTTAAAATGGAAAGTGTAAAAAAAAAACCTATTCATATTTGTTGACCCACATTGATCTTCAGAGTCTGATCGACAAGCACAACTTAATATTTAAAATGCTTCATGCTGTCTACCAGGAAAACGTGGACCATTACGACATTTCACATTTATCTCTGCAGATCCGAACACCGCTTAATTGTCGGGTTCACTTCGCTTTTCCCTCGTGCACAACTGTGTAGTGAGCGACTTCCGAAACACAGCGTGTAGAGGGCTTCTTATTTATTTCTCACACTTCAGGCACAATCACTGGGCGACATATATATACACGGCTACGCATGGCTGACCCATCTACACAGCCCCATCTTCAGCGTCTAACGAAATAGCTGGCTGACTAATATAGCCACGACGACGATGGGAGCCGTGCAGAGAATCGGCCATGCGGCCGGACGATGAAGAGAGATGACGGCGAAGACAGAGACGGCAGCCGGGACCCGGACCCCACGACAGCCCCGAACCTTCGGTCACGTCCCCCTTATATACTCCCCGGCGTGGCCAGGCCCCGCCTCCGGCCACGCCTCCTTCTAGAACCTTCGAGCAGCGTCCCGACTGACCCCACCTTTTACCTTTAACCCAGTTACACCCCCCTTCTAGTTGGTTATTATATAACGCGCCCATACTCATGATTATCCCTCCTGGTCAACAGATGGTACCCTGTCACTCTGGTCAACAGATGGCACCCTGTCATTACATCTGTGCAAGTGCCCGCGTGTGTCCTGAGACGAGGTGCGATACCCGCCCCTCCATCCCCTCCCGACCTCTCAGGGTGAAACGCCGTTGATAATGGCTGTACGGACGAAGGCCTCTTTAGTGGCCCGGCTGCTGGTGGAGGCGCGCAAGACACGAGGCCTCCACGGATCGCGCCTTATGCACGCACTCAAGTCCCGCAAGGCGAGTTTCACGCTGGGGAACGTGCGCGCGGCTTGCGCTGTGTTTGCACGCGCACAAGCGCCCGCGTGTGCTGGTGTACGAGGGTCGCCACCTCTCGGGTACAAAACAAACGGCGCATATCACGGGCAGAAGAATATCTCACAATACCAGAAGAGGGATGAGCTACACGCTACATGTAAATGTATTATGGTTGCCACCTGTCCTTGGGAAACCAGAACAGGTGGCAACCATAGCAGGTACTCACGGGAGGCAGTCAAAGCATTATTAGAATTTGGTGTATAGACAGATTTGCACATGGCTTAATTCAGGAAGCATTGTTTAATAATGGAAAGATTATAAAAGATTAAAAAAACTTCACAATAAATGATTATTTAGGTGCACAAGTTTTGTTTTCCTGCCATTTAATCTTAAATGTATACCGTATATACTTGCACATTCAAGGGCTTGCACATTAATGCAGTGTAACCAATGTTTAACAGTTCAATGATCTGCAGGCCACATTTGGTGGAGTGCTGTGTGGGTACTCCCACCTCTTACGAGACATCATGCAAGCCTGGAAGAATTGGCCAGTTTTCCACTAGAGGCCCTTCTGCTGGCAAGGGGTACCAGCAAGAAATTCATAGCTCAAATGGGATAATCCTGGGGAAAATATAAAACAAATTTGAAGAATAGTGGCTGTTCCAATCTTGAATTTGTTTCGGGTCAACCTTGTGTTATTTTACTTCTTCTTCATCTTCTTCTTCCTCTTCTTCTTCTTCCTCTTCTTCTTCTTCAATCAATGCATATTGTTACCCAGTCTGGGTGACCACCATAGCATAAACAAGATGATCATATATAGAATGAAAAACACTGATTCTTACACAAGTGGTTCGTCTCGTGCATCGTGAGCTTAAGAATCGTTACTAATCGATGGCACATCATGACACCGCCGGTCTAAACATGAAGTGCTATTACCTCCTGGATGCATGCAGAGTCTAGGCATGGTGCTGGTGTGGCTCCTTGCCGGGCTGTCGTTCGGGCTGGTGGGCGGCGTGCTGACGTTGAAGTCTGAGTCATGGCTGCTCAAAGGCACCCTGCTGTCTGCCGTGTGGGGTTCCAGTGCCTTAGTCACAAGGTACCACAATGGCAAAACATGCACCCCTCAGGCTTACTGCCACCTTACTCTCCACGGCCTTCTACACTCATCATCATATTGCAAGTCACTGGAGTGCAATGAGGAATCGAGGCGACTTCTTTCACTTCTATCTATTCACCCGTTAAATAGTCGGCATTTATCCACACCTTTCAATGGATATTTCATAGTATGTGTATGGTACATTAGCGCAATTATTGAAGATGGCTTGAGATATAAAAAAAAATCTACATTTTTCGAAATAAGCACAGATCGAGGTGACCGGTCGGAAACTCGCTGAGGAACAGAAAGAGGAACACGTGGCTTCGAGATATCTGCTCCTCCTGGTGCAGCCAACTCTTTGGTCCAGTCTGCAGCCTTTCCTTTAACACCATGTACTCTGCAAAGCCCAGTTGCTATGCTTCAGCTACCTGACAGATCCACCAAGCCCGGCCACTGCAGTTCATTAATACACATGAACTGTTTCAAGCCCCACGCAGCTGCCAATGCTCAGTTCAAAGTCCCAAGGCTACACTCATTGTAAAATCAGTTGCAGGTGCTGTCCGACTGGTTTATTCAGGGTGGTAAGAGAACGTACAAATGACACAGAACAAATGAGAAACAATTCAATGAATTGTGACAATTTAGTGGACGGAGAATAGTTACTATGGCTACAGTTCTAGATTTAAAGCTTTCGTGACTGCTAGGAGGACAGTGCTCCCACTCTAGCGCTGTCCTCCAGACAGTCTCGTCCCTTCACCTGATGAAGGCCACTTGTGTTGTGGCCGAAACGTCGTGATTTTTTGTTATTTTATTTTCACCTACGTGACTTTACCCAATAGAACCAAAGAGTATGGCTACAGTGTTAACTTACTGCTGCCTCGGTGACTTAGATCACAACATGATCTCGCCTGCTCAGCCAGCTGTATTCAGTTGTACAGCATAGAATTTAGTCCGTCGACCTCTTTACTTTCCCGATTTAAGTTATCAATACAAGTATTTTGCACCTCCGATTAGCACGGTTGGATACATACGGTGCGAAAGAAGTTCAACATAAAGACATACAGTAAAACCTTGGATTGAGAGTAACTTGGTCTGCGAGTGTTTTGCAAGACGAGCAAAAAATTAAAATAAATATTAATTTGATAAACGAGCGAGGTCTTGCAATATGAGTAGTGTAACGTGTACGCTTTGTCTGCCGAGCGTCACGTGATCACAACTGATATACGAGTGCTTTGATATACGAGTGCTTTGGATTACAAACACGTTTCCGGAACGAATTATGCTCGCAATCCAAGGTTTTACAGTATACTGGACCAGTTTTGATTTTCAAGGTCTCATCAGCAGTCAGGTTTGTTAAGTGAATACTGCTGGGCTTCCAGATGTTTTTTTTTTATCTGGGGTATTCCACATAATGCTCCATAACAGGGCATAATATATTTGTGTAGTTTTATTTTATGTTCACTGCTTTTGCTGAAAATCACATCAACTTCAATTTAGTTGGTGTTTTTTTCATTACATGACTTTAAAATTACTATGTCAATGCACAACTGCACTCGACTGCCTCACGATATTTTTACCTGCATTTTAGGCGAGGGAGGGCAGGGGGTGGGTAGAGGGATTCCCGCGTGTGCAGCCAAACCACTGCAGTCCCTTTTTGCTGTGCTGTCAGCTTTCTTGGCGAGTAGAGAATGCAAACTTACCACGAATAAATGTATTTACAGCATCGAGATCTTTGCTCATCGAATACTGTAACCGAGCCATTTGACTCCAGTATTCAAATATCGCGTAACACTACCGTGTGTAAGGTTGCCAAAATAAAAACGGGACATAGTGGGAAGATGGATTTCTCATAATAGCGGAATGGGGGAGAACTACGTGTCCATCCTTCATCCTGAGCCAGTTCTGCAACAGACTTAAAACAATGTTGTGTTATTCCACAGAGCTTACTCTGTGTGATCGGTGCGCATTTGTGATGGACTGGACTGAAAAGAGTGCGCAATAACTAGCGTCTGGAGTTACTTTAAAAGTGCATTACTACGCAACTGACGAAAAACCGGGACCAGCCTGAGCACAACAACCGGGACTGTTATCTTCCTCTGGAATTACAATGCCGCAGGTTTCCCAGAACAGCTGCCTCAACAAGGTGATGATATCTTGCAAAAACCAGGGCAGGTGGCAACCCCAACTGTGCGTGAAGACTGTGCGAATATTTTGTCTCTTATCTTAGTGATATTTTGTCAGGTTCCTGTTTTTCCAGGAAAGCCAGAAGATAGCGCGGCTCGCTGCCTTCTCGTCTACCTTGCTCTGGACGCACTTCACTTGGATTCTTTGGCTGTGGCCTCATATCCTTTGTGTTTTCACCCACAGTGAGATGAACAATGCACCGCATTTGATTTTGGCTGTTTATATGTTTTTCTCCATCTTAGTAGGTCCCAGGACCAGAAAGCACATCGCTCTAATGTTGATCTCCAATGAACACTATGGACTACCATCTCGGCACAACCAACACTGTACACGGCTGGCTGTTGTAGTGTTTGACGACAAAAGCCTCTTGTTAAAATGATCACATTCGTATTCAAAGTCTCACAAATTGACAGCTCGAGTGGCTCTAAGCATAGAAATGAATTAAGTCGTCCCATCAATACTCATGGCTCTCACCCCTGTGGAAGAGCTGAGGGTGGTACGAGATGCAGCGTCCATGCACAACACCTCGATGGCCACTTCCAGTCTCAGCAAAACATCGCCGTGGCGTTATTGGCACGCAGAGGAAGCCAATAACGGCACTTCAAGGCTGCCGTCATGTATTTGAGTGCAGAGGTGAATTCGTGTATTACTGGCGCTCTTACATTGACGCGGTGATGTCATTTGTGGACGGGTGGCAGTTTTGTAGCATGCGTACACAACAGCGTGTGGCGATGTCAGCAGGTATGTTACCATAATTGTGTGATTGTTAGTGCAAAACAATAAAAAAAACAGTAAAATGATGCTTATTGGAATAGAATGTGCAAGTCAATTAACAACGCAGAATCAAACTGTTTATACTGGAGGATTCCGATGAGCTATGAAGTGCTTTTTCACAAATGTCCAGCATGGGTAGGTCAGAAAGTTACAACAACAAACAATATGAAGACATGATAGGGGTGCAAAGTATAGGAAAGGTAAGCCAATCGCTAATATATATGTGTTTATATTACCAGGTAAAGCACACCGAGTTATTAGCTTCTTTTTCAGAAAAAAATATATTGCATTGGGAGAGAGATGGAGGCAGAGAGGGATTGATGAAGTGGGGAAATGGGCGAGCGTTTGGGAGTGGTGAAGGCTGCGAGTGGAGGCAAGGGGGAGAGAGCCATGTGGGAATAGTCAACTCTACTCCCGACGCTTGGCATGTAGCTCTCAGGTTTGCGGCGAGAAAATCAATGTAACCTCATCACAGGTAAGTAATCAGAGCATCTAGATCTTCGTGCCTCTAATAAATGTAACTGATCCATAGTAATTCGGGATTCACATTTAATAATTACCTTGTAACTAAGATCTGTGCTGCATAACATCGGACGCCCATGAAATAGAGCCTAAAAGCTTCTACGGCCCTTCCCGCTGAATTAAGTATAATGTAAATAAAATCTAAATTTAAAGGGTTATTTTCAATATGTTGTAGAGTAATTTTACACACACAACTCAACGTTCCACACACTTTAATAAACACTTTGTTGGTGCCGTAAACATTTTATTGGACCCCACCAACTCCAAACATAAAAAAAACGTGGTGGCTGGAGGTGCCTGGAAGCCAGGGTTTTTATAGAGTGCTGAACACATGGTGCCCATCGGCACGAAAGAACAACCAGTTAAAGCTTTATTTAGCTGCCACGCTGTATTTGTATTTCCTTGCGCCTTCGCGTGAATTGTTTCTTTGACGGCCGTGTGCACACGTGGGTGGCGCGTGGTCCCAGCCGATGGCCGTGATTGTGAGCGGAGCGGCATTTTACTGCCTCGCTAAGGTGGCACGCCCTCCACCCGGCATCGCCAGGAACCAGCAAGAGCAGAGACAGGTCTGCAGACGTGCACCCAACACCGTCTGGAACGAGGTGCGAGCGTGCCCGCGCCGCGTTGGCCGGCTCTCTGAGTGAAGCTGCAGTGGCGTGGAGACCAGAGGCGCAGTGGTTCGTGTACTGCGATATGAACCCTGCTCGCCTGAGTTCGACTCATGGCCATGGCTTAGTGCAGAGTTTATTGATACCTAAATTGGTCCTGGAAACCCTCTCTCTCACCCCCCTCATTTCAGTAGTATGGTCAAATGGCCATCATGAATTACACGGTGCAGGGATGGCTCCGTTAAGCAGTGGATGTATAACTGTAAATTATCGCCTAAGGTTATTACAGAGTAAATGCCGACAGTCCTCGCCCCCCCCCAGAAAACACCGGCTCATTTTACTGGGCTCGCGTGTTTAGCACGATCAACACATAAAAGGTTACGAGAGAGTGGTAACATTCTCAGAACTGTTTTTGCGTCAATGTTGGCAAGTTTAATTGTCGGCAACAGGATATAGGGTAGACGTGCCGGTCGCAAAGGAGGTGGAGAGAATTGATTGCTAAAGCATCACTGGTTCCCCCCTGAGCTCCATGGTTATGGGACTGATGACGTTGATGATGATGGTGAAAATTGTAAACTTGCCGTGCGTATTTTCCAATCGATGTGCACCTGTGTTGGTGTTGGTGTGCTTGTGTGTTGCGTTAAACTACCATTGCGTGCGTGGTTTGCAGACGGTCATCAAAATGGCTGAGGCTGGAACATTCACGGCGTCCACGTATTGCATAATTTGCCTGGTATGTTCACCCCGAACGGTTCGGTCCCAACATGATACTCTCTGCTCTCAGTCCTTCGCTTGCTCAATCCTTTACTCCATCCTTCACTCTGTCTCTTGACTAGGCTGAACGCTGGGCGGGCCAGCGATGGGAGCGGGGGGACACTTCTTGACCTTGAATAAGCAAAGTGGAATGTTTGGCTGAGCTTTAGAAAGCACATTTGGGGTCCATATGAGAAGAAACGTAAGGCGAGAGTTGGGTCAATCAAGGCCACTCACTGGCGAACTTCCCGTCTCAGTCACGGAATAATTACAGGGCTCTACCGGGTACTCCCTGTGGAGGGCGGCCAGGCGAGCGTGGCATCCGGCTGTGCTGTCATTGCACAAACACAATCTTCCCATCACGATCTCCCCACCGGTTCTCCCTCTCCACGTGCAATTAAGAGTGGACGAGTACCACATGCTTGTTATCCATTTCAACGTGGGGTTCACAAACCACGAAAAAAAATCTGCTCTCCCAGAAACCCAAACTGTTTTACTTAAATCATCAAGCCTGCTGAAGAAGGCGCCTTCAGTGACGATCAGCATTTATATAAATCATGGGAGAGGCAATCGGGGTGGCGCTGTGGAAGAGTGTGACTCATTTACAAGTTGTGAGGTCAAATCCCTGAGGGCATCATGCCTCTGGGGTCAATAAAACGCGTACCACTTTGTGGGACATCGACAGTGGTGGTCCAATGAATGGACCGATTCACATACCGATTTGTAAAATTTTGATCATTGCCTCAGGACCGGCAATAAACACGACCACCGCACAATGTTCATTGGTGTACCGGACATATCTAACATATTGACTATTTAAACTGAACGCTGGCTCCTTAATTCTTACACGTTATGCGGCTGCACGATGTGCATTCGCACGCCTTGCTTTGCTTGTGTTGGCGTGCATCACGTGACTCGGCGCACCCCCTCTTCTGCTGCGTTTCACAAACCAGGCACCCAGGCCCCCCCTCTCCAAGCACTGCCCCATGTGTGGGAGATGCATCGAGGGTTATGACAGCCACTGCTGGTGGATCGGAAACTGTGTCGGTAAGTTGGGAGTAAGTGTGAGTTTCGTCGGCACCTCGTTGCATTTAGTTCCGAGTCTTAGCCAAGTTGACGACAGCCTGCGGAACTTTAGTAAAGTCTTAGTCTGTCGATTTTGTTTAGTCATTCCCCTTCGTCTAGCCAACTTAAGCAGTCAAACATTTCGGCAGACAATATTATCCCCCCCCCATTCCAAATATCATCACGTCAGCCAATCGGCGTTCACGTTAAATGTTTTTTTTATAAAACGAATGATCAATTAGTGTGTCCCTCCAGAGCACTGCTGTTTCAAATACCGTTGCTAAATTATCTTGGTCTGCGCCTTCGTTCAGCCTCATTTATTTACACCCACTTCGAGCTATCGTTGACTCAAGTTAAAATCGAACGTTTTTTTACAAATGTTCCCATTACAATTTCACTTACAAAATTAACACCGGTGTGAAGTCATGGACGCATAGCAGTGCGGCATCCAGTGATGCTCTGGTTGCAAGATAGGACATGTGCTTGCTTTTTACACTCCTGCTGTAATTGCATGAGCGTTGCAAAAAAAAGTGGGATTTTTTTTTACATATATATAGAAACGTTTAGTTGACGTAAATGTGTACATTAAAATTGTGTGTCCTGGTGTCGAGGGATAACGAACATCCTTGTTTGTTTCTTTGCGCTAGGTGCAAAGAATTGGAGGCACTTCCTCGGCTTGATGCTGTTCTCGCTGGCGTGGTTAACGTGGCTCCTCTGGGGATGCGTCTTTTGTGAGTTGAGACGATTCTGTTGGATGCGTTACAACGCCTCTGCACCGAATAGTTCTGCATGAAACTGCAAGGAACTAAGACGCCGCACGACGACATCTCCTGCGCCCGCGGTCCTGTGTCGCGTCTCGATAACGCAACGCTGGCTGGCGTATATTTGAAGCGCATGCAAGTTGATGAATGTTTATTTTCATGGAAGGTTTACTGGAGGTGTCCACAGCCCAAGCTGGTTGGTCGGCGGCGGCGTAAAAATCACGGAGTAAGTTAGATAAATGAAACAATCACGTGCAGAGTTGAACAAAACAACAGGATACTGTAGAAGACAAATATCAGCAATAGTTAAACATCATACAAGGGAGGAGAAAGGTTGATGAGCAATTTACTTGACTTCGAGTACATATTGATTCTAATAATCTGCGTTGTTAGTCCTCCTTCCTATTTGAAATCCAGTGCATGATCTGTTGCCCGCGTCTGTAGTGGTGACGAGTGTAACGGGAAAACATTGCAATTCACACACACGAGTGACGCGATGCATACAAAATATGAATACGGGTGCAAGTTATTGTCTCACCCTTGTGCCACATAACATTCCCCAACTCTGCCACACTGAGTCGATGGACAGGCGTTGAAATGGCCATGGCCAGTGGTGCCTGCTGCTGCTGCTGCTGCTTGTGTTTGTGTTTCTCGACGTAACGAGCGCAGGATCCCGCGCGTGCACGCGCCCCCGCGTGGCGTTGAGGCGGTCCCTTCATCCGTGACGCGTGGCGAGTAGGAAGGGACCCCTGTGGGTGGCTCGAGCGTGTGATGCGCTCTGTGGTCTCAGTGAAAGGGGACTGCGACGGAATCGCCGATCTCACCGATATTAGCCCAATCCAATATTTACTCGGTCCATAGATCGATTGGCGATGAAGTCGACGCGGCGATTGACCCCGCAAATTATGATTATCCCCGCAAATTATGATTATCCCCGCAAATTATGATTAACCCATGTAATTTTGATGCGTGTAAATTGTGGGTCGGCCGAGCGCAATCGATACAATTGATCTCGATTTAACGATCCGCAATGACCATATATGGGCAAACACACGCCCACTTCTTTCCGTGTATGGGAGAGGGCAAATCTCTGATTGGTGATTTTGTCGGGTGCATGGCTTTATCGTATATTATGGACTTTATCGTATTACGGTGCCTCTTGAACCAAGAGACCGTGATTGGGTCGTTTTTCCTCGTCCCATCGAGTGCATCTTCACACACCACAGAGTCGTGACTAGAAAAACAGATGCAATGGGGAAAATGAACAGTTGGTTCATCGTTGTCACTGCCTATGACCAAACTGCACAGGAACTAGCCCAGTCTCGTCAGATCTCGGACGCTGAGCAATGGACAGTGTGTGGATTGGTGACCTGGTACCATGCACAGAAGGTTGCTACGGGGCTACATGGTAGGCAGCAGAGGGCAGTGCAGCAACATTCAGTTGAATTGCACTTCTACTCTCCTACATATGATCCCCACCATCAATTCACACTGATCAGTGTGGTGGTACAATCATCTACCAATCCACTGATGGATGAAGGCCTCCTTGCATCGTCGGGGTCACAGGGGTTGTTGGGCCATGTTTCGCCATGATGGTAAGGGTCATTTGATGAAGTGGGGGTTGTGGGGCGAGCAACCATGACCTGTTCAAATATCACTTAGCACTGACATTAGCCACGGCTAGGAATCTAATTCAGGTCCATAGGTTCGTGGTGCAGTGCCCTAACCACTACTCTACGGCTTCACAAATGTCCTACATCTTTCCCCAAGTTCTTCTAACCTTTCTCAATTCAAGAAACGTATGAACACATCTATTACGCCTTCAATAGTGCTGTTTATTGCTAGCCGCTTGGATTTTTTTTTGCCCTTTGGCCCTGTGCTCAGCAACATAGATTTGAACAAAAACATGTTGACCAAAACAAACACAAATGTTGCTTAAATGTACGCATTGTACCACGTCCAGCCGCATAATTTATCAGAAGTGTTGAACGCGGGGGGGGGGGGGGGGGGGGTGTCTCTCAGTCTGGAATGCAGAGTGTGGGGGTTGGGGCCCCGCAGGGCCGGACGGCACGTGGAGCCGAGTGGCGCGCATCGCCACCTGCTCCCCATGGGTCACCTGGACCGCCTTCAACACAGCCTTTCACATCGTGTGGTTGGTGAATGCGCTGGGCACGCAGCTCTACCAGGTTTGAACCGTGGCGTCGTGCGTGCGTGCGGCTGAGCGAGTCGCGAAGACAGAGTGGGCGAGTGTGGCCCGCGAGCCACGCCGCCGCCGCCGCCTCGCGCGTGCCGTGCCGGCCAATCAGAGGTGCTCGCTAACAGCACTCGCCCCAACAGGCATACGTAGGCTCGAACGGGGGGGGGGATCTTTGTTTTGGTGTGATTCAATGCGCGCACGGACACATGCAGGCATGCTGGGGGAATCTCTCATCGGCGCCAAATGTGACCATTTAATCGCAAACCTTAATTGCAGCTCATTCAGCGTGTGCTCTTCAGGCTAGATCTGAGATATCCAAACTACAGCCCGTGGACAAAATCCAGCCAGCGATGTCACTGAAACGTACGACTGTATTGAATACGGCTATCCTCAGCTTTAACATTAAGTGAACATTAAATGAACAAATATTTGCGCGAAATGTGATTTAAATCAGCGACTGTATACATAGCGGAAGCTTCAGCCACATGGTGCAATTGGTTTGACCTCGGCGTGCCTCGGTCCGTTGTAACGTTCGTTGCATTAACTCGACAGCCGTGTGCGTTTTAAATTGAGTTTACCGTATCGGAAAGCATAACATTCCCCGCCAGTTCGTGCCTGAAAAAATTGGGGACCTTTTTGCCAGTATCAAATGAAAACCTATTCTTATTTTTTCAGACTTGTGTTGAAAATCGTTTTTTGTAAAGCTCCCTATCTGACCCGACTTTTTATACCTCTGACAGCTCCTTGTTCTGAGGATGACGGTAGAAGAGTACGTCAGTAGAAAGAGGTGCCACCACGAGCACGGGACGCATGCCCACGTGCCACCGCTTCTTCACAAGTGAGAACACCGCTCCGCTCGCTCGGGCCATGTCGCTCGTGTCGTATGCTGGCCGCGGTCCCGTCTGTTCATCGTGCTGTTGTTGGCCGCTGAGCGTGCTCAGCGACCGCGATATTTAAAAAAAAAAACGTACAAGCAATCCAACCACTAAAGCATTCACACCTGTTCTCTCCGAAATTAATTATGCCTGTGCATTTATACAATATAATAGTTTGTTTTGTAAATCATCTGAATGCAATCGGATTTCACATAAATACTGTGCATTACGGGAAACCGTTTGTCGAGCAACCATGCAAAGTGCTGGGCATTGCATTGCAGTTTCCACCAGAATGTTGTGCAATGTGCAGAGCTGGCTGAGAGAGCCAAAACCGTGGGGTAGTACACGAGCACAGTTGTTGCTCTCCGAGCCTTCTCGTAAATCATCACGGTCGTTGCTGTTGTGTATTTGACGTGGCGGTACGCACAATGGGGCGGCTTCGTGGCACAGTGCGAGCCGCTCGCCCAGACTCTCACCTTGTTTGAATAAATGATCCATTGCAAGATGTAACTTTAACACATAAGCTTTCGCGACCAGTATTATCCATGAGGTTTTTTGGGTTGGATCGCGTAAATGTAAATGTGTCGTTATACCCGCCACCACCCGACACAGCCGGTTAGTAAGGTTTGTCACGTAAACAAAACATGCCAATTCGTTACGAGTTCAGCACACCGGTGTGTTGAAGGGTAAACCCACAACATCAATTTAATTCACAAGTACCTGTTGAACGTGGTCGTCAATGTATCGTATCATAATAATCCAACTTTTTTGTTTCACTGTTTGAACTTTTAGAAACAAAGAAAAATGAAAGTGCTCACTCAGCCATCGTCGTCAGGCTGTTCTCTGTGAATGTTCACGAGGTGGCCTTCGGGGGTCCTCGGTGAAGAGACCTAAATCTTTCCGCCTGGAAGAAGTCGGTACCAGGATGTTGAGTTGAAAATGTTACTTTACAAAATTGCCAATGTAATGATTTTTTTGTTGGTTAATTTAATGTGTCTATAATGGGCTCATAAATCTGCTCGGTGGCTTAAGAATTGAGAGTTATGTTAGTGCCTTTGGGTTTTTGTATATTGTTAATTAAAACTGAAAATAATTTTTCGTTGAGGCTTTATATATGGAATATTTGTCTTTTTACACTGTTTTATAATCGTACAACGAAATCGACAGACACAAGCAGCCACACTTCTATGCGATGGACATTTACGAAGCTTGCATTGCCAAGTCAACTTGACACCGATGCCCCCAGGACAGATATTGAAGCATTTGTAACAATGTCACGCTTCATTTACATGATGACACATTGATCGTACGCATGGATCACTCAACAAATGCAATTCAGAGACCTCAGATTGAATGTTGAGGGAAAGTAAAATGAGCTTGCCAAGGACACATCTCCGGAATGGGTGGCTGACGGATGGGATGAGCGACAGACTACAGCCACTGCAGATGTGGAGTGATGAGATTCGTTTATGTAAAGGGGGTGTCAATGGCATGAGTCCATCCAGCAACGGATACACAATAATGATCATATTGATAACCACAATAAACATTACAACACTGGATGTCTCTGGATTTTCTCCTTCGATAATATGTAATAACCTGTACGTACTCTTAAGGCCCCTTGCAGATGTTTGCCATGCGTGACACGCCACAGAGGCACACTAGATTTGGAAGACTCGTAAATACGTGACATTTGTTTACAAAAAAAATGCATTATTACTTTTGAATCCTCGTGTTTTTTTTTGTTTTACTTCAAAGACATTACCGAAAGATATGCAGGACACAACAGTCCTCTACTTATGAGCATTTGACTTACGAAACGTTCAGAGAGATACGAAAAAAACTGTCCGTATGCTGAGTTGCCTGCTCGGACCGAGAGTGGTAACTTCAACCGCCGTGCAATATATGGTAGTGGTGGTATCTACATCTACAGAACATGAAGAACCAGTGGCATCTACAGGAGATCTTACAACCTTTAAAGCCATTCCCCGTGTTTAGTGTACACGCTGTACATGTTTGGAATCGACAGGAGTAAAGTTGGACAAATCGACTTGTGAACAGACCTCGAGAACGTAACTCGTGCATATAAAACTCCACCTATGCTTTAACATGGTATTGTTACCGTTTCTATAAAGCTTCACTCGTCAATCCCTTCATTTATGTCAAGTACCTTAAATACATTAAGCGTCCGAGTAAATATACAGTCCATGCATACAAACATATGTTGGGATTTTTTTATTTAAAGCTTTCGTGACTGCAGGGATTCATATTCTTGGTTCTTTCGGTGAAGTCACGTAGAAGGGAAACAATAAAATAATAAAAATATAAAACAATAAAATTTTCACGACGTTTCGACTGCAACACAAGCAATCATCATCAGATGTGAAAACCACAGCAAGAACATTATTTTATTGTTTCCCTTCTACGTGACTTTACCGAAAGAACCAAGAATATATATGTTGGGATTGTTTTTCTTACTACCATGATAAATGCCTTGGCAGCCAATCACAGCACCGCTGTTGTGTGCAACAAGGTAAAACAACATTGAATAAAGCTGTGTGGGTGCAGACAATTGCAACCCGGCTTCATCAAGTGGAGTGCTGGGCCACATTGATAAAGCAGGAAAAGTGCTCCATTTACCTTTTGATTAAATGTGTCTGGTGTGATGAGGCGCTTGCATTTGACAGCAATTTAGCTGGATACACAGGTTGATACAAATGCATGGTAGAATTGTTAATGCTGGAATTATATTTTAAAAATTATGTTTTCATTGTTTGCTATCTATAATTAATACTTTACTCCAATTCAAAGGTGACTGAATTTACGTTTTAATGTATACTGTAATTGGTGGTAGATATTTTACAGCCCATATTTATAATATCTCTAACATATAAGTTATAAAAAAAGGTGTGGACATGTCATTTGCATTTTTATTTAAAACCTACACTTTGTTTTATAAACCAAAAACTTGGTCGTAGGTTTTACTAGAATTAAAAAAATTAAACTACTATAAAATGTGCACGGGTAAACTGCAGTGGCCATCTCTGAGTTATCGTTTAAGAACACAAGCACTATACAGTATCCTAAAACGATTGACACTGCTATTGTCCAGGGTAGCACTCAAGGAATTAAACACCCAATAAAAACTGTTAACTGCATGTAAATATAGCCACTGTGAGCTCGGATATGTCAAACTTGAGTTGGTTATTTAAAAAAAAAGGTTTTGTGAGGAAATCAAATATTTAAAAACATTGATAACCATGATATGATAATATTTTGTAAAACAGATGCCATACGATTATCGTGGATATATTTGCGGCAACCCTTGTGGGGGCGGAGATGTGGCTGCCTCGAGCGGTGAAGTATGGAGCTCACGCCTGCACCAGGCTGTGGGGGAATGCGTGCGTGTCGAAGAGCCGATCTTCACTCTGGAGACCAGCCTCACTGGGAATGCATGAGGGTTCCAGCACCCAGACCGTAACCCACGCCCTTGGGGCCAAAGTTCTTCGCGTAGCAGGCTGCAAATGCATGAGACAATGGGATGCAACGCTTTCATTTTGTTATAGGTTCAGAATAGTGTTTTGTTATACTATATATGTACAGTGTGACATTTTCATTTAGCATATCCGGCTGGGTGGTGCTGTAGTTAATGTGCTCAACCCAAAGAAAATGGTGACTTTAAAGTCTATTTTTCTTATCGACAAAGCTTCAAACTTAAGTAGGATGGCCCATGATATGCAGTCCAGGCACGTATCTGTAAAGAATGAGGGGATGTCCCTACATTTAAACACGTATATACTTTGAATGGGAGCGTGCGGTCACCTCCATGTGTTATTTAAAACGTACTGTTATCGCTCTCCTCATGTACAGGCATAATATCTATAGGCCACCATGCACACTCATCTATCCATGCCCTTCACAACTGCAAACACGTCCTGCCCGTACTTGCAGCCAAAATATGTATAAACAGTGAGGGAAAAAAGTATTTGATCCCCTGCTGATTTTGTACGCTTGCCCACTGACAAAGAAATGATCAGTCTATAATTTTAATGGTAGATTTATTTGAACAGTGAGAGACAGAATAAGAACAAAAAAATCCAGAAAAACGCATGTCAAAAATTTTATAAATTGATTTGCATTTTAATGATGGAAATAAGTATTTGACCCCCTCTCAATCAGAAAGATTTCTGGCTCCCAGGTGTCTTTTATACAGGTAACGAGCTGAGATTAGGAGCACACTCTTAAAGGGAGTGCTCCTAATCTCAGCTCGTTACCTGTATAAAAGACACTTGTCCACAGAAGCAATCAATCAATCAGATTCCAAACTCTTCACCATGACCAAGACGAAAGAGCTCTCCAAGGATGTCAGGGACAAGATTATAGACCTACACAAGGCTGGAATGGGCTACAAGACCATTGCCAAGCAGCTTGGTGAGAAGGTGACAACAGTTGGTGCGATTATTCGCAAATGGAAGAAACACAAAAGACATGTCAATCTCCCTCGGCCTGGGGCTCCATGCAAGATCTCACCTCGTGAAGTTGCAAAGATCATGAGAACGGTGAGGAATTAGCCCAGAACTACACGGGAGGATCTTGTAAATGATTTCAAGGCAGCTGGGACCATAGTCACCAAGAAAACAATTGGTAACACACTACGCCGTGAAGGACTGAAATCCTGCAGCGCCCGCAAGGTCCCCCTGCTCAAGAAAGCACATATACATGCCCGTCTGAAGTTTGCCAATGAACATCTGAATGATTCAGAGGACAACTGGGTGAAAGTGTTGTGGTCAGATGAGACCAAAATGGAGCTCTTTGGCATCAACTCAACTCGCCGTGTTTGGAGGAGGAGGAATGCTGCCTATGACCCCAAGAACACCATCCCCGCCATCAAACATGGAGGTGGAAACATGCTTTGGGGGGTGTTTTTCTGCTAAGGGGCAGGACAACTTCACCGCATCAAAGGGACGATGGACGGGGCCATGTACCGTCAAATCTTGGGTGAGAACCTCCTTCCCTCAGCCAGGGCATTGAAAATGGGTCGTGGATGGGTATTCCAACATGACAATGACCCAAAACACACGGCCAAGGCAACAAAGGAGTGGCTCAAGACCTTAATCCCATAGAAAATCTGTGGAGGGAGCTGAAGGTTCGAGTTGCCAAACGTCAGCCTCGAAACCTTAATGATTTGGAGACGATCTGCAAAGAGGAGTGGGACAAAATCCCTCCTGAGATGTGTGCAAACCTGGTGGCCAACTAGAAGAAACGTCTGACCTCTGTGATTGCCAACAAGAGTTTTGCCACCAAGTACTAAGTCATGTTTTGCAGAGGGGTCAACACTTATTTCCCTCATTAAAATGCAAATCAATTTATAACATTTTTGACATGCGTTTTTCTGTTCAAATAAACCTACCATTAAAATTATAGACTGATCATTTCTTTGTCAGTGGGCAAACGTACAAAATCAGCAGGGGATCAAATACTTTTTTCCCTCACTGTATCCCCTGCCCCCCCCCCCCCCCCAGCAGGTATACGTCACTTATGCAATGTATATCATGAGACCAACAACATCCCCACACTCCCACAAAGACAAAGGTCCACCCTTCAGCCCTTCAACAGACCGTTGGGGCAAATGCTGTTAGCGAGCACCTATGGAGGCTGGCATCACATGAGGGGGTGGGTTGCCAGCCTTTGTCTTGCTAGTGGCGATGTTTTCACATCACACAGGTACTCGGATGAGGTTGAGTGAACTTAGGAGAGTCCCAGGCCCGGTTCAGACAATGGTCACTGGTGTTGGCCGTGAGTGGGAATAGAATTTGGGTCGCTGGGTTCATAGCGCAGCACGCTAACCGCTGCACCACCGCTCCCCACAATGCTTTCCAACAGTAACACTGCCACCTCACTCATGCATGTTCTCATTTCCCACAGCACTGCAGTCATCAAAGGATAGCACAATGGCCAGTCTCTGCAATAACCTGTTTCTATACTATTACTTGTATACGATAGCATCTGAATTGGTTAAAATTTCAGACCCAATCCTAAAACCACATTATGTTCTAAACTTTAAAGATTAATTGAATGCTTTCGATTGAAGATGTTTGCATACATGGCTGTGGATGAGCCAAGTCTGATGTGGGGGGGGGGAATTATACACTGGCTTTGAACACAAAGGGGCATGTGAATGCAGTCGGAATGCACAAAAACAACACAGCACCTTCAGATTTATGCTCCGCTCAGTTGTGCACATTTAATGTTACAATTCCCAACAAATATGTAATTTCTACATGAGTAAACATCTTAAAAAATTATCACCAACTAATGCAGACCCCTGGATATCCTTCTGTGGTCTTATTTCTACGAGCTCTCGAAGCACTTTAGCCATGCAGACGAGCTGGCGATTAGCTCTGTGCCTCTCTGCCAACGCCAAGGAACTTGACAAAGCCTCATTATTAACAAGACCCAAAGTTGCATAAGGGCCCCTTTTGTTAACGTGGCCAAACAGTGAGGTCAGCCAAATGAGAAACCGCAGTATACTCCATGCAGCACTCTGAGGCTTAAAAAGTGCAACGAGAGTGGATAATACCTGCAAGTGAAACAAGAGTGCCAATGCTGAACATGTTATTTCATTATCTTAAAGTTGTATCCACCAAGCACATGGCAAGTAGAAATATGTGCAGGATACAAGTGCCCCAAGGGGACGCGTTGCTCAGAGTAACGCCACTGCCTCATATTAATTTAACAAAAGCCCCAAAAATTAACACAAACATGTGGGAGAACGGTTTCAGTGACCAACAGCACTTTGCTGAGATGAAACCAACCAAAATAGGGGCGAGCGGTGCGGTGGTAGTACAGAAGATCTGTATTGAGATCACTTTGCATCAGAAATAAATAAAACTCAACAGATAGAGTAGCTTCAGAGTGACTCTTTAGAGTGACTCTTCAGAGTGACTCTTTAGAGTGACTCTTTAGAGTGACTAACTCTGGCATCTCTGTGCTCTCAAGAAGAGCCATTGCCCGAAACGTCACCTCTTATATAATTTTTATTTACAAGGCATTGTTGTTGACAAACGTGTCAAGTTTTATTTTTGTTATTTGTGCTTGTGCACCACTGGTCAACACAACATCACCAAATAATTCGCATCAGAATAGCGTTGTATGTTTGAGATCCTGGGATTAGTCTTTGGGCAGTTACCCAAGAATGAAACATTGTCTTTGAGCCTGTGGGGTTGGTAGGCTCAGACCAACAACGTGTGTAGAAATACACATTGTGTACAACAGTGCAAAATTTCGTTTCGCCTTTAATTTTGTGGGCTTTTTCAACAAAGGGGACTGCAAAGAGAGATCCCTGCTGCCACCAGCGATCTGTCACTGTGCTTATATAGGGTTGCAGAGGAAAACGGTTGCATCCTCTACATAGACGCATGTAAAACAAATCGCATCAAGTTCACCAACACTTATAAATAAGACGGAAGTTAAAAGGCCTTCCCATTAAAATTAGCTCATCTCCACTGATGGCCTCAAGCCAGAATGAAAAATTCCACATTCTTACGGCAGATGCCAGCGTCTCTGTAGAATGAGCACTGGCAGTGTCACACAAAGTGGAACTCAGTTTCTCAATTCCAAAAGGGCTCCGACCCTGCAGCAAAAGCAGCTTATGAATTGTGCAAGGCATTACTTGACCTCACCAATGTCTGTGTAAAACATCAAAACATGTTGAACTAAAGTAAACATTGTTATCTTGAGCATTCTGCTTTACAGCCTCAAAGTAGTCAATCGTGGATGACTCTTGCTCAGAATATCAGGTCACCTGGTACTACCATCCAGGTCAGACCATGCTTATAATAAGAGAGGTTTCAACCAGTTTGGGAATTACCTTGCTGAAACAAACGCCCGGCGTATTGGCTGGTGAATAAATATAAGTAAACATTCTTTCATTTTGGTGGTGAAACCACAAACGTGATTTTATTTTTTTTCTACTATAATTCATTCACTGAGGATGCACTTAATTCGAGTGCACGCTTGGCTACGTACAGTGCGAAAGAAGTTCAACCATATTGTGACCGTTCCCCAATTCTGTAAAACCGATAATGTGCATGCCGTGTGCTCAGTGATCGCACCTTTGCAGTAGATTTCACCATCGTTGTCATTCAGTGTTGTAGACTCCAGACTCTTCCCACACTGCTTGCAACGGAAGCAGCTGCGATGCCATGGCTGAGACGTACAATTCCGTGTCAAGGACGAATACGATCGTGTATTTCATTGACAAAAGGTTACAGGTAATAAAGTGTTGTTGTACGTACCTTGCCAGCCCCCATGACCTTCTCCGCTGCGTAAACAGACTGACTGCAACGTGGACATTTATCGCATCCACCAAAGGAGCGTGCCAGTGGGGATGGATTGGTGTTGAATGTAGGTTGAGGTGCACCAGGCCTGTATGAACACAAACCGCCAGATGTTCAGCACAGCAGAATCTACCAGGCATTGCTCAGCACGCCAGCACCGTCCCCTCCCTGCTGCCCCTAAAATCACGCTTGAGCCAGAGGAACATCCAAGACGAATCATCTGAATTCGTTCCACTGTCAAGTTTCCACTTTATAGCGGCCGATTTAGTTCTCGAGAAGGAACCACCAATGCCAGTTGGATTCCCACGTGCCCACTGAACACAATTCACAAGGTCTGGTCACCCACAGACTGGTGCGGCACGGTTAATCACAAGCCTGTGCTCTTCCCGTAGGATGCCTTGCTACACATGTTCATACTCTACACGACTTGGTAACTAGCTTGGGTGGAATACACCTTTCCAGGCAGATATCTAGGCAGGGTTAGCAGGGTGTTGCTTCGAAGTTGCTAATAATATCAATGTTACTTGAATATGCGTTGGAATTTCATTTTGCACTGGACATTTTGATGAATATAATACAAGATGTATGTAATAAGGTGAATGTCACCAGCTGGCTTGCATTAAGATGATTTGGCTGCTATAAATTTCGCCATGATAAGCCATTTTGCTGAGCTATCATTTGTGGCCAGGTTGCTTCTGGCAAAGAAACGAATAGTTCAGTGGGCTTTACCTGGTAAAATAACACAGTTTAGTTTCATTTGAATGTATTTTTTGTGATTTGTTTACCTTTCCTATACCTTGCACTCCTATTGTGTTTTTATATTGTTAGTTGTTGTAACGTTCTGACCCGCCCCTACTGGACTTCTGTGAAAAAGAGCTTTATAGCTCATCAGATTCCTCCATCAGTATAATTCAATATTCAGATTGTTGTAGGAGTCAGAAAATACTGGCGCTGGAATGTTTTTGGCGCATTTCAATCAGTGCGGCTTACAAATCCATATACGTGCCTGACTCAGTTACTAATCCATATACAGTAAAACCTTGGATTGCGAGTAACTTGGTCTGCGAGTGTTTTGCAAGACGAGCAAATTGTTTTAATACATTTTAACTTGATAAATGAGCGAGATCTTGCAATACGAGTACTGTAAAGGAGGCAAAAGCAAGTGTCATTGGATAGGTTCCTTGTTAAAGTCGCACAATAAGAAAAAGATTCCAGTGAGCCAACAGATAGCAGCGATTCCGTTAGTGACAGTGAAAGTCGTCCTACGCAATAACCCTCCTCTCCTCTCTCTCATCTCCCTCACACCAGCCACGATTAAGTTTAACTAATAAATTTGATAACTTTATATTAAATTTAAATAATTTAAAAAGGTATTTTGTATTAATAATTTTTACATGAATATTTTTGGTTTGTGGAACGAATCATCCAAGTTTCCATTATTTCTTATGGGGAAATTCGCTTTGATATACGAGTGCTTTGGATTACAAACACGTTTCCGGAACGAATTATGCTCGCAATCCAAGGTTTTACTGTACTTGCCTGACTGTTACTAACCCATATAGTTGCCCGACTCGCTTACTAATGCCAGGGAGCAGTGGCTCCAGCTCACTGAGAAATGCTTTTTGAAATTAGACCGAAATGGCATTGTGCAGGTGAGCTTAATTGCACGGCCATTTGCATAATGACCATCGGATAATCTTCCACCACACAATCTTAGTTTATGTTGACCTAACAACATAATTAAGCATGTCTAGCCCAACAAAGCACAGCCATCATTGTAATCATACAACGCATCGGGTGTTCCAGAACATGGACAAAACACCAAGAGTTAAATATTCCGTATTTTTTTTTCGCTGTCAAACCACACTGCTTCTCAAATTAAACTGCAGGAGAATCCGCACTTCTGAATCTCCAGTAACGTGGCCGATATTTTAATGACAGATCAGAAAAAAACCTAGGCGTTTGTACTACAATGCAACTCCATATAATGCACAATGGCCTTTAGGATCTGTATGCATATGTATGTTGAACTTCTTTCGCACCATACGTAGCCAACCGTGCTAATCGAGGATGCACAATGGCCTTCAGGATCTGTGCCCAAGTGCAATGTGGTCCGGTGGCCCAAGTGGTCAGAGAGCTGAGTTGGCACTGCTAAGGGCCTCGATTTGAATGAAAGTTTTAGCCACCTGTGATTAAAACAGGTTCTCAAAGTGCATTGAGTTGGCAGACTCGGCCACCAATTGAATAAAATCTCGCTCAATTATACCTCTGAAAATATGTTTTATTGGTTTAACTGTGATGTGAGACAACCACAAAGCCGAGTGCATGGGAAAGTGGACAGAGAGGATGCTCAAATATATTTTTTACAAGTCCTGTGAAAAAAAATCACTTCAGCAGCCATCCCCCGACACGTGATGGTGCACGTGTTTGTCAGATTTCCAAATTAATCCTTTGTACCATGACATGATGCCAAAACACAATTGGAATACATTAGGGGAAAAAGACCAAAAGCCATTTAATAAAAAAAACGTCAATACTATAGTGACTTTTGAAAACAAAGCTAAATGTAGAGTGATCACTGCATAACAACAAAACAATTTACCGAGAGTGGGTGATGTCGTCCATGTAGATTTTAATTTGTTTCGAGAGCACAGCTTGCTCTCATAGCTTCTCTTCAGAGAAGGAAGCGAAGCAGTGCAATTATCCACAGACCCTTAAGTGTTGTGTTTACTGCACACCTCACGTGTTACACAAAATAAACACTGCGTTCTTCAGGCGCCTAGGCTATGGTACCCGGCATGGGACAGTGTCTTGCCTCATCTTTTCTATTTGTGCGAGGGAAATGAGGCAGGAAATGTTTTAAATCCTCTCTGACCATGGCTTTGCATGGCCAGACAGGGAGCTTTCACTTCCCGCTATAAGTTCATCAGAATCACAAGTTAGTGGTACAGCACTTTCAAGATGGTTCTTGTCAGTGCTGTGTCGACATGCATAAGTTAACACTTATGATATACAGTATGTGCCTTCAGGCATGTTAATGAGATTGACAATGTAACCTTAAAAAAAACGTTCAACTCCTATAAAAATAGGTTATCTTTCTACTACTAAGAACTAGGCCCCCATGAATTACCAAGGCCCCCATGAATTACCAAGGCCCCCATGAATTACCAAGGCCCCCATGAATTACCAAGGCCCCCATTAATTACCAAGGCCCCCATTAATTACCAAGGCAGTTGATGAGAAGGAACGCTGGTTCTGTGTCAGAGCATTATATCAAAGCAAGGCCATGTCGGATTGTTCTGAAATGATGTGTCGCCAGGGCTGCACTTCAGGTTTGACATCAACAGGTGAAAAAACGAGAAGGTAAAAAGCCTTTGATAGCACTTGTAAGGGTCCACACAATCAGTGGCATTATAATGTTGGAGTGGAAACATTTAACAGCAAGAGTCGGTGTTCTCATTCAGTATGCACAGAAATAATAGGGTTGTGAAAGTGTTATTTGTAAATGCCTGAAAGGGTTCAAAAGCAATGTAACCAAACACTGCACTGGCAAGGTAAGGGAGTTCACCCTCTCTGCAGGTGTCACAGGGATACGTGAACAGCAAGTCGATAACGCTCCAGTGATTTTCCACACGGCGCTAATCTTTTCTCAGTTCATCATTTGTTATTTCAGTCTCTTAAGAAGAACATGTGGATTTCTCTCACTATTAGTAAAATTAGTAAAAAAAACTGGGGCAGAAAGGACTGTCCCAGTTTGTTGTCCTTCCCCACACTGATTAGCACGGTTGGCTATGTATGGTGTGAAAGAAGTTCTAAATACTGTAACGAGGTGAAAGTTGAGGATCACATCCCTGGCTTCCCGATGGCGTTAGTGATAGCTGGTGGGACCGGTTGTGGGAGAATGGGTGGAGGGAAGCCAAATTATGCTAATGTACCGACTATATAAATGGAGGAAGGAAGCCAAGCGCGGAAGCCAACCAGCAAGAGGGCCTGGTCCACTACAAGAGTGTGGACCAACCACACTGAGTGCGGCAAGAGGGCCTAATCTATGGCTGGAGTGTGGAGGAACCACACAGAGTGCGGCAAGAGGGCCTGATCTACTTTTTGAGTGGGGAGGGACCACAACCAGGGCCGCGATAGCCTCAAGCAGTGCAGCCCTAGAAGCTGCGAGTGCTGTACCTGGAGCTGAGTGTGATGTGCTGACAGGTGTGGGTCCAGTCTCTACTGCTGGAGTGGGGTGGGGGTGACACGCCACACCCAGAGCCCCGAAGAGGGCTCTATCAACTGTTTGGAGTGCGGAGAAACCACTTCAAGAGCTGGGTGAGCGGTGTCTACTGTCGGAGTGCGGGGACTCGTCACGCCAAGAACAACTCGGCATCAGCAGATGTAAGGGCCTTCTCTTCAGCTTCCATGGATAGGGCAACTATTTCGAATCGCTATACATAACATAGATTTGTGACGATGAATCAGGAGCGCTTATCAATAGTTTTCATCACACCTCCGACGATGACTCCTGTCAACGCTTGACCGGCAAAGGGTCCAAAGCACCCTCCACCCCAGCCAGTCGCGCGCAGCAGTCGATTCCTCCTGAGCAAAGAGGCCTGTGTCCATCTCAATCTGGGCAACCGGGTGTGATGAGGCGAGCCAACTGGGCGCTTCAAACCACCAATGTAAGGGGATGTACCCAGGTATGTATTTTTTTCATATGACAATTTGGGTCAACATATTCATTTATCATTTGAGGGTCACAGTCCTCCAACTGAAGTGCGAAATTTGGGGGAGTTTGTACATCAAGACAGTGCAAAGTGTCCAAAAAGTGACAGTCGTCTTCCTCAAACTAAGCTGTAAGTCACTAGAAGACTGGTCGCACATGCAATGGTGACATTTCTGACGAAGTCGAACCATCGCATGCCAAGAAGGTGTCTTTGGCATTGCATGTGGAAGGACTACTGCTGATCAAAATCCGCTTGAACCAATGTCTAGGCCTCCGCACCATACAACAAAACTGACCGCATAGGTGGACTCTTTATTTATTTTTTTAAATGGTGCGCGCCGGTACTCACTCCTCGGGGCGGATGCCCAGGCGCTCCCCGCGATCGGTGCTCAGGACTCCCGCTCCCTGTCCGTAGCCGTAGCCCTTGGGGCCCAGCTTCTTGCCGTAGCACGAACGGCAGAAGATTTCATCCCCGTGCGTAGCCAGCGTCGTGCTGTCCAAGCCCTTTCGGCACACGGCTGCACCCGCACAAGGCGCACGCACAGGACGAGAGTGAGACGTCTGACTCCGACGTTCATTGCATGAGTTTGTTTTGACGTATTTCATTTCCGGAAAAAGCGTGAGATATGCAAAGAATAGATTATAAAAAGTTGTTATGCAATGAACCAACTTGGCCATACTCATTGTGGAAAATGTGCGCACTCAGCGTGCACACTCAGCATGCCCACTTTGTGTAGCCAATTCAGAGTACTTCTTACACTCCTGAGTGTCCCTCCCTCGATAATGTCACACATATCCCACTTGTAGTACAGCGCTCAAGTAGAGCACACAGCCCTCATTCATTCCGCATGATGGATTCAGTTGAATTACTGAGCTTAAGTGTCCTGGGCATGAACACATCAGTATATTTGTATCTTTCATCTCATCCTTCTCACTCATGAGCCACCAGCCACATCTGAAGGTATATTATTCATCGCTACAACTCTTGTCCATATCCACTAGTGCATTAACAACACCGTGTACTCCTTGAAGCCCCTTGTAACCAGAGCCCTATTATCCATATTAACCTTATGGCGGTACCCCGGCTCTCGCATAATGTCCGTGATGCAGTGATTCTTTAGTCTGTTGATGGTCGGCAATGCGGCAATCGACTCATCTCGACGAGCTGTACACGATACACTACGGTGCATACGAGCATTCAGGGTTTCAGCGCAATCGTCCTCGCTGTGTTTCGACATCGCGGAGTAGCACTGATTAGGGATTGTTTGGTACCCCAGTCGCGGAGTAAAGTACACCACTGGAACTATTGTAGTGTCCCAGAAATTAAATATTTAATTGCCTCTGCCATTTTGTATTATTTGGTACCACGGGGTATCGGCATAAGGATAATTTATTCTGTTATCCGCAAGTGTCCAACTGATCAACAGAACGACCACTGACATGCGTGTCTATAAAAGAGAAGGGGTGATCGCTTAGAATTCATCCACTGTTGGTATCCATTATTTCCTATGATAAGATGAGCTTTAGCAATGGTTGAGATATTCCAGTGAGAAAAGCATTCACCAAGGTGTAGGTGTGTATACAAACATCGGTGGCGGTACACACACAAGGAAGTTTGCCTGCATCGTTGCGCATGGCTACTACTGCACACTGTACGTTCATTATACAAAGTGCTTGTACAATTCAACTTGGCCGGTTCACTCGATATCGGTGAGAATCTACGACTGGCTACAATTGTGGACGTGGTAATCCACATAAACTGCACAGGTAGGGGTTCCCATCAACTTCTTTTTTTTTACAAATGAGCCAAACACCAACATTCTTTTATACACAGGTTCCTATGCAAAGAAGGATTTCAGATCAATGTTTTTCGTTTTTTCAATGGGAATAAACGAATTCCCAAGGTTAGGGTGATTGTGTGTGCACACGTAAGCACACCTTTTCAATGCAGTTCTCAGCATGGCTACTACTGCACACTGTACGTTCATTATACAAAGTGCTTGTACAATTCAACTTGGGCGGTTCACTCGATATCGGTGAGAATCTACGACTGGCTACAATTGTGGACGTGGTAATCCACATAAACTGCACAGGTAGGGGTTCCCATCAACTACTTTTTTTTACAAATGAGCCAAACACCAACATTCTTTTATACACAGGTTCCTATGCAAAGAAGGATTTCAGATCAATGTTTTTCGTTTTTTCAATGGGAATAAACGAATTCCCAAGGTTAGGGTGATTGTGTGTGCACACGTAAGCACACCCTTGCAATGCAGTTCTCAGCAGCACACCGAGATGGCAAAACATTGCAATGCCTCATTAGACCAAATTAACTCTATAGCTGGTGAAAATTGCACTGTGTGTAATCCCAGAGAGTGCACACATTGCACACAACACCCTGCTCTGCACTCTTGCAGCCAGCTGCCATTGCAAATGTGGTAAATTACTGCATAGATATTCCTGGGTCTTTCGGTAAAGTCACGTAGATAGGTTCAAAGAAAATCTACGCGACTTTACCGTGAGACCCAAGAAAATGAATTCCTGCTGTCATGAATGCTTTAAGTCAAGATTTACTCTAGATTTGAAGTTTTCGTGACTGCAGGGATCCATACTCTTTGGTTCTTTCGGTGAAGTCACGTGGTAGGTATAGAATAAAATAAATTAAATCACAATTAATTTTCTACCTACGTGACTTTACCGAAAGAACCAAAGAGTCAAGATTTACTGCACAGATTTCCGTGGTTGCGCTGCACACAGTTCTCCGATGTGTTTTCAGGTTGTACCACAGTGCTGTGCAGCACAATGTCCAACGTTTCCACCTTTTTGGGAAAGAAGCGCTGTTTTTTCGTACGCACGTCTCTTTTGTTGAATAATCTGCTTGCCACAGCTGTACACAGCCTCAGCACACGTTAGAGAACGATACAGAATAAATACATTTGACTTAGACCTGCTATTTTTTTATATTATTGCCCTGTGGCCTTCTTGACCTGTTCTACTCGTGTTAACCCTATACAGTCTTTCTGTCCCTGGGCAATCTGCTCACCACACTGGCCATGATATCAGTAACCCCCTCGGTGCTCTTAATGACCTCGTCTCATCCAACCTTGGCATTTTCCCCTCTTGTTCTATTCAACTAATGCTGCAATTGATACCATTCATCATGCTTCCCCTGCCTGCCTATCGTCAACCATTGTGTTGACATCTCTCCTATTCATCGTTTTTGGTCAAATTCAAATCGTTTGTCTCACTTTACCATGTCGTATTAAGGTTTTTCATTGATTAGCAGTCCATGAGTGGCCTTCCTTAATCGATCTACCTCGTTCCTCTTGTGACTGAGAAACTCCACTTTGAAAATTAACCAGTACATTTACATAAATTATGGAGTTTTTAAATGTTCATGATGTAGTGTTTGTTATGAGTGCTATTTCCATTTCAATGCACTCATAATAAATAGCAAAAAAATAAGATCTTCTAAAATCTCTACTTGTCTTGAGAATACAAGCTCTCTTAGTGTATGTTTTTTTTCCAAAACAAATCACAAATGTACGCACTGTCCTAACACGTTTTAATGCCGTACAGAATATCCAAGATATGAATCATTTGGCGGGACCCTGGGTCCCGCAAAAATCAGGTCAATAATAATTATTATTCTTCAGTCCGTCCCACTCGTGATCCCGACAGCAACGCGCCGCCCGCCCAGACTCGCGCCAACAAGCGCCAGCAGGTGGCGATCAACACGATGGGCGCCACCCCACCGGCCAAACGCAAGCCCCGGGGGGCGTCCGCTGCAGTCGCGCGCGGCGACAACGCCCTCCGGTCAGCCGTCGATCCTCAGCTTCTTTGCCAAGGCGAGCCCGCCCCGCAGTGAATTTAACGTGTTCATGTAATTTTTCAACTTTTTACGAAACTTAGTGCCCCGAGTAGCTCTCGACGAGGCCAATCGATTGACGCTAGTTTTGTTGTCGGTAAGGCAAGACTCGTGTCGCTACGCGGTTTTTCCCACCCCGGGGCAGTGATGGGACCCCGGGGTCCCGCCAATTGCTTCATATTAGCATTGTACTCACACATTCTCCATGCTGACCTTATTGTCTAGAACTGCCTTCCCTCCAATCATCCATGCCCCTGTCCAAGTTTAGATTCATGACCTTACCTTTTCTTCTGCATATGACTGCCTCTTTATTTAAAATAAACATGCCCACTGTTTCCGTACAGGGTCTTGAGGTACAGACACATTTAGACATATGAATCCAAAAATGCATGACATTGCATTCTATTCTTGCATTTATGATGTCTTTAGTGTATCATTGGTCTCGTGCAAAATGTGCCAACTTTCTAAACTTGAGAATCCAGTTTAGTCACGGGCGGCTGAAACCTAGAAATCCATATTTGAAGCAGTAATGCCGACTCAAAGAGCTCTGACCTCTGTGCCACCTGAACAACCTCCATTATCAAGTTCAAAGTCAATATTTGACTAAGCCCCACCGTCACTAGACATTGTCCATTCAGCGTTGTCTTTGTTATGTCCCCTTTCAAACGCAACGTGCGCGTGGTTCTGTCGTACCGCGATTTTACCGCGGGGGAACAAACTCACAGCAACGGAAGCAGAGACGATGGTAGCGCTGTCCATCACATATCACCTCCTCCGCCTGGTACACTGCCTTGGCGCACCTCCCACACCGAGCCGTCACACCACCAAGGGTCGACATGCCTAGACACCACACACGCACTAGACATCCCACCTATGGCCTCGTACAGACTTGTTGGGGAAAACGTTGTTACGGCTGGCACGGCACGCAAAAAGGCGGAGTGGCCCAGGACCACGCGGAGCTTAACTTCGTGTGTAACCTTTAACAGACACACTGAGGCAGGTGAAGATGCCACCAAACAGAAATCCGTGAATAATCAATGGCAGCATGAGTGGAAGGATGGCCTCATGGGAGTCCAAGAGACGTAAGAACGGAGGCGAATTTCAAGGAAACATCCGCAACAAATGGCCCCTGATGATAGCCAACAGTGGAGGGTTGACTGCTGCCACGCCTGCGTTTACCCAGCAAGTGGGCAACTTAAAAGGGCTGCATGGGAAGAAGTTTAGTTTCTTTCTAAACGTAGAGGGGGGGGGGGGGGACAACCCTCTCGTTGTACTCCAACTTAACATGCAACACCGGGTTGAAGTGGCAGGAAGTCACTTTGAATGCACTATCACATTCCACACTGCATGCACACACACGCACATGTTACTGGATTCACAAAAGAACATTCTAAACAACGAAAATACCCCCCCCCCCCCCCCCGTATCGCCTTTAAAAGACTGTAGGGGCAAGTGTTCTTAGCAAGTAGCGCCGATGAAGACGGGACACGGCACATGACGAGGGGGAGGTGGGTGGCCAGCACCACGCCCGGCCGCCTTTGTCTCCCTCGTGGCGATGTTGACACTCCGCTGCGCCACAGGGGTGATTATGGATTGACTAATCAAGTTTCTTCCGTTTCTGTTCATTTATTTTGGTATAGCCCTGTGAGCCATTCGGCTCTTGAATCGGGTGCAACCACAACAAACAAAAAAACACGAACAAGAAAAAAAAACACGAACAAGAAAAACATCTTAAAGTGACTTTGTGTGACTGTGCAAACAGAAAATCCATGAAAAAAACCAGCAAAAATATTCCTGAAAAAAAGCACCGTACACCAACGCTGTGTGCAAAAAATATCCCAGTGGGATGCAAGTCAAACAACAACAACCACAAGACAACTTAGATTAAGGCCATCAGTCTATCTCCGTACTACAATAAAGCACGCATGTCCACACAATCAATACAACTGTATGAACAGGCTGATGTACTCTGACGTTATCTCTCACAATCACCACTGCCGACAGAACACAGTGTCCACTTGGCAATCCTTATGCATAAACATTCTCGCAGGTTCTTTCGCCTCAAATATGTTTAAAGTTGGGTTTTTTTTTATGTAACCGATCCCCACAAAAAGCTATTCAAACATTTTCCTATCTTTCTTTTGAAATTAAGATCCAACACAATTAGTAACCGCCCGATTGTAAGGCAATTTACGTTGAACTATGGGCAGAAACGTTCCCCCGGCATAGTAACGTGTAATTTCCACCCTCTGGCTCAAGAGATGACGATGAAGGGGCCGGGTGAAGAAGCCGTGTGATGATGATGATGATGAAAATGATTAAATGACATCTGTGTCACTCTTAAAGGAACTCGTGACTCCTGAACGAAACAGCAGTCGCTAAACTAGAACCCACATTCTTGGTTCTTTCGGTAAAGTCACCACGTAGAAGGGAAACAATAAAATAATAAATAAAAACATAAAACAATAAAATTCACACGACGTTTCGACTGTGAAAACCTGATGATGATTGCTTGTGTTGCAGTCGAAACGTCCTGAGAATTTTATTGTTTTATATTTTTATTATTTTATTGTTTCCCTTCTACGTGGTGACTTTACCGAAAGAACCAAGAATATGAATCCCTGCCGGCACGAAAGCTTTAAATCAAAATTGAACAAGTACCCAGGTTAACTGATACAGAGAGCGCTCTTATAACAAACGACCCTAAAACATCGCTAACAAATACTGTGCGTGTTATTCCCTCGTGCCACACAAAGTAACAAGCGTGCGTTGCTTTAGAGGCAAATCATCAACAACAAAACCAGAGTTCGCAGCGGCTTGCTGGCACAACAACAGCCCTGCATGTCAACACGATGTCACCGCTGTTGATTTGACGTCTGTTCAATTCTCAACGAAGTTGTCCTAAGCTAAACGGAATCGACTCATGATGCACGGGGGGGAGGTTGGAGGTGGTGGCAGCACCGGCAAGCAGACGGCTCGCACAGCTCCACTGCTGGACGACTGCGAGTGCAGGCGACGACGATGATCATGATGATGATGATGCAGGATGATGCAGGATGAGTAGGGAGCCATGCTCACCTGGTTAATGATCGCCACGCGAAGTGCGCGCTGGCGGGAAGAGTCTCACGCCTGTGAAGGAGGAGGAGGAGTAATCAGAGCCCGTGAGTAAAAGAGCCTTGAGAAAGACAGAAAGAATGAGTCTCCCGCGTGTTTAATGAATTAACCTCACTCGCTGGAGGAGTCTCACGGACTGGGAGGAGTCTCGCGAGCTGGGAGGAGTCTCACGGACTGGGAGGAGTCTCGCGGACTAGGAGGAGTCTCACGGACTGGAGGAGTCTCACGGGCTGGGGGAAGAGTCTCACGGGCTGGGAGGAGTCTCACGGGCTGGGAGGAGTCTCACGGGCTGGGAGGAGTCTCACGGGCTGGGGGAAGAGTCTCACGGGCTGGGAGGAGTCTCACGGGCTGGGAGGAGTCTCACGGGCTGGGAGGAGTCTCACGGACTGGGAGGAGTCTCACGAACTGGGAGGAGTCTCACGGACTGGGAGGAGTCTCACGAACTGAGAGGAGTCTCACGGACTAGGAGGAGTCTCACGGGCTGGAGGAGGAGTCTCACGGGCTGGGAGGAGTCTCACGGGCTGGGAGGATTCGCACGGACTGGGAGGAGTCTCACGGGCTGGAGGAGGAGTCTCACGGGCTGGGAGGAGTCTCACGGGCTGGGAGGAGTCTCACGGACTGGGAGGAGTCTCGCGGACTAGGAGGAGTCTCACGGACTGGAGGAGTCTCACGGGCTGGGGGAAGAGTCTCACGGGCTGGGAGGAGTCTCACGGGCTGGGAGGAGTCTCACGGGCTGGGGGAAGAGTCTCACGGGCTGGGAGGAGTCTCACGGGCTGGGAGGAGTCTCACGGGCTGGGAGGAGTCTCACGGACTGGGAGGAGTCTCACGAACTGGGAGGAGTCTCACGGACTGGGAGGAGTCTCACGAACTGAGAGGAGTCTCACGGACTAGGAGGAGTCTCACGGGCTGGAGGAGGAGTCTCACGGGCTGGGAGGAGTCTCACGGGCTGGGAGGATTCGCACGGACTGGGAGGAGTCTCACGGGCTGGAGGAGGAGTCTCACGGGCTGGGAGGAGTCTCACGGGCTGGGAGGAGTCTCACGGGCTAGGAGGAGTCTCACGGGCTGGAGGAGTCTCACGGACTAGGAGGAGTCTCACGGACTGGAGGAGGAGTCTCACGGGCTGGGAGGAGTCTCACGGACTAGGAGGAGTCTCACGGACTGGAGGAGGAGTCTCACGGGCTGGGAGGAGTCTCACGGACTAGGAGGAGTCTCACGGACTGGAGGAGGAGTCTCACGGGCTGGGAGGAGTCGCACGGGCTGGGAGGAGTCGCACGGACTGGGAGGAGTCTCACGGGCTGGGAGGAGTCTCACGGACTGGAGGAAGAGTCTCATGGCCTGAGAGGAGGAGTCTCACGGACTGGGAGGAGTCTCACGAACTGGAGGAGTCTCACGGGCTGGAGGAGTCTCACGGACTGGAGGAGTCTCACGGACTAGGAGGAGTCTCACGGGCTGGAGGAGTCTCACGGACTAGGAGGAGTCTCACGGACTAGGAGGAGTCTCATGGCCTGAGAGGAGGAGTCTCATGGGCTGGAGGAAGAGTCTCATGCATGGGAGGAGTCTCACGGGCTGGGAGGAGTCTCACGGGCTGGGAGGAGTCTCACGAGCTGGGAGGAGTCTCACGGGCTGGGAGGAGTCTCACGAACTGGAGGAGTCTCACGGGCTGGAGGAAGAGTCTCACGGGCTGGGAGGAAGAGTCTCATGCATGGGAGGAGTCTCACGGGCTGGAGGAGTCTCACGGGCTGGAGGAGTCTCACGGACTGGGAGGAGTCTCACGGGCTGGGAGGAGTCTCACGGGAAGAGCGGGAAGCACGCGTGCAGTGCGTGTGGCGTTAATCCCGCAGATGCACGAACAACAAGACCTCCACACATTCGTCAATAACACTTCCTTGAAAATTAATACATGTAGTATTGTATATAATAGGCGACGTTTCGGGCAATGGCCCTTCTACATAGCACATAAGAAGCTGTCCATAAATGACGTCACGCACCTGGGGGGGGGGGGGGGGGGGTCAGACATTTGTGACGATGTGTGACGATGGGGGGGTGGGGGTGGTGAGAAATTTGACTTCACATCAAAATGCGCAACTTTAAATAAATAAATATAGTGAGAATTGTATTGTCTTATTTTGTTTTATTCTCATTCTACGTGACTTTACCGAAAGAACCGAGAAAATATAGACAACACGTTCTACTTAATTAAATATACTTTTAATAAATGTTTTCTCCTACAACATCAGAGTGCAGCGCCACATTAAATACGCACTACAACGACAATAGTTTAAAGCGATTTGAAGCATGTTTTATTTTGGGGGCGGGGGGGGGGGAGCAGAGCTTTGTGACGTCATATTTGAGGGGGGGGTCTGACTTTTTGTGACGCCGTGTGACGAAGGGGGGGGGGGGGCAAAAATCGCGTGACGTCATTTATGTACGGCCCCTAAGCCAGAGAGATAGAGTGGGTAAGAGTTAAGGACTACGTGGAATTCATCGACACATTTCGCAGATGCATTTCGTTCATCCTCGGCATCACCCCAGACAAAAAGGATTTTCACTTTATTTTTAAGTTTTACGTGACTGGAATGGTATTAATATCTGTGGCATGAAATAGGTACGAAAGACTGATAATATAATCGTCCCAGCAATAATGTAGACATTACTTTTATGGGTACTGAGATTTACATTTTGGGGAGACCTTCATCCAGCGGTGGATTGATCATGGCTGATTTTTTGTGCTCCACAAATTATCTCGGTAGAGGTAGATGGGGTTTTGTTATATTTTATTCAATAATTACCCAACAATCACCTAGGACCTCGAGTGAGGCCTTCACACAAGTAGCTGGTCTGCGCTGAATATATACAGCATATATGTACAATATTTAAAAAAAAAACTCAACGTGCTGGTGATATTTTTAAAATACTCTTTAATTTGTACTAAAAGCACGAACATGTTTATAAATTACATTATATCTCACTTATGGTTGTTAAAAATTATCATTCCTGGCAATAACATTGGAGTGCTGCGGGCAGACCCAGACGGGAGATTGCGAGTCTGTTCACGGTCAACTTTTGGATCATCCGTCGGCAGATGGTTTGCAGGGATGGAACTGGATCCACACAGACAAAGACAGAGACACACACCAAAGCCAGTCATGCGACAGTACACGTGCAATCATCATGCTCTTAAACTTTTACAGACTACAGATTATTAAGTGCAAATATAAGTCCTTTATTTACTAAACATGAAGGGATTCTCAAAGAAGTATACATAATATTTGGAATATTGCTGCAAATATAAGAATACACTCTGTTTAACTGTGCCACTGTGTGTTTAACAGCTGAATGTTTATTACGTGATTTTATACCCAGCTGCTTGACTCTGTGGTCGGGACGGTTGACTCATAAACCACAGGGTTAAGGGTTCACATCCTGATCTGGAATCCACTTGCCCCACAATCCCACAATGGAATAGTTTTATACTGCCCATGAGATAAATCTGCAGCCCTGAAATTGGTTGTTCACGCCACTACTGACAGATGGGCCTCCGCTATTTTAAGCCTAATTATCTACGCTGGCCAAATGTCTTGCGAATGGTGGGAGTATCCACACTTTGTACCCATTTATACTGCTGGGTGGACAGAAGCAGAGGGATTTAAAAAAAGAATTGCCTCTTGCTTCAACCACCTTGCTCTTTGTCAATCCACTGTTGAATGAAGGCCTTCCCACACCTCATCAGTCATGGGAGTTAACTGACCACACTTCACCACGGTGGTCAGTGCATGTTTATGAAGACTGAGGGAACGAGGGGGAAACACAAAACCAGTTCAAATATCACTCGCTACCGACATTGGATACGGTGGTACAACCCAAAAAGAAAATGGGAGAATAATAAATTCATATTACTTGAGTTTTTTTTTCATGCGGTTGAGTGGAGGCGCAGTGTTTAGCACGCTTCTCTATGGACCCGTCGACTTGAGTTCGAATCCTGGCCATGGATAACACCAACGGCGAGTGATCTGAACCATTCCTGGGAGCTGTACAGCACACATGTAAAAACCTCCACAGTAGCATGAATTAATGTTGGTAGGGAGCACACACCGGCGTACTCCACGTGCAGGACTGTGACGGCGCGGGTGCATCCGAACACGTCCACCACCGCGAAGATGGGGGTGTGTGTGGGGATCCCTCGCGCAAAGACGCCGAGATCCCGGCCATTCACGAGCAGGTGCATGACGCCTTCCTCTAATGACAAGCACACACAGAGAGAGAGAGAGAGAGCCCAGTGGAAAATACACGTGCAGTAGAAGGTCACGTATCCAACCGTCAAATATCCGCTCTGGCCAATCAACCACCGGCAGCCAGTGCAGAGTTTGTGCACGGTGCAACTGTAATATTCTACAGATGTTCACAAATCTGACCCTTTTAACATTTTAACCTCATGGCAGTACCCCGGGGTACCATAGTACCCCGGCTCTCGCATAATGTCCGTGATGCAGTCATGTTTAGTCTGTGTTGATGGTCGGCGATGCGGCAATCGACTCATCTCGACGAGCTGTACTCACGATGCACCACCACGGTGCGTGCGAGCGTTCAGGGTTTCAGCACAATCGTCCTCACTGTGTTTCGACATCGCGGAGTAGCACTGATTTCGGATTGATTGGTCACCCCAGTCGCGGAGTGAAGTAACACCCCTGGAAAAAATAGTGTCCCAGAAATAAAATATTTAATTGCCTCGGCCCATTTTGTATTATTTGGTACCCTGGGGTACCGCCATGAGGATAATTTATCCCTCTATACGGTACCTCAGCACCCAGTGAATGAGATATGCGACTCTGGACTTTAACCTCTGTCCAAGTCAATTAAATAAGGATGTGTGTGAAATTTCCAATTGTTCGTAGCACTCTGATAATGTGTGCATATATAGGTATTTTGTCGATTCATGGACAGCATAGAGTAAACAACGTCGCAGTTCGTGATAGGTGGCAAGAATTGTAGATATAAACGTAAAAAAACATCAAGTTGTGATGGGTGGGATGTGTGCAGGATGGAGGAGAGCAACTTCTCAAGACGAGGCATTGGAGTGCTACCCAGGGGTTGACAACCACGGGAAAAGCTAAAGCCGGATGGTGGGGGTTATTGTAAGAGCAGACTTTTAAGGGCAGGTGTCGACTTTACGAGCACATCATCTAGCAGAAGGAAACGATGTTGGAGTATGGTGGCATCAACGGAATTTTGCTACAATGGCCTCTTGACACACAATAGATAAGTATATAGCTTGGGCATTGCTCGTGCACGTATGTCAATTGTATTCGTGACAATTGTCACACATGGCATCTTACACTTCGTAGTGTTGACACGTGATTTGTGTAGACTTCGTGTCCATGGTAGACTTATGCATGGGGATTGACTGTCAAATGCCACATCCTGCTGCCCACAGAATAATTAGAACAGCAACAGTGTTTTGGAAAGGAGTTTTTATTGAGATATGTTCAGGTAACCTTACCCCAAGTTTTGTCTTACTTGAGTCCAGCTTTATAAGGTGGACATTTATTGATAGTCATGATTAAGGTGCCATGCGTACACTTGTGTTTGGTGTGTGTGGGTGCACAAAACTTATGTGTGCATCAATAAGAAATGTCCCTTACGCTCTGTGTCACCGTATTTTCCTTCCAATATTCGCCAGATCACGCCAATACGAGTCCCACGTGCTGTCGTTGACAAGATGTGAGTCTTCGTGACAGCAACAGTGGTGGAGAAGCGAAAGCGGAATGAGAGAAACAGGAAGGGAAATTACTTTTTTATATAAAATATACAATATACAGAAACATGACAGTAAAATACCTTAAGTTCGTCATTTTTTTTAAACATCACACGTAACACCGGCCACCCCCTGCCAATAGTCTGACATTTAATTCCGGAAATGCTCATTCATGCTTTCATTCATTTATTTGCTTGGATCAGGGCCACGCAACTGTCTGCTACAATGGTAGTTGTTATCAGATAATTACAGTCCACCTCGTGTTTCAATGCCATTGCAAATGCACTGCATTTACTAACTGACCCTGGACTTGGCATCCCCAAAATTTACTCGGCCTAGAAAAACAGCCTTGTGTGTTGAGGTCATGTATATCAGTACTGGGGAGACAGAGAAGGCTGGGTATGGTGCTGCCCACAATCACCCCTTAGTCTGGCCTTAATCATTCTACAACTGTGACTCATCACTGGTGATGCATACCACAACAGTTGCACGGTTAAACAAAGTATCCTTGTCTGTGCGTGTCATTCTCTTCCACATGTTTGTCGATGCATTAATAATGCCACGCTTGTGTCCCCGTAACCGGTCTGGTTTGCCAAAGCATATTTGTGCCATGACATCATGATGCAAAGCTGAAAGCCAACATGGTGTGCTCAGCCCGCTAATCGTGTCCAAGTGCAAAACGCTCAGTGACCACTTAAAAGTTTGCACGAAAACAAATAAGAATGAAGCAGAAAGGACAAGCTGCCAGTTTTCCCTTTGGAACTGCCCAGTTCCAGCAGGTACAAGTTTCGCTAGGCATGGAATGTACAAAATGCCCAATGATCATGGTAAAGAAGCACCTAAAAAGAAGACGATCCTGGGCATTCACGAACAGGTGCATGACGCCTTCCTCTAAAGGCAGGCAGAGAGAGAGCCCAGCGAAAAATTGCACGTGCAGAAGAACGTCACGTAACCATAATGTTATACATATTTGTTTTCACTTCGCTTGTGCAGCAGAACGTGTTGGTGTCGTGTAAGCACACTCCTACACTGGCCTTGTTGCACATCGGTAATTGAACAGCTACCCTGTTGCTGGTGTAGAAAGTATAATTAAAATATTTGGTGTCAGCAATTGTGCTGTAGCAATCACCTTATTGTGTATGCACTACTGTAAGCCACCAAATGTTGGTTTTGCATGAAGATGCAATTGTGTGCAGTAGTTAAAAAAATGCTCTGTTTAGTTTTAAAACAATGTCACAGCCGGAGTGTAATTTAGGAACATTCGAGTTTGTTAAATGTTTTTATTAGCACTATTTTGAACCTATATACGCAGACCTATCACACAGACATATCCAGTATCGCACATATGACTCGAAGCCTACGCATTTGGCACGATATATATTTGTCGTGCGTGCCACGTTGTCCACTGGCAACAGCCATCATCACACATTTCACAAGTGTGAGAATCACTGCTTTTTAGCACTGATACATTACTATAGATGTGATAGCATGTTATTCGATTTTCAGGTTTTGGATTACTTCATCGGATTGTGGATTAATCCGTAATATCTGAAAACATTATTTTAGATTATCTGAAAAAAATGTTCTTTGAGTTGATTAAAAATATTACTTCGCTTCCACGATGCTGTGTTTGCATATTTTCCCAGCAAAACTAGTGTCATATGGCATCGGGTAACATCAATTTGTTACCAGTAAGGGCAATGTCTGTTAACATACTGCAAATATGTATCATTTAAGTCAATCACACCACATCTTTTTTTAAGTGTCAGAGCTGGAATAGGCCAAATTAAGTGACGTTATCACGATGGGGTTTGTGCAGTCATTGGTGACCACACTGAGACTATCAACTTGCTGCACATGAGAATCCATTTTAATCACAGATGGTTGCTTGGATTCCAGCTCAGAATCTTAGCAGTGCAGCTTATGGCTCTTGACCCCTAAGCCACCCACTCACCTCCCGATGCTGTACTCTAAGCATTACGTGCTCTGTGTATAGTCGTGTTGAATACAATATTGAATGTGTTATGTGTCTAAACACAGACCTATGTGCCTACATTCGAGAACACAGTTTAATCACCAGTGGCTGCCTGTATCTGAGCTCAGGGATCTCAGTGGCCACATCCCAACATAGTTTACTCCGCAGCATCACTCTGTACGTAGGAGTAGTGTGGAATAATTGAACGAGTGGTGTGTTTAAAAATAGACTCGCGCTCTTGTGTAAAACGTCACCTTGAAAAGTGGATCCAATAAGTGGCTGTAGCGGCCCACTCTGCTCCGACCAACCAAGGAGTCCCTTACGATCACATGATTGCCAACCTTCACAATGTCTCCTCCTTCTCCGTCACTCTCGCTGAAATTACGCACAGCTTTATAAATAAACACTCCGTTAACTCAGCACTAGTGCAGTCGTGTTGCCAAGCCACTGCTAGTTGAAAGCGGGTTGGTGAAGCTGAGGAACTTGCTCTGAGTTCCATGCCTCTGACCAGACATCAACAGTAAATGTTGTCACGTGCGCACCACGCAAGGCATGACCACAACATGGCATGGAGCATGCCGTGCCAATGGCCTGAAAAAAGAGTACAATTTTACATGGAAGAACATACTTTTGTCAGATGATTTTTTAATTCATATTTTACCCATGATTTTCCAAAATGACAAAATGTCATATAAAGCTATGACAGTGCTGCACATAAACTATCTCATACAGTAATGCAGAACTGCAAACTCACGTTGGTGGCGAAATATTCTAAGTAAGGTTCTGAGTAACTGTGCAGACTTCCTAAGCCTGCTGTACGGTAATGAACGTGCAACATTCTTTCTTAATGTAGTAAACTATTAATACAACGTCATGTGCGTGTGTGTCTTGCCAGGCAAGCTGCAGAGAAGCTCATGGAAACTCCAATGTGGGTTCGGGCATCGGTGGCCCTGTGTGGACGCCGCATTTTTCTGTCTGCTACAGCAAAGGTGTCTATGGAGTTTTTTTTTTACAGGAAATAAACTTCTGCTTTGTAAACCTGCTCAAGAGACACAACACGATCAAAGGGGTCAGTCAGGGCTTTGGGCCACTGCATCTATTCACCCATTAAAATCCATTCTTGCGCTCACAATCGATGCATGAGCATCAATGAACATTAAATTCGTGTGCATTACTCACGACCCGCACAGCGTGGGGAGGCATTCATCCAGCAGTGGATATAGAAAAGGGGCTGTACATGATGTAACATATATGTCACCCCCCCCCACAGCCACTAGAGACACGAATGCAAGTGCTCTCCAGTCAGTGCTTACAAAGAAAAACAGTTGTTGAATGGAATCAAAAACAATCGGTCACAAGGGGGCGATTCGTTACAGGTGGATGAGGGTTACCACCTCCGAGGCACACAAAAAATATGAGGTCATATGGGAACAAAAATACCGTATCTCACAACAGTTCTAAGTGTATCTTACAAGTGGGAAGAACTACATCCAAATGCATTGTCTTGACCAGTGCATGATTATGCATGCGACTAACAAAAAGCAGAACATCCCAAGCACACTTACAAATCACACCAGGACAGCTACCACGTCATTCGGACGTCCTGGCAAAAAAAAAACACGATAGGTGGCAATGCCAGGGTGGATGATGTTGCTGTGCACGAGTTGGTTACCCCAGCAGTGCGTCTGCCTCTCTCTGCGCTCCCAGCCCCGTGCTGATGGGCACCACCCACGTGCCCCCCAGGGCCTCCATCTCGGGAGAGGCGTGCGGGGGGACGGGGATCGGCAGTGCGGGGCCGTGCATGCCGTGCCTGCTGTGGGTGCACTGCCGGGTGCCACTCTGCTCTGCTGAGCCGAAAGGGAGACACACACACGGAGAGAGTAGTCACTGTGGTGGAGGGAGACGCTGCTAAACGAGCATTAAAATATGATTAACGAATGTAACGTTCATTCATGATCGGTTTCTTTTGGGTTGGATCGTGTATGAGGTCAATTTAAGCTGTAACCTCCCACCACCCGACAGGGCCAAACAAATCAAGTTGCCACGTGAACAAATGTACCAATTGATTTTGTTTTTCAAACAAACTGGTACGTTGAAACGCAAGTAAGATTTTGACAAAAGCATACATTTCACGGGAGATTACACCCAGATTCGTAAGGCGTTAACAAGAGCTCAGATTTCACGTGGTCTTGCTGTAATATTAAATATCACGTTGACATAATGAAGTTGATGGTGCAACTTATCCCATACTGCACCATGAATGCGGTGATCTATGTTACATTTCTGGCCACGGTTAACATGAGTGGCAAGTCGGGTCGCCACCTATCCTGAATTCCCCAGAATCACCCTCTTTTCGACGTAGTACCTCACACCAACATTTCATCACCAAGAGTGGCCTTCATGCTTCACTGCGTTAGTCGACGAAGGCTAAGAGAACGACGCCAAGACCAAGTGACTTTCCTAATATTTCAGGTTGTCGTTGACGAGACTGAAACCCAAACATTCCCCAGGAAATGAACGCTGCTCACCTGTACCCACAGGGCATCCCAGGCCATCGCTTCCTCCGGGACAAAGGCGCGTGAGTCCTACGCGGAGGTGTCCACACCACCCCGTCTCCTTCTGAGACAACTCCACGAGGAACACCCGGCCTGCGTTACGGCACACGGCGAACACACAGAAGACGCCAACACACACACACACACAACGTCCCACAGTCCCACATACACCACGCGTCAACAGCAGCACGCAACATGGGGGTTCGTCCATAAATGACGTCACGCGATTTTGGACCGATCGTCACACGGCGTCACAAAAAGTCAGACCCCCCCTCCCCCTCAAATATGACGTCACAAAGCTCTGCCCTCCCCCCCCTCCCCCAAAAGAATATAAAACATGCTTCAAATCGCTTTAAACTATTGTCATTGTAGCGCGCATTTAATGTGGCGCTGCACTCTGATGTTGTAGGAGAAAACATTTATTTAAAAGTGTATTTAATTAAGTATAACGTGTTGTCTATATTTATTTAAAGTTGCCAATTTTGATGTGACGTCACATTTCTCAAACCTCCCGCCCTCCGCCTCCTCGTCACACATCGTCACAAATGTCTGTCCCCCCAGGTGCGTGACATCATTTATGGACGGCCCCATGCACACAATGGGACATTCCGTCAACAAGGAATAAAAACTATGCATGGATTCTGTAATGCGTGGATCTCATCATTCACCCCTCCCCACCACACGCGTTTGTCCTCGTAGAATCATGGCAGAAAGGCACGCAGGAAGCCGAAATGTCCATGTGTCACGATGACACCGCGTGGATCACTGCTCGCAAGGGATCTCCGCTAGAGGGAGCTCTAGAAATAGGTGCACGGACTGTGCTTGAGCCGACTCTTTCACGCTGAGGGGTTCTGTTGACGTTCGGAAAATATAAAATACAGTACTAGCTTCACGACACAGCTTCGCCCGGGACTTGGATTCACCACGCCCGGCCGCCTTTGTCTCCCCAGTGGCGATGTTCACACACCACAACAGTTACTCGTTTGAGGCTGAGTCGACCTAGGGTAGGCAGGCCCAGGACCGGTAAAAATTATCGTCAACGGTGGTGGCCGTGAGCGGGAATCGAACTCCACACACACACAGATAGCGCGCTAACCACTACACTACAATGCGTTACACTTCCACACACAAACACATACACAGCGCGCTAACCACTACACTACAATGCGTTACGCTTCCACGTGCGCGGGTCACGTGACAGATTTGACGTCACAGCTCACTTGCCGTGCAAAAAATAAATGCATTATTGAGCTGCCCCCCCCCCCCCCCCCCCATACAAAATTGTAGACACTCATATTCACAACTTTGCCTTTTATGTATATGAAGATTATTAAGTGCATCACCGTGGATAACAGGAGTTCCACTGGAATACATCTGTAAACTGAAACAATAATATTACACTTCAACAATAATAATAATAATCATTTACAGCTCTTGAATGCAACCCTCTCCATGACCCTCCCCCCCCCCTTCCGACACTGTCAAGGAAAACTCGAGGGGTAATGGGGGACGGCAAGGTTCATGAGTTTGTGGGGGCTGGAAAATATCCCGTGCCAAATGAAGCCCTGGTGATAACACTGTGTAACAAAAAAATAATTGTTGCTGGGTAGTGTTATTTCCTAATTGCGTATGCCTCAAAAGTACAGAAAATGGCTATTGTTCCCCACAAACTTTGCTTTTGTGACCAGGACAGTGATATTTTTTATCGTGATTTGATCTTGATTTTAAGCTTCCATCCGTTCTTTCGGTAAAGTCACGTAGGTATAAAATAAAATAAATCACGGCGTTTCGGGCGCAACACAAGCGTCCGTCATCAGGTGGGAAAGCTTGATCTGCTGCTGAGGCAGACTGTTTTAAAAGGTTTGAAATGGGTGTAGCCCAAGGGTCATAAAGAAGTGGCCGGGGCTAGTGATGTTAATGTGAGAAATTATCATGTAACTGTAAGATAGGAGAGCGGCCTCCACGATGAGGGCACAGAAGTGGCTATGTTCATGTGAGAGATTAGCATACATCTCTTCTATCTTACAATTTAATGCTAATTTCTCACATTAACATCACTAGCCCCGGCCACTTCTTTATGACCCTTAGCCTACACTCATTTAAAACCTTTTAAAGCGGCCTGCCTCAGCAGCAGACAAAGCTTTCCCACCTGTGGCGGACGCTTGCTGTTGCGCCCGAAACGTCGTGATTTACTTTATTTTATACCCACGTGACTTTCCCGAAAGAACCAAAGAGTATGATATTTTAAAATGTACCTATCTTCAATGAGAAAACGCGGTGTGCATTCGTGTATTTCGTTCACATAAAGTCCTGGTCACAAAAGCAAAGTTTGTGGGGAACAATAGCCATTATCAATACTTTTTTAGGCATGAGCAATTAAAAAAAAACACACAACATTTAGTACCCAGTAATAAAAATTGTGTCACGTGGTAAAATCATACTGGACGTCTGTGAGAAACTCCTGGAACGTCTGCGGAAGAAAAAAAAAGTGCTCATAGGATTCCTCCAGTATAGACATTCAGATCCTGCTAGAAACTCTGTGGACTGCCCCTGCTCCACTCATCGACGCACCTGGGGGAAGGGGCTGAGCGCTCATGCAAACCGCGTCCCCGAAGCTGCGGACGCGTGTCGCGTGCGTCCGCGTTGAATCCATGTGCATATTCCCTCCGTGCACCACGTGGAACTTCTCATAGGCAAAGTCTTCGCAGTCGTCTTCGTCGTCAACATCGCTGCTGCTGCCGCTGCAGCTGACGCCAGTGATAGCACTGGTTGCCATTCAAAGTTGACTCGGGCTTTCGATAAATACACACTCCCTTTGCTTTGGCAGCTCGATGTGTGTGTGTGTACATATATATGTCAAGTATCTATAAAACACTACATTCGTAAATGAACAACCAATACAGTGGTGGTAAGAGATTATCGTGTGTGCGTTGTCACTGCAAATAACGTGCGAAAATCGTGATGTATATATCTGTGCCACGCACACGCATCTACTACTACTACTATCGCCCTGTGTAGTGCAGCGTAATGCTGTCCCGTCCAGTTGTGTGTATATATATAGCAAGCACACAACTTGCATGTGCCCTCTTTTGGAAGGCTCGGGATTGGCGGTAGCAGCTGTTATCTCGTGTGCGTGAGAGTATTTATGGAACACTTTACACGCATCACACACACACACCATTTCGATACCTGTTTTTTTTGTATTGTGTCGAAGATGAAAACACGTGTTTTGTCTCGTGTTGTAAGTGTAATCTTTAAATCGTGTTTTGTTGTAAAACAATTGTAGATATACTGCATTTCAAGGGTGCAACGTACTACTTTGTTAAATACGTATGCAGTAAGAATAGCTTAATGCCAGAGTGCTGTACTTAGGACGTTGTAATAACATTATTTTGTTCATACATACTTTTTCAACTGCATCAGTGCGTTCAGGTTCGTTGTTGCGATTCATAATGGTTCATTTGAATTCTAACACAAGCCTGCATCTTCTGCTATTAGTTGCTTTTCATTGTAGTCTTCCGAATGAAAGGTATCTCTACTACTTATCGCTCTATTCTCCCACAACCATGACCAAAATTCAGGCCAGTGTAGAGGCTACCTCCCACACTATCTCAAGATCACAATGTTACAAAGGTCTCAAGATCACCAATGATTTGCAGAAAGCTACAAAGCTGGCTGTTGAAGATATAAATCAAACGATTATGATACGTAATAAAAACTCAACACGTCCGACAATAAATGGCCTTGGGCAGGACAAGTCACTACAGGTGATGATGGTCGATGGAGTGACAGAAAAATTAATTACAATGTGAATAGAGAGAGGCCCTCCATCGGCGAGACGGAGCGATGAACTTTCCTCGTGTGCAGATGCACCTCAGAACCGTGAGAGATGGAGACAACTTGGAAAGGCCTTCATCCAGCAGTAGATTGATCATGACTGATGATGATGATAATGGATGCATGCATCCATCGAGTGTGCATCCATCATCAATCCTGCGGGCTTTTAGCGCTCCAAAATTTCAAGACCGAGACTTAACTTTAAGATGCCCATCCATGCCTGAGTGCCGTGGATTGCGCGCATAAGGAACCTCATACCACTTTCGCACGATTATTTAAAAGTGAGCCGGTCTGGTGTACGAACCGGTTAAGTTGGGTCAGCCCGGAATCTCACAACAGCTTTACTCAAACAAGCCAGCACCAACAGGGTTGTTTCACCGGTTATGCTGGGCCACGTACCCGGGCCACCCTCAGAACCTGATGCTGGTATAGATTCAACACGGAAGGAAAAAAGGTGTGCTCATTCATTCCAGTTACAAAAGTAATAGTATATTATTTTTTCGAATAGCATAACGTCATTTCAAGCATACGTGTACTGTAAATCTTGTTTTAAATTACCACGAATGCTTCCCGGTAGCTGTGGAAGCAAGGCAGGGATGGTGTGGAAAAGGGTGAAAGGAGGCTGAAGTGACAGAGCCACGTGGTGGATCTTTAAAGCATTATTGTGGCAATACTGGGCTGTTGCAAGGATGGACCAGCATGGCTTGTTCGTCTGATTCATAGCCGTGGAAAGGCATCATCAGTGTATATTTAGTTACGTATGCAAGATCAGCAAATTACCAACAGGAAATAACCAAAACTCACGTCTCGTTCTTGGTGGGCAAAATGAGCGGGCAGTAATTCTTAAATATAAACAACTGTTGGCAACATCACCCGTTCTTAATTGCCTAAAACTTCATGCGAATATCTCAGACATGGACCCTTACATCCATGCAGTTAAGACGTAGATCACTGGATTTCTCGTACGTGTGGAAATGTTAACTCGGCTTATTCGAATCAAAATGTAGTTGAGTAACTTACCGTTATTTACAACAACAACAACAAAAACTGTTTGTTTTGTAATATCCAACGGTCAGCACTCGCGCCGTTAGTCGTGAGTATTACGTGGCCAATACAAATGAAGACGTTGGAACGTCTGTCACCGTTGCAGGTAGTTGCTGTTTTAATGTGCACCATGCATCCACTCGAGTTGCCACATTCACCACATATCCACAATGGCAACACGCAGCTCATAGTCTGTTGTTGCTCACAATGACATCGCGACCCCGAATCGTGGTCGTCGAATTGCCGTGGTGTGGTGGAGTCATCCGCGGAACGAGCGTGGGGCAGGCAGGCAGGCAAGGTGCCTTTGGCCCCACCTGGTGGCCAAAGCTACGAGTTGGGGCCCTCTTGACAACCACCGAGAGATAAGTTTTCAACAACAGTGGTAAAAGATTGTGAGTTTTGTGGATTTGCTCTCCAACGCAACTTGTGTGCTGTACTAGTAACGAATTGGCACGTTCTGTTTACGTGACAAACCTTACTAATTGGCTGTGCAGGGTGGTGGCGGGTTTAACGACACATTTATATATTTACGCGATCTAACCCAAAACAAACATGTATTATGGATGATATCGGTCGCGAAAGCCTACGTGTTAAACAGTGTAACAGAACACAAACTTATTTAAAACGCGGTTTACATTTATTTCTATAGTCCTGGTGCTACCGTGCGAGACAAATCAAATATTTGGGCCACCACCTGACCGATTGTCGCACCACCTGAGCTGAATAATGCAGTCACGACGCCACTTGGTGGAGTGAAAACTAACCATGAAAAATATACTTCACGGGGTGTATAGATATCCTCCAAAATAATGAGAGAAGCTTTAATGATAAACTAATAATTGATACAGTAATTATAATCTACCAGAAATGCAGTGCCGTACAGTATAATGAATTCATAGCCTCTACATGTGTTCCACCAATCTCAGATGCATTTAATTAGATTTAAACACTCCTGATACACTGAGCATCTAGAGTTCAAGTGGAGGAGGACACGTGCGGATTCTTGAATGTTGCGCGCGTAGGTTAACGACATCATTCAAACACAAGGATTGTAAAGTATGGCTTGGTTAGGAGTACGTCGTGGCTACATTAAGGGATGGATGATGGTGAATAATAATAATAATGGAGTGGCAGCCAAAGGAATGGAACGCGTCTGGTGGAGCGATGGAGTAACTGACATTGAATCAGTTCAGGTGCTAGGTGGTGATCGTGAGAGGTGGCCCTTGCTTGGGAAGCCATTCAGTCAGCAGTGGATTAACCATGGCCGATGATAACGATGAGATTTTGGGCACCACGGTGGCTAGGAGATGTTGAACTACCTCGCCTGGTATACAACAGTACATGGGTTCGATCCCGACTTTTACGCCTGCTGTATATTTGGTGGCGTCGATTTGTCTCCAGATCCTCCGGTTTTCCCCTCTACATTTAGAATCAACATCACGCGTTTAGAGTAGTTAGCTGCTATATATTTTCACATGATGATGATAAGCCACTTCGTTAAGCTATCATTTGTGGCCAGGCCGCTTCTGAACAAGAGCTATATAACTCAGTGGGCCTTACCTGATAAAATAAAAGGGTTTCAATGATGGCTGGATGATGATGGACGATAATGATGGATGATGATGATGATGATGATGGAAGATGATGAATGATGACGATGGATGATGATCAATGATGATCAATGATTATGGAAGATGATGATCAATGATGATGATGGAAGATGATGATAATGGATGATGATGATGATGATAATGGATGATGATGGATGATGAATGAGTATGAATGATGATTAATTATTATGATGATGGAAGATGATGATCAATGATGATGATTGAAGATAATAATGATGATGATGGATGATGAATGATTATGAATGATGATGATTAATGATTATGATGATGGAAGATGATGATGATGAATGATGATCAATTATTATGATGATGGTCAATGATTATGATTATGGAAGATGATGATCAATGATTATGATGGAAGATAATAATGATGATGATGGATGATGAATGATTATGAATGATGATGATTAATGATTATGATGACGGAAGATGATGATCAATGATGATGATCAATGATGATCAATTATTATGATGATGATCAATGATTATGATTATGGAAGATGATGATCAATTATTATGATGATGATCAATTATTATGATGGTGGAAGATGATGATCAATGATGATGATGGATGATGATGAATGATGATCAATTATTATGATGATGGAAGATGATGATCAATGATCAATGATGATGGATGATGATCAATGATGATGGATGATGATCAATGATGATGGATGATGATCAATGATTATGGAAGTTAATGATCATGATGGAAGTTGATAACTCGAGTTATGGGCGGGGCGTCGCCCTTGCGTAGTGTGGCCCGATCATTGGCCGTGCGTTTCGCGGGAGTTTTGCGTTCGGAGAAACTTTGCAGGTAAAGTAATCTCGTCGTAAATGTATTTTTTTTGTCTTGTTTAAGGAGGTATTTTTATTTCGTGTTAAACCTGGAGCGGGGATATTAACGTGAATTGTGCCGTGGTGACCGCTTGCACCACCCATTAGCTCAGTAAACAATCCCTTGTCCGTGAGCTCTATGTGACTGTAACGATGTAGAACGTTTAATAACAACCTTGTATACGTAAAACGTGAGGTAAACTTTACGCAGCGCTGCTTATGCATGAGCATTGCCAACCAAATCGGTTGACGACGATCGTCAATTCTCGACTGCTGGATGAGGCCCAACTCCCCATGCAAGCCGTGCTCACGTTGCTTGCTCGTCGTGGGCCGCCCTCAGTTGACCATACTTCACCACTCCTGGCTCACTCGGTGCTTGTTTAGTGGAAGTAGCGGGGAGCAGTGGACGTGGGAGATCATAGAAGGTAGAGTACAACGGGAGTATTGGTTGCAGGCGTTTGGTGGCCGTGCCCACCCAAGAATTGGGGGTTGCAGGCCAAGCGCTTTTGAAACGATGCGACACTGCGGGTTGAAACTTTAAATTTACCGTAAAACAATTGAACGCATACCCCATATGTATGTTCTCGTACAAAAAATATATATATATAGGCGTTTGTAGCGTGGAGATCCGAGTTGTGTTTGCGCTGTTGTGACAAAGGTTCTTGGCCCCTGGAGACACGTATCTAGCTGTGGATAGAGCTCGCTGTGCCCTGTATCTTGTAGACCTAAGTGTCGTGGTACCTGTACACACCTAAAGTGTGTACAGGTCTATAGGCTCGGGTACAGTGGTACCTCGGAGATCGAACTTAATTCGTTCCAAAACCGTGTTCGATCATCGAATTGTCCGAGTTGTGGGGCGTTCGATCTCCGAGGTACCACTGTATATGTACACTTACCGCCTTAGTTTGGTGTGTGGGCACGCTTCGTTGTAGGGCCCACGATGTTGTTCATGGCCCATTTTGGGGGTTGGATGTGCCACCAGAAGTAACCTCGATTGAAAAGTGTGACGACTGGCTGTGAGGTTTGTGTAAGTTGGACGTGAGCTCAGTTTGGATGCTTGCGTTTTAAGCTCTTAACGTTGCTTGACAGATATATGAAGGAGTCACGTTGCTTATCTGGTGTGTCGTTTATGTCCACAGCGAATGATGGTACAAAGCGTTGTGCAGGATTAAGCTGCCTCTCATACGCTGCTCAACAATTGTACAATGATTCACATATAAAATGTCCTTGTTTGGGAAGTGCTATTGACGAATGTGTGGAATGTTTGTTACTTATGCACGCTGCCAATGCAATATCACCATTTTTTTTGCTTCATATTCACATTATATGTACTGTATTTGCCCCTAATATTCGTTCATCTGTGTGCCCATGGTAATGGTCCGTACAGGCAGTAACGCAAACACATAGCTAAACAACGCACCACTGGAAATGTTGCCACATGAATGGGCCCTTAAAAGGGGGACACACACCCTGATTGTGTATGGGTCTCCCATGAAAATGACTGGCAAACGTGTTTCGGGTCTTCCCAATAGTGGTGTGACATACTAATCAACTGACGTGGAAACAAATACATTCCTTTCTCTTGTTGACTTTAAAATAGAGTACTTTTTTAATTAACGATATTTAATTTTTGTGTGTATTCAAGTTTGCAGGAGCCATGGTGACTGGGTTGTGATTAATTGCGAATTTACCATTTGTGGAATGTATGTTATTCCAGGTGTCTAATGGACCCTTTATGAGCAGTTTCTAAATCGGCAAACATGTCTGGTTTGTCAAAAGAGAGTCAAATTGCCAAGAGACACAATCCAGTGGAGAGCATCCGCCGGAAGATTAACACCATCAACTTGCGAGAACATGGAAGCAACCCCATCACACACATCCCCAAGTACCAGTCTCGCAACTATGAATGCCAAGGAGGTATTTGTATTCACATATGCAGATGTCCTATGTGGTGTACATAAACAGCGTTTATCAAAACTAATAAAAATGTGCATTTTATTTTGGATTGGTCCATAGAGTTTTCTTGCCAGACAGGAATATTGTTCCCAGTTATTTTTGGCACTTAAATTGTCATTGTAAAGTTTCTTCTTTTAGAACCAAATTCGTGGCCAGCTCTCGGCCATAGTGTAAGATTGTATTTTGTGTTTAGTGCATTTATAACATCTACAACTGTAAGAAGCTCCATGGGTTTATTTTCATTCTAATTGTGGTCATGGTACTGCACTCTTTGTATTCCAGGCAGTGTACGGCGAAACCTGGAGTCTCTGCTGCGAATGCAGGGTACACCGGTCATCAATCCAAATTACACCCAACGCCATAATTACCAACATTATCAGTGGAATGATGAGTCACATCCAACAGGCGACCTCATAATCTTCTCCAGTCCAAATGTCCCGGTGGAGACAAATACCAGTTCCAGGCGATTTGATGGTACAATGCATGTCATGGACAGCAAAATGGTACAGCTACCAAAAAGACAAGGTTGCTCTACACCAGTGGTCGATGAAGAAGACAACGACACAGCAGGTGTTGACAGGCCCGCTGTGTGCCAGCGCTCGCAATCAGTAGAGTCGCCGACGGTGCGTGGTCTTTGTAAAGGAATTCTGAGGCCCGAGCCAGACCATCTGGAGGCCTGCAGCCCAGTTGCCAGCCTCGATGGTTCGTATTTTTCTCCTGAAAATCCTGCCAAATCAGGTCAGATTAACAGCCTGTTTTATGCAAGTCACATATCACAACTTGTGGATGTTTTTTTCGCAATTTAATGTTTGCTTGCCACTTAATTACAATAATTTGTTTAAGGCATTTTTTTATATTGTAGTTATAATGTACTGTATATGCAATGCTTATAACACTGGTCAGTCGCTTTAATGTGTTTAATACTGTATATATAGGGTTGCGTGCTGGTGTGTACCTATCATGAAACCTTTCCTCAGTGTTCAAACAAAGCATGTTCAAATGTTTCTGTGAAGCAAACTAAAAAAATCACTTGGTTATTTCAGAAAGGATTGTTTTCTCAATATATTATCACTGATCTGCAGCATGGGCTGCCTTGAGAGTTTACTGAACAGTGGATGTATTACTCCTGCTACCATTCAGTGGCTATTTGTGGCTTGACTTCCCATGATTCCATTATGTAGTCTTAAATTGATACATATTTACCTTCTTTACATTTTAAACAATAGTATATATTTGAAAAACTAGAGATTCGATACCTTCGTAATATGTGCTAATGGGAAACTGCTCACGTCAAGCGTATTAAATGTCCCAGTGGTTTCAAAGCATCACATAGAATTTTGTCCCCCATACATGTCAGCCAATATCCAATTTCTCTTTTAATTGAATGGATCGTTGTGCAACATTAGCCTGTCATATTTCCATAGTATAATACCTATTATAAAGTTAATTTTACACCATTGGAGCCTCCTTTGCCAGTAGCAAAATATGATAATTGTTTTTTTACCCTTTGTATCCGGCAACAAAACTGACACCTTTGCGCCTTTTGGCGTCATCTGGTCCAACACCATGTGAGACTAGGCTTCTAAGGAAAACTGTCTCGGGTGTGGACCAATCAATTTCAAGCACAGTGCATACATTATCAGAGTTATGGTTTTTTGTTTGCATTCCGACCTCAGGTATTGTGGTCAATGCAAACATGACTCCTTGTAAAAAAGGTGTCAGTTTTGTTGCCAGATAAAAGGGTAAAAAATCAATTATCATGGTGTTTTTTTTGTTTGTCTTTGCAGAGAGTTTGGATGGATCGTCTGAAGATAGTGTGGTCTCAAGTGAAATTGGCTTCATTTCGGAGGAGAATCTCTTGAATACCATCTTCAAGACTTGTGACACAGAGAGTACTGGTATGACGCAAGTGTAGTTCTGTTGGTAGATATTTAACAGTGTTATAGAATAATGTTGGATTGGTTGTGTCGGTCCTGTGGTGTTGGAGCTTGCACTGAAATCACAATGCAGAAATACTATGTTTCATTCTAAGGATGACTGAAATACTTTATCAGTGTTGTCTCAATCAGAAGGAGAATATGTATTTATACTGGAGGAATTCGAAGAGTTATAAAGCTCTTTTTCACAGATGTCCAGTCGGGGCAGGTAAGAACGTTACAACAAAAATTCTAGGGGTAGTAAGATAATACTGAAAGAGAACATTTAAGCCGAAGGGGAAAATGAATGTAAGAGTCCAGGAGAGAAATACTCTGAAGAATAGTGGAGACAACAGAAGGAGGGAATGCATATGAAGAATATGGATGGAATGTAGATTTAAGATAAGAAATGCGAGTCAGGCATTTCAGACAGACAAATGAAAGAATGTGAAGCTGCATACAAAACAAATAATACAACTTTGCTGGCTGTAGAATATTTTTTGAAAATAATTTTTCTAATTAAAGTTACTTGACTTGTGTGAATAAGTGAACATGCTATGCTTTGTTGCATGTGCTCTCTCGACGATTCCATGACAAATATAACTACCGTATTCTTTTCTCTGCAATGTTCCATTAGGTCATGTTGCAGTGGCAAAAATAATTGAGTTTGTGCAGCTCACAATAAGCTGTGGTTCAGAGGACAGTGGGCTGCAAGAGCTCCACACCATGCTTGACCCTGAGAGAAGAGACCTTTCCATTGACATGGACACCTATCAGGCCATAATGTGCGAGTGGATTGAACATCGTCGCACAAAGTACGATTTTTTTTTGTCTTAACACATGGAACAATGTAAAATGTTTTCACAATTGAAAAAAACCGTACTTTTATCAAATATAGGTGGTGAGGTTTTACTTGTCCAAACTCTTGAAGATGATACCCACAGTATTGCGTGGCAAAAGCTTGAGAGAAGAAATGCAGCCTTGCTTGGAAGGCAACACTTGAAGTTGTTTGCATATATAATAATTATGAATAATGAAAGCCATCAATAATATAAGAGTTAACAAGTATTGTTATTAATAGCTTTGTAAGAATGATGAAACAACAATATTTTTACATTGTGAGTGCACATATATGTGGAATTTGGAAGTTAATTTTGTCTTTAAAACATCTCTGTTACAGAGCGGACGATGTGGAGACACAGGATGAGCTGAAAGCTGTGGATGTCCCAGAATTTGTCTTGGCTGAGCCCAGTAAGTGAAGGTCCAGTCTTTGGAGTTATGATATCTATAATAACCATATTTTTTATATGCAGATTATAGAAAAATAAGTCTTCACATGATTCAAAGTGGCTTCCTGCTCAAAGTGCTGATGTTCATTGGCATCACTGAGCTACCAATGTAAATTCCACATTTCTGTGGTGGGGCCAGTATCTCTAAAGGATTATGCTATTGACTTCCTACACAGCGGTGCATAGTTTATCTACTCTGGAGGAATGATGGGCCAAGTCAACCCCTGACATGAGTACTTTGAGATTTTATGATATTTGAATCAAGCATTCTGCCCACATACCTCCCAGCTGGATGCAATACTATGTGTATATTTTTAAACACTGTAAATAGGTCTTAACAGCCATAGCTCTACTTTATTATCTCATGTTTGTGTATGTGTAATTCCATTTCGTGATCTTCAATACATGATTGTGAGAACAAAAAATGTTACGTATATTTTTTGAGAGGCACAAATATGACACGTTTTTCTTTACAGGCCAGAAAGCCAGCATGCTGAGTATAACGGTTGGAAGTCTAGAAGCTCTGGGTGGGGATATTTCCCGCATGGATTTGTAAGTGAGACTGCAGTGCTTGAGATTTAATGACAGGCAAAATATGATTTCATAAAAGCACACATGAATCTAATGGCTTAGAGGTCTAATGCACATGACAGAAGCTGTGCCAGTCCTGCTGATGTCCTTGATTTGAGCGCTGGGGTGGCCACCCATGCGGAGATATGTCCCAGCATGTTTAATTCTCACAAGCTAGTCATCAGCAACAGACCACAGTGATAATATATTGGGTTATACTCTGTCGTACAATTGCATAGTGCTAGTCGAAGTAAGTCAAACCTCCACACAGTATAACTCTGATTCTCTTTTTTTTACACAAAACATCTTGAGCTGCCCATGAGATTCAATTTGAATTGGGCCGCGTGCCGTTTTAATAGCAAGATTCAATCGTATGGTGTTCTCTGTTGATTATCAGCATCTTTATCTGCCATTTGTTTATAAACCACCGTTTGTGTGTATTATTACTCTTACCGAGTGAAATGTTATGCCCATTAGGAGTGCTATTTGTTTTGGGAGAAATGAAACTGTACAAACCCAGGCAGCTGGGATCAAGTCATTTAGTTTCAGGGATAGTTAAATCGTCAACTGGACTAAAAGACTGATTTTTGACAGTATACAAATTCAAAGAGTACAATCATAATTAACAGCTCTGATCCTACTTTAAGCCAGACCAGTGGAATATGGAGGAGGTGATGGTGGTGGTGGTAAACAAGACCTGCGGGCAAAGCAGTACAGTATGTAATTTCAAGTTGAAGTTGATGAAGCTCTGCGTTTTTTGTTCATGGGTGACAGAGAGACATCAGATCTGATCAGCTGCATAGCAGACCTTCAGCACACCCACATGCGGCTTTTGGAAGATAATATGAAGTTGAAGGGCTCGCGGGAAATGGCTGATGAACTCAATGCGAAGCTTGTTGAACAGATAGACACCCTCAGCATGCAGCTACGCAGGTGGGTGTTTTAAATACTTAAAAATAACCCACAGCAGCATTATTATGTGACCTTAGGTCTGTTGATGGTTCGTACATTTTTCAACGGCTTTGTGTAATTGTGTGCATATGTGCAATTATTTAATATGATAAAAAAAAGGCTGTGTCAGCCAGCATAAAAGGAGCCTGAAACTGATTTTTTTTCATCACAAGGCATTTATTGAATGTATTACAATTCAACCAAAATTTGGTTGAAAACTATTTATATCTATAACACCGTATGTAGGGATGTAAGTGTGTGCATGTATAAGAATGGAAAGTGGTGGCATTTTGGCTACTGCAATGCTAACAAAACTGCTGCAGTGATCCACGTTAGATAGTTGGTTGTGCGCACTACAAGAATATAAATTATTATTTGGACACAGTCTGGCCTGTAACCTTCCTTGGGTCAACTACTTAAACAGAATGCATGGTATGGTGTATCAGCATACGTATGCAACGGGAAGGCAATGGCGGCCAGACATGTAGTTGACCTCACCAGAATCGCCTTGGCAGTGGGGGTGTGCGCGGAAGGAGAGCAGGACTCTTACAGATGTCACTCGCCACTGATAGTCGCCATGGCCAGAAATCAAACTGGGGTAGCGACGTGCACCACCGCTTCTATATGTGGGTTTACATGGCTACTATGCTTCCAGTTCACAGGTGCTGTTGCAACGAGACGAGTCACTCAAAGATGAAATTGAGGAGCTAAAGCGTTCCTTGGCTAAGGTGGAGGAGGAACATGCCCATACCAATGTCCTGAACAAGCAACTTGTAAGCACAGGGCTTCACTCTCTCTTGTGCATTCTCACGATTTTTGTTGTCATACTGTTATCTCCTCAGGCCGTTACAATAAAATGTAAATGCATCTATTTTGGCACTCATTGTAATAAAATGACACGGTAAATATTGACATCTGGTCCCATTTTATATCTGATAATAATTTGGATCGCTCTTCTTGAATTTTTGTGGTATTTTTTCTGATCTTTGGTGCAACCTCTTAGTATTTCCTCCCTTCTGAGTTTATAGTTACTAATTTGCTCACTCCCTCACTAGACTTTATGCTTTGCCCTTTGTTGCTTGAGTTTAATAATTAGCCCTGAATTAAAACACCAGTGGCAAGTGGTCTGTGCCTCGAGTAGGTTAACTCAGCCTAAAATGTGTCAGCATCTGAACTGGGAAAGATAAGTAGATTGGTATGAATGGTGTTGTCCACATCACTCTATTTTGTACAGTATGGGCTTGATAACATCACTTGTCACGGCAGTCTATGCTCCGGCGTCTGAGTATATTTATTCATGCGTCTTCGCGAATTGTAGCATATGCGTAAAAATTCTGCATATGCTTGTATTTATATACAAGACTACTGTGATTAACCAAAACAAATATCGATTTTTAATGTTCCTTCAGTGTTCATTCTGTTTCTCAACTTGACTCCTCTTTTGCAGAAGAAAGACAACCTGCAGCTAACTAGCAACATGACTACTCTTCAGGATGAGGTAACGTACATTGACGACATTCTGTTGCAGTTGTTGAATTTCTGTGGTTGTCTTCTACTGATCCTGTGGGTGTCTTTTTAATGGGTTTAATACCGTACGCCAAGCACTATTATTAACTTTAATTTTGATTTAAAGCTTTCGTGACTGCAGTAATTCATATTCTTAGCTCTTTCGGTAAAGTCACGTTTCCCTTCAACGTGACTTTACCGAAAGAGCTAAGAATATAACTTTAATTTGTTTTTCTTGTGCCATTCACCACCTATCCTGCTGTCAAAAGATGAATTATAATACATTTGCAGTTTTTAAATATAATTATAATTTTAAAGCCTATGTGTTTTATTTTTAAATGTCGTCCTTGGAAAATGTAAACACCTACGGTTTGCACCGGTTAAGATTATTTTTGTGTTTTATTTACCCATTTTCTGGGTGCTGCACCGTCCTGCTCAAACTGCTCTTGAGACATTCTTGCATTACAAATGGACTTTTGTAATGCTTCTCAAAGCTGGAAAGTTGCCAAATTAACTGGAAAAACGACATTTAATTATTTTTTTGGAAGTCATTAGGTACCATGTTAACATCAACTTTTGATATACTGGAGAATCCTGTTGAATCACCAGTGGCTGCCTGTATTCGATCTCAGTGGCCACCTACCAACATACTTTACAGAATTACTCTACAATCTCAGAGGAGCTGGCTCTGTGTACAGTGCCTGAACTACTAATCAGCTACCTTTCCAAATAATGTATTTTTTCCAGTATATATTCCTTGAAATGTTTAATTTTCAGTTTTCATATTCCTCACTAGGTCGTGAAGCTAAGATCAGAAAATGACTTTCTCTGTAAACAAGAAATTGAGTCTGGAATAACAATGGAAGATATCAAAGTAAGTAAAATAATATATTAAATTGTTAGATAAACACTAAGCCGTTAAAATACTGTAATGCTCACTTGCATAAGAACGACCTGCACTGTTTCTTTTTTCAACGTGTAAATTTCATGGAGATTCAGGCATTTACTTTTAATGACATTAATGTATACCCAATTCAAAGTTGCCATGGGCTTTATATAAATGGCCTGAAACTCCGCTAGAATAATGTCTTTAGAACCACATTCTGAAAGGGCCACTCAACAATACTCTTTTTCAGCATCTGAAGTGATCGCATATGTAGCCAACTTGTTTTGCTTTGTGTTGGATAACTCCCTGTTAATGTCTGCAGTTGTTAATACGGTTGGAATACATAGGAGGGTAACGAGCTATGGATTTTAGCAGCAATGGGTACGAGAAACACAGTTTTCATGGTGTGATGTAGAGAGATGAGTTTATAAAACTAGTCTTGAGTTGTAATTATGTATTACATTTTCTTGGTTCTTTCGGTAAAGTCACGTAGAAGGGAAACAATAAAATGATCAAAATATAAAACATTAAAATTCTCACGACGTTTCGACTGCAACACAAGCAATCATCATCAGGTGTGAAAACCGTAGCAAGAAAAATTTCACACCTGATGATGATTGCTTGTGTTGCAGTTGAAACGTCGTGAGAATTTTAATGTTTTATATTTTCATTATTTTATTGTTTCCCTTCTACGTGACCTTACCGAAAGAACCAAGAATATGAATCCCTGCAGTCACGAAAGCTTTAAATCAAAATTTATGTATTAAATGTTACAGTATTTACGTACTCTTTGGTTCTTTCGGTAAAGTCACGTAGGTATAAAATAAAATAAATCACGACGTTTCGGGTGCAACACAAGCGTCCATCATCAGGTGGGAAAGCATGGTCTGCTGCCGAGGCAGACTGTTTTAAAAGGTTTTAAATCAGTGTAGCCCAAGGGTCATAAAGAAGTGGGCGGGGCTAGTGATGTTAATGTGAGAAATTAGCATGTAACTGTAAGATAGGAGAGCGGCCTCCACAACGAGGGCACGGAAGTGGCTATGTTAATGTGAGAGATTACCATGATGTTAATGTGAAATCGAAGAGTGGTGCAATCCAAAGCGGCCTCCACGACGAGGACACGGAAGTGGCTATGTTGACGTGAGAGATTAGCATGTTAATGTAAAATCGAAGAGTGGTGCAATCCAAAGGCATAAGAATGCAACCCAAAGGGTGCAATCCAAAGGGCATGTGAGCATGAGAGTGCAATCTAAAGGCATGAGAGTGCAATGCAAAGGACATGTGAGCATGAGAGATCTAAGAGAGAGGCATAGAGAGAGAGAGAGACTGTTTTAAAAGGTTTGAAATTAGTGTAGCCCAAGGGTCATAAAGAAGTGGGTGGGGCTAGTGATGCTAATGTGAGAAATTATCATGTAACTGTAAGATCGGAGAGCGGCCTCCTTGATGAGGGCACGGAAGTGGCTGTGTTAATGTGACAGCAGCAGATTTGAGTGTAAATGCGATCGGTATTACCTTGTTATCGCGGCATCTCTTGAGAAAGGTTAGCGACTCGATCAGGTGAGCCTTCTTGTCTCGCAGTCTGTTAAAAGCTCTAACAGATGTGTGGAAACCCTCCCCGTAGAGGCGGTTCAATCTTCATTTGAAGCTTACAGTTACATGCTCATTTCTCACATTAACATCACTGGCCCCGCCCATTTCTTTATGACCCTTGGGCTACACTCATTTAAAATCTTTTTTAAAACAGTCTGCCTCAGCAGTAGACCATGCTTTCCCACCTGATGACGGACGCTTGTGTTGCGCCCGAAATGTCGTGATTTATTTGATTTGACACTACGTGATTTTACCAAAAGAACCAAAGAGAATGGATTCATGCAGTCACGAAAGCGTCAAATCAACTATTTCCGTATTATGGACAGTAATTGTTGATGATTGCTAAAACCAGTGGAGCAGTCTTGTTGCAAGCAATGCATATATATTTTTTAAATATATATAAATTATTTTATCTACCATGCTCTGCTCGGCAAGGTCACTTCTACACAACTTTACTATGAAATAATACCTTTGTCATTCACAGAAACAGCTTCAAGAGTTGGAAGCAGTCGCTGCTGAGAGAAACAACCTTTTATTTGAGGTAAATTTTACACTTTTATTCACAACACACCATATAAGTCGGTTTGTATGGAGTCGTTTTATCTCTGACTAAACTCATGGATATTTGACTTTGTTACAATACAGGGTGTCCCATAAGTCTGGAATCATAGGAAAAATAATACAAAAAAGGCAATAATAACGCTTTTATTAACAGAACGTGCTCAATGTGTCCACCATTGTTCCCGATACACAACTCCAGACGAGATACACAGGCAGCAAGCACACGGTAAATAGTATCAGGGGTAATGGTTATATGCGTGAATAATGCGCTGTGGCTGTGTCATCGTCGGTGGATCTCCTCGAAGGTCCACTGTGTGGTTTACCTTGTATGGATCCCGTTTCCCTAAACTTTGTAACAACTCTTGTGTTATTGGCTCACGGTCTGGATGCAGTCTGTTAAATTCAACAGCGACTTCCCTCTGACTCCGGTTTCCTATGAATATTATTATCTGGACTATTTCTTCCTTACTTGGAGACATCTTAGGCCTGCAGAAACAAAAATATATAAATTAGTTATTTTTTCACTATGGTTCCAGACTTACGGACCACCCTGTATATATATATCATGATGGGGTGGTGCTGAAGTGACTAATGCACAGTGCTGTGAACAGAGCGATCAGAGTTCAATCCCCGATTATTGATAATAACTTAACATTTTAAGCTGCACAACGAGATGTCACATTGTGCCTGACCTGTGTCGTGATTACATCACGTGTAATGATGACATCATGGGAAAGGGGAGGTGTGAGCTTCTGCCGTTATGGCACAGATGCCAAGGTGAATCGGTGAATCCTTAAAAGTGCTTGTATTTTTGTCTTCCAAGATTTGACCATTCCTTGGATCACTTTGATAGGATACATTAATTATTGTCCTCCCCCCCCCCCATTTTAGACAGACAGGGAGAGCTCATGCATTAATGCTTTTAACCTTAGTTGGAAAGCATTCAACGTATTCTGCATATGGGAGAAATCCTAAGTACTCAAAGGGTTTAAGCGATGGATGTAAGCACCCATGTGGTGTACTGCGATCTATTAGTTCAGCCCTTTGGCCTTAGGAGGTTCACATATGTACGCGTTCATCCTATGCTTGCCTTCAATGTGCTACATTATTACGGAGGATTATTTTTAGCCAAGTTATTTGGTCGTTATCGACAGATCTTTGACAGTCCTAATCCATACAGTTCTTATGATTCTTTGTTCACATGTGGAAAGTCTGTCGTTATTTAGTCAAATGTAATTTACCTTGGCAATACCTCGTACCGAATGACCAATGGTTCATAAGCGTTCATCATCAACGATAAGTTGTTTTGCAAAAATGTACTTTCAGCAAAGAAACAACCACCTAAAGGAAATGATGGAAACAGTGAGTGAATACAACTGCATCATTGAGGTAAGCCATGCCTGTTCTAACTTATTAAATGCAACTTTCTACAAGGCACAGCACCACACACAATGCCTCCCACCCATTCGACTAATGAAAATGCAGCACCATGCGAGTGTATATTTTTGCAGCACCAGATGATTAAGTGACGTTGTGTTTCATTCATCCATCACTCATTGAGTATTGTGATCGTGTGTCTGGATGTGTTTGTCACGGTAGAGTTTGCGTGCTGGTAAAAGCTGCCTTGAGGCACAGAACCTAGATTTGCAGGAGAAGGTCGCGATGTAAGTACACTGCTGTCATCTCTTTGTCGGTTCCAAGTAAATCAGCGTCACATTGACACCAATGTTGATCCTGCTTTTGGCCAGTCCAGTTTAATACATGTAAAATAATGGATCGTACTGGCTTATTGAGTAAATAAGGGATTCAGTGTCTAGATTATTAGCTTATGGTTTGTGCAACGATTGTAATTAATTGACTATTTTAGGAGATATGAAGCAACCACCAAATAATGGCCATTAATATTTCACAGGAATTCTTTTTTTCAAAATAATCACACATTTCTCAATTGCTAGTATAAGAAATACCAGTTCGTACAGACTCATGTGTGTCTGAATATATGAGCAGCACAACTGCACTGCCCCTGTGAACAATTCCTCACTTTGTGGAACCAGTCCACACATTGTGGAATGGCAAAACAAAAATGCTAAACATTATGACTATTCGACGCACACTTACGTACATACACTCCTACTTGTGTGCCATTCGGTTTTGCACCTGATTGATCAACTCCAGATGTTAATGTAGATCGTTCTTCATTTCAAGGCCCGTGGGCCTGGTGGCCTTTAGTTCGGCCCCTGACATGCTGTCAAACCCCAATGGTTTCAAATCTGTGGTGGCCCTCACACTGATGTCTTATGAAATAGTGAAGAACACGGATGTAGAAAATACCTTTTCCTCATGACAACCCGATAGCTTAATTCCTGTGCTGTGCTTCTGAATTGGGACTGGTTACCGGTCGTGGACCATACATTGCATCCTACAATTACTTCAGGTGGAACGGAAGCAAAATGTACCCAAGAATTGAGCAGAATGTGATTTGCAGAAAGTGTCTCACGAGTCACTTTTCTCCCAGCTCATGACTTTGTCTCTGCCAGTTTTAACTTGATCTTGGGTCTCGGGGACCGTAAGGCATTCCTCACAGAGAAAACATACCCACAGGGTCTATAATCAAACCTTTACAGATGTATAATACATTAGTTGTTGAAGGTTTCTATTAATTTACTGATTTGAAAACCATAACTATTTTCTCTTTCGGGTAGCAGTAAATATGCTTTACTTATGAACGAACATCTGCCGCAAAATGTTTTACTCAATTGTTAATGTCCTTCATGGCTGCTTATTTTGAGAAATTCTTCAACTCCTGTGCTTTTATTCAGTCCTTCTAATGGTTTATGTATGATGTATCCTGTGTTGTGTGTTATAGGCACACTAAAAACAATTGTGAGAGCCCCGACCTATCTCAAACAATACTGATGTGCAATTCCATTGACATGGAGATTACACAGGCTGAGAAGGTACGCAACAATGTATAATATATTTGAATATGATATTGCCTCTTCCATGGATAGGCCTAAATTAGTAGTCTGGGCAATGTGGCCTTGGTGATTGGACCTGGAGCTATGAGGTGATGGGGACAGGGGAGTCGAGCCTGGAATAATTAGGCCTTAAGGCGATTGGGCAGTGAGGTGAAAGACCCATACGGACCTGATCATTAACACACTTGTTTTGCTGATGTTTATTCAACAATGTATCATGTGTGCACATCAACATCTGCCAGTGGTAGTGCCAGCTAAACAGAGCTTGTGCGAGCCTTTGTGAATCTACTTGCATTGCTTGAAAATTGACTGAGTTTGGGAGTAAGATATAGACTGAGAGCTATGGGCGGAGAGGTCAAGGCTGGCCAACCCTCCGTTCATCCTTATCTATATAAATAAAACCTTAATCTCTCTCAAAAACCTCGAGGGTATTTCCCGACAAGGTAGGAAGCTGAAATTTGGTACATAGGTAACTCTTAGGATACAAATAACAAGAAAACTGACAAACTGAGATTTTATATTTTAATACCCCCAAATCTCAATTTTACGTACACTATAAACGTGTCTGCGCGTCACTTAGAAACCGTAAAAAATACGAGATTTTTTTTTCGTTTGATAGAGCGTTAAACAGAAAATAAATTAAAGCTAGAACCATTGTTCTATATTTTATTTTTTTGAGATATTTCGGATTAAAGTGGTTTTTAATGAAAAACTACACATTTTATGATGTTAAAATCTGAATAGTTCGAAAACTGTAAAAGATATGAGTTTCCCCTCATAGAATATTAAGTTCATACATATTTCTCCTTTCTAATAAAAAAAAACTACAGGAATCTTTAAATTGAGCGGTTTCCGATGGGTACGTCTTTAAATACAAGCAGTTGAATCAAGTCAACAATTTTTGTGTTTTTTGCGGAAAAATACCATTTTTGGAGTAGTTAATGTCTGATCGGAGATAAAAATTGTAACAAATCATGTCAGATTAATTATATTTATTGAAAACTTTCACCTGGCGAAGACAGGCTTTATGAACTAGTAACTCTATAAACCCTCAGAAATAAATATAAGCGTGTACCTATTAAGCGTTCAGTCAAGGATACATTCTAGAAGTAATCGGGAAGTGGGGGTTGCATTGGGTGGGACACTTATGCAGGCACCCAGGGGTCAGCAGCCAAAGGAAAGGCCTCATACCAGAAAGTGGGATATGGCAAACAGCACACTTGGAAGCAGAGTGTCGCCTATATAACACTTGTAGTATCTGGCAGAAGGAAGGAAGTGATAAGTGTGGCACATATTCAGTATTTTTCTGGTGACCTCTTGCCCAATTAATACTTGACATGGAGAGGCTGTGGACATGACAACCGTATGCATGGTAAAATGTTGTGTGATGATAAAATGTTGATAGAATTAATTTGAATGTCAGCTTATACAGTTAGTTCCAGCTTATACTGGATCTAACTGTTTTACTGCCAGAAAACATGTGTATTAGTGTGTTATAAAGAAGGTGCAGTGTCGTTTTTTTATTACAAATTTGAATCCCGTGTTATATGATTTTAATATTGGCCTTGTATGGTGTCATGTAATTATGAATTGCACCATGGGTAAAACAATGCATGGATGCCAATAAGTTTTCTCCATCCAGAAATGATGCAGTAGCCTTAACGATCTGACCATTGTACTATATAGGTTTCCTACACAGATCACCGGACAGATTTAGTCCACGTGCCGGGAGCTCAAAAGTCAGACATCGCACTGAGCAGCACACTGTACAATCTGAGAACACATTTGAGAGCTATATGCGTATTGTGCCCACGGTTTTTGTGTGTGACAGATTTGTCGGCTGCAGAATAATATGATTAACAGCCACGCTGATATACTTCATGTGAAGACACGGTTGTCAGAGACCGGCACAGACATGGTGGGTAAGAGTGCATGCCAAGATGAAGCGGTGCAGGCTACTACCACTCAGGCTGAACAGGCAGTTTCTACCCAAACCGATGGTGATCTTGGAAAAGAGACTGGTAACTCTGTGTACCGTACATTTTTAATGTATTTTCAGCATTTCCATTTTGAATTTATAAAGCTATCTGGTGTGCCTCGTGATATGTGTATCCTTAAATAATTTACATCCACACTACCGTGATATCCCATAATACATGATCCTGGTCATGAGCACCTTTGTGTAAATTGATATCAAAGAAAATATGAACCTAATTCCTCTTTGTACAGCAGGTGGTGTTAGTGGCACTGTGAACTAGAGCGATATGGGGGCCGAATTTGCGATGGGAGTCTGCCCTCTCGCGCATCCTGTCACTCCCGTAACACATGTAGAATGAGCTGGCAGACAGTTGTGCTGGCGAGAGTGGCAGGAGCATCACTGGGTATCACGTGTGTGCCCGACTAACACAGCCAACCTAGTAATGATGTTTGCAGTAAGCATTCACTTAAATTTATAGAATGTTTTTTTTTCTAAATCTGCAACAGCATTAATATATATTCTTAGTTTTTTCGGTAAAGTCACGTTGAAGAGAAACAACAAAATAACAAAATATATATAAAACAATAAAAAATTCTCACGACGTTTCGACCATAACTCAAACGGTCATCATCAGGTGTGTCGGTTTGCATAAATGTATTTTGAAAACGGCATATTTATTTATTTATATAAAAATAACGTTTGCGTCACGCGCAACGATTGGCTGTTTATTTAAAACGTTATTTTAAACGTTATTTTTATATAAATAAATAAATATGCCGTTTTCAAAATACATTTATGCAAACCGACACACCTGATGATGACCGTTTGAGTTATGGTCGAAACGTCGTGAGAATTTTTTATTGTTTTATATATATTTTGTTATTTTGTTGTTTCTCTTCAACGTGACTTTACCGAAAAAACTAAGAATATGAATTACTGCAGTCACGAAAGCTTTAAATCAAAATTTAGCATTAATATACTTATTATAGAATAAAGTATTGTGCAAATATTGTTATACTATTTCCCAGAAGAAGACCAGATGCTCAAATTTTCAAAACCTTCCTTTCCTGTCAGTGACAAATTTCGTTTTTTTATTAATTTCAATAACTTGTTATTTTATGTTAAGACCTATGCAAGGTTCAATAACATTAGTTAATATTAAGAATAAACTGTATTGCTTGCTTTGTTTACAATGTATTGCAGCTTTGCAATTTTTTTATATCTTAGCATACTTTTGTGTCACCCATTTAAAAATGTCTCTAAACAAATATAATTATGTTCCTTTGCAGCCACACGAGAGCACTCTACATTCCTTGTGGATATGTCCAGCAACTTGACAAGCTGCAGTGGCAGCAGTGCCGATGCGATGGAGTTACCCAGCGTGCCAAATGTTATACTTGATAACATGTCCCTATATTCAACTCCGCTCCACAGGTAAATATCTGCATGCACTGCACCTAAGAAGGCAGCCTCAGCTGTAAATGTAACCTGTCAAAGTCTCAGTCTTCCCATCCGGAAATATCAATTTCAACCCATGTAACCTTTTTGTTCGAACTGGGTATTGCGGTTAACTCGCCTATTTCTACATGAAGCTTATTTTGAATGATCAATAGCCCTCCAATGCATTGTACATGTCCCTACTCATTGTATTTAGTGCCTTCATTTGCATGAACGTTTTATTTAATAAACACTTATGCAGATGTATTACTGAAATATATGCCTATGTTTGGCTTCGTGGTAGTGGCATGCCATCTAATGGACAAATTTAAAATCGTATACTTTGTCTTTAAAAGTTTAGGCTTGAGGTTTTCAGGTTGTTCAGAGGTCCGAGCACTGAGACGGCATAATTGAGATGCTGGATTTAAATCCGGGTTTCTGCCACGGATAGTAAACCTGGGTTCTCACATGTAGCATCTTAATCGTCTCAGCTCAAGAGAGACATGGAGATAAAAACAGCACAAAAAAACATAAAAATTTGGTTTTGCACTTAATTTGCCAAAATTTTATCTCAATGATTTAAAATAGAAGTTTGGCTGTCCTGCCACAAACACAAATCTCGTAACAGTGTGTAGGAACACGTACCCTCTTGTGTAAGGATGAATAGGATTTTTTTAAAGAAGAAATCCTGTTTAAAAACCTCTTCTGCACCCACTTAGAGCTCACTGTTGTGCGATAGTTCCAAATGTATTCCTTGTCTCGTGAAATGTATGTATGTTGAACTTCTTTTGCACTCTACGTACCCAACTGTGCTAATCGGAGGTGCAGTGTTGGGTCTATGGGTAGTGGTAGTGTTAGTCTGTGCAGTATGTATGTTGAACTTCTTTCGCACCGTATGTAGCCAACCGTGCTAATCGGAGGTGCGACATTGTGTCTAACTCAATTGGAATAAATTGGGGAAAAAGGCCAACCTATTTTGGGGTTTTTCAATTAAGCTTGCAATGATGGCAGAAAGATGAAGTTACAATAATATTTCACAATAATATTGATTTGGTTGGATTGGCTTTAATATAATAAAAGTACTTTACCTAAAAAGCTGTAAATCACACTGAGTGGTTGACAGGATGTTGTGTAACCATTGGGTGTGTGCGCGTTTGCTTGTGTGCAGTCAACAGATCCACGATGGTGTACGGGACGTAAAGCCATGTAACAAAATCTTTAGAGTAATCGTACCTGCCTTTTTACTGATGCTCACCACACTTGGGCTAATCGGTGCCATCACTACCTTCCCACACACATTTGTGCCAACTGTTGAACATGACTCTGCCTATGCCAGTGTAGAAACTTTGATATGGCCATATACAGACTTCCAGTATGTGCGCCGGCCACCTATTTAGAGGGTCCCTTGAACTTCAGAATGTTTTGGCAGAGTCCTTACAGCCTCACTTCTCACCAACTCATAATCTGAACTGTAATATCTTACTTTTTAATTGTTTATTGCTATAGCATTGCCTAGGGAGGTTATGGTGGTCACAGAAATTGTGAATTTGAAAACAGTCCATGAAACCTTTCCCCAAGCAACCATGAGAAATTGCCCCGTGGAGACTCGCGCAGAGATATGGACATGGATGCTGAGATTCACGCAGAGACATGGAAATATACACTGAGACACGACGTTACTGCTCACAGGCAGAGGTACACATGCATCGAGTCAGAGATGCACACGCATGGAAATGGACACAGGGAGACATGGAGATAATACACGGAAATACTTAGAAAGACACGACCATACAGAGACATGGAGATACACACAGGGTGACACAGATACATGCACAGACGTGTAGGTATACAGAGATACACAGTGCCGTGCTTTTATTTCTTGTTCAAAACATAACAATTGTCGCCGTAGTTACCTCCTGCTGAATTTATATGATGCTTAGAGCATACAAATGTCCAGTTACAGGTTAGCACTTTTTAACTGATTAATATGGCCAAACTAGAATATTAAATGCAAATAAAAGTTGTATTTGAATTGTTTAGTATGTCTTTTTTACTGAAGCTTTTGTATGTATATGTCTAGAGTGGTGAATTTGTTTGCCCTGTTAATGTGTTTAGCTTCTTAAAAGTAACACCTAGAGCTAGTTTAAAGAAGTGTTTGTCGTTATTTACAATTTGACAAATAAAGCATTCTTAAGCAACAAAATATTATTGAAATGTAATATTGATGCAAGTGATTGCTTAAGTGTGGCCTCAGATATATGCTTGCAATGAAATGATAACCTTTGCTACCACGTGATCTCATTGAGGTGAAGGGTCATTTACAATTTTGACCTAAGGTCAATCCTGGCGCCAGCTCTTCTTTGATCGGGGGAGTGGCCAGTAGTGCTGTTACGTGGTGGGCCACCATATAACAATGATATACAGCTAAGACGAGTGACCTTGGGTGGGCCAAAGGGACATTTGGTGGAGCAAGGCCCACCCCAGTGCCGATCCCTGCCTAGGGTAAAGTTCAAGAGGCATGTTATTAACGGTCTCACTGATTATCGGCAATGCTGTTTTCGTACGGGACTTTTACCCCATAAATGTTTACAAATTTGGAAAAACATCGATACCACATGAGGCAGCAAATCAATCAGGATTGGTTCGCCGGTTGTATTCCTTTTGAAGCACATTGAAAAGCAATCCAGAATTGTATTTTTGAATATTTTTTCTGTGATATGAATGCCAACTGTTTGTCGTACACATTCAGCAGCACTTCACATGCAACACATCCACATAAAATGCAGTACAAATATCTGCAAATTTATGCTTGGGGGTTTAGTAGAGTTTTGTTGGATAGGCGACATGCAGACGTGTGTGTTTAAAGTAAATCATTGTCGTTTTAATGATGGGAGGGGTTACAGCCAAACATTTTTATTGTCAGGCAGCTAATAGAGAAGCTGGGGATGTGAGGGTATGTCTTTGTAACAACAAAGGAAATTCATTTTAAGAGGTGCAAAAACTCAAAACAGGAATGTGCAGTAAAAATAACGTATACGTAGCAAGGGAGTGGGAGTGTGGAATAATGGTTGCATGTTTTAGAAGTGGCCGACATGCTGGAGGAACTGCAAAAGATAATGATGCATGGAAGAGGGAAGAGATGCCACAAACTTTGTAAAAACCTTTCATCCAGAAAAAAAACTTCACCGATTCTTCAGGTAGTGTTTGGCCATTGGGATTTTTGGCCATTTCCATGAATGAGTAGCGTGTGGAAGGAATCCATAGCGGTATAATCTATTGCTGTGCTGTCGTCTGGCCACCTCGCAGTCTAAGTCTGCAACACCTGATATCCAAGGTGGTCTCCCATCCCGAATGCGAACCAAGCTCAACGCTGCGTAACTTCTGCGATCTGACACTAGGCATCTTTACAAGTGGTGATTTTGGCTGTGTGATAGCAAACTGCTTCAGAACGTGTATCGTGCGGCGTTAGCTCTGTGCGCTTTGTATGATCCAAGCATCAATGGTTGAGGGTACTGACCATAATTCGAAAAGCCTGGCCCGGAGAGTTATGCAGAGGTTCCATCATCGGGTGGCGCCACCCAACGTCTAACAGGGCCACGTGCGTAAAGGGCAACCCACAGGGTCAAGACACCAGGGTGAGGTGGGCGGGCCGCTTGGCGTAAGGGGGGGGATCATGGGGCTCTTGAGTCTCGCTCGGCTCGGCAGCTCAAGTGTAGCGGAGTGGAGCCACGCGCATACAGACGCGGGTTGGTGCTGGGTGCATCAGGACGCGGTCACCGTGGCAGGGGGTGGTGCGAAATCATCGTTACTAGTCCTCTTCACAAATTTTTGTCTTCCACGTCGTTATTACAGCGTTGCGTTCATCTTTGTTTCGCTGTTCCTAAATCGTTTGTAAACGTGCGCAAACAGTGAGTTGGATCTGCTTGACGTCGCTGTAGCATCAGGTGCAGGCGCGCATTGCGATGGAGACACGTGCCCTCCCCATCCACCTCTTCATCATCATCATCCTCATCACCACCACTCGCCTCCCGCCCGTCTGCCTCTCCGCGCCCGTCTCCACAGCCGCGGCGGGTTACCTGGCGCAGCTGGCGGGCCGGGAGCGCCTCTTGGTGCTGGTGGCCCCAGATCCGCGGGACCGTAGCTTCCAGGCCATGATGTCCTTGCTGAGCCGCGACGCCTACTGCGAGCTCTCGGAGCGCCAGGTGCGCCTGCTGCTGGTCGTGGTGGCGCCGGCGCCGGGCGGCGTGGCCGGAGGGGCTCTTAACGCCACCTTGCGCCGCGTGTCGCACACGGGGAGGCCCCTGGACGAGCCCCTGCCGGCCTCGGCCCCCGTGCGTGCCGCTCTGGCCGCGATGCGCCTCGACCCGCGCCGCTTCGGCATGGCGCTGCTGCGCAAGACGCTGCAGGTGGAACGGCGCCTCGTCACCCCCGTGCGCTTCCAGTCTCTGCTCAGAGCCATCGACGTCATGCCAGCGCGCAGGCGGGAGCGTCTCGGCCGCCGGGGATGGGCGCAGCGGTGCCGGGAGACCGCGGATGCCACGGCGGCACGGGCGGCACCGGCGGCATCGGCAGGAGCCACGCCAGGCGCAGCACGGAGCCCACATCGGGTTCCACCGCCACCCCCTGCGCGGATGAACGTGCCCCAAGTTCCCCCGACCTTGGCCCCCGTGGCCCCTCCAGCTTCCAGGGTCCCTCCAGCCTTTAGGACCCCCGTGGCCCCACCAGCCTCCAGGGCTCCTGCGGCCCCTCCACCCTCCAGGGCCCCCGTGGCCCCTCCAGACTTTAGGGCCCCCGTGGCCCATCCACCCTCCAGGGCTCCCGTGGACGCGCAGCGTGGATGCGGGCGCGGTGAGGCGTGCGGCGGCGACGGCGGCGGTGGCGCGGGGGTCGCTGGAATCGCGCGTGGAGGGGGAGGAGGAGGGGGGGAAGGCGACGCTGAGGCTGCGGGGTCTGGGGCGGCGCCACTCTCCGCCTTCCTGCAGCACTTCAGGGGCAGGAGGCGCCTGCTGGTACGCGTGCGTGCACCAGTGACGGCGGCTCTTTGTAGTAGCCACGAGTGGCGTAACTGCGCCCACCTTGCACACACACAAACTCGGGGCAGTACAGAATACAAGTTAAAAACGCAGAGCGTTTGATAACACGAGATTTGGTGGTGGTGGTGGGTTAGAGGGCATGTCTCGTCTCCGTTGCCAGACCTGTGCAAACGGTGGATATTACACGTTAGTGACGAGCGACGGTTTTGTCTATAGGCCAACAACAGGACATCTACTAATCAGAGAATGGTAGACCCTATATATTTAAAAAACAACCATAATAGTTTCTAATCCACCTTTTTGTCCAAGCAGCACTATAAATGGGCCCACAAAAGAGTCGATCGACAGGTCGAGTGTGGTGGGATACAGTATGGGTACTCCCACCTCTGCCAAGAGGAAGAGTAGGCCGAAAACTACACTCTCGATGAGCTCTCGAAAATTTCCAGAAGTGGCGTGAGCAAGTTTTATATTTGTATGATTTTACAGTGGACACAGCATTCATAATTTACCCAGTCTGCTGACAGGTAATCCAGCGATTAGATTCGGCAAGACACGTGGTAGCGCTCCTTCAAAGTGAGATGGAATGGCAGCTAGGAATGGAAGCATGCTCAAGACGATGACCAAACGGTTTGACGGGGCAATGAAATCGGAATATTGTATGTGCCAAACGTCAACCTGAGCTGTGCCGCACCAGAGGCAATGCCACCAACATCGGGGAAGGCCACATCTGCTTTCTCATATTTTTAGAGTCACACTGCTCCAAAAAGGTACCAAAAATAATTCGATCCTGGGTGGCATATCAAATGTACACGTCTGTGGCGGGGTAATGTCCGGAACAGGCCTGTGTGTGATTGGCTCCCCCTGCTCCCTGATGTCCCCCACTGATGCCACCGATGCAAGCGGGACCTTATCTGTAGCGCCACTGTACAAGCAAGCCGCGAGACGGACCTGTGCCGAGCCAACCTGGCCGGGTTGATTTTCCGCTGCAGAAGCCGAGCCGTGTCACTGACGTCACGAAATGAACGAGTCAAAACGTTTTTAACTGGCGGCGCCTTCACTGTGTGGGGACCAGCGTCATACGCAATGAACGGGTCAATAGCCCCCCACACCCTTTGCTCTGCTTGGCTTCGAGTCAGATTCACATGTGTTGTGAGCACTGCCGGATTAAGCTAGTGCGGGGCCCGTAGCATATGCTACTTTTGCTACTGGGATAATCCGACACTGGTTGTGAGGCCACCTTTGCATGGATTCGTTCTGGCTCGACATGGAGAATGGCCTGTGGAAAACCACCCTTTCCAGGGAGCTTGGGTCAGGTGGGTGGGTCAGAGGGTGAATTCGTAAGGGCACACATGCTTTTACCCGTGGTGGGTGTGCCACCCTCTTACACCTTGATGGTACAACTTGCCACTATCTCTGGGCAAGACAGGACTTTGCACATGCACAGAGGGAGTGGTAGCAGACACGTAAATCTCTCGAAATCGCAAACCTTCGTCAGCATGCCCAGACCGCATTGCTATTCCACCTGGCTGCTGGTGACCAGCAGCCAGGTGGAGGTTCACTGGTTTTCGGTGGGAACTGTCAGTGAAATTGCTGTATAAAAACCTTTAAAGGCAAGGTGTGAGCTGCACCCACGTCTCACATCTGGCCGAGCATCGCAAGAGTTAAAGTGTCAGAATTCTAACTTCAACTCAGCCGTTCATGCCCCCAGCGTCATTAAAACGAGTACTGCTTTGTGTAAAATCATCATCAAGGTGTATAGGAGAGTGGCACACCCACATTGGGCAGCTACAGTATATTGTGTGCCCTACGAATTCACCATGCGATGGATAGACTTGTCCTTGCCATAACAACGTGGAATATCCAAACCATCTCAAGACTTATAAAAGGGATTAGCACCATCCCGTGCTTGTTTGAGAAGGAAAGCACTTTGAATTTGACGGTTTGTACTGAACAACAGCCAAATATTCTGAAATGTTATTTGTAACGTGTTGTGGATATTCCTAAAGATAAGTTTTATGTACGGCATATCATTAATGCTGCTGTGTATTCTTGGGTCTTTAGGTAAAGTCACGTAGATACGTTCAAAGAAAATAACAAAAAATAACAAAAAACTACCTATCTACGCGACTTTACCGAAAGACCCAAGAATATGAATTCCTGCAGTCACGAAAGCTTTAAGTCGAGATTTAATGCTGCTGTGATTGTGGCTCCACACAAACGAATTGTGACGCAGTTGAAATCCAACACGTTCTATATTCACTCAATCACATATTTTTTTTCAGGTTTGCTGTCATGGAGTAATGGTTAGCAGCACACCGGACTTTCGATCCGGAGGTCACCAGTTCGATTTGATCTCCGGGCACAGAAGTTAAAACAATGGGCAATTTTCTTTAATCACTTCCATATCTTTCGATCCAGCAGTGTACATGGGTACACCACAGTTAGACAATCGCAGGTAGTGGTAAAGTATGGGTACTCCCACCTCTCCCAAGATATCTGTCCAGCATGAAAGAGTAGGCCATTATACCCTCTTATGTATGTATAACTTATTTTATGCTAATCGAAGGTGCGGGCGAAGGACTAGAAACGAAACACAAAAAGCAGTTCTAAAGAAATTAGTTTTCAATTCAGATTTTAAAGTGCATAGCTCCAGTGGCTTCCTCATTTCGGTAGGGAAGAACATTCCAGACAGCCGCAGAAGCGCATCTGAAAGCGCGCGATGCAGTGTGGCCGTCTTTGTTCAATGGGTTAGCCAAAAGCCGCTGCGCGGATGACCGGAGTTTGCGTGTTGGTATATGCTCCCTGATCTCTAGAAATCCCTCGAGGAGCTGTGAGCAGGCAATTGCATTGCTGCACCTTTAACCGTCCTGTTGAGGACGATGGCTCACGTGGTGTATTGGATGGACGTGCCTGCGCGCCTGCGTGTGTGCGCGAAGGTGCTGGGTGCTCCGGCCGAGGAGGACGCTGCTTACCGAGCACAGAAGTTTGTAGTGAAGGGTCGCGAGTGCGAACTTGCACTTCGCAAAGTGAGCGTCCTGGCGCTGCTTGGGAATGCGTCTGTGAGCACCCTGCGCATCGACCACCACCACACAGGTAGGCTTGACTCGCCATAGCACCGCAAAGGGTTTTTTTTTTTTGCAGAATAAGTGTAGATCTTGAGATCTTAACAGATGTCCTCTATTTTAATGATTCGTTAAATGTGGTTTGCAATAGTTTTTTTTGTCATTTTCCACGTAAAATGTCCCGTAAGTGTTGCAAAAGGTAAATAATAAACTGGAGCGAACGTTTTTTTTTTGTCCGTTTGATGCCTTGGTCACGTGGAATGCTGCATCTGTGCTTCATTTGTTATCTCCATCAAATTGCGTTTCACAGATTAAACCGATAAGTGGTAGATAATGAACATATTTGATTTGTAATGGCTTGAGATGATTGCAATGTATGATATGCGTGAAGTATAATGAAGATACATGGTTAAATGTGTGTATTATACAGTAGGAATATGAATGCCTAAATGTACACACACCTATTTTGATTAAAGTGTCACATAGCATCATCGTTATCAGCACACACGGCACTCTGGGAAGAGCACGTGGCACACCCGGGTGCACCGTGCGGGGCAACAATGATGTGTGGTGGAATTTCCTCGACCCGACAGCCACACAATGCGCCCCACAGTTATTCCCCTGCCATGCACAGCCCCTGACCGCAATGGAATGAGTGACACTCCACTGATGCCTCCGAAGCCACGGTAGAGCGAAGCCATTGGGCCGATGCATGGACAGGTCCCTGATGAGGTGTTAGCTTGGCAAGTCCATGCACCTCAGTTGCTCAACCCGGACCAGTTGCAGGCGGTGTTGTCGAGTGACACATTTGGTGCCTGCGTTCGTTTTGTCCGAGGGGCTTGACGGCGTTGGCTTGGCAGTAGGCGGCAGCGTTCAGAGATGATTCAGAGATTATCCTCAGGGCAACATTCATCTGAGTGTTGTTTATAAGCCGGGCATCGGCTCATTGTTCACGGGCAACAGAGTGCTCCTCGGAGTAAGCCCAATACGAGGGCTGCTGCCGTGTGCCGGGCACGGGCACCAGCACCCCATGGTGAGCCATCCAGCCCGAGCCAGGAGGCAGTTCCACGAGCACACTTACTCTGCCAATTGCAGCATCGGTCCGAGGAGAAGCCACTTAGGTTTGGTGCCGAGTTGAAGAGACCCCGTTCGGTTGTAAACTTTTGAGCTGTGGCACCGTGTCAGGTGAAACACACCTGACACCGTTTAGCTTGCTCCCATCCGGAGACGCCGCTTGGGGCAGGTAAACGTGACGGCGAATTGAAAACGCGCCGGGGGGTTCCAGCACGAAATTTCAGAGCAGGGCAGCGAACAGATTTTGTCGTCGCACAGTATTCTCTCGTTGTTCACGAGCTTAATATCCGCGATTTTGGCTATCCGGAGAATTGCATCTGGAGCTCGACACGACTGCATCGAGAGAGAGAGAGAAAATGATGACATAAAGTGATGCGAGAGACTTTGATGCAAGAACGTGATGACATAAAGTGCTGAGATAGATAGAGAGAGAGAGAACTTTTCATACGTTAATTTTCGTAGGCCGATAACATTATCCGCCAAATTTTCTAGTCATGAGCATCTCCAGAAACGCATCCCTCACGATTAACGAGGGAGTACTGCACATCTATACTAAATCCACGGTGACGTCTCCGTGTCGTGGGTACTCTCCTCGCGCGCGCGAGGTCACGCGGAACAAGTGGCCCTGAACGTGCGGAATGAGCTCATCACCTTCGAGATGCTGGGCGCGCTGCGGCACGAGTTTGGCCTGCCCCACGCCACCTACCGGCTCGTGCTCACCGACTACGACATGCGAGCCACGGTGCGCGCGAGCCGCATGCATCCTCCCTCCCCAGCGTCACACCGCTCTCACCACAGCAGCCCAGCGGCAGTGGCGGTACCCATTGGGGGGGGGGGGGTGAGGTTAAAGCAGACAATGCTTTTGGGTGTGCCACCTGATTAACAAGCAGTAGTGCGCAGCTTTATGCGGGACGTTTCACAGTCGTGTGAAATAGTGAAGGTAAAAGTCGAATTACAATGACATTTCGTTTCGTTACGATTACGAGCTTTTGACGTTCGTCGTGGAATCTGAACACGAGCAAAACATTTTCTGCACCCCTATCTTCTCATGGATCCGGGGCAAACCTCGATCTGTCCGCTCTAAGGCTCTAAACTTCCGCTTGATTCGCTATCGCCCGAGCGCCGCCGAACGAGCAACGCGGCGCCGTTTTTAATTGCTCGTGGCACGCGTATTGCGTGACGGTGGTGCCGTGCGAACGCAGGCGCGCTTTGAGAACCCCGTTCCGCTGGACACGCTGCTGCGGGTGCTCGACCAGATGCCCTCGCGCCTGCACGAGCTGGCGCTGGAGACGGGCGCCCGAGCGCGCTGCGGTTCCAGCCGTGGAGCCGCGGGCAACGCTCTCGTCCACTTGCTCAGCAGGTGCCAGGCGCGCGCAGACGTGGACGGGTTTGTTCGCGATAAACCCCACGCGTGTGTTGAAGTATCATAACAACAACAGCAACTATAAGAAGAAGACATTACGTCAATTCGCTGCTGAATGATGGCCTCCCCACGCGTTATCGGTCATAGGGCGTTTGTTGGACCATACTTCGCCAAGGTGAGATTTGGGGAGGCTTACTGCAGCCTCAGCCGTCGCTCGGAGGTTTGCAGATGTTTGGAGGATGAGCGGTGGTTGCATTTTGCCGAGGAGATGGAAATTGCCTCGGCGGCCCAGACCACTCTTTAACACGATAAGGAATTGTTACTTTCAGCGCCACCTTGATTGCGAACATTAAATTGGGGTGAATATCAATCTGCTCTCAGACGCCTCGGTAACATGTCTACAGATTTTGACGAGCATTTTTGTGAGGTTTTGCATATCTGTCAACCCCTTAACAAGTGCCTACTTTATTACAGGCCAATTCAGACCTTATTGGTCACCCGTGCCCTTATAAATCTCAACGTTCATTCTACAAAGTCCCATCACAAGCGAGAAACACAAACAAATGGACATTTTGTTTTGCCCGTGTAAAGGGAGAGCCGACGCAAGGTTCCTTTCTCCAGTCCACACCTGTCCCCAGCCGTCTCAATCTCGTTTCCACCAAGATCCCCCCTCTTCCCGCCCATTCTCTCTCTTATATCTCCTCGCTTGCTCCTCCTCCTTCCCCTGTCACCGTCTCACTCCCCCTCCTTTGGGTGGAAATCCTTCCCCTGACATCGCTTACACCCGTATTGAAACGGCTGTACCCCGGATGGACCTGAAAACTAAATTTCCCTGTTAAAGAATACGGGTAAACCGTTTGGGTTGACAGTTATTGTCTTGGCGGAGGGAAAACCTCTCAGCTCAAATGTGTATGTATGTTAAACTTATTTTGCACCGTACGTAGCCAACAGTGCCTCCCGTGTCCCATCCTGTCAACAGTGGGGGACAAGGGGAGTGGAGGGCGGACTAACGCCGTGCTGGTTGTGTAAGCCCACAGGGTTCTGGAGGTAGTAGCCACCACCCCCTGTGAGCGGCTGGCTGAGAAGGAGAGCGGCCGACGGTGTGGAGACGTGCTGCGTAATGCTGGAAGTAAAGTGTACGTGCGCGTGTCGCGCGTAGGTTCCACTCAAAGAAGCGACTCTTCGTGATCTCGTCGCCTGGCAAGAGAGAGCACAGCTACGTGCAGCAGCTCCACGCCCTCCGTGGCCAGGCCTGCTCGCTGGGTAGGAGTTTCACCTCGGCACTCTTCGCGAGTTGTTCCGGTGGGCCGCACGTCAGGGCACGCACTAAAGGCCAATGGGGGCCGCCAGTGGCCCCAGTTGGCCTTGCAACAAAGAACACCGGTGTGAACGATTCGTCCTCGCGGCGATTTGAGAATAAATGGGTAAAGAGGTAAATCAGATTTGGTTCATCCGTGTCTTCTTCCTTGCATTGGCTGACTTGTTAGTGTTGTGTGTATCTCATTTGCTGTTTGTCTTAGTACGTCCTGTCATTTTCTTTTCTGGCCGTCTGTCACGTTTTTCCTGCCTGTTCCACGTGTCAGCTTTCTCGTTTTTTTACAGTCCTGTTAGTCTCTCTTGTCTCATTATATCTCATTTGTAGTCCCTGTCTGATGTGGTATTTATCTTGTTTCTACAAATCACTGGTTTGTCTGTGCTGTATATTTCGTTTGTTCTTGCCTGATTTAATACTGCCGCATTGTATTGTCTCTCACTCGTACTGTCTCTTTATTTGACTGTCCGTCACGTTTGTGTACTCTTCGTTTGCTTTGACTTGTTCGTCTAGTTCAGGGATCGGCAACCAAAGTAACAAGAGCCATTTTTTTGGAATTTGGTTAAAAAAAACACCTCAGTGGTCATGGCTGTCTTGTGTTGTTCATCTCATCGGTAATGTCTGCCTCATGTGTTCCGTCTCAATTGTAATTTTGTCCTGTTTATATTTGTTAGACTTGTGTAGATTTTCTATCTCGTTTGCGCCGTACATCTCGTTTGTATTGTCCGTCTTGTTTGCATTAGTCATCCCATTGGTGGAGTCTATCTCTAGCCCATCGGTGTGTTGAAGAGTGAATCCACAACATTTACAGTTTGAATACGACGTTTCGCTGGTAATTACATCCAGCATCATCGGGCAATTCGCCAGAATGGACTACAAATGCCCGATGATGCTGGATGTAATTACCTGCGAAACGTCGTATTCAAACTGTAAATATTGTGGATTCACTCTTCAACACACCGGTGAGCTAAAGTAGTGAACTATTTGCCTTTTGTCAACGTGACACTTTTTTGCTGCTTGGCCGTGTCGGGTGGTGGAGGGGTTACGACACATTTATAAATAACGCGATCTAACCCAAAACACCTTTATTATGAATAATATTGGTCGCGAAAGCCTACGTGTTAAACAGAGTCTATCTCATTTTCACTTTCCATCTCCTTTTTACTATCCAAATTTTAAATCTGATTAATTTCACGGTCTTATTTCCCCACATTTCCCAAGGAGAGCCACATCAATAAATGGGATGATCCTGGGAAAACCATCACGGGCGGCACCCCCAGCACACCGCGATCTGTGCGGCGTGGCCGCGCGTTTGTGACGCTACGCTGCTGTGTCCCTGCAGGCCTGCGCCACGTGGTGGTGATTCAGCTGCTGGGCCTGGACCAGGATGTGCATGGCCAGCTGGAGATCTACTCCGCCAATGGTGTGTGGCTGTGTGTGTGTGGATGTTTATCAGCGCGCATAAGTGTTGGTAATCTTTGTCGGTACATAACCTGTTGGTACGTAACATAACGTAACCTATTGTGGGGAGCGGTAGTGTAACCTGGCGACCTGGGTTCGATTTTCGCTCACGCCCAACGCCAGTGACGATTATCTTAACCGATCCTGGGCCTCCCCTAGGTCGACTCAGCCTCAAATGAATACCTGATGCAGTGTGTAAACATCGCCACTAGGGAGACAAAGGCGGCCGGGCGTGGTGCTGACCACCAATCCCCTCGTGTGCCGTGTCGGCCTTCATAGGTGCTCGCTAACAGCACTTTCCCCAACAGTCTGTTAAGGCTATACGGGGGATCTTTGTCTTTGGATGTTTATCAACACATGGTGCATAACCTATAACCACCAAAGCTCACTTTGTTGTTGTTGTCAGCCTTCATCTTAACACTGCTGGGCTATGGCCTCCCCTATTTTTTTACTATTCCTTCCTTTCCTTAGTTTTTCCTTTCGAGTCGTGGCCTCCGAACTCTTTTATTCCGTCTCTCCGTACAATTTGAAAAATGACCCACGAATCACTCACTTGGGAAAATGCATAGCTACATCGCCCCCTGACTGCGATGCTTGGCAGGGCCCTCATGAACAAGTTCGAAGAATCAAAAGTGAGATTTTTTATGCCGGGGAATACAAATGTCATCAATCAACATCGATAAGTTTGATCCATTTATTTTCACAATTTGTATTTCAGGAAAGCCGCACGCGGTTGAGCGAGAGATGCTCGACAGCGTCATGGCACGCAACCTCCGCGCTCACTTTGGCCTGCGCGAGGATTACTTCTCCATGGTGCTGGTGAGCAAGGAGGGCGAGGTGACGTCGTGGTTCCCGTCGGCCATGTGGTCCATGGCGATCGTGTACGACCTCATCGACTCGTCGCCTTCCCGCCAGCACGAGATGGCTCTGCAGCAGAGCAGCGGGCTGCGTTGCCCAGAGAGGGTAAGCGCTGGCAAGGCGAGATTTTAAAACTCAGCCACGTTCATCGCAGCGCGGGATACCTAATCCTTTACTCCCGTGGTTAGAATCAGGGATGGCTGTTGTACTGTGTGCATTCAGGAAATCTGAAAAACCCTTTCTTCCACATAAAACCACTTTGGTCTTGTAACGACCATTCATAAAAGGAGCAATTAATTTACAGGCCAGTTAGTGTTCCCCTGTAGGTGGTTTTTCGGTGGGTTTTTTTGTCAATGTGTGCTGCAAGCAATTACACTTATTGATTTTTCAACTCAATGGAAATCAAATTGGTAAAAGTGCAGGTTGTTTATACCGCTACTGGCAGATGCGCCTCCACTGGAGAAATTTCTAGAGATGCCCTCTCTAGAGGCTATTTTGGCCTACTCTTCCATGGAGAAATCTCTAGAGATGCCCTCTCTAGAGGCTATTTTGGCCTACTCTTCCATGGAGAAATCTCTAGAGATGCCCTCTCTAGAGGCTGTTTTGGCCTACTCTTCCATGGAGATAGCTCTAGACATGCCCTCTCTAGAGGCTATTTTGACCTACTCTTCCATGGAGAAATCTCTAGAGATGCCCTCTCTAGAGGCTATTTTGGCCTACTCTCCCATGCTGGCCAGACTTATATTTGGAAGAGGTGGGGGTACCCACACTTTACTTCACCACACTCGACCTACCAATCGACTAACTGTGGTGTCCCTCTTTATACTTTTGGGGTGGACAGAGGTGGGGAGACTAATTGGCTGCGATTCTTGCAATAACGATAATCTCTTCATTGGCCACAGGTCACTTTGTTATTATTCCAACAGTTTGTAGTAAAGTAATTTTATCGGGCTCATAAGTGGTGGGGAGAAAAGTAATCACTTCTGACATGAATACAGCAAGCAATATATACTTATTTGTTTATTTGAGCTCTATTCCATTTGAGCTGTAGACAGGTGACACTAGTTAACTGCATGCCCATGTTTTTGAAAACTTGTTATCTTCGATGGGCTATGAAATGCATCACATAACTAATTAAACAAAGTGTGCAACATAAACAGCCATCTCCATACACTTTTAAAAATACATTTCAGTGATGTTCGTGAAGCTTGTATGCAATTGAGTGAAAATATTTAATCAAAACCCTTGTTCACCCTGATTAAATTCAACTGCTCTATTTAAAAAATGTAGTAAAGGGGGGGTGGGGGGGATTTGCCTGGGATTCAAGTATCCACTCTACCACCACAACATGAGTTTAGAACATCGCATCATGCCAGGGAATGGCACCGGAAGATGACAGCTGATCTCAGACTTTTGATGCTGGGGTTGGATTTAACCATGGCAGAAGGTCACACTTTGTGGAAAACTCTCCACCGGAGTGCTGCTGTCTTGGGGCCCATGGACTGGATGGAGCACAGATTGACTCCACAAACAGTAACCAATCAAAAATGATGGGACGGTGAGGGGATTCTGCCACAGCATAATAACATCATGATACAATCTCATGATGTCATGGCCCAAGGCCAGAGATGACCAATAAGTTTCTGATCTGTCTCATGGAGATGTGTGTGGAATTGTGCCCACAGCCTACAGAGTGTGAGCCGCGCATTATGACTAAAGCTACGATTTTGGCATGACAATGTTTTGTAAAATATAAAACAATTACGAAAAGTTCACGGAATAACTTGGGGCAGTGCCCCATCCAAAATTCGCTTAAATTTGAACATTATACTTACTTTGAAATGTAAAAAACTTAAAATTATTATTTTAGTGTATTTTACTGAAATGAAGTGGCTAATTTATATTTGATTTGAATATAACTGATTTGAAATCCACTTAAATACGTCCCTCCTGCCCTCTGCCACATGGCCACCATGGCTTTGGAAGTAATCAACATCGTGCACAGAGAATACAGATTTCTATTTTTATAATTCTGTAAACATTTTTTTTTACCAATTATGGATGAGAATAACATTCATAGTGAGTGTGAAAGGCCAGAGAAAAAAACTGTGATTTTCCCACTCAGTGGGCAGTTGAACCTCCACAATCTCACGTCATATTAGAATGTTTATCAGGCTTCACGTTCCTCCCACGTATGCGCCCCCTCCCAAAAATGAACACCCCCCCCACTCTCTCTCTCTTTCTTCCTTTGTACAAAAGTGCTACACAGATGTTAGCTGTTTTCCACTTAATGGAAATACAACCAGTTGCATTATTTTGTGAAAGAGCGACATTTAAGTACCACATCAGCTGTTTTTCCATTTTTTTAAAACACCAACCAACCCCACCCATTTCTAATCCCATCAACCACCATAACAGGATCAACTTCACCGAATACGACGTGTCGTTATTGGGCCAGCCTTACTCGCCAGTGGATTAAATTCCCCTTTAAAGCTCCTCACTGCTGCATACAAAAATCACACTGCCGATTAACATGCGCTGCATTCATGCGTGAAATCAATGAGCTCCTAACTGTAATATCGGTATGAGAGGCCCAATGGCTAGAGGATATGGCTTTTAATCGGTCTGTTGTGAGCTTGAATCTTCGATGGGGTTGACCCAGCCCTTCATGGAAGATTACACTGCAGAACTGCGATATTGGATAAATAAGTACCACAGTGTGGGAAGGCAACATTCATTCTGTCGATAGACTCCATCAGACAGATGCATGTGGAATTTCCCAACACTGGCTCAGGGCTGTAAAATCAGATGAATTGTTACACCTTGCTCACTTGAGCAAGAAACCATTTTATCTTGGACATGTTTGGCCGTATGCTAAATGCCGCTGCAGGAAATACACACATAACGCATGGCACCTTTCGATGAGACATGTCATAGTCTACAACAAAAGTAAACCAAATTTAAACATATACCACTCGCCCACAGCAATCTCTCTTCAGCGAGTGTTTGGGGTGCCCAACGGTGTCATGGTATATGCATGAGGTCGTGGGTTCGATCACAACCCTGATGCCTGTATATTTGGCGTTTGCATGGCTCTCTCCCTATGGTCACGTAGATTTTTAATCCGGGTCCTCCGGTTTTTCCCTCCACATTTAGAATCAACATCATCCGTTTCGAGTATTTGGCTGCTCTAAATTTCCACGTGATGAGGCACTTTGTTGAGCTACCATTTGTGGTCAGGTCGCTTCTGAAAAAAAAAAGCTGTCTATCTCAGTGGGCCCTAACCTGGTAAAATTATAAATATATATTTACTTTATAGTTTCACCTGTGTGCAGGTACACACACCCCGCGTGATGGGAGCGCTTTCCCCACATGTTGAAGCATTTTGCCGTTTGAGGCCACGTCGCTCGTTACAGAATCCCGCAGCTGCAGGAGCCCCCAGCCGCAGGGGCCCCCCTCGTGAAGCGTGCAGGCCTCCATCACAAGCCACGTTTTGCGCCGGGTGCGTGTGTGCGCGCGTGCGTGCGTGTGTGTGTGCGTGTCAGTGTGTGTGTGTGTGTCAGTGTGTCCAGTGTTTTCTATGTCCCGTGTGAACATTTCTGTTCTGACTTTCCCTGCTCTTTACAGCTGATGGTCTAATTCTCATTGGCTGGGAGTTGGTTATTTGATAGCCTGAGGACCATGCCTGCTCCTTCTGTTTTGAACCCGGCCCGCGATGTAGAGAAGGAGCAGCCCTCTTTGCACAGCAACAAAGCTCCGGCTAAAACTGGGCGATGTCCACACTCTGTGGTGAAGAAAAACAAGTTACATCTACGATGCTGTGCTCTAAGATGCTATGCATGCACTCTGTTCTCACTGGCGCGCCTCACAAGGGGTTGTGTTCCCGAGATGACGCGGTCCGAAAACCGGTCACTTCAGTGTGCATTACAGAATTTCACACAAACATGCAAATTACTTCTGTGGCAATCCATTACGCGGGTGACCTGTGATTTCTGCGTCTGTGTACAGTGCTGTCTGGCCTTACCAGTGCTTCCACATAAGGGTCTCATTATCATTGCATCGACGATTATTACATATGATTATTATATTCTAGCGACTACTTTCGTGAAATAATGCTTGTGCGTGGGAGTGTATACCAGACTAATACAACAACTTTGAGATAGCAATGTTAAAATAACCAATATGTACTGCAGTCCATTATAGTTCAATATTGTCACCCATATCATCAACATCGTTGTCATTACCCTCCTATCGTGCACGTGGCTTGGGGTTGCTCATTATGGATTTGCAATTTTTAATACGGCGCTTAAATACCTCAAACTCAAAGCTCCTCACATCACATCTCACCCCAACCATTCTCATGCCCTGCTGCAGCCGAGCCAAGGAGACTCCCGAGCGACAGCCGTCGCCATGTGCGGTACAAGGTGTACGCAGCACAGGCCTCCAAACGGGAATGAGTCGCACTCATAACACACCGGGGTGATCCACTTGCTCCCGTTATTCTGCCGTCAGTAAAATCACCGCCGTTTCGCCGAAAGCCAACGGCGCTTTCCCCCGCTGTTGGGAGAAAATTGCTCCCACCTTTTTTGTTGATTTCACGATACCTCGAGTGGGATTCGGGACCACCAATGGAGTACACAGTCCAGTGCTCAAAAAATGCTGTGGGAATACTCCAGGCCTTGCTTGCAGCTCCTCTCGTATTGTGATAAACAGCCATCAAGGGTGGACTTGGAGAGGAGGGAGGGGTTGCTAACGGGAACATTTGGTAGTTGCAGAGCCAACCTCAGCATCCCTCTTAACAGCGGACCTGCAAAACGATTGACTTCACGTCAAGTTGGGTCTTCGACATGGGCGCGATGTTGAGCTTGAGAGAAGCTACGTCGTGCAATATCCCAGTCTCAAAAGTATTTTGATGACCTGTAATTTCATTGAGAACACAATGCGAAAAAGGGGGATTGCACGTCCAGTGTGTTGACACTTACACACCATGGCAGCATCCATAAAATGCTGAGCTGACCTATTATTATTATTACTCGTAACTAAAAAGCCATAGCTTTATAAACCACCCAGATAATAACTCTCGGTGACTGTAATGAAAAGTTCGTACTCTTAATTTGGGCGTTTTTGTTTCCTACTTTAAATGTAAAGCTCTCTCACCCTTTTGTAGATTGTTATATGTGTAGTACATAACAAAAACGGATATTATGGCTATGCTGGCAGAATGTATATTGTATCCAAAAATGTTTGACTAATTTCATCTGTTATTGTTAAAACTCCATTAAGCCGCAAGTGCCTGAACTCGAAAGAACAGTTGCTATATTACATTCCCCAACGCATTTTGGTAAATGGATATCTACCAGTGAGAGAGCAGAGGGGTAAGTGCATCGATGTATATGTATGTATATTGAACTTCTTTCGCACCGTACGTAGCCAACTGCGCTAATCAGAGGTTCAGGAGAAGGACTACAAACTAAACACGAAAAGCAGTTCGTGAGAAATGAGTTTTCAATCTGGATTTTAAAGTACAGAGCCCCAGTGGCTTCCCGATATCGGAATAGCGTTCCAGACGGCCACAGAAGCGCATCTGAAAGTGCGCGATGCTGTGACAGTTATTGTTCGATGGCAAGCCAGCAGCCGCTGCGAGAGATGACCGGAGTTCAAGTGATGGTTTATGCTCCTTGGCGAGATCAGCGAGGTACTGTGGTTCATCTGTCGCAAGCACTTTCCCAATGCAGCTTAGCGAGCCACTGGACGAACATTGTCGGATCTTGTTTTACCCATCAAGGCACGTGCCAGAGAATGGTGTACACTGCTACAGCTTGGTAATGTTTAGATGACACAATGAACGCATTTTTTGTGAACCACATTATATAAACGTATATAATTTCTGTGCATATAAACATTGCACATATAGTTCTAAACAACTTAAATACAGAACACATTGCACGTGTAACGGTATATATGCTATTAAACTTTTATAGTGAAATCTTGTGTTTGGTGTGCCTTGCTTGATCTGGATATTGAAGCCATACAACAGGTCTTGGCCTCAGAGTTTTAGGGTTTTATTTTATATTTTACAGCAAGCATGAATAATGCTCAACTCGCACCAGGTGCTGGAAGCCACTGGAATTTCGCCGCATCGTAAGGCGACAGCTGCTGTGTGTGGGTGTTTTGCAAAGTGTATGTACAGCCCCTTTGTCAGTCCACTGCTGGATGAGGGCCTCCCCGTGTCGGGTCATGGGGGTTATTCGACCATACTTCACCACACCGGTCAATGTGGGCTGGTGAAGGTGGGGAGGAGCATTAACCTGAGAGTTGGGGGCATCTTCACCGCTGCCCACAACATTTGTAAAGTATCTTGCAGAACACCGTCACAATGTATAATTTAAAACTGTCAAATTTTTGTGACAGTCCAATACTTCATAATGTGGAAAGAGCTATTATTTAGCCATAAATGTCAACTTGTCACGAGGATGTGTAAATTAGCAGGAATTAGATAATAATTCTAAAGGAGCGAATACTGTGGCTAATATCCAAAATTTTCAACAAGGTCGTTATTACATTAGTTAATTCGTTGATAAGTCGGAGTCAACATGTCAACATGTATCCTCCATACTCAAACAAGCGTTTCTCTGTGGGCGGTAATGAGCCAATGGCGAAAATTCCACTTTCCTATGGCAAATACCAGACTTCCTCAGGACAATCATTGTCGGCTTACCATACTGTGGTTCTCATTTAATCAATGCTGTTGGACTAATGACCTGTGGGATTTCGACACACAGCCTTTGACTTGCGCACTTTACCATTTTCGCCATCCAGACGGAAATGGATGCTTATACATGAATTTCAACAAATGCCTTTAATGCACTAGAGATGCAGCTGAGTGCTACATGTCTCCTATAACAATGATCGTAAGGCCTGAAATGAAAGAATCCATTGACAATGTTTTTGTGGATTATTTGGGAGCATTGGAGAATAATTGGTGTATCACAATCCATGATGAGGTTGCATGTGGTAGGGTAAAGTGTGGGTGCTCCTACCTCTTCCAAAATGTTTGACCAGCGTGGAAGAGTAGGCCAAAAATCTCTCTAGAGCAAGTCATTGCCCGGCTGCACCTTTCCTTCTTTTTGGGAGCAGGTTTTGTAGGAATCAGAATAAGGGACACACATGGGACTACTCTTGTGAATCGGGTAACTTGCTCTTTAACTTGTTGGCAGGCAGCACTGCGGGCGTCCTCTGATAATATCCTGCGCAGGAAATTCAAACCTTTGAACCCATGCAAGTGCATTGACCCAGGGGCTCTCCATCTGCCAGGACCAATTACACTGCAAGAATTCCACACTGTGTTGAATGCAAGCTCTGCAGTGAAAAAAAATATATAATATGTAAACACCTTGAGTATTCGTGAACTTTTAAATAAGGAAAATAACATTTGCAAATCTAAATTTGTATTGAAATTGTAAGATGGAAGTAAACGTTTCCTAACATTTAGCAGTAGTGGACTTTGACTTCCGAGACCGTATCTGTACATAATGGTAAATGAAAATTACTTTCTAATCGATTAAGTCTTAAGTTTATGATTTATGGAAGCGTAAATGATGTTTCAACAACAAGCAAGCCGCATTAAACACAGCTGACACAAATCCATCAATGTTGCTAAATTAAGACTGAAAAGTGTTAGATTTCACGTTAAGCCCAGCATATATATTTCAAATTACCATGGAACTGGAGACGATTGAAAAGACGGATGGCATGGGGGAGTAGAGGAAGGCGGATGAATGTTCTATGCAGGGAGAGAAACGTGGACAGGGGATGTGAAGGAAAAAGGTTCGTCATATGGGACACAAAGAGCTGTTTGTGTATTTCTCCTGCATTGGGAACTTTTTTCACATGGGGCAGCCCTCGCCTCGGCTTTCTCATCACCGTGTGAGCCGCCGAGTTAATGAGTGCGTTGCGCTAATAAGCCGCAGCTGAAGCTGTAATGGGATGCTGGCTCACGCCCATCACACGTGCGAGGCACTCACTTCCGCCCATGTGCCGAACGTTTCCAGAAAACAAGTCCATGTTTTGGAAGATGAAACCGAAGAGGTAGAGGACAACATACAGCTGTGTATAGCGACCTAAAGTGGAAACAACCCAGGCACCGAGCCACCACATTTTGCCACGCAATTCAGTTGAGTGTGGGAAAGCAACGGATTGCCAGCAAACGGCTGTACGTGTATAATAAGCGGACGCAATTTGTACGGGACGAATCGTAATAAAACGTGATGTCGTTGCGATTGTAAACTTGTGCGTTCGAAATGAGACGTTGATGTGGAGTTAAGGAATTGGGGAATTGCCTGGGCAAGGAACCTGGGAGATGCTATTGGTTGGGGCCCGAAAATGTAATATTGCATTGCCTGGGTTACTTCCTGCCTGCAGCTCTCAGAGAAGCAGGGTACCCACCCCAGTGGAAACATCTAAGCCGAGACTCGCGAAGTACAGTTTACCAACATTGAACACATACAACCCCCACGGTCATAAATATATTTAAAAATAAAGGGAAAATGACATGCCATATTACATGACCAGCCGGCAGCCATGATCATCTGGGCGAAGGCCTCCTGAATCCATTGCCAATGTCACGGTCTCGTGATGCGACGATCCATCCGGCTCCGGCACGCGAGTGACTTGGTTGACTGCAATCCTCTGCGGGAGGCCGACCTCTGAGGTGTGACCTCTCAGGTGTGACCTCTCAGGTGTGACCTCTCAGGTGTGACCTCTCAGGTGTGACCTCTCAGGTGTGACCTCTCAGGTGTGACCTCTCATTTGCCTGCCACAGAGAGTGGCTGCAACAGTGGGGCTCGAGATCCATATGGGCTCACCGCAAGGACTGCACCGATTGTCCACGTGCCTGCATCTGCCTATTTGGGTAGGCGTCGCCGGGAAAGCATGGAACGTTTTGACCAACGTCGGGCCCAATGTTGCTTCCAACGGGCTCCACCCACGTGCCAACGTTGGCACAAAAATATCGCATGCTTCACTGGGTCAGTGGCGCAACTGCGCCGGGACTCATGGGCCTGTGAGGCTCAGGGTCGGGGGACGACGTTTGGTGGCAGGTGGGGCAATTGGACAGCTGGGACCCATCCCGTGCCTTGCTCCAGGGCCAAATGCTGACCACTCGACACCGCGGTTCGGCGCGCAAGATGATGAGTCAACGTTGCGGGATTCCGGGCGACTCCAATCCACTGCTGACGTCTCTACATTATTGGACTCCCACGCCCTCCGCTGGCCGCTCGCACGCACTGCTTGACTCCCCGGTTGAATCATTTCACTGCTCTGTGTAACCTTGGCCCTCCCCCCTCTCCTCTCGCAAGGTGACTGGCTGCAAGATCTGACACTTGTCGCTGCCGGCACCGTATTCTCCGGATTATAAGAGACGCCTGAAAATCAAACGCAGCCCAAACGTGTGTCCGGTGCAAATAAAGGGATGCAAATCTGGTCACACGTACGTACCGGATGATAGGACGCACCGCCAACTTTTGATTTAAAATATAAGGGGGGGGATGCGTCTGAGAATACGATTATATTACAGGAATAACTCATTACCTGTGACTCCTATTATATGTGGCAGCTGTAGGGTCCGCGAAAACTCATTATCCGTGGACCTATTCCTATTATCCGTGGATTTTACCCACAACGCATAGGAAAGCGGCTTCCCAACAGCCGCGATTTTTTTCTTCACGTATAGTAGGAGTCGTGCGACAAATCCATCCCAAGAACCGCAAAATCTCAGATAACACTGCGGACAATAGGATCCGAGATATTGGTCCGTCAATGTCACCGCGGATAAGAGGAGTTCTGCTGAATAACAAGCGCAACTCGTGAGACGAGTCTACGTGGAGCACGCGACCTGCTCGTGATGATTCAGCTGATGTTGTTGAACTCATCGACAAACCTCTTGATGGCAGAGACTCCCTCCCGCGTTTGCCCTTGTGGCCCTTTAGAAGATTGTGGACCACGTATTTGCAAACTGCACCCATCGGAAAGGGGACCCGAATGCCAGTAGCCAGTTGCATAACACTCCATAAGTGACATTCCTCGTCTCATGTAACACTAGTTTCACATCTGTTTTGTAACCGACTATTATGGTCCCCTCGTGGACAATATACCTATTTCGAAAAGCTAAGGGTCTATTTGAACTGGGCGATCCGATTTGTTTTTCCCTTATCCATAATGGGTAGGATGACTCGACTAATCGGATACCACGAAGATAGTTGGAAAAAAAACCCCCAGTATGTTCCCACGTGTGCCGCTGGACGAAAGGTGATGGACGGAGCGTGGTATTGGTCTTCGCATTATCAGCCGTGTGACGGTGGGAGTGGCTTGCAGGGGGTTTCCTGCCTTCGGGAGGCGGGACGGCGGGTGGGGAGGGAGGCGCTCTTTATAAATGGGGGACGGGAAATTGGCTACAAAGTAGTAGATTAAAATGGTTCGTTGATCAATTGGCTTCATATATTAATCATGCGAACTCGAGTCTTTTAAATAATACAAAATCTGGAGATGAGTCATGGGGCACCACGGTGGTGAGATGGTAACTACCTTGCCTGGTATACCGGAGCTCGTGGGGTCGATCCCGAATTGGACGCCTGCTGTATATTTGGTGGCATGGATTTGTCTCCAGGTCCTCCGGTTTTCCCCTCCACATTTATAATCAACATCACGCGTTTAGAGGAGTTGGCTACTCTATATTCCACATGATAAGCCACTTTGTTGAGATATCATTTGTGGCCAGGTCGCTTCTAAAAAAAGAGATACATAGCTCAGTGGGTCTTACCTGGTAAAACAAAAAATAGTTTATAGTTCAAGTATTATAGTCTCTTTTCGGTAAAAAAAAAACATTTTATTTATATAAAAATAAGCAAAATGTTGCTTTTCAATTTTCCAGTTTTGCTGATGACCCAAATCAATTGATACATTTGTCCACGTGACAACTTGATTTTATTGGCTCGGGTCGGGTGGTTGAGGGTTATAGTTTAAAAATGTATTCCAGTACCCCTACACAATCTAACCCAGAACAAACTAATAATGGAATTATAAAAATTGGTCGTGAATGCCCACGTATAACATTTTCATCTGAAAGAGGCGTCTGCCTCCAGGACATGGCAAAGAGGGCTTTGAGACGGACGGTATGGACACTGTACTTGTCTTTTTTGCGGGGGAGCTGCTGCGTGCTGGGTATAAATAGACGCGCCCGGTTACCCGGCCACCCCGTGCGCCGCATCAGGAATGCGCACGGTCACCAACTCAGACCGGGCACCAACCACCGATGAATTAACAACGCCAGCCACGGCCACTCTTCTCTCCGGCCAGCTCGGAGAAAACCGCGCAGCTCGGCCGCGCGGCGTCAGTTTGAGACCCTGAGCCGTCCCCTCCACCCTCCCAGAGGGTGAACTTTCAGCAGGGTGACAACCGTTGGTTACTGTGACACACACACACACACAGACACACAGACGAACGGGCCCCGTCCGTCTTCATGGAGGCGGCAGCGGTAGACGACGACGCCGCCGCCGCCGCCGCGGCGCCGCGCGCGTGGTCCTCGCCGCCCGAGGGAACCAGCCCCTTCGACAAGCCCCCTCTGGAGCTGAGCGCCGCCGACGTGTGGGACATGGCCACGTCGTTCGGGGAGGCCCTGAAGCTGCTGGTCTCCAGCCGCGGCTACGAGACGCCGGGGGACTGCGGCGCCAGCAACGGCGGCTGCGGAGGCCCCGGCGACTGCGCCCAGGTGGCGGCCCCGCTCGCGTGGCGCGTGGTGCGCGCGCTCGAGGCGCTCGAGGCGCACGTGGCGCACGCGCGCAGCGCGAGCCGCGAGGCGCACGCGCTGCGCCGCGAGCTCGAGCGCGCCGCGGGAGAGCGCGAGCGCCGCGCGCTCCGCGACAGGGAGCACCTGCAGGTGGGTGGGGTGGGGGGGCAGGGGGGGGGGGGTACCCAGGTATGGGGGGGAGCATGGAGGTGAGGTTACGCGTAACGCAAAGCTTGATAGGTACTAGAAAATAGAAAGTGTACAGACACATTGGATTACCTTAATCTCCATATATGTAAAAGGCAAAGTTGTGAATGTGTGTGTCTGTTCAAAATGTTTAGCGTACTTCCCGACATGCAACAAACTGGAAATTTGACATGTGGGTACTTTCCAGACTGTACACCATGCAAAACTTATAAAAATACACTTTTGTGTTTTTCTTAGGGGGGTGGGGGGAGCTCAATAATGCTTATATTTTTTGCACGGCAAGTGAGCTGTGACGTCAAATCTGCTTCTCCATGGGAGAATGGAGAAGCATAAATTGTGTAATTTTTTTGAATGATTGTTATTAAACATTTTGATGTTAATTATTCTAACCAGGGCTTTTCATTCTGTGGAATGTTATAATTGTACTCTCCATTTTTCTTCGTTCTACTACAAAGTTTTAAGTATTTTTTTAACAGTTATAATTACTTTTAACATTTTATAATTATAAGATAATTTAAATTTTATTTCTGAACATCTGCAGTTTTAGTTAGACGTTGAATATGTTCAAGTGAATTTTATGCTAAATTTCAGCTTTCCAACGCCTCCTTTTTAACAAATGTTTTCTCCTACAACATCAGAGTGCAGCGCCACATTAAAACCGCACTACAATGACAATAGTTTAAAGCGATTTGAAGCAAGTTTTATTTTCAAAATGGAAATATGGTTTGGAGGGGGGCAGAGCTTTGTGACGTCATATTTGAGGGGGGTTTGACTTTTTGTGACGCCGTGTGACGAGGGGGGGGGGGGAGGGGGGGGTCAGAAATCGGACAAAATCGCGTGACGTCATTTATGGACAGCCCCACAAGAAAATTGAGTTTTCAGGCCCATACGGCATACAGCCGTTTCAATACGGGCAAACAAAATGCGTTTCCTTGTGATGGGACTTTGTAGGATGAACGTTGAGATTTATAAGGGCACGGGGTGACCAATAAGGTCTGAATTGGTCTGTAATAAGTTAGGGCACTGATAAGGGGTTGCCAGGTATGCGACTCATGACCCCGTTCCCAACACCAGGCAGATCTTCAACACCGCTTCCTGAACGTCCGTGTGTGCTACTGCCGTGGTGCTGCAGCAAGGACATAATTACAATATTCAAATATGCTCAAAATGCCTCCCCCCCCCCCAATATATTGCTATAAAATAGATCTATGTCTATATGATTGTGGTTATGGTTGTATTTTATGAATCCCAAATCTCTGCCATTACATACAATGAAATAAGAAAAGGTAAAAAAGAAAAAACAGAGCAATGTAATACAATATACACTATTAGACATTATTGTAAAAAATAAATAAAAAGTCCATCCTATGTGGTTAGTAATTTTTTTAATATTTTAGGCAGGAAATTCGTTTTAAAATTTAGCTTTTTTTCTCTGGGGGGGAAGATTTGTCCCCCCCCCCCCCCAATGTTGACTCCATGGCTACTGCCGTGGTGCTGCAGTGTCCACCTGGTGGATAGCGGCCCCTTGTTACTCAACTCGTGCCACTGTACCTCAAATGAGATGAGTGGGACAGACGAGTTAACTTCGTTAACGTCGTACTCATAGTGCCAAGTGATATAAGAACTGGTCCTGGTGAAGTATGGTCAACACCCCCCCCCCCCCAAATTACCAATATGGTGGGAGGCCTTCAGTTGGTGGAACGAGATCGGCTGGGGCTTCGGGTGTTCGTTACGTTTGTTATTATTATCGCTAAAACGAAGTGTCGCTCTTTCCTGTCAAGTTCTCCGAAATGCGATTTTTTTTAAATTAAAAATTCTACATCGTTACCGAGTGATATCAAATGAAAACACACACGCGCACAAACACACACACACACACCACAGACACAATATACTGTAGGCACAAATAGATCCTGCGCGCACCATCAACTGAGCCGAGACCCAATGCCCCCTCCACCCCCGTCTCTAGCGAGCGCAGAGAACTCGCTCGTAATGGGCAGCAAACGTCTGCACGACGGAGACTCCTCGTGCCAACTGGGGGAAAGAGTTTACGATGGGCCGGAGAGAGCCAGCCGGTTAACGGAGCCTCCGGCTTTGTTAAATTCACACCCACGGTATGAATGCAGTGTAGTAAGAGCTGAGCAAAGAGTGGTGGAGTCTCGTTGCGAAATCTGTAAGTTTTCCCGGGACATTACTAGTCCCAGTTTTTGTTTGCCATTTGCGTAATAATAGACCACTCAAGGGGATGCATTTACATGTAGTTCTTCCCTCTTACAGGCGTGAGATATAAATATTGCCATGATATGTTAGGTGTTTTGTAACCGAGAGATGGCAACGCTCATACAAAATCTGAATCTTTATCAGAGAAGTGGAAGGGGTATGCCCGGAAAATGGTTTGGGGGTTAATGCAATATATAGAATAAGGTTAGTCTGTGATATTAAAAAAGCCATTCAGAAACATCCAGATTTTTGTGCTTCAAAACGAGGGAGGTTTTGGGAAGAGATTTTTGCATTCTTGTAGAGATTATTAATCAGGTGACAGTCGATTGAGATTCACAGTTTTGTTTAGTTCTCTAAATATGTGGGGGCCTAGGCGTTTGTTAATTTCCCTTAACGGTGTGACGCCCATTGAGAGTAAATTATCGAGGTACTTTAAAGATGCGAAATCCCATTTATTTGCATGATTTGTTAATGTACCTTAACTATATGGGGCTATTGTTGGAAAACTATATGTATGTTGAACTTCTTTTGCATCGTACGGAGTCAACCGTGCTAATAGGGTGCCAAGGATGAGTTCTCATATTAGTCCCCACTGATGTTAGCTGTGGCCAGGAATCAAACTCAGATTGCTAGGCTCATAACGCAGTGCATCAACCACCACTGTGCTTGCCGATTCAACATCCCCACTACGTCAATGGTGTGTGTGTGTGTGCGTGCCAACACCAGCGTATCGTTACTGTTTTGACACCTTTCTATAACTTAAGTACAAAAGCCACTATCAATGTTGATTTTAAATCTAGGGATTTTTTTTTAGAGGCCAGGATACAGGCCACAGCGATTTGAAAAAAACAAAAATCTGCTGCAGTGTACAGGGAGTGATGGAACGTGTGCCGGCATCCGGGATGTATTTTTTCCTGTTGCAGTACTTGGAGCAGGCCGAGGAGCTGTGGCGTCAGGAATCATGCGATCTGCGGGAGAAGCTCGCGAATTCGGAGCGCGAGAGGGCACGTCTGGAACGCGCTCTCGTCCTGTCACAGGCGCCTGTCGAGGACCTGTCTGACGGTCAGCACGCGCGGCGCACGCGCGTCACGATCACGCAGAGCATGCGAGCGCACGTTGTAGAAATTGCATTCGGTGTAGAAACTGCTCGATTTTGTATTCAGTGCAAGGTCGCATATCCGACTCGCTGGGGACCGAGCCATGGGGCGGATACGTGAAGGTGTCAGATGTGCGAACGTCTATGAGGTGGCAGTTACGCGAAAGCAAAAATACTGCGCTCGGGTGTGGACGGTGAATTCGTCAGTGGCGGATATGCGAACGGACTGTGTTGTGGGATCATCAAAAGGCACGCCTGCAAAGTGAAGTGTTGGCCTTTGCGGCATTTGAGCGTGCGTGCATTGGCCGCTTCTTCCAGCAGACACGTGGGACTTGGAGGACATGATCCGGCTCCAGAATGAAAGAGACGCGGCTGAAAGGAAACTGAAGGAACGGGAGCGTGAGCTCAGGGAGAGGGAACAAGATCTGAAGCAGAAGGAGCAAGAGTTGCGGGAAACGGAGCGAGAGATGGCCCTGAGCCAGCGCGAAACTAAGGCCGTGAGTCCTGGTTTGGCGACGATGTTGGGGGATAACGTTGAACGATTCCTACAGGAATCCTACAGGAATTTGAACGATTCCTACAGGAATCGTTCAAATCCCACCAATTCCGCTGCAGGTAATTCCTCCAGGAATTACGATTCTTCCGTGGCCGATTCCCATGGTTAAATCTCAAGTCCCTTGAGCGCGATTTTAACAGACTTTAGCGTGATTTGAAGCTTTCGCGACTGCAGGAATCCATGCTCTTTGGTTCTTTCGGTAAAGTCACGTAGTTATAAATAGAGTAAAATGAAACAAATCACGACGTTTCGACCGCTGTCCTCCAGACAGTCTCGTCCCTTCACCTGATGAAGGCCGCTTGTGTTGTGGCCGAAACGTCGTGAGAATATTATTGTGTTATTTAATTTTATCAATTTATTATTTTATTCTCATCTGTGGTATCTCCATTCATTTCAATGGCCATTCCTGAATCTCCATCGAAATATAATGGGATTCCTGTGGAGATTCCAAAGGATCACGACTAGATGACACACTTTGCTAATTCCACTATTCCAAAAATCGCACAGTTCCGTGAGGAATTACATTTAATTCCAGGGAACGCATTGCGATCGCAGGACAGGGATAATCATAGGAATGGATCAGCATTCGATAAAAGACAAAGGTACAGCCCTGCAAAATTCTTGCTCACACCTCCTCTGGAGAACTCCTCGAGGGGGTGTCGTGGCATACGCTCCCGCGCTGCGTGAACATCTTGGAAGAGGTGGGAGTAACCACACCACGACCGCGGGCGGACGCCTGCAGCGTGTTCACCATTCAGTGGTCATGTGCGTTGCGTGTCTTACAGTTGCAGTTGCAAGTGAGCCGGCTGGTGTGCATGAACAGCGAGCTGAGGCGACAAAAGTCTTGCCAGGCGCCGCCTGTCGCCGAGCTGGAAGCGAGGAAGAAATCATTCCGGGATTCTCCAGTTCTCCGATCGGAGGAGGAAGCCGGGCTGCAGCAAAAGCAAATGCGTGTGGAGGCTCCCCAGAAAGTCACTGCTCCCGCTACCCAAGCAGCGCTCAAGGCAGCACAGAATACTGACCAAAATCCTCCAGTGGAACCCAGTCAACAACCGAAAGTTGGCACGGAGTCTTCCGCGAACGAACACGGAAAAAGCAACCCTCCGCAAAACTCCGGAGAAAATGTTTGTTGCTATACGAACACGTTGCAGTGCTTGCCTCTGAATATTTGCACAATCTTGGTTTACTGTTAAAGTATTTAAGGACTTAACGAGCTTTCAAGCTGAAGCCATTACAGCATGCCTTCGCAGTAGAGAGAGAAATTAAATCAATGCAACAGTGGAGGGTTGCCACTTATTCTGGTTTTCCCGGAATGGACTCTTTTCGAGGTAGTTGTTGTTCTGGGATACTGTGTGTATGTCTCCCCCAGGGCATTAAGAGACCCGGGTATTTTCAGTCGCCTAATAATACCGCAAACAAGACAGTGCATTCCTCGATAATGTCCCCTCTTCTGATATTGCGAGATATTGTTCTTCCCATAATAGGTCCTGGTTATTTATGCCTCAGGAAGTGGCAACCCTCTCACAGTGTGGGCAGCAAACACCGTGAGAACAATGAATGTGTCAATCAGTCCATGGGCCAGAGCAGAATTCGGTAACCAAGGGTGGCGACCAATTTCTGTAGTATACGGTTAATACAAGTGGATTATGTGATAATGCACTTAGTAAGCACGTTTATTGCATCATTCCCTCCGACTGGCAATGTTAACACGTTTGCGCAACTCGACTTTTGCCATCTCAGGTGATGCCAACGGGTAACAGCATTTTGCTCTGAGCCCATGGACCAAAGCGGCATCAAGTAAACCCGCTGGGCGAAATCCGCGCGAACGCTCTGCCTGATTCTTCCACACAGAGGGAGAGCCCTCGCTACACGGTGCACGAGTTGCGGCACGTGCTGGAGGAGAGGAACCAGCTGAAGGCCGAGCTGCTGTCCCTGCAGGAGGAGCTGGCGCTTTACAGGGGGTATTGAACCAGTCGAGCCACCGGGCACGCTGTTTGCACCAGCTACCGTAAATAAGTATGTATGTACACTGTAATAGATGGCGTTTCGGCAGTGGTGCTGTCTCCAAAGCAGACATATCTCTCTGCTCTATTTCAGGCAATGCCCACCAGCTTATGTTCGTAATGGTCAAGCCACGTGCTCTCGGGGCCCATACCGCTACTCAACATTTGGTCTAACCCTGTAGCGTGACCTTGTTTACAAAAATCTCAGCGGAGCACGGCACAATGATGTTAAACTACACAAATGGTAAATGCTGAACAGAATGAGGAAATATATTATCTGTTTGTTGTTGTTGTTGTTGTTGTTTCTGTATACCCATCATTCTTCTCTAACGCTCACATGCTGTGTATACGAGGAATGGCTGCGATGCCCATCCTTTAATTTCTACCGTAAGAATTTAGGAACCGGGCTGAGCCTTTATTATTGAGGGCTCAGCCCCGACCAGCCTTCCCTGACGCTACGGAGCCGCGTGGGCCCCCAATGCTCGTCGCTCAGCAAACTTGAAAATATTTCCCGTGCGCCTGCTGCAACGGCAGTGCTGACGAGAGCAACGTTAATATCCGTTTCGTCGTCCCATTCCGTCGCCGCAGTGAGGAGGGCGAGCAAGACGTCGAGCTCACCAACTCGTTGCCCGCTGAGAAAGCGCCCGCGGTGATTCAGGACGTGTCCTCCCTGCTCTTTAAGACGGATCAGCAATCGGAGCCTCACATCAAGCGACTGTACGTGCACGCTGTAGCAGCACACACGGGGCTTTGCAGTGCGCACGATGGTAAAAACACGTGCATGTTGAACTTCTTTCGCACCGTACGTGTTAATCGGAGGTGCGGGCGAAGGACAACAAACTAAACACAAAAAAGCAGTTCTAAATTTAATTAAGACCTATCCAACTGTTTTAACATTCTTATATCACGCACGGTTATTAATCTTATCAAAATAACAAATCTAAATGTTGGAAACCCAGGTGGGGTCAACAAGTTGAATATCTTACCTGGGCAGAATACAATTAGGCAGCCTACGATTTAGTGCTCCCGTATGAAGAATTGCCAGAGATCTTGACAGTTTGGGGAAGCTTTCTCCTACAACAGTGGACGATGCCTCGCCGAGTCTCAACACTTTTTTTCAGGAGGGTCCCATCAAGGTTTTTTTTTTAATATATAATGGGGGGAAAAGGGTGATGTTCCGATGTGCAATCCCAATTGAACCATTTGCAGGTGAAACTATCAGCATGGGGCTATTTTGACATCGCTCTATTAAACGTTTCGGCTCTACAGTCTCCACATTGTCGACATGACGTGTATATTTTCCCCACCGTTTCCAGGATATTTACGGCAATCATGCCACTGGTCGCAGCGGGGCTGCTCTACGATGACCCCACACTCCAACCGATCAGAAACTTCGTGTGCGACGTAAGCCGCCTCACCTCTCGCACGAAGCACCGCCACCTCGTATGCTCACTTCACCCTCCTCGAGACAATGAGCGAGAGAGGTATATGGTACGAGCGGGGGCACGGAGAGGAAAAGCATTTGAAGACAAGCAACGGGAGAAAAATAGGACAGCCATTTAGATGTTCTCCCATATCTAACGTTTTCCCACATCCATCGTTCAGTTTGGTTGGTCCACTGAAAAATGTAAAAAGAAAACCATCTCCTGCCAAATTAATACTTTCATTTTATTACGCGTCATTCATGCTAATAGCATCCCACAACGCTGTACATTAATACATTTTTTACAGACCAAATCCTATATACGGCCACTACCAAGCAAATTAAAATCCTGCTACAAAGCAAAATGTAAAATTAATAAACAAATTTCGAAATGTCATCAAAACCATTGGAAAATTGTCACAATTTAAGCATCAATTCCTCTTTTTTTTAGTGGGGTGCGAATGGCAGTGCCTAAATGTGACTTCAGACGTGATGAGGACAATTACACTGACCATGTTTTGTTTATAACCATCATAAACGTTAAGCTCTTTTGACAATCACTCAGCTGTTGGATAAAGGGCCTCTCCACACCCTGTGTCGTGCATGTTCTTTTTACCATACGTCACCACACTGCTCGGGGCAGGTCGGTGAAGGTGCCGGCGGCTGGGGGTTACCGGTTCCAGGACCGGTTCAGATATTCACCACTGATGTTAGCCGTGGCCGAAAGTCGCTCGGGTTGGCAAGTTACATAGCGCAGTGCGCTGCTTATCCACCATGCCACCGCTCTTGCCTATCCCACCGAGGTTTTCGATTTACGGCCAAAATCCGACAGTCAAAGGCTGAACGTTATTTCCATATTCGATGGGTCTTTCGGTAAAGCCACGTAGATAGAAAAATATTTTTTTAAAAAATCACGTTTCGATCGCAACACAAGCAATCGTCTTCAGGTGAGAGAGAAAGCTGCTGAGACAAGGTCTTATATAGGCCTGAGATGGGTGCATCAAGGTAGGTGGGTGGAGCTAGAGATGGTCCAATCACAGAGGCTGGGGCAGTAGCCTTTGTATTGTGAGAGATTAGCATGTCAATGTAAGAGAATCATCGCAGCTTTCTCTCTCTCTCTCACCTGAAGACGATTGCTTGTGTTGTGATCAAAACGTCGTGATATTTTTATTATTTTTCTACCTACGTGGCTCTACCGAAAGACCCAAACAATATGAATTCCTGCAGTCATGAAAGCTTTAAGTCAAGGTTATTTACATACATTTCTTTTTCTTAATTAAATATCTCCTTCTTTGCTTTACTGAAAAGTATATAATTGAATATAGGTTATAATTATGTAGTTGTAAAAGCAATCATCGTTGGTTTATCCAAACTGATGTGTTACACCCGGTATATAATGTGTAGAGTACTTTACTGTATAGTCGGCAGCAACGTCCCAAAGGGCCGTCCATAAATGACGTCACGCACATATGGGGGGGGGGGGTCAGACATTTGTGACAATGTGTGACGAGGGGGGGGGGGGGGTTGAGAAATGTGACGTTACATCAAAATGCGCAACTTTAAATAAATATAGACAACACGTTCTACTTTATTAAACATACTTCTTAATAAATGTTTTCTCCTACAACATCAGAGTGCAGCGCCACATTAAATACGCACGACAATGACAATTTAAAGCGATTTGAAGCATGTTTTATTTTAAAAATGGAAATATGGTTGGAGGGGGGGTGGGCAGAGCTTTGTGACGTCATATTTGAGGGGGGGGGTCTGACTTTTTGTGACGCCGTGTGACGAGGGGGGGGGGTCAAAAATCGTCCAAAATGGCGTGACGTCATTTATGGACGGCCCCCAAGACACCCCAGAATGTGTTAACCTTCGTGTCCTTCATTTGTGCGTTCTTGCTAGGTTTAATGCCGACTCCGGAGAGGACTTCACAAGCTAAACGCACAACCACGCTATTGAGACGCGCCATCAGCAAGGCGCACATGCTAAGCGGGTGCCATTTACACGTTGTTTTAGTCAATGATGGGGTCTCAAACTTAGATGCAGTTTTATATTGAAGTGAAGAGTTTGCCGCTCTTAATATTTCCTGTATATACCCATACACCATAGCCTTCTGTTTGAAACGCTACCTTTATGTCAGTCGTTTAAAAATAAACACGCAAAAGATCCCAATAAGTGTGGTAAATCCCACTGTCATTGTGACTGGTATTTCTATGCGAAGCATTGGCATCACCGGCATGCTTTTGCAGGTATGCCGAACTTCTTTCGCGCCGTACGTAGTAGCTCGCCGTGCTAATCGGAGGTGCGGGAGGACAGATTACGATGGAAAAGAGAAGTGTCGATGTTTACTCTTTGGTTCTCTCGGTATAGTCACGTAGGTATAAATTAAATTAAATCACGTTACCGAAAGAACCAAAGAGTATGGGATCCCTGCCGTCACGAAAACTTCAAATCAAGAGTGAAGTGTCGATGTTGCTTGGTGGGAAGACTTTGTGCTTCTGGGATATGACATTAGTTGTGCTGGTGCACAGGATCGACATCTACGAAAATAAAACTTGACGCAATTATCAACAAGCGCCCGAGGAGGGGAAGTCAACGTTTCAGGCAATGGCCCTTTTATTACGAAGGCCCATTGCCCAAACGTAATTTATTTTAAATATCAACTTTCAAACCCAATGAGTTGTCCATTACGGATACCAGTCTGCCGATGTGTGCTGTTAATCCGCATGCATGTGTTAAATAAGAACCACGCACGTCAGATGATGTATCGCTTTCCAAGAAGAGTATTTTGTTAGCAGCATGGAAGCCACGAGCAAACACACATTCGCATCGACGTGGAGGGGGTTCTGCTGGTGAGTGTAGGCTGGAGGAGCCCAGCACCGGTTCAGATATCGCCACCGATGCTGGCGTTGGGGGGAAATGAGTGAGACACACTATTCTAGTGGAAATTAGTGACGAGTTTTGATTTGTTGTGAATTTTTTGCAGAATTTTTTTGGATCACCTGTGTTCCGTATTTCCTCAGGTTTTTTTTAATCAAATAATTATTCACACAGAAATGCTACCTTATCACATATCGATGCATCTACACTGAAACATATGAAACATAGAATGCTGGGCGTTTTGCAAAGGCCAGGGCCCACTGTTTCATTTATTTATTTTACCAGCATGAGCATGACACTACTGAAGTTATGGCAAGTGTTGCGTGTTTTTTTTTTATAACAAATGAACACTTTAACTGTAGATGGCAGAGTACACCGCTGCACGCAAGAAAAATCTGCTACAGCCGAGATAAGGTGGTGAATGCAAAAAGTTGCTTGGCTTGGCGGCGCCTAGGGAACTGGGCCCCAAAGGTCAGCGTGGACAGGTTGCAACTGTGGAGACGTTCCAGTCCCATACCATCACTCCACTCCACCCGATCCACCACCCCCCAAGCCTAAATACTCATCGAAATAAAGATTAACTTTTAACGTTCACCCCAAAACCGTAGCAAACAACCCCGAATCCTAAACAGTTAACATATCCACATTGTTATCCCTAACTTCCACGATTATCAGTTTAACACGAAGCCTTTCGCGACCAAAACAGGATTTCTCCACAACTCTGGCTGTCCACCTGATGATGCTGGTTGCAATTACCAGCGAAACGTCGTGCTCGAATTGAAAATGTTGTGGGTTTACTCTCCGACAACACCGGTGTGCTGAACTAGCAACGAATTGGCATATTTTATTTACATGACAAACCTTACTAAGTGGCTGTGTCGGGTGGCGGCGGGTTTAACGACACATTTATATTTGCGCGATCTAACCCAAGAAAACTCTTGTGGATTCCATGATTTTAGTACTGTACTAAGAACGAACTTAATAGGCTCCAGAAGGACGAGTCCTGCTTAAAATCATTGCTTCACACATTGTAAACAAGCCAGGTAAACCGGAGTCCTATAAAGCCAAAGTATTACATTCAGTATTAATTTAGCCACACAATTTAATTTTAAATGTTAACTTATACATGTTGCCCCAATTGTCTTTACAAAACCATGCCCTTACACGGACCAGTAAAAATCCCAATGCTTTATCTTTCAATTTTTAAATAGGTATGTACAGATGGGTTTCACTACATTGCCAAGTTTTATACACCACGAAAGGAAACCCATATGCAGTAGCCAATACATAAATCCAACATGTTCCATATATTGCGTATAACCTGGCTGCAAACTCGTGAAAATTAACTGTTTATAAAGGTGCACCTTTACTATATTTAGCTTTTTTAAAGTAAATGTATTGCCGGTAAAACAAGAAAGAAATCATTAAGATCAAGAGTGCAGTTGCATCTTAGCAATTCCGTGAACATGATGTTGAGAACAACACATATATACAGACACTGCTAAATACATTTAGCAGTTTTAGTCACCCGAACGATTAGAGAAGCTATACACAACAAAGATTAAAAGAGTATTTGCATAGTGTACTTGGACAATCTTTTAAATGAAAGAGTAGCCCACAACAAAATAGAGGATTGTCAACAATCTGTTTTGAAAACATATCTGGGTTTGACTTTTATGAATTACTGGAGGAATATCTCATACTTTAGATTGCACAAACATCTGACCGTACACAGGTGCATCGCTTAGGATTTATGGACCTAGTTTGCTTTTCCGTTGCAAACTATTTAGTAGTTACAGAACAGTGTAGTTGGTTCTTCTCAGATACAAAAAGCTGAATTTGTATTGAGGCCAATTTTATTAATGAATGCTTGATAGTGCTTTTTCTTTATCCTTTGAAAGGCTTACTGAAATACAACAATCTACCTGAAATATAAAGCAAATACTAAATCCCTGTGTTTTACAAAAAATCATTTCAGTAAATCCTTGAAGAGAACGTCTGAACTGGCATCAGTAGAAACTGGCAGTGGTGTGAAAGTTGGCAATGTATCAGAGATGGGCTTCATCAGCAGGTGGCTGGACTGTGGATGCAGCCCAGCTTGAGATGTCCCAGCAAGTGGCACAGCCGAGGAACGAGCTACCATGATTGGATGAATAATTTCCGGTCTCCGTGCCAGACCTGGACCTAAAAGACAGAATACAAATCTGAAGTAAGCAGGACAACAAACATGTCACTCGTGCGATATCTAGGAAACAATGAGCTCAAATATGGTGGACTTGTGGAATGTTTAAATTCAGTCAACATATTCTTAGTTTTTTCGGTAAAGTCACGTTGAAGAGAAACAACAAAATAACAAAATATATATAAAACAATAAAAAATTCTCACGACGTTTCGACCATAACTCAAACGGTCATCATCAGGTGTGTCGGTTTGCATAAATTTATTTTGAAAACGGCATATTTATTTATTTATATATATAAAAATAACGTTTGCGTCACGCGCAACGATTGGCAGTTTGCCCAGGACTAGTCCATCTATTTTTTGAAAAGAGGAGGGGGGAGACGAAATTTGTTTTTATGTATGCTGTCTGAAAGCCACTGTAAGCGTGAACAATCAATCAAGAACTGAAATTATTTATCAAATCTTTCCAATGATTGCTAAGATAGAATCCATCTTCTCGGTTGAAATTGTCTCTGTGTTTGTATATGTGGATAGCCTCATGAACGAATCTCTCATGGAAGCCAGATGGCTTACAAAGAACCTCCGTCTTGGAAAAGTCAATGGCATGTGAGCCTACTGAATTAGAACAATGATCTGCTACGGCCGAGGTATTGGTCCTACCGTGTTTAAGGTCTGCTTTATGTTCACGAATGCGGTCCGAGATATGGCGTTTGGTTTCTCCAATGTAACTACTACCACAGAGGCAACTTAGTTTGTAGACACCAGGGTATTGTATGTCCGGAATCACATCTTTTACAGACGGAACCAGATCACGGATTTTATGTAATGTGTTAGACAAGACACTCTACAAATCACACTTATCATTGACGGCAATAATGTCCACATCGGATTGGGAACATGTAGACAATATGACTGCCTCTTCAGCTGCTACTATGTCGACCAAATGTAAGGAAAACCTGATTTCCAAATTTAACCTCCTCTTCAACAAAAGACCGGACCCACACACCAAAAAGTTAGACGTTAATAAAGTCGTAATTAATCGCAGTAACAGTTCTATTTCCGATGGTCTGAAATCCGTTTTAGCTAAAGGTCTAAACTTTGCAGTCACACCTAAACACATACCAGTTAATGATATAATTGCCCAAGTAGACGTTGCTCTCAGGGGCCTGGGTCACATCGCTGCAGACGTAGCAAGATCTGAAATCGCTGCAACCCTCAAAAACGCTAAGATGCCAGCTAGCAACCTCAGCAAAGATGAGCGTTTTGAATTATATAAATTAAAAAAGAGGAATGATATTGTAGTTCTCTCAGCTGACAAAGGCAATGCTACTGTCATCATGGATAAAATAGAATACAACAACAAAATTAAAGAATTACTCGACGATGGTAGTTATACAAAAATAAAAAGAGATCCCACCAACAGCCTCGTCACACAAACCAACAAAATAATTTCTGATTCAACCGCATTAATTGATCAATCTAAACAGTTTTCGTTGAAACCTTCTGCTGCCAGGCCACCAAGATTATACGGCTTACCAAAAATACATAAAGTTGATACACCTCTTCGTCCCATAGTCTCTACTATCAGCTCCCCCACCTACAAACTAGCTCGTTTTTTGTCTGAAATCCTGCGTCCTTTCACTGGAAAGACCACCTCTGCGGTACAAAATTCTACTCACCTGGTATCAACAATCAAGGGTATTTCCCTGTCCCCAGACGACCTGCTTGTCAGTTTTGATGTAGTTTCCTTATTCACCAAGGTTCCTGTACCTGACACCATTGCAATCATTGAAGACTTGGTTCATCAAGGACTAAACACTGAGGTACCCCCCCTGGTGAGACACTGTTTAACCAATACATACTTCACTTGGAATGGAACTTTCTACAAACAAACTGAGGGCACCCCAATGGGCTCCCCCCTTTCTCCAGTTATAGCTAACATTTTCATGGAGAAATTTGAGACTGACGCCATCCAGACTGCCACTCTGCGCCCAACCTTATGGAAGAGGTACGTGGATGACACTTTTGTCATCTGGCCACATGGCCGGCCTGCTCTAGACCAATTCTTCGACCACATCAATTCCATACACCCAGCCATCAGATTTACCATGGAAGTCGAAATAGATGGCAAGATACCTTTTTTGGATGTCCTAATTAAAAAGAGACCTGATGGTTCAATGAGCCACTCTGTCTACAGGAAAGCTACCCATACGGATGCTTATCTGAAACCGGATTCCCACCACCATCCATCACAGAAGAATTCTCTCATCAAGACTCTGTATCATAGAGCCCAATGCATATCCGACCAGGAACACATAAGCAGTGAACTCAAGCACGTACACCAAGCTCTTAGGGCTAATGGTTACTCCGACTATACAATCCGCAAAGCTATCACTCAAACCATGAAGAAGAACCCTCTTGAGGAGCCTTTCAAAACCATCACTTTACCCTACATTGCTGGGATCACAAAAAAGATCTCCAAAATCTTGAATAAACACAAGATCCAGGTCCGTTTCAACACATTACATAAAATCCGTGATCTGGTTCCGTCTGTAAAAGATGTGATTCCGGACATACAATACCCTGGTGTCTACAAACGAAGTTGCCTCTGTGGTAGTAGTTACATTGGAGAAACCAAACGCCATATCTCGGACCGCATTCGTGAACATAAAGCAGACCTTAAACACGGTAGGACCAACACCTCGGCCATAGCAGATCATTGTTCTAATTCAGTAGGCTCACATGCCATTGACTTTTCCAAGACGGAGGTTCTTTGTAAGCCATCTGGCTTCCATGAGAGATTCGTTCATGAGGCTATCCACATATACAAGCACAGAGACAATTTCAACCGAGAAGATGGATTCTATCTTAGCAATCATTGGAAAGATTTGATAAATCATTTCAGTTCTTGATTGATTGTTCACGCTTACAGTGGCTTTCAGACAGCATACATAAAAACAAATTTCGTCTCCCCCCTCCTCTTTTCAAAAAATAGATGGACTAGTCCTGGGCAAACTGCCAATCGTTGCGCGTGACGCAAACGTTATTTTTATATATATATATATAAATAAATATGCCGTTTTCAAAATAAATTTATGCAAACCGACACACCTGATGATGACCGTTTGAGTTATGGTCGAAACGTCGTGAGAATTTTTTATTGTTTTATATATATTTTGTTATTTTGTTGTTTCTCTTCAACGTGACTTTACCGAAAAAACTAAGAATATGAATTACTGCAGTCACGAAAGCTTTAAATCAAAATTCAGTCAACATGTTAGTTTTTTATTCGAGAATAGATTCACTGTGACAAAACTGTCATACAGTTTCATATTAAAATAAGAGTACATTGGTAGGTTACTTTAAAACTAGCATAAAATCCATGTAAGACGTTAACATGATAAAACTGTGCAGTGTCTCAGGGATATTGTTAGTCGCTGCATTGTCAGTGACTAACGGTTGCAGTCGTAATGACAAAGGAGAGGAACCGTGGCAAGAGACACCTGAAGCAAAAAGACATCAATGTAGGACTGACGAGGACACATGCATTTAGGGTGTGCTAATGTTCCACAAGTTTGTATTTGAGGGGTTCCTGAAAAAAATAGATCTGTTTTGGTGGATTGCCATCACAAAGCTCTCCAACCACACTGGTCAAGTGCCAAATACGCATGGCCATGTTCGCTGAATATTTAAACCAGACTGGACAAGGTTTATGATAGCATTGGAATGCCCCTGGGCACACCATTGGCGAGGGCTGGAACACCTTCACCTCTCTGCGGATGAGGACTGTACGTCATTGGGAACCTCACACCCAAGGCAGGATCTGAAGTTTTTTTGTAATTTTGGCAGGATATTTTACAGCACTGCAGTTCGTGATCCATGCATTTCCTGCTGCAGAATATTTTCTGTGTGCTGCAAATAGGACAGCTGGCTACATACGGTGCAAAAGAAGTTCAACATAGTAAAGTAAAACCTTGGATTGCGAGTAACTTGGTCTGCGAGTGTTTTGCAAGACGAGCAAAACATTATAAATAAATATTAATTTGATAAACGAACGAGGGTCTTGCTATACGAGTAGTGTACGTATACGCTTTGTCTGCCGAGCGTCACGTGATCACAACTGATATACGAGTGCTTTGATATACGAGTGCTTTGGATTACAAACACGTTTCCGGAACGACTTATGTTCGCAATCCAAGGTTCAACTGTACATACAAATAGCAGATTCTTCGCAGCGTGTATGCAGTGTTCTCTGCGCACCTGGAATACGTGAAGCTTTGTCGGTTTCGTACGTCTGAAGCCCTGCCAGCAGCATCTTTGGTGGAGGAGGAGAAGGCAAGGACTCGGTCTCCAGAAACTTTAGAAACATCTCTGAAAAAGACTAAACAGGGGTTCTCGATCACTTACAGACGAGGTCACAATGGTAAAACAAGATCGAGATGGTAACGTATGTAAAATATACATGAAATGTACCACGAAGAAAAACTACTTATGCCATTACATTGAAGTTAAGTGCTTCACAAATGTGTTATTTCAAGTTTAACATACGCTGTTCATTTCCAAGTTGTGGGATTTGTGCGAGGCTGCTGGATGGTTGTGGCTGCTCCCTCCTCCCAGCCAACTTGAGACCCACTTTGTGACAGTTACTTGCTCATCACTGACAAGCTGAAGGTGACAGACAACACGCAAATGCAAGTTCAATATACACTTGCAAAAGATAATTAGTATCGTAACACACATGCCAGTAATTTGTTTATGACAAGTTTCATATTTTAAAACATCCACATTTGTAAGGCCATCTGGAGAAATAATGGAACTCAAAAGCACAACAGCAAGCAACAACAACAGCTGCATACCTGGCATGTAGCAAAATAAAGACTTGGCAATGGATATCCAGAAGACCGACTTTGATTTACCTAGGTATGCCAACTGCTTTTGCACTTTGAAATAATGCCTTTTGTTGTCAAATACAAACAGCATATCATCTTATATGAAATGACATACAGTAGATTATCGATTATATGGTGGCTTGGGGGTGCCGGATTTTCAAAAATGCTGAATAAACAATCATTATTTATAATTGCTTATTTTTGCACATTGTATTACATGTTTTTAGGTGTTGTGTATATGTTTTTTAGTGTTTTTAATTTGTTTACTATATGAAATCGGCATTAAATAAGCATACAAATAGACAAAAATAAATATCCTACTTTAAAGAGTTACTGTATTTACTGTACCGTACTTTGCCACTCCAATTTCGAAGATTCTGCATGGGGTGCAGCATTTTCATTTTTTGAAGTTGTATGTAGTGTATAATGTACTGTATATAATATTAAACACTGAAATCAAACAAAGCTACTTTTTTTTGTCATACATGGTGCCCATCGCCAGACTGGTGCACAACCTTTGCAGTGGTTTTGCCGGTTTCGCCGGCTCAGCCGGGGGACCGCCGGATAATGTCGGATGCCGATAATCGCGCACCAGATAATCAATGTTAAACTGTGTGCACATTTTACCACCAAGGCCAATAAAACAAACAGCTTCGTTCCATAACCTCAAACGCAATGTTGGCATCCATGCAACTGGGTAAAAGCATGCAGTCTTCCTTACTTTGTCCATGTCTTCTCTTTTAACTCCAAGAACAACACCCATCAACTTAAGCACTTCGACACGCTTATTTTTTGGCGTAGAAAAGTATCCAACGAGAATATTCCGCAACAAGACCCTGCAGAGAAACAACAGACACTTATGCAGTTGACACGAGAGCAATGCAAATTTGAGGTTGACCGATGAGACGAACGTGGCTTAACATTTTGCGAATAAAATTCTACAACAAATTAAAAATACAGGTAAGTCCTCTACTTACGATGGAGAAGTCAAAAATATCGTAAGTCGAAGATGGCCTAGCCTACCCAGGAGTCTTAAAGAATGGTGATAATTTAGCAAAACAGAGCAATTTACAGTACCGTACTGTATAAACTATATACCGTATGTATTTATTAATTACAATACTGTATTGCACAGTAAAATGTAAAGTAAAAAAACACAAGGTAAATTCTTAGCCTACCTATATGAACTGCAATTTAATAGAAAGGAGGGAGATGCGTACATCCCGGCAGCGTCCCAACGTACAGTATCGTACCTCGTACGCTGCTGCGTTTGCCTGCCGCGCGAAATGTAAAATATCATACAGTTTTGTCATATCGCTATCGCCATCGTAAGATCGAAATATCGTAAGTCGGACCATCGTAACTCGGGGGCTATCTGTATACTGATGTAATCATTTCTCTTCTGTAATTTGTATGCCATTGTTTCATGTTGGGACTTCAATAATATAAACTTGGTAAATAAAATACTGTTTAAAGTGATACTGAAATTGACACTGCAATAAAGCACGAGAAAATGGTCCCAGGCTTGCCCTCACTTGTCCACTTTTCCTTCGCTGCTGTTAAGGAGATTCATCATCTTCGTTTGAACTTCTTCCAGCATTTCCTGCTGCAGCAGCACTGAAAGCATGACACACAAGACATCCGTAACATTACTGAATACTGTCAACGGCACCACAGACACACCATAACCTGAGGTCATGTTGCCATTAGATCACATTTGCGCATGCTACCTGCACTCATTTCACAGCCTGAAGAGGTAAAATGATTCAATATCCATTTAGCAATGGAAATCTGCAACATGATATAAGTCTGAAACATCCTGTTTTGTAACACACCGTTTGTATTGAGTTTTGCATCTGCAACAATAATGGTCAAGCCGAATGTTAAACACACGGCTACTTCATTGGCTGACGCTGTTGGTTTAGATGCTGAAGACAATGCATTAAGAACTGATGGCAATCCATCACTATCCAATCAGTTCCTGATGCAGTATCCACAACATCAAAACATACCTCCGATCTAAAGTTCTATAGTACCACTAGAGCTTCTTGACTACAGCCCTGAATGCCACCGAACAATGTGTTTATAACCCATCAAAATACCCTACATGCGCACACACACACAGATCATGAAAACAAAGTAAAGCCTTGGATTGCGAGTAACTTGGTCTGCGAGTGTTTTGCAAGACGAGCAATTTTTAAAAATAAATATTAATTTGATAAACGAGCTAGGTCTTGCAATACGAGTAGCAGTACGTATACGCTTTGTCTGCCGAGCGTCACGTGATCACAACTGATGTACGAGTACTTTGATATACGAGTGCTTTGGATTACAAACACGTTTCCGGAACGAATTATGCTCGCAATCCAAGGTTTTACTGTGCTACAATATTTTTGCTATTTTTTATTAGAATACCTGTATGTACACACTGTAAGTAGGTTATATGATTCATCGATTTTTAGTGTGTTCATTCATAAAAAAAGGAGAATAATCCTATAGAACCCCCATCGGTTTTGCAAAGGTTTACACGCGACTTCAAACTAACAATGTGACATTATCACGTCTTTGTCTTGTGGATAGCTTTTTAACTAATACTTTTTGGCACAACATTTGCACACCATAGCCTGCTCTTGTAGACAATGAAGTTTTAATAGAACGAAATGCATTAAGGAGTCGTAAAGAATGACCAAAATGGAGTGAAATCATTAGACCGTAACGCCCGTCAACTCGACACAAAGTTAAGCGTCTTCCTACATAAATGGGCTATGAGGCGGCACTCATCTCAGAATCCTCATTCATCAAAAGTATAAAAAAAGTCTCAGAATTCTGCACTGGGGATGTTTTGGCAATGCCATAAATGAATGTTTGGCATTTTTGGAGGAAACCTGAGAACCGGGGAGATCATTCGTGTACGTCTGAACAACAACAAACGCTCAGCACAGATATATTAAATAATATATTTTTGCTCTACTGGCATCTTCTGGCAACCTTGCAGCCCAGTGGGTTTGGGAGCTTCAGATATCTACGACTCACAACAATTTTGTGGCATCCATGGATGTAAGATACACATGGATTAAACACTTCCTTCAGTACACATGCCCATAAAAGCAGGTGAAAAATAAATGGGCATATTCTCCATAACAAACCAGTGCGATAACGACTATCGATGTCTTTGACTACACCACCAGTGTACAGCATATACTGAATGCACGTGCCCATCATTCTATTAAAGACTGATGAGCCAAAAATCACAAGTGACGAACACAACCCCAGTTGATTTGCACAAAGTGCTGCTCACAGCCTAATCCCAGTGACTCCCGTGGGCAATTCCCAACACAGCACTCACAGTTGCCAGCTGAGATTGGGCCGAGATCACAGCAGAGCCTTCACCAGCCTTTACACTGTCCGCAGGCATTCTCTTATTAGTTTAACACGCGGGCCCTTCACGACCAATATTATCCACAATAGAGGTTTGTGGGTTAGATCGCCTAAATATGTTGTTAAACCCGCCAGCACCCGGCACAGCAATTCGTTACTCTTATTAGTTAGCATAAAAAGGTTTAAACATACATACTTTCAATTTACGTTTAACAATGTGTTTAATTTCTCGTTAAATCTATTGCAATGGATGTTTGGAATATAGGATTGCCACAATAACTATATGCGACAATAAATTCAACACCTTACTGGACATCTGTGAAAAAGAGCTTCATGGCTAATCGGATTTCTCCAGAATAAATAAAGATGCTCATTTTGACGTTCATCAATAACACTGTTTAAAAACATATAATAGGCGGTGTCGGGCAATGGCACATTAATTAAAGCACATAATCCTTGTAAGGCAGTATTATTGACAAACGTGTTGAGTGTTTTTTTTGTTATTTGTGCCTGTGTACTACTGACAATGAAGTTATCACGAAATAATTCACGTATACACGGTTTATTATCTGTATACCAATTTACCTAATGTGGCCTGGAAATAAACAGGTAGGAGCGGGTCCGTAAGAAGCATTTACAAATTTCGCGGGGCCACGATTCTCCTCCATGCCACAGCGCCACCCGTAGCGCTGCATAACTTATCAGCTGTCCGTCTGTTTTGTTGTGATACTCGCAGTCATAGACCACGGCGCACGTGTTGCTGGTGGTGTTTCTAAAAGCACTAAAGTGTCTTACGTGCCGTGCAACCATAACTGCTGCTGGCTGTATCAGTGGTGCTGATCCAGCCAGCAGCGCCACTGTGTCTGCCTCATCATCTATGCCTGTCTCCTAGTCTGCCTCCTCGCCTGCTCACTGATCTGTCACTGATGACCCGAAGGAAGAGGGGGAGAGGGTGGGCTGAGCCCCTCCTCCTTCTAACCACCCATTCATCTCGTTGTCATCGTCTACCCTCAATATTAAAAGTATGTTAAGTTAGTTTAATGTTTATTCAAGTTTGATTGTTACTATGTAATGTACCGTTTTGTATTCATGTCTGGTGAAGAAATAGGCAACTTAGTTAAGCTATAACGAGTCTGACCATGCCGTGGTCCCCCTAACCAACTACTTCCTATAGGCCCTGTACTTTCCCAACTAAGGATTTGCCTACCATGGCCGAACTCCCACAGTTGCCGAGAGATTGCTGTATACAACAATATCTGTGTTTACACAAAGACGTTGGTTCTTAGCCCAACCTGGTGAGACACAAATTAACCAGATGCAACACATATTTCGTTTATATTTGAGGTCACATCCATGTGAACATCTCCGCTGTCCGTTTTCTCTTGTGATTCTATACTGGGAGTATTAACCGAGTCTCTGCCTGTTTCAGTTATCTCTAGTTTCCTCATCTTCTTAACAAGTGCACATTCGTTTAGATAACATTTGCGAGAGTAAACAATGGTTTTGGATGCACTGAAAAAACGAAACAACTTGTCCTTTCATGATTCAAGAGAAGGATCGTAAAAGGCGTACCCCACTGCGATCCATCACTTCCCCTTCCCTTGTCTTTGGACTTGCCCTTCACACGTTACTGCTCACTAGTCACTCCTAAAATAGAATGCTCGATCATACTGTCACATTTTTAAAATGTTCTATAGCTTTGTTATCACCTCAATCCATAAATATTTATATTAATTAAAAATGCGGTCCCAGATCAACTCAATCACCCTCACTGTCTTCAAAATCCTACAGACTTGCCTGTGCCTGTTTTCCCCTTTCATCTCTCGTATTCTCTCCCCTTCCTTGTGGCGTCTGCTCCAGCAATTGCCCACATTGGTGAATGAATTCCATATCCTTATTATTCACAATGGATAAAAAAATACTTCAAATGTGTTTTACTTTAGTTTATACAACCATATTGGACCTTCCACCGCATCTCCACTGGATTCACGATATAGTAACCTGCACATTTTCTTTGGTTCTTTCGGTAAAGTCACGTAGAATGAGAATAAAATAATAAATTGATAAAATAAAATAACACAATAATATTCTCACGACGTTTCGGCCACAACACAAGCGGCCTTCATCAGGTGAAGGGGGCGAGACTGTCTGGTAGGACAGCGCTGTCCTACCAGACAGTCTCGCCCCCTTCACCTGATGTCTCGCCCCCTTCACCTGATGAAGGCCGCTTGTGTTGTGGCCGAAACGTCGTGAGAATATTATTGTGTTATTTTATTTTATCAATTTATTATTTTATTCTCATTCTACGTGACTTTACCGAAAGAACCAAAGAAGATGAATCATTGCAGTCACGAAAGCTTTAAATCGAAATTTAACCTGCACATTACTTAAAAGAAACTCCTCACTTCCTTCTAAATATTTAATGGAGTGGCACTTATCTAAAAAAAAAAGATTTGGTGTCTTGCGGCATGAAAAGCATTTGTTAAAGGATCCTGAACCACTTATACTTATAGTTTCGGGTCTTTAAGGTTCTTTTTTCCAGTTGTCATTTCTATATTGGTTAATGATGTAAGCATTTTTTTGCTGTTCAGTAAGAAGACATTATGTGATAGTGATGCGTCTGCTACAGTTTGTATAATCCCTTCAGGCCAATGTGTGACAAGGTCACCTTTCCACAGTTGCCTGCAGAGATTTTACAACCCGCAGTATTTATCACCTATTTGCTTTGGCCACTAAGCTTCTGCACATTCACATGTCTTTGAAAATATTGCAAAAGCAAAAAAAATGAGTGTTATAGCCCATTGTCAATTCAATGCTGGATGAAGGCATCCACATGACATGTCGAGAATGGTGTTTTTTTATTTTAACCACACTTCACCATGCTGGGAGTTGTGGATTGGTAAAGGGGGTGCCCCAAAGCTGGTGCAGACATCACACTCCACCGATGTCTTGGGTAGAAATGGAATTCAGAAAGCCGTGTTCATAGTGTAGTGTGCTAACTACTGTGCCACAGCTCCACCCCTGTACATACATATTTCCCAATATAAAGGACACTATAAATAAACCAGAACATGTTACAAATTATCTTTAAACAACTGTTCCTCTATAATAGTATATAATATCCCTTAATCTCAACACCTGAAAAAAAAGTATTTTTTAGTAGTTTGTTCCAGGTTTACCCACTGACCTTGCCTTAGCTGTGCACTCTTCAATAATGCAACACTGCTGTAACATTGCTGTGCTATTTGTTAGTGGGTTAAATACATTTTTAGTTTGGTTCCAAACTTGCCGACTCGATACTTTTGGTGTCAAATATACGGCTCTGCTGCGATGTCAAGACCAAATACAAAATGTAGAACATTGCCGATTGTGATAAGCTAATATTTATTAAGTATTTAATAAGCTCTTAAGGCTAATGGTTACTCTGACTACACAATCCGCAAAGCTATCACTCCAACCATGAAGAAGGACCCTCTTGAGGAGCTTTTCAAAACCATGACTTTACCCTACATTGCGGGGATCACAAAAAAGATCCCAAATCTTTTTGGGGGGTTCATCCCACTACCAAAATATATGTTTTTAAAGATTCCTAATGTAGCCATAAATAAACTTAGGGACAGCATATCTCCCAGCCAGACTTCTGGTCTGCTGTATTTTACGGATTTCTTCATGGAATGCATCAGTTCCTTCTTCCGCACAGTTTTCATGTCTATCGATTGTTTTTTTTAATTGCCTTGGTTTGAGAAAACTTGGATGACTGCTTCAATTTCGAGGATGGCAGTCTCAGTGGAATCACTTGGCAGAAACTAAACTGGACTGTACTCTTTGGTCCTATTCGGTAAAGTCACGTAAAAGTATAAAACAACTGGACTGGTTCATAGAAACCGATGAAAGAGGAAAATGGTGAAGGTTTGTGAAAAAAATAACAATTTTGTAGGAATTTCCCAAGTAAATGTTGGCTCCAGATAGTCTGGATATTTGCAATTGTGTTGGGGATCAGTATGGATTTTTTTTTTTATCATGGGGAGAGACAGTCACTATCATGTGGGCTGGAGGAAGGATACCAGACAAGGTGGAGGAATCGACAGTGTTTGTGATGGGGAAACAGTGAGGGACTGTATTGAGCAGGAGATGAATGATGTAATCTTTTTAAAGAAATTGGTAAAAATAGCATTTAAGTTATTGATATTAAACTGTTAGTGGATCTGAAGCAGATGTGATGGGGAGGTCGAAATAATAATAATTCTTATTAACTGCTTGTTGTAACGTTTTTACCTGCACCTACTGGAATCTGTGAGAAAGAGCTTTACAGCTCATCGGGTTTCTCCAGTATAAATAAATATTCAAATTCTGAATAATAATTATTTGGACTTATCTAGCGTCCTTCATCCAGGGATCACATAGCACTGAGAAAAGACATGAAGCACTAAGAACAGAGCCAGAAACTGAAATGCTTTTTCTTTATCTCATTCTTAGATAAATATCAAGCAAGTTCTTTACACACATTTGTTTTTGAAGGAAAAACAAATAAAGGAATAACATTTGTTCTTAAAGGAATGACAATGTGACTGGGTTCTAGGGATCTAGTCAAGGGGTGTATGGCGATGAAGAGGGAATGTGTGTAAATAACACCGCTTGTTAATTGGACGTAGTCGAGATCTGATTTGGTTCCTGCAAAGGTAACTTGATAAGATTTGATGTGGTCATTCCAGATCTGGTAGGATGCTTGTAGCAATGATCCAAATAGGGAAAAGAGACCAAAATAGAAATCATACTGACCTGTACACGTCTTATAACAGAATTCTCATCAATAACCAATTACATCTGCAGGTTTGACCGAGCACACAGGAACTTAGTACCCTCAACAATAACACATGCACCTTGCATTCAACACTGCATCCTCTAGAAATATTCTTGGACCATTTACAATGGAAATAATTCTGCTGCAGACCAAGAGCACTACTTACAGCAATTGTTCCTATCCATGGTCCTTTGTTCCAAGAACATACCAAGCTGAACATTAAAAAAGCACGTGATACGGTTATGAAAGCGGCTCCCCTCACCACACACCTTGCCGCTGCAGCTCCTCTATGCGCGCATCCTTGAGATCCAGCTGCTCGGTGAGTCGAGACGCTGACTCCAAGGCATCGTTGGCTTCGTCCAGTTGCTCCTGTCCGTTTACAAACTCGGCACGTTACCGTCGGTCATGGCCACTTGCGGCAAAGCAGCGCCGAGCAATTAAAAATGTTACCCGTCGTTTCATTGAAAATATAAACTGCAAATGTCAACGAATGCGAAGTATAAATTTTGATTTAAAGATTTAAAGCTTTCGTGACTGCAGTAATTCATATTCTTAGTTCTTTCGGTAAAGTCACGTTGAATGGACTAGTCCGTCTAAATAAACTGCCAAATCGCTGCGCGTGGCGCTAACGTTTTTTTATAAATAAAAACACCGTTTAAAAATAAATAAACTTATGCAAACCGACACACCTGAAGACGACCGTTTGTGTTATGGTCGAAACGTCGTGAGAATTTTTTATTGTTTTATATATATTTTATTATTTTGTTGTTTCCCTTCAACATGACTTTACCGAAAGAACTAAGAATATGAATACGAAGTAATTGAGAGTATTATATAGGAATGGATACATATGAATACATGCTTAACATGATGATAACATACAACTTGAAAAGGCTAATCACGTAACATACCATGTTTTAAAAATCATGTAAACTACAGCTTTATCTTCGCAAAGACTATCAAATATTACAAATTGTTAAAATGTGTTTATAAAATTTCGAGTTCACTATAATGCCTAATCGTTCGCTTTAGAGTTTACTATTCTTAGCTCTTTTGGTAAAGTCACGTTGAAGGGAAACAATAAAATAAGAAAATATATATAAAAAAATAAAAATATATATTTTATATATATTTTATTATGTTATTGTTTCCCTTCAACGTGACTTTACCGAAAGAGCTAAGAATATGAATTACTGCAGTCACAAAAGCTTTAAATCAAAATTTAGAGTTTACTGTCAAGTCTGCAATCAGATATGAGCATTACTCATTCTTGAAGGTACAAATTAAGCAAAGAGCGAGATGGAACTTTAACCATGCCTGTAACTGCTTGACTTGCTGCTGCATCTGGTTGGCTTTCTGTAAGTTGCTCTGTGCTTCACGGCGATGTTTTTCTAACTCTGTAGCATACATAGATTTCTCCTCTGCAATGGAAGGTTGACAAAATAAGAAAGACATTTCAATTTCAGCAAATTGAAAATTGTCAAAAAATGCATGCAATCATAGCACACAAGCACCATCGAATACATGCTGCTATGATGCATCTTCAATAATGAATGAAAAGCCATTACTCACCCTGTTGAAACTGCTCAAGAACTGTCTGCAAGTTTGAAAGTGATGCTGCATACTGCTGCGCCTGCTGGCGGGCAGCATTGCACTGTTGCACAGCAGTATCCCTCTGCAAAGACACTGCCCTCAACTGTTCTTGCAGCATGTCTGCTCGCATCGAGGCTTCATAACTATGGCGAGCACAAAGACGCGCACACAGACCGGCAGAAACATGCAAGCATTAAAATATATGCGAAAACAAAGCAAATAAACACCATTCTCTGTGGCGGTGTAATATGTACCGATTAATCGATTTAAACTATATATTTTAATCCCATGACACACACGTGTTGAAATGTAGATAAAAAATGTAACATGTTAAAAAAGCATGTTCGTAAAAATCATTTTCATTTCCAAATTAAACCTTAAGAATAATTGCATATAAACAGCAATGTATTTGACTAGTAGGGAATATGAAAATCTGTTGAACAATTTCATGCACAAATGTATGTGCTAAAACAAATTGCTTTAATTAGTACTTTCCAACCGTATCTTTAATAATTCTTGGGTGTTCATGGCCACAATAAAAAACAAAATGCCTCTTGGCAAAAAATCTTGAACATTAGTCCCATCATGAATGAAGTGGGAAAACATACTTCTAGAATGAAAGTATGAATTCAGGTAAAATAAAATGTTTACATTCTCTATTTAAAATATCACTTGTCTGTAACAAAAATGACCACAAACTCTATAACTCTAATTAACTCCTGGTATTTTTGGTGGGTGTTCACGGTGTTTGTGCGAGTGTAGTATGGCGATGATAAAGTGCTAGGGTCGTGGATAGCGGTTGACCCTGCTGAAGTGCTGAACCATTACAAGTGAAGCGTGAAGTGGTGATCTTGCCTGGTACTTTCACTCGCAGAGTAGGCAGCATTGAGCTTGCCCCGCAGGACGGTGACCTCGTGGCTCAGAGAAGCCTCGCGCTCCTGGCCGGCCAGATCTTCGAGTGTGTGCGCTTCTTCCACTTGCACGAGGTGTGCACGCAGGCGTTCCGCATCCTGCCGAAGGCGCAGCTCCAACTCCGCAACTCGTTCCAGCTGCACAGGTTCATTGTGACCACCGCAAGCACAAACAAAAACGAACATCCCACTTGAACCTGCTCTCGTTCCGTGCCATTTCCAGCGCACACCCCGGTTATTTGTGTTTTGATTAAAATTGGTAGGGTTTCACTGCTGAGATCTTGCGTTCGAATGCAGGCAGCTGCATAGTTCACAAGTGTGGCGAGTTGATGGCCTCAGATCTGTAACCAATGACTGCACTTTAAAACACCCATCTTATTACTCTTTGGTTCTTTCGGTAAAGTCACGTAGGTATAAAATAAAATATACCTATGTGACTTTACCGAAAGAACCACAGAGTATGGATTCATGCAGTCACGAAAGCTTCAAATCAAGACCTATCTTATTGTACTTAATTTGGTTAAATTCCAGCTCTGAAAATGTAACATTTCAGTTTGAGACGAGAAGTTCAGAACACCTGGGCAAAGTGTAACCCCAACTGTGTAAAGAATAAAAAAGACCACTTTGAACGACTTTCTGGAAGTCGTGAAACATCTCTTGCAGGGAGATTCTCCGACACACCCAGTGTGACTGACACACACGCACGTGCGTGCGTGTATGATAGGTGTCAGAGAAGGTGTGCCACTCGGTGAGATGTATACATGGATTATTCATCTAATTACATAACGCTGAAAGTACAATTGCAATAAGTTAGATTTGTTTTTGATGTCAGTGCTCAGGCCATATAAATTGAATAATGCACATCAGAATCAAAGCCTTTATAATTGATACAAATTGTATGTCACAGGTGCATAGATCTCTTTCAACCATTGGAGATATTTACATGCACCACGAAGCGGCAAAAACTTTTTTTGATTTTAATCATGGCACCCCACATGTGACAACTGTTTTTTATTCGTGTGAAACTGAGTTGTTTGAAGAGCAGCTCATCATCAATTCATAACAAAACAAAACGTATGTTTTGCAGCAGAAAAACAATGGCAGCATTTATTTAAATATAGATGTAGCATGTCATACACATGCAAAAGCAAATACTCAGCGCTAAGATATTTTTCATAAAATAATTTTGCTAAGTGTTCAATCACACACTTCAAAGCCAAAAGCAAACCAGAGGTTGTGAAGTGTGACAAGCTCTGCTGTTTCCCACAGTGAAAGGATTATCACACTTTCAGCTTCGTAGATGTGATCAAACCGAGCTCGGAATAATGATTCTTGTGCCAACGCCGTGATAAATGTCACTCTCAGAAGGACTCTCCACGCCACCTCCTCACTCCCAACCGTGCTTACATCTCGTGTGAGAGCCATGTTCTCCATTTGTTTTTGCTTCAATGCCAACAGCGACTGATCCCGCTCGTGCTGAAACGCCACGGCTTGTTCTTGTTGGCGTTTAAGTTCAGCGAGCAATGTTTCCAGCTCTCCTGCACTCCCCTGGAAACAACCACATCCAAGATTAACAAGGTTAATTAACTGGCAGGGTTTAAGCTAAACATTCATGCAACAAAATTATGGTTAATGCAGTCTACGTAGGTTGAATTTAAAAAATATTACGCAATTATATTTTATGCCAAACGTGACATCTATTGCAAAGAATATTGTCAATCTTCTTCAGATATGGCCCCATGTGGAAGCGTGCAACAAGATAATTCACTTCTCTTCAATTAAATGCTAAAGTTCCTCTTTCCCAGCGATGGAGTCATCCTTGTCGCAGAAAGAACATTCTTTGGCCACGTAGATTTACATTCACAACCTCTCAATATCTGATCCCTTCTGAAAAAAAGCATTCATTCTGCAATAAATCAACACTGAATAACCACAATGTTCAGTTGGTTGCATACATATAATGTAAAATGAATGTTCCACATTTAAAATAATAAACATTAAAACACGTACCACTGTTTTTTTTTTGTGATGGAAAAATTGAGTGAACTAAAAATACAATCAAGGGCATACCGCATCCTTTTCTCTCAGCAGCTTCTCCAGTGCAGCGGCCTTCTCTTTGGCAGAGCTCGTTTCAAACTCCTTCTCGCGAAGCAGCATGGAAAGCTGCATAGCAGACTGCTGGAGGGCACCCAGTTCAGAATGTTGTCCCTGCGCGTGCTGGCGAACTTGTTCTTTCTCCTCCTTGAGTTGTGCCAGATCAGCCTCCAGGAGCCGAGCCCTCTCCTTCAAATTTATCACCGCCTGCCTCAGCAACTCATTTTCACTGTTCCAAGTCCTCTGCTTCTCTGCCGTAGCTGCAATCTCTTCACATTGCCTTTTTATCGTGGAATCTTTCTCTTGCAATAACTTCAGGAGTTCTTCCGATTTCTTCATTATGTTTTCGGTCTGTTCATGGTTTGCACCGTGGTCAGATTGACACATTTTATTTTCCGATTTGGAGAGATCAGACAAGTTATTTAAAAGTTGATCGTTATGTTCTCGTAACTTTTGCAGATTGACGTCTTTTTCTTCCAAAATTTTACGCAAATTCTGCACCTCTTCTGGCTGAGAGCTCCAGTCAGCTGTCTGTGCCTTCCCTGGCTGGGTTGCGTGCTGCTCATTTGTAGGAACGGTATTTTGTTCGTCTAGATGTAGTAATTTTAGATTGTCGATGTTCATGTTACCTGTATTATCAACATCCGAATAATGAGTCTCCGAGACACTGAGGTTAGTCTGGTTATCAAAAGATGTATTTTGGATTTTTTCTGTAATGCGATTTCCCGTCGCCTGTAGGGAACAAAGACCGAGCTGGACTTTTCCAAGATCCTCTCGCAGGCTCTGCAGACTGTGCACATGTTGTTGATAGCCCTGAAGGAGACCATCATAACCCTCTTGAAGGTGGAAGCCTAACCCTGCGTCCTTGGCAACCTGGCCAGCAAGCTGGCGCAACTCGTCCTGCAGGTGTGCAGATTCGTGTTGCATATTTTGCACGGATGTAAGTGCCTGCTGCTTCCACTCCTCAACCTTCTTCACCTGTTGCCGAAGCTGCTCTCGCTCCTGCAACACCTCTTCAAACTGAGCACCGCTAACCAATCCTTCCATGTGTGGCTTCTGCTGTTGCTCTACTGGAGAACCATCTCTCTCAGCTGGTATGAATGGAGAATGCTCATTAGAAGCCTGCAGCACTGCCAGCAGTGTCTGGCATTTCTGCGATAAAGCATCGATTTCTATGTCTTTCTCGCGAACCAAGCGAGAGAGATTCTGGATCGCTTCCCTTGACATATCATAACTTCCAGAATTTTGTGCCAGGTCATCAGCCATGCGGCGGTTTTCCTCCATCAGGCTCTGCAGGCTGTTCTCCTTGGCTGCCATCATGTCCACAAGCTGGTGCTGCTCCGTCCGGAGTTGAGCATTCTCCCTAGCTTTCTCATTGAGCACCATGAGGATGTGTTCACGTTCACTCATCAGGGCTTGTACTCGATGCTGAGCTGTTGCCTCAATACCCGATCCCATCGGTGAGCCCTGTGGGCCACACTCTAAGACTCGTGTATGCAAGTGCTGAATCTCTTGCTCTCTGTGTTTAAGTAGTTGTGCAAGTTTCCCTACTTCCTCCTGCAAAAATGTCATCTGCTTCAACTCCTCGATGAGGGAGTTATTCCTTTCGTTGAGCGAATTAACTTCTACCTCTTTGTCATTTAAGCTTCTCAAGAGATGTTCAACTTCGAGCTTGGATAGATCTTGCTTTTCACTTTCTTGGCTCTCCGTTTGCTGTTTGTTACCATTTTCTTTCAAGAAAACAGGAACGTTCACTCTATCAATTATCTCATTGGAACACGGAGACTGGATGCTTGCTAGCACTTCCTGAAGGCGAACAATTTCACTTTCCTTTTCAGAAATTAGCTTCTGAGAAGCTGAGATTGCCTGTTCTTGTAGAGTTTTGGCTTCAGAGAGATGAGATTCCTGTTGCTGGATAGTTTTCTGCATCTGTACGATCTTAACATTTTGCTGTTCGGTCAGCTGCTTTTGAAACACTCTTTCGGCTTCCACACCTCGAATCTTTTCCATGAGCTCAGCAATTTCTGTTTCTTGCTCTGAAATTATGTCCATTGACTTTGGGTCGACTGTGGGTTGAAGGTGGTCAATTTCTTCTTTTAAATGGATGTTTTCTTCTCTCAGAGTACTCAGCTGATTTTCGTTTTCTTCCAATGAAAGTCTCAAAGCAGCAGCGTCTGTATCCTGAATGGCCTTACATCTTATTTCCAATTCCTCCTTAAATGCTGTTAACTGATTTTGCAATTCCTGATTTTTCTCATCTTTCTCAAACACGAGTTTCATCAAAGATGTTTGTTCTTGCACTTTTGAAAGCAGCATTTCTTTGGACTCCTTTAGTTCTCCCTGTAATCTCTCAACATCGTGTTCCAATGAAGAAATGTCCATTTCTTTCTCTCGAATTAATTGCAAAACTCGCTCGTTTTCTGTTTTCAGCACACTAGTCTCTGTGGCACACCCATCAGCGAGTTGTTGAATCGTTAGCTGGCACTGTTTTCGTTCAGTTTCCAGTTTGTTCTCAGCCTGCCTCAACTCAGCTTCCACCTGTGCCTTGTCAAAGCTCATGCTTTTGGTAATTTCATCTTTGCTCGTCTTTGCGTCTCCGAGCTGGCGATAGGTTTCCTTAAGTTCAGCTTCCACCGCTGCCAGGCTCTGTTCGCATTCTTGCCTAACAATTTTCATATCATTAAGTTCAACCTGCAGTTGTTCATTTAAAAGTCTAATATTCGTTATTTCTTCCTTAAGCTGCTCAAGTTCTGGTCGTGAGAGTTCTTCACATCCAGAAAGTGCAAACATATCCATTTCATGTGAATGCGTCTGCGTTTTTTGTGAGAATGCTTCCAAAGGTAGTTCTTCACCACAGATATTTTCCTGCAACTCAACGTCGGTGAGTCCCTCCACTGTCACCTCGCTCTTCACGAGCAGGAATGACGTGGAAGAGGCATGACTTCCATCAGTATCATCTCCACGAGCCAAGGCAGCGCTCGCCTCTGTCAACTGTAATTCCAGAGTACGAAGCTGCTCCTGGTGCTGTGTGGACATTAAATCTGCTTCTTGGCGGTGTTCCTTAAGTTGTTGTCTCAACATGACGATATGCTGCAAAGCAGAGGTATATGAGCAAGGGGTCAGAATACACCTAAGTAGACCTACAAAATAGGCTCTCAAATATGGTAAATCACAATTTTCGATTATTATATTTAACGCCATAATTAGGTGAATGCGCACAATGTAAAGAATGTCAAACACGGCAGCTTTTAAATGCAAGTTAACATGATGTGTGAATTTAAAGCAGAAATCATAGACAAATGTATATAGCCAAACATTTATAATGTAAATATATTTAAGACTCCAAAATGAGGTAGCAGTTTCATAAAGCTCACTATTCATCTAAAAGAATAGGTGAAATATGGTATTAAAGTTGAACATTTTGTTGCTGTTAATACGAAGTTGTGTTGATATCAAATTACTCTTTAATTCATTGTATTAGCTTTGCCTATGTGGAAATAATAATTTACATGTGTTCATTTGCCTATGATAGGCTAGTCATCGAACAAAGACCGTGACCTTTCAGATGCGCATCTGTGGCCATCTGAAACGCGCTTCCTTCCGATATTAGGAATCCACTGGAGCTATGCATGTTTAAGTCTAGATTGAAAACTAATTTCTTTAGAACTGCTTTTTGTGTTCAGGTTGTTGTTCTTCCCCCGCACCTCTGATTAGCATGGTTGGCTACGTACGGTGAAAAAGAAGTTCAACATACATACAATGCTACTGTTTGTATCTGGTGCTTGAAAAGCTATGACTCAACAGAAACGTATGCAACTCAACCAAGCTCACAAATGAAGGCATCCAATTTTTGTTTGTTACAAAGGACAAAATCCATTTTACTCAAATGGAACAACTACAATGAGACTTCACGAAGTACAATAAAGGATTTTAGAAGTTGGCAGACAAATGGGACACTTTAACCAGGATTATTACCAGCAACATTAGAAGACTTTTTCAGAACATTGGATTGGAAAAGAGGCAGAAAATATCAAGGGAAAATCCATTAACAACCACAGAATAGCTCATGACTGTTACAAAAGGAAAAATCAAGAAAAATATTAAATTTCCAGATGGAGCAGGGCCCAAAGTATGTGGACATCCAAAACTAAATATGGATCACTCATGCCAAAAGAAAAACTCATTTACACATAACCACTCAAAACTGTATGGAACATGACTGTATTAGAGTTATTGATGTAGACATTGGGGGGGAAAGAAATGTATTTACTTGAGTGGCCTCCTGGTTTTGCCTGTCGAGCTCCTCCAGCTGGGAGAGAAGCGAGTCCCTGTGTGTGATTGTGTGTCCCAGCTCCTGTTCTCGCTCTTGCAGCAGAACAGTCAGGGTTTGAATATCTGCTGCACTCCGTTGCCACGTGAGGCCTTCTGCCTCATTCGGCCCTTCCTCCACCTCCTGCCGCACCATCACATCTCCCAGGCTGTTGTCCTCGCACTGGGATCCAGCATCTCTCTACAACTCAAAACGGCCACAAACGTCACGTTAAGACAACAGGCACCATGTCCATTGCAACAAATAAAAGCATTTCCACCTGAGTTACAATAATTTATACGAGCAAACGAGGGGGAAACGTCACTTATTTTAATCATAAAGGTTTTTGGTTTAGATCATGTAAGTATAACTGTTTCGTAACCCTCCACCACCTGACACAGCCAGTAAGGTTTTTCATATAAACAAAACGCGCCAATTAGTTACTACTTCAGCCCACCAGTGTGCTCGAGAGTAAATCCACAACATTTACAATTGTAAATGAAAAAGTCCAATTGTAAATGTTGTGGATTTACTCTGGAGTAGTAACTAACTGGCGCGTTTTGTTTACGTGACAAACCTTACTCTCTGTGTCGGGTGGTGGAGGGTTACGACACATTTATACTCACGCGATCTAACCCAAAAACCTTTATCGTGAATAATATTGGTCGCACAGGCCTACGTGTTGACTTTATTTTAATAAAGTGACCACAGTTGATGGACTGATAACAGCAGGGATTAACCTGTAACTGAGTTATAAAGGTCGTTTTGGTTAACTGGATCATTTAATAAATACAATGCTTGAGAATTAGTTTTAAATATATTGACTGCAGAGAGCAAAGTTTTTCAAATACTGCACGGAATACGCCAATTTCTGTATAGATGACACTCGTATCATCAAACGGTAAGGGGTCTTCAGAGTGTGAAGAACTGCAGAGGTATTCAGGTTAATTGTGGAATGTTATCACAGAGGTTAGTTGTGACAGTTTAGCTAAGAATGATGCCAAGTGTGTGTTATCTGCGCTCCTAGATGTACTCAAATATTATGTTAAGCTGCCATTCCAGAGTATTTGATTTGCAGCTGAACTACTGAAAGAATCTCAATGCAGTTTGAAGAAAAATGTCATATGTCGATGTTAAAATCAGTCGTGAAATCTTTAAGCCACCCATGAGGAGCTTGTTTGGAAATTGATGAATACATTGGAACGTTGGCATGTACCGTATTTTCCCGCATATAGCCCGCATATGCATATACCCCCGCAAAAATAGCGTTTTGTGTAAAACAAATTTCAGAGAGCCCGCACATCCATATACCCCGCATGCATTCATATCTTTAACGTCGTTACCGCAGCTTAATTCCATCATATTAATACAAAGTTTATATTTGTAATATATTCCACTATCAAGTGTTAACATTAAAATCATAACGTGCACAAAGAAAACAAACTAACCGGAAACGAGTGAACTTAAAACAGTAAATAAGTAACAAAAGTAAATATCCAATAAATAAGTAACACATAACTGGTAGATAAGCAAGTACAGTTTTAGCACTGGTAGATTGCGCACTGCACAGACAATAGCGGCACTATGGGCACTAGGTAACTCCGTTGCCTCGCCCCCAACCCCCCACCTCTCTCTCCCCCCAGCTCTCCCGTCGCCGGTAAACAGAGTGCACCCACTTCAAACATTGTCGTTTCATTGTACAAAAAATTCGAATAATTTAAAACGTGATAACATGTGCAATTTCAGTGCGAGTGGTTTATTCAGCAGTGCTTTAGTCAAAGGTAAGTGTTGCATAGTGGATATTCCTACCATGAAAAAATGTAACGAGTTATGACATGTCACACGTGTAAAATATTTTTGGGATAGCCCGCACCTCCATATACCCCGCAGGGTCTTGTATTGTTTGTAAAAAGTGGTATACCCCGCGGGTTATACGCGAGAAAATACGGTACATTGTAAATGTGATAATCTTGTCGTGTAGTGGAGGGTTAATGATAAGAATTTGGCATAAAACCATTATGCGGCCTAAACCAAAACTAAATATGGATAATTGAATGAACAGTTATTTTATGCATTAATGTGTTAATTAGAGTATTTGTTTACCACGGTCACTTTTGTCTTTTTTAACTCCATGCTCTCATCTGCAAAAGACAAAACACTTCGTTGTACAATAAAATACTGGTCGGCATGTTAATCAACATCATACTATATTAGAAAAAAGGTTTGCTGGCTGGCGCGTACACACATCTGCGTGATGACGTCACTCACATCCACAGCATTGTGCCGGATTCCTGGAACCCACCGAGGTCACAACTCCCTCCCCCCACCCACCCTCCCTCCATCCCCAAGTGAATCCCGTGCAAATGTGGGCAGTGCCAGTTTGTTTAAATGATGCTTTCAAAACACCATAATTACGTAAATAACGACTAAGATATGAAAATGACCACCTTGAATAAGCGATGGAAATCCCACATCCCAAAAAAAAAGCATGAGTCTTTAAGAAGTCTATAGCAGGTAAAAGCTCATGCAATGTGGTGATTGTCCTTTGGTTAAGGTATGGTATGACACAGACGTTAGTGATCAATGGTAAGACCTAAAACCAAATAGTGAAACATTTTAGGAGCAGACATTGGTCGATTATTGATTGTCCAACAGTTATGGAATTTGGCATAAGATAATGGTGAGTTATGTATCAACAACATAAATTAAAAAATAAAATATAACAACATAAATTAAAAAAATAAATAAAAAATAAATATTTATTGCTGTTAATGTAAAATTATCAAGTGTCCTATTATAACTTACCTGCTAATCCTTGCCTCATTCTCGAGGGGGCTTCATGTGACGCTTCATCATCCTGTGCACCACTGCCCGTATTGTCTGAAATGCAAGGTCCGGTGCCTGCATCTTCGATCTCTTGCTCTGTGTGAAGCAAAGTTGCTGCTCCACTATTGTCAGCAGTGGTCTGTAGAAAATCACAGCTGGGCTCTGCACAGGACACAATCACATTACACACTTACTTGTATGTATAAACAATTATCCATCAAAATTTCACCTCAAGATGGTACACAGTGAGACCTCTCGAAGTTCCGCACCCCAAGTGGTCGAGATATCTGGTTATGGGGGTCTGGGGGATGTCCAGTATTCTACAAGCAATGAAATAACAAACAAATACTACATGTCAATTATATGTATACATAATTAAGCCAAAATCACTGCCGTACAGCTTAATCTAAGTCACGGTCACCATGAAGCACATGTGGAAGGCAAAGGGTCTTTGAATGTATAAGGTTGCTGGGATAGTCTTACGAATATGAAGCAATGATCTTGTTTATTTGTAAGATATAAAGTAAAATAAAGCATATCTTAAAAATACGACAGCCCTACATGGACAGGTGATGTGCAAGGGAACGGCTCGCAAACATCCATACACCAGAGAGGACTATATAGCTATAGAATTGTTATTTTCATCTCCTACAATAATAGTTAATGGTATTCTAGGCAATGTTTTTGGTGTATTTGATTCATTCAGATGTAGCTATTTATGTATTTATTTACAAAGCCTTTTTGATTGCTCAGAATTCTGGATTTTCAATTTCAGCTTTGAGAGGATTTACTTCAAAAGGACCACTTAATGACTGAATAAAAGTAGTCAGAAAAACAAGTATTGAATCAAATACAAAACGTAGTTTTATGTTTGTGTGAGACATCATCATATTTGTGTTCAAGGTTTGCACAGACGAAAAAATAAAGTAATCAAAAACAAACAAATTAGAGGTTAATGGCATGTGCTGCTTATGGCACTTGAGCCAGTAGCAAAACCAGGCTGATACAGGCTGTTATGCGAGGACAAATCATCAGGGCTCCACCCCAAGCAAGCGCACTCTCGCGTAACCAGAGGCAAATCCTGACCTTGGAGAAGCTGCAGCTGCTGCTGTAGCTGGGCGATGTGGTCTGCCTGCTCAGCGGTGCGAGTGTGGTGTGCATGGGCGGCTTGGGCCAGCTGCTGGCGGTGAGCGTCTTGCAGGGCGGACACCTCACGCTGCCTCTCATCCAGCTCGGATGTAAGTTGCCTCTTCAGCTCCTGCCGTAAAGCAGTCAGCGGGCCCCAATGGCGTGCACACACAGCATCAGGACCTGCTCGGCAGGTTATCGTCGAGATTTACACGTGCGCAATATTGGAACGCCTCTGTGTGTATTATTTCTTTGGTTAGTTTCAACTTTATACACAGTTTTAGGTGCCTGTAATTTAGTTCATCCACACCATTCAAAACACTAAAGAAGCATGCGCAGTATGTGCTAATGAGCACATTCCGTGTAATGTACAGCTTAGTTTCTGTCATATCGCAAGCATAAGTCTTTTCCTTGCCATTTTACTCTGGAGATGTACCAACGACGATTAGGTCAGACACACTATCATCAAACATGGCGAGACTAAACATAGTTCACATGAATACAATTAAAATAAATTACAGGAAAAATAAATTTCTATAATAATGTAAAAGTATAAAGCGCCCTTAAACAATCGTTCTCAGTTCACCAAAGCATAGCACACAACCATTGAATGGCAATTGTACAATTTAGCGTATGCAACACTCATGGCAACAGAATAAATACAAATTGCTGTACCTTAACCATGGTCTGCAGCTTGTGCACTTCATTATTTTCTGAGCTGCCAGGTTCTTCACCAACAGCAGCCTTAAATACAACATTTTTTAAATAAAATATAAACATTATAAATATGCAAATGTTTAAGACTTTTTGAGAATTTTTTTTATCGAAACATAAACAAAAATGCTATAAATGTATGTACAAAGTTAAACTCTACTACTGGTACTTGTAAGTATACATTTCCACAATGAAAGTAAAAACAATTGAAGCTGAAATACGTTTACATTTTTTCTCAGTATTCCTTGGTGTCCCTGCTGAGATAATTATCAATTGGATGGCACTCATAAACACTGGCAACACGGAACTTTGGTGAAAGTATCGAAATCCTTTGACAGCAGTCAGTCTCCATACGATGACAACTGGTTATTGTCAATGTGATTTCCACGTGAATTTCAAGTGGGAAATAAATACATTTACTGTATTTGTACACAACAGGTGTCTTTACAACGTACTGCATAGCAGTGCCACCAGTTAAACAAATTATGATTGATATGCAATTTGAATGAGAAATACCAGTCAAACACAGTGCAACAGCTGCCTATTCATGCACTGCATGTGTAAACGCATGCACACTGTGCCTGCAGAGTTGCTTTAGCAAACCTGAGCAAGCTGACGCCAGTGGTCTGCCTCGGTTTGAAGGCGCACCACCTCCCTTGACAACCGGTCCAGCTCGCGCTCCGAGAAGATGACCTCCTCATAGTCCACCTCATCATCGGTGTGGAAACCATGCGCAACCGACGTGCGGAAATGGAGCTGTCCCGTGGAGGTGGCTGAAGAAGCAGATGGGGAGGAGGTCTGAGTTCCTTCCAGGTTCCCCATGCTTTTCCAGCCATCTTGTGCATATTGTAGTTCACGCAGCTGCTCCTGTAGGGCATTTTGTCTCGCCCGCAAAAGGCTCACCTCCACCTGGTGCAAACGCATACACATACACACCCCTCACTGTTTCACCTGCAAATGTCATTAATAGTGATTCAATCACGTTGTACAGGTAAACTTCTTAAAGCCAGACTACAGTTAGCTGGAATTTTAAGCAAAACCTCTGACCAGAAGACTATTTCCACAATAATAAAGCGTAGAGCAGTGGAAGACTGTTTGTCAGTACCACAAAGTGTAAGACGCTATCCCCGACCATTGTAATAAATACAACTGATATGCATATGTGCACAAACAATTGTAAATCTATATAACTTGTTGCATGGAATTTGTTGAATCTTACCCTTCCTTGAACACTTAAGTAGGTCTTCCTTTTGCTCTTTGGCACTCTCTCCGCCGCTCGTTTTTTTATATTTTACAAATAAATGAAGCACATAACTCAAGCCCAATTGAAAATGTCTTCAATATTCCACACAACTCCTCTTCTGCTTCAGTTATGTGAAGCACTGTAGCTCAGATTAAACTATAAATTGTTTTTTTTTAGTTTTATTAATTTATAAATAATAAAGTTTAAAATATGTAGTTGATTATATTAAGTGTTAATATTATGTGAATGCAAGCAATTCGTAGCAATTTTTCTTACTCATGTTTCCACTGTGATGGACATTCATTCGGTGCACTGTTACGCAGTGTTTTGTTGGTCATTGTTTGCGATTGTCATATTTATATTTTAGCCTTAGCAAATACAGTACAGATATTAGTTACGTATTTGCCCGGTTTTCAATATTGTAAAGAACAATATTTTATCACAAATTCATATAATTTAACACATTGCAATATTGATGTCATATCCAAACGTGTTCAAATATGACGTGGTCTATTGTTACAATATAAAATACAGCATTTTGTTTAAAATCATACATATGAAAAACAACTTCTTTGGTTCTTTCGGTAAAGTCACGTAGAATGAGAATAAAATAATAAATTGAAATTGATAATAAACAAAGCAACTAACTGGTTGTAATCCATATGCGTGGATTTCCGGGTTGGACTGCAAAGTTGAGAAATTTTTTCTCTCTAGCTTTTGCCATGCACCGCTGTTACTCAACTTCTGCAGATGCCTGCAGCACCCCAAGGCGAATGCTCGATTAAAGAAATGCTGAAACATGCAGCCCAACCCGCGAAACTGAACTTGAACTCCAAACTCAACTACTTTAAATATGCGAGCACATCTCTAAGTGGCACTAGCTGTGTCAGCATTTCTTTTCCAAGAGCGCTCCCCACAACACATTGATTTGACTGTGCCAATTGAGGCAACAAAAGCACGCAAGTAACCGGCCGTGGTGTTTTAAAACCCTGCACAGGAAGTGTGTGGACGTGCAGCCCGGTTAAATTGATACCTCCTTTTGCTGCAGCTGCGTTCGGTACTCGGCAGAGACGTGCTGCACATGCAGCTCAGCCGCCTCCTTCTTATCCTCCAGCTCCGCACACATGACACGTAGCCGCTCATGCTGCATTGCCAACACACACATAGGTTTACCAGAATGCAACAACTCTGCCCTCAACAGGCACGATGACTATACATGAAACGACGATATATATATTTTTTTAAAATATAGATTATACTTTATATAAGGTTCAACATTTGTATTAGTATGCATTATAAAAGTGGCTTAAGTGTCCATCTCTGTACACAACAAAGATTGCAAGAGTTCCTACTCTCAAAACGAATAATGATTACATTAGTGGTTTTTGACAAATTTAACAATTTTATCAACGCAACTATTTTCACTGCATTTCAACAAGCTGTCTCATGGTGGGAAATGATGTAATATTAAGCAGCTGGATCACAGTTACTTCCATGCCAATGATGGAGTAATGAGCTGGCATGAATATTGTGGGTTTGAAGATACATTTAAGCAGTTTTGCTATTCCAGCCAACGTTGTAACATTGATTTACAAAAATAGTCATTAATGCAAGGCTATTCATAATATCGATTTATTCTTAAGGAGTGATCTCAGGCACTCACTCTTGCCGATAACACAATAAGGCTACAACCTCGTTAAATACGTTAAATGGTATTTATTTTTGTTAAAATGTAATGCGTTTGCATTAATTAAAGGCTTAATCAATGAGACTAATTTAATTATAAAAAATAACCTCAAATAAATATTAGTAATTGAACACGATGGTGACGGACAAGGAGAATCAATTTTAATTTGTTAAGTGATTCATTAAAAACTGAATCTCCAAAACTGTCCTTATGCTGTTGAATACGAATTCACATACTGTATATTATTACCTCTGATTTCTGGGTTGTACAGGTGGCTTGTAATTCCTGCAGCCTGGCTTTCGTCAGCTGGAGCTCTGTAGAAGCATCTGTTAAAAAAAATAAACATACATATGTGTTGAACAAATCATGCGCATTAAAGAGTACACAGGCATCTATATTAAATTTTAGTTCAAAAGTACTTGTGGACGTAAGGCAAATAAAACAAGTCAAAGTAAAAAAAAAGAAATCGTAAACTTTCTATCTCTTAACACCTGACCCACTTGTGTTTGGTAACAGCAACAATAATGGCATCACCACCATCCACAGCAATCTTAACCACTTGAGGATGCAATGTATTGTGATTATTGGCACATTCCATTCAGTACTCCTGTGCTATAATCCACAACTCCTATTTTTTGCCAATGTGATTTCTCCTCCACTGACTGAAGCTCCGTCTGTTTCAGGTTCAGGCCCAGTGGTAGGTTGGATACACCGCCTGAAGTTAAAATTTCCCTTAATTTACGCCTTTTTAAATAGTTCGGGGAAAGTTTATGCAACCGATCTCCCAGGCTGCAGATGTCGTGAAGAGTTTAACATTACTACTGAAACACAACAAAAACTAAACACGTTTTAGCATTTTGCTCTTCCGATTTTCACTGAATGTACCAATTTTACGGTCTTGGTGTGTTTTTGTTGCTGTTTTGCTGCCTTACCCAAGCTTACATTTAGTGTTTAAAATCCGGCAGGAATATAAGTACATTATTTATGTTGACTTATTTACTTTCTTACCTTTTCAAAACTGTACTTTGCACTCCTATCGGGTTTGTTTTTTTTGTAATTGCTTGTTGCTGTACCTTGCGGACCCACCCCTACTGGACGTCTGTTAAAAAAAAGATCCTCATAAATAAGCGAATTGGATTCCCTACAGGATAAATAAAGATTCCGATTCTGAATGAGGTAGAGGTCACGACGCCTCCCCCGTTGCAGCCTTATTTCCTCCCGTGTTAAACGCCCGTCGTAGGACGACAACATCCGCATTAAACGCCGGTTTCATTTCACGTCCCCGTGCACGTTCACCGACAGACGTGTGGACGTTTGAATCAACTGTCTGGCCGACTTTAAAACACCGACACCCACCCCCAGTCGCGTCCCCTAGTCGTGGGATCGTCGATCTCACCTCCGAGTTCCTCCGTGCCCTCCGTGAGCAGGTCCTTGGTGAGGCTGGAGATCTGTCCGCTCAGCGAGGACAGGCTGCCTCCCACCTGGCCCAGCGACTGGCCCAGGCCGCCGCCCAGACTCCCGAGGCCCAGCCAAGACATCGTCCACCACCCCGCCGCCACTGACGTTCGAGACGAGGCTCCTTAGACGCGACACTCACAACGGGTGGCGGACGTGGCCATGGCCACACGAACGCACGCACGCGGCTTCTACTCACGACAACTTCTGCCGCCGGCTCCAACCGCGGAGACGACTCGGATCCACCACGGGCTTCAACTGCACAACCACCCGGGGATCAAGTCCCAGTGCCGGCCCCACTCCGAATGGGCTCCACTGTGAGTCAGCCGCTCCGCTCTTGAGTCAACCGGATCCACTCCGAATCAAATCGTTCCACTCCGAATGGCTCCACTCCGAATGAGTGAACTGTTGAAGTCTCCGCTACACTCCCAGTCCCGGCTCCACTCCGAATGGCGGCTTCGCTGCGAGTCCCGGCTGCACTCTAAATCAACGGCGCCACTCTTGAGTCCCGGCTCCACTCTTGTCTCTAAAGCTCCACTCGTGTCTCTAAGGCTCCGCTGTGAGAGACAACGACGACGCCGCTCCACCTCGCAATGCCAACTCGACGGGCGCCATCTTCAGGGGTCAGAGGGCGCGGGGGCCGTCATCGAGCCACGTCACGCGTGGCTGTGATGTGGCGATTGCGCCTCTTGTCTGATGTGGCAAATGTAGCAGGTGATGTTTATGTGATATGGGAAATGTAGAATGTGATGTTTATGTGATGTGGGAAATGTAGAGGGTGATGTTTATGTGGTGTGGGAAATGTAGAGGGTGATGTTTATGTGATGTGAGAAATGTAGAGTGGGATGTTTATGTGATATGGGAAATGTAGAATATGATGTTTATGTAATATGGGAAATGTAAAGTGTGCTGTTTATGTAATATGGGAAATGTAGAGTGTGATGTTTATGTGCTGTGGGAAATGTAGAATTCGATGTTTATGTGATATGGGAAATGTCGAATATGATGTTCATGTGATATGGGAAATATAGAGTGTGATTCATATTCTTAGCTCTTTCGGTAAAGTCACATATTTTATTGTTTTATTGTTTCCCTTAAACGTGACTTTACCGAAAGAGCTAAGAATATGAATTACTGCAGTCACGAAAGCTTTAAATCAAAATAGAGTATGATGTTTATGTGATATGGGAAATATGGAGTGTGATGTTTATGTACTGTGGGGAATGTGAAGAAGCGTGATGCTTATACGATGTGGGAAATATGAAGCGTGATGTTTTTTACGATGTGGGAAATGTATAGAGCGATGTTTATGTGATATGGGAAATATGGAGTGTGCTGTTTATGTAATGTGGGAAATGTGAAGCGTGCTGTTTATGCGATGTGGGAAATGTGGCCTGTCGTGCTTAAATGGGGTGGGAAATATAAACGCTCGTGGTTGTTGTTGCTCGTAGGCCCGAGGAGCTGCGAGGTAGGCGGCGGCGGCGGCGGACCGGGGCGGGGAGACTCGCAGCCAGCGCTTGCTGCTGCTGTTGTTGTTGGCGGCGGTGTTGTTGTTGGTGATGTTTGTTGCCGGTTGTGTAACTGCTTTACTTAGTGGGGAGCTCTACTCGTCTGCGTTGGAGTTTCTCGTCGAGTGTTATGGCTGGGCGCGGCCTGGCTTCCTGGTGTGGGCCCGGCCTCAACTCGGAACGAAACGGCAACGCGGATCGCAGGCTCCGCAATAATAATAATATCATCGTCGTCGGCCTCAGTAACACTTCTAGTCCTTTAAAGATCCCCCTTTGAGAGCGAATTGAAGGCTGTGGTTACAATGAGTGTGAATGAAGTGAGCTTAACGCTTCGGTCGCTGCGCGCCGTGCCGCGTATGGGCCGCATCGGTCAGCACCCCGGGAGGAGACCAGAGTCGCCTAGGCACGACGACGACGATGATGATGTTGATGATGTTGTTGATGTTGTTGACCACCCCACAGCTCGGTGCGCCGTGCCACTCCTTTGAGACCGCACAGCTCAAGCCGTAACACTTTCCCCGAGGAGGCTCATTGTGTTAACCAGAGGGCCTGTGCGTGCTGTGGTTGTGTCACAACGACGCGCGGCGATTCCGTGGTTTGTGCGTGCAGCAGCTGCGGAGCCGGCGAAGTTCGGCAGTGGATGAGCGTTTCTGAGAAGAGAGGAGGAGGCTGCGGTGAAGAGAGCTTTCTCATGGAGGCCGTGGTTTCCAGCGAGCGCCGAGCGGGCTCCATGTCCGAGGCGGTGGGCGGACAGGAAGGCGTCGGCATCGCCGCCGCACAGGATGGCCTGGTGAGCCCACAACTCTTCTCGCTCGCACGCTTTGTCAACATGTCTTGTGAACATGTTTCGTCCTTGAATGGGGTTTTGCCCCCTTTTAGGGCGATCAAACGGGAGGTGTAAAGATGTTCAAACGGCAAGTAGAAACCTTTTGCCAAGGAATCAAGTACCGCATTAACCACACACTGGCGTCCTCTGGTCTAACACCGTTTTGGGACGAGGCTCAAAAGAAAGCTGTCTCTGGTGTGGACCAATCGGCTTCAAAAACAATGCATATATTATCAGTGTGTTTTTTGTTTGCCTTCTGACCGCAAGCATTGTGGTTAATGCAGACATGATTCCTTGTAAAAGGTTTCAGTTTGGTGTTTTAACATCTTAACACCTGTTCTGTTGCCAGAAAAAAGGGGAAAAACCTATTCTCATGATATGATACTATATGGCGTTGTCTTTGAAACTGATTGGCGGATACCAGAGACAGCCTTGTCCTTTATGGCCTAGTGATATCAGTGTCAGATAAGAGAACAACGCCAAAAGGCGAAACAGTGCAAATACAATGCACGTATCAGAGCATGTATAGCTCCGGGTAAGAATGGGGTAAAAACTATTCTTATTTTCATACTTTTGATACTGGCAAAAAGGCCCCATGATCTATTTTGTCTTGCATGTAACACGCGGAACCCCCGAAACATGAATATTGTTGGACATTCTGATTTTTTAGCTGCCTCCTTTACACTGTGTGAAAAAAAAACATCACATGCCAGCTAGTCCCAGTTTAGTACCACGTATGTTCAACTTCTTTCGCACCGTACATAGTGGCCAACCCTGATAATCGGATGGGTAATGACTGTAGCATTCAGTTGAGCATTCCAGAATTGGATTTCACATTTCATTAGTGTCATTGGGGTTTTTCATTGATTGTTCTATTGCTTATATACAATGATATAATTGCCATTTATCTTTTAAAAGTAGGAATCCAAGGAAACGAAACTCATTCAACAATGCAGAACATTGGCCGCAATGTGAATGGGTTGCGTCGCTTGTGTGCAGCCACAGGTCACCACCACCACCAGGCAGAGAGGAGAGCGCAGGGAGGATGGGGACGGCAGTGGAAGTGGGCGCGAACGGTCGCACAGCGAACCCCACACGGACGAGGAGAGCGAGGAGGAAGAGCTCTCCCTGAAGTATGGCGCCAAGCACGTCATCATGCTCTTCGTACCAGTCACGCTGTGCATGCTGGTTGTCGTCGCAACCATCAAATCTGTCACCTTCTACACGGAAAAAAACGGCCAACTGTAAGTGCACTTCACGTTAAGGCTCGCTGAATGATTACAATAGTTGTATAACTTAAAGATGCCACCTTCATCTCGAACAGGGGTCGGCAACCTGCCTCCGGAGCCGCATGCGTATCTTTAAGGACTCCTCTGTGACGTGATTCACATGCATTCGGCCCTTGAAATATTGAGTTTATTACCGAATTCTAAAAAAAATTTTCTTGTTATGTTGGTTGCCTATCCCTGATCTAGAAACCCATTCGAGAATAAAAAAAGTAGTGCAGTTATTTACAAACAAAATGTCATTGTCTGCTTTGTGCTAGCCAGAATTGTGAAAGATTACTTAAAATGCAATATTTTGTGTAAAACATAGTTAAATGTGTTGGTGTGAGAAGAACACTTTCTCCATGTGGTTCCCAGCCACTTCAGTCGGCTCACATAAACTGCTTTCTAAAGCAAGTGTTGAACAGATTGAAAAAGTCATGGCTAATCAAGTAGTAGAGATTCACGTGTAGCCATTGTATATAGCTAGCGTGTCACTGGCCCAGGGAGGTTGAAGGAACCACAGTGACGTTACTTTGGGGTTGTTCTTTTGCTATTTTCTATGCAATCCCAAACACAATGCCCTACTCGGAGCTACATTCCCTTAGGGTGTCGACATTCGATAGGAAAATACTTTTACCTGCTCACCTGAGGATACTCTAACCAGTGTCACTTGGGTGTAAATTATGACAAGTTAACAGTGGCATGGCTTTGCAAATTGTCTAACATCGTTTAACACGAGTTGTAATTCTGCATGAGTGAAAGTTCTACAGGAAAGTGATGTACTCCTAGAAATACATAACCTTTTTTTTCATGGGAAAAAGTCTGGAGTGATCATGGTTTTGAGTTCGTTTCTTAAGAGTTGAAAAATAACCACTACTGTTGTTCCCATAACCAGCATCTACACACCATTCACCGAGGACACAGACACTGTGGGACAGCGAGTGCTTAACTCCATTCTCAACACCATCATTCTCATCAGCGTCATTGTGGTTTTGACCATCTTCTTGGTGCTGCTGTACAAGTACCGCTGCTACAAGGTGACCAACATACCCACCACTCAACACAAACACATTGCAGATACTGCAGTTTCCATGCATTCTATTCCTAATAATCTTTCTTTCCACAGTTCATCCATGGCTGGCTGATTATGTCATCCTTAATGTTGCTGTTTCTCTTCACCTACCTTTATCTGGGGTAAGTAGAGAGAGGGGCAGTGGATGGAATTTGTGGAAAATATTTTTCCGGAAATATTTCATCTGTTAACATGCATATTGCGTCAAAATTAATGCGTTTAGGAGGCATAAAGCATCATGTAATTGTAAGTTATTTATATGCTCAAAGTGCAGAATGTTGTAATACTGATCAAATAACAGAAAGTGCCATTGCTAATATTTGTTACTTAATTGTGTGCTGTGTTCAGAGAGGTATTCAAGACTTACAATGTGGCCATGGACTACCCAACACTCATTCTCATCATGTGGAACTTTGGAGTTGTGGGCATGATATGCATCCACTGGAAGGGCCCACTGCTTCTGCAGCAAGCCTACCTCATCATGATCAGTGCTCTCATGGCCCTGGTCTTCATCAAATACCTCCCTGAGTGGTCTGCGTGGGTCATCCTTGGAGCCATATCTATCTATGGTACAATAACAGCATAATGCCTCGGGTTTCTGTAAATGTGGCATACCAATAATAATTCGCTGCAAGCTGTTTGTGTTGTACTGACCGCGACTTGGGGATATTTCATTCTTGTAGATCTGATAGCTGTGCTGAGTCCAAAGGGCCCATTGAGGATGCTTGTAGAGACTGCTCAGGAGCGGAATGAGCCTATCTTTCCTGCACTCATCTACTCCTGTAAGTAGGTTATTCTCATTTTCATTTCACATGTACCCTTTAAAAATGACATGCTTAATGTAGCCTCTGCATTTTGTGTGATGGAATATACAATTATAAAATTATCAATAAGTATATTTGCGTGTAGAATTGTGTGCATATGTGTACATTTATAAGTTATATTTTGCATGTTTTGTGTGTAATTTTTTTGTCTGGGTGTGTACTGTCGATTTATTTGACAGCAACCATGGTATGGATGGTGGGCATGGCCGACACAAACTCCACAGAGCAGCAGAGTACCAGGCCTTCCCCTGAGCCAAACAATGATGCACAAGGTGCCTTATACTTCACCTTTGTCTCCTCAATATGCAATGGTTGAGTGCAGAAACTGGTAACACCTAAGGTGGAATATTTTTAGTGGTACTGACGTCGCCAACAAAATGCTTTAATATGTAATAATATAAAATAAACCATCAATGGTAATAGACATTTCGAGTTTTACTAACTCATGTGATTATTGGAAAGTGAAAAATCTGACGTGGGTTCATAGACTATAAAATGTAAGCCACTACATGATTTAAGGAAAATGTTCATGACAATTGAGTTATTATAATATGGGTTTTCCCCTTTTTTCTGGCAACAAAACTGAAACCTTTTCCAAGGAATCATATGTGCGTTAACCACAATACTTGTGGTCAAAATGCAAACAAAAAAACACTGATAATATATGCATTGTCCTTGAAACTGATTGGTCCACACCAGAGACGGCTTTCTTTAAAGACGGCTTTCTTTGGTGCGGACCAATCATATATTATCAATGTTTTTTTGTTTGCATTTAGACCACAAGTAGTGTGGTTAATGCGCACATGATTCCATATAAAAAGGTTTCAGTTTTGTTGCCAGAAAAAAAGGGGAAAAACCCTATTATATTTTGGTACTGGCAATAGGAGGTCTAATTATGTAATTGAGTTATCTGATAATGACTTTGGGTAATGTATTACAGGCAGCTAAAATATTTATAATATTTCTGATTTTATTGTGAAAAATGGGATTTGTGAATTTGGTGAAATTTCAGTACCAAATGGCGGCCAAGGAGACTTCACGGGTAATTTCTTGGGGGACTCGCAGCCAAGTGAACCCGATGTGCCTCGAACCACTCACGAGGCTCGAGAACTAGCGCGGGAACGAGCACGCGCTAACCCCCCCATGCCACCGGAAGAGTCTGAGGAGGAGCGTGAGTGACTTGCAACGCAGCAACCACACTCGGTTTTCTCACAGCATCGGGGGACATGGAACCCACTACGGGACAAACACCATCGCTTGTTTGATCGCCCAAAAATAATTGCCGTGAAAGTGCAAACGTCATTCTCTAAAAAGTTGAAATCTTGGTTTATGAAGATGTCTGTAAAATGGAATGCTTAATGGTAAGCGTGTGTGTTTGAGAGTTCAGGAGGAGGTATAAAGCTTGGCCTGGGAGATTTCATCTTCTACAGTGTGTTGGTGGGAAAGGCCTCGGCAGCTGCCAGTGGAGACTGGAACACCACCCTTGCCTGTTTTGTGGCCATCCTTATCGTAAGCAGCCATGCTCCAACACATTTAGTCCCAAATACACTACTTCTCTGAATTTCTCCTGCAGTGCCATCCAACTGCTCTGTTTTTTTTACACGCTTTTTATTAACTCACTCTGTTGTTGTCGTTGTTGTATCCTCAAATCTTGTAACTCAATTTTAACCCACTTCCCAATGTGGTATTGACTGCAAACTTGGTATACTTATGTCATACTGATGACAATACTATATTCTATCATTAAAAAAATAAACATATTTTAAAACGACATATTTTTTATGTTATGTTTCGGCTTGGGTCTGATTGTCCACGTTCAACTAACGTTGGCTGTAAATCACCACGGTCCCTTACTTTATGGCAAGCTGCGGGGCCACGTCGTGGAGTTTTGTCATTACTAGTACGGTACATTTCATTAAAGCGTGTTTTAAAAAAAGCATTTTTAAATATTACTTATTTTAAAAACTGATATTATTTTTTTGTTTTAAACCCCCTCCCCTTCCAGGGCCTTTGCCTGACCCTGCTGCTGCTGGCAATATTCAAGAAGGCATTACCAGCACTTCCCATCTCCATTACGTTTGGATTGATCTTTTACTTTGCTACTGACAACTTGGTGCGGCCTTTCATGGACAGCCTCGCTTTTCATCAGTATTATATTTAGCTGTGCTCTTTCCCAGCGTTGCATTGTACAGTCCTTGGTCCATCTTCCACAGTGTAACCCTTAATCTGTACAGATTTCTATAAGTTAGATTTTTGTGTTATTGACCTGAATAAATGTGGGTGTACAACAGTATTGCTACTGCTTCCTTTGCATCACACCCGTAAAAAAAGCTCTTATTTTCAGAGATTAAAGCAAGCACAAGTGCTGAAATCACACTCTGCAAATCTCAGTTTTTTTTACTTCATAGTGAAATACATCAATAATATCAGGAATTTAGTTTAACACGTAGGCTCTATTATTATGGATCATGAGTTTCATTGATAATGAGCATTATTAGAAGCCTGTATCTTTTAAAACAAAAAAAAGCAGATTTGACCTGGGCACGGTGGCACTTGCCTATAATTCAGTGCTTTGGATGCAAGAGTTGATGGATTGTGTCGATTATGTGCAACTCTTAACCACACTTAACTCGTGAGATGGACAGGAGATGTAAGTACGTTAAGTTGCTCTCTGACCCACCTGCGGAACCTTTGAGTATTTTCACTTTGCTGCACGCTTAATACTTTTTTTTTCTGCAGATACACGGGTTTCGGCTTGCATGCAGAACATTCCTCAAAGTAATTTGTCAAACATGCCAATGCAGCATCCTCCTGAAAATGTCTCGAGAGACGGCCTTTCCCGGATTAATAAATTATGTTATCATCATTAAATAGTGGCTGTGTCCCACACTGCTGCTGTGTAGACACCACGTTTTGCCAGTTATGAGCACACACTCAAGTTGATGTTTGACAAATGCATTCTGTAGCACACAGGACAGCTTCTACAGACGTGCATTGTATTAATGCTGCATAAGAAAAACTGTGCAAGACACAGTTGGGCAACAGTGTTGAACAAATTTCACTGCTTCACAGTTTGGGTGTTTAAATACAGCACAATTCTTTTGAAGCTGCAACAATTGGGTTTCTGGAGTAGCCTTAGAGATGGTTGCTAACACATTAACATTAATCATTTATTGCTATTTGAAATTATATGAAAAATTCATGTCATGTTAAATGTGATTAAACACTGCTATGTAATAATGTTAGTGTGAGCTGCTGTTTATGTAACTACTATAATGGAATACTGTATAACCATACTTTAGATTAGTGGTTCTTAACCTGGGGTGCACACACTCCCTGGAGGTGCGAAACATGCCGGATTTTATTTTGAAGGTAAATCATCTAAACAAATTAAGTATGGGCACGTAAGTACAACTACTTTGTGTCATCAAACCTCTATGTATTTATTAACAGGTACAAAGCTGCAGTAAAGGTTAAGAGCTTTTGGAGTTTAGATTGTAATTTTTATGGGTTATTAACACTTTCTTTACATCAAACTATACATTTTGAAGTAATTGAAAAATTGCTTTGCTCGTGTTGATCAAAAACCAAGCGACACATCATCACATGTCTTCATTACATTCTATACTTGCAGACGGGGTAATTACAATTCACAGCGTTAACACCCAATAAATATGCATTGCTATTGTCACGCCACTGAGTAAATACGATTTTCTTAACTAAGTAGTCACTGATGTGATGGGTACATTGCAAACACTGACGAGCTGCCGAGTATAGCTGCTCACACTTGGGGATGACATTGGTATACGGTACTAGCCTGTGATAACTAATTTGTTGGGAAGGCCCAACAAATGATATCGCCAAGAGAGCTGCTCAAGTGTTTGGTGTATGTTCAGGGACTCCTACTTATGGAGATTCGGTTTACGAATTTTCAGAGATTCGAACAAAACTGACCGTAAGTGTAGTTGAATATTCGAGCCGAGAGTCGTACATTTAACCGCCACGCATTAGATGGTGGTGGTGGCATCTACAGCACATGAAGAACCAGTGGCATCTACAGATTATACAACTTTTAAAGCTATTCTCCGTGTTTAGTGTACATCCGTACAACATTTTGGGAATCTACAGGCGTAAACTTGGACTTACGAACAGACCTCTAGAACCTAACTCGTAAGTAGAGGAGCCCCTGTATCACTAGCCCCTGTCTGTTGAACTTCTTTCCCACCGTACGTAGCCGACGGCACTAAACTAAGTACTAAAGAAATAGGTTTTTAAACAAAATACTAAAGAAATTAGTTTTCAAGAAATGTGTTTCAAGAAAACTGTGCAGGGCTCTCTCTAGGTGAGCAGCATACTTCCGCTGGAAGTGCTTGTGCAAGGAGCCACGTGAATGAGGCGAGTGGCTGCTACTTTGTGTGTCTCTGCCCTGGTCTCTCCGACGGCTGCCTCCTTATTGTGTGGTGGAGTCGCCTTGCTGAGCGAGCACGCGGCGGCGGCGGCGGCGGCGGGGACGTCGACGGTGTCGCCCAGCTCCATGGTGTGCGTCACCTGGCCAGTGGGTGGTGACCCCATTGCTTCCCCCACTGGCCACGCTCTCCAACGAGCCACGAGCAGCCCCCACGCACATCGGCGGAACTGCGGGGGGCGGGGGGGGGCGGCACGCAAGCGCGTGGACAACGCGCAAAATTCAAAGATTAAGGTCCATGTCATTGGCATTGATTATTGTGTGAGCTTAGGGGCCGTCCATAAATGACGTCACGCACCTAGGGGGGGTCAGACATTTGTGACGAGGAGGGGGGGGGGGGTGAGAAATGTGACGTCACATCAAAATGCGCAACTTTAAAGAAATAGACAACGTTCTACTTTTTAATAAATGTTTTCTCATACAACATCAGAGTGCAGCGCCACATTAAATATGCACTATGACTAGTTTAAAGAGCTTTGAAGCAAGTTTTATTTTCAAAATAGAAATGTGTGTTTTTTTGGGAGGGGGGGGCAGAGCTTTATGACGTCATATCTGACTGTGACGCCATATGACGAGGGGGGGGGGGTCAAAAATCGTCAATCGCGTGACGTCATTTATGGACGGCCCCTTAAGTAATCAATGGTGAGGAATCGATGCATCTTTACACCCCTGACTCTTCCAAGGGTCGTTTGTGCTCATCAAAATGAATTAATTAGAGCATTAATTGGTTCATGACATCACACCGGCGGGAACAAACATGAACCTCCATTCCATTTGGGTCAGCAGCAACCTTGACTCGTGTTTGGGGACACGTCACCGGCCTATAATGCTTAGAATCGCGCGCAATGAGTCACCTGTTTATTCGTGAAAATATACAGCAGAGGGTGGTACGTTGCTGTTGTCCGGGTGAGCAACATTGGCACGGCGGAGATGACGGGAGCGGAGGACGACGACGACGACGAAGACGTCGAAGACCCCACGGGGTAGTCTCTCTGGACATCCATGAGCGCCAGCAGCGCGTGCGGTGTGCGCGCCGTGAAGCACAGCAGCAGCACGAGGACCCACGCGCGTGCCGCCTGCTGCTCGTAGCAAGCGAGCGCAGCCGCGCGCCTCGTGTGCGCTGCGTACCTGGAACGCAGCTGCGCTCCCCGGGCAGGGTGAGGTCACGGCGAGCAAACGAAAACGATACGATACAAAAGGACATTCAACGCATTTGTCAATGAGACTGTGGCCCCTTTAAGTTGCGTCTGTGTGGGGGGGTGGGTGGGGGTGGGGGGAGCTTAAGTATCCTCGGATTCCTCCAGGATAAATGAAGGTTGTGATATATGTGTAATAAGCGACGTTTGGGGACAATGGGTCTTTATATTTACGAGCGAAACAAGGACTTCACAATTCTGGCAAGTCGCCTGATGAGGCTGCTTGTAATCACCAGCGAAACGTCGTACTCAAATTGCAAATGTGGGTTTACTCTCCAACACTGTTGTGCTGAAGTAGCAACTCATTGGCACGTTTTGTTTACGTAACAAACCTTACTAATTGGCTGTGTCGGGTGGTGGTGGGATAACGACATATTTACGCGATTTAACCCAAAACAAAAAACCTTTATTATGGATATTGGTTGCGAAAGCCTACCTGTTAAACAGCTGTTGCTTCTACACACAGCACATTATAAATAGTGAGTCCGGAGAGAGTTAATCGAGTGGCTCATCAGAGTTGGGATATTGGCAAGTGCCATGTGGATCCAATATCAAAGCCCGCATCGGGTGGCACCGCTCCCAGAAAAAATAAAAAACACCCAAAAAGTATCTCGTGACATCGGTGACAGATCGTGATCCTCCTAATGGAGGCGAATGCTGCGTTGATTACACACCTGCCATGCGCATAAACAATACCATACTTGACACCCAATTGCTTCAGTGCGGAGGGGGAATTCTTTTCCACGAGGATCAATACTTTTCGAGAAGCCTTTTTTGACATGTTCTCCAACGTATTCGTTTTCTGTCTCGGTGGACTCTTACACTAACTTGGTGGCCGTCAGGGCACCACAAATCCTTGAGCGACGCACGTGTACATCGGTGCTGCAGACCCCATCACATCTCTCACCGCGCGGATCGTGAGCACGATGCGCCCGTAGCAGAGCGCAGTGGCAGCCACGGGCAGCACCAGGCACCCGAGGAAGAGCAGCAGCACAAAGACGTTCGAGGCCACGCCCTGGGGTCTCCAGTCAAGGGAACAACCCAGGCCGTGCGATTCGGGCATGTAGTGACCCCAGCCGAGCAGCGGGGCTGAAGACCAGGCCAGCGCGTAGAGCCATGCAGCAGCTGATGCCCGGCGACCCCAAGAGAGGTCGAGGTCCTGGGGCCGCGAGAGTCTGGAGCAGCGCTCGAAGGCGAGCAGCGCCAAGCTCCCCGCGGACACGGTGCCTGCAGTTTGCGCAGAGGGGTAAGAAGGACGACTCCCTCCACAGTTTCGCGCAAGATCTCTCTCTCTATATATATACACATCTCTCTTTTTACGGTTATGTATTGAGTAGCAACATTCAGCCATCGTCCACGTTGGAAATACAGCAGCTGCTGGCTTCGGAGGACTTCAAATGCATGCCACGCGTGCCATCGAAGAAGGCTCGAAGCGAACGCGCCGGGCACGACTGCGTGCCACCTTTTGCTGCGATTCTCCCCACCCGCACTCGTTGATTACTGGGATTTTTTTTGTTAGAATAATACTGGGTTCACACACGATCCATAAATTACCATAAGGAAACGTAAACCTCACGAACATGCTGAAAAGTTCACAAGACTGAACTTTACAGATTGGCAACGTGCATCGGCAGCCAATCGGGGCCGGGGTGACACAAAGGCGGATGAAGCAAGTTTTTTGTTTGTTTTCAAACAACTACCAATGATGACGGTTATACCTGCGGAATTCATTGAAAGATTGATAAGAGAGGAGGGATTTTTTTTCCACGGCGGTTCCAGATTACAGACAACCTCATATCTAGGACACAAGGAAAGGGATGTTACCGGAGTAAAACTCGGAGTTCACTGGAAGTTTGTTGGAGGCAGTAGGAGATGTGGGAGGTCTGGTCGTTGTAAACTTAGAAAAGTGTATATATACTTTTTAAGTCACACATCTAAAACAGAGCTTCCATGTAACTGTAAATTGTAATTACAATTCGACAACACATTCGTTGACAATTCTAAGCTTTAAATAAGCGTGGCCTTTATATCAAATTACAGGCAGTTAAAATGAAATCACCACCGTAAGCAAAGCATGCATCACTAAGCACGATGCAAAGCGGCAATTAAAATAATTCTGTGTTGAAGAACGGTAAGTTACTCACTCGCCTTTTGCAAATACATTTTTAATCGAATAAGTCGAGTTAAACCTGTTCATGGAAACCCTGTGATTACAGCCAGATTTATGGATTTACTTTCCAACACGCGTGTGTTGGAATCGTAACGAATTTGCACGTTCTGTTCACGTGACAAATCTTACTAATTGGCTGCGTCGGGTGGTGGCGGGTTTAACGACACATTTATATTTACGCTAACCCAATAAACCCCCTGTATTATGGATGACATTGGTCGCGAAAGCTTACGTGTTAAACCCAGTGAGCCTCATTTATGTAGATGGGGGTTCTTTTTTTAATCCCACACCTTTGCGGAATTCTGGCGTTTTCGCATCCATTCCGCAAAAGTGATCCCGCCTGATTCACGTCTCAGATTTTGACACCATTCGTCACGCGGACCTCGCGTTCCAACGCACTCCACACAATGACGTACACGCACACACACGTGGGAACAAAAAAAATATCCCACGGCCAAACAGCAGCCGGAAAAGTGTCGAGGAGAATCCAGGACGCGTGCTGACATCGGCACAAAGACAAATATGGTGCTGTTAGCGAGCAGCACCTGTGAAGGCTACCGGCAATTGTGGCACGCTAAAGAGGGTGGGTGGTCAGCACCACGCCCGGCCGCCTTTGTCTTCCCAGTGGCCATGTTTACACATTGCGCCAGGTACTAATTTTGCGCTGAGTCGACGTAGGGAAGGCACAGCACCAGTTCAGATAATCGTCACTGGCGTTGGCCGTGAGCGGGAACCGAAGTTGGCGAGCCGGGTTCATAGCGCAGCGTAGCGCTAACCGCTGCGCCACCGCTCCTCACATCAGCACTCACTCACTCGTGCTAATCTGCGTGCGTTTCTCCTTTTTCCGCTGAGGGGCAGAATGTCGCACTCAGCTGAAGGCGGCTTAGTGCTATTTAAAACAATGATTATGTTTAATATAACGAAGTGCACGAGGATACAAATTTTAAGTGAAAATAATCATGAAAATAGTCGTGGTTTGAATGAAGATGATGGTAATTGATGATTATGAGTGACGATGATGAAGCTGCACCTTGAACTACTGATGATCCACCAAACCACACCAACTCTTACCCCCGAGCTGCAAAATCGCGCAAAGCACCCGTTTGAGTCTTAAATCTTCACCATCGTATCGTCTGCAACTTCCTCACATTGTCAACATCAGCTGCGCGTGTGTGGTCGGGCCCTTCATTCTGGAATTTGGTGTGAAGTTTAGAGTGACGAATAGGTGCTGCAAAGTGTTCATACAAATTCAGAAACAAAAAAAATAGTTACGGAGTGGAGGCGCCAAAGGTGAGCATCAATTTGCGCCGTGGTGCCCGGCGCCGTGGTGCCCGACGCCACGAGCCACGCCTCTGTATTCACCATCAACAGGATTTCCTAGCATGCGGAGAGCGTCTGCGATTGTCGGCTCTGCTAATAAACCCCTCGTCACTTTTGGTGACATTCCCGCAATGGTGCCACGATTGAATGGCTGCAGTTCTCAGTGTTTGTATGCAGCGTCGGCTTGCAATATATGGATTCTACGATTTTACGCGGAATCGCCAAGCATTCCGCCTAAAGAATCTGGAATGTGAATGATGGCCAATAAGCCCAAGATAGCTGTGGTAATCAGGCCCACTATGTTCATCCAACAGCCACGCTCCATCTCTAGCTGCGCAGAAGCCTAAACATGACATCAAAACGAAGAAGCCAGAAGCTGCCATGCAAGGCACGTGTAATAGTGCGCGCACACGGGAAAGTGCAGAATCAGGCCCTCGGCTGTGTTATCAGTCCGATTTATTTAGAACTAATTTTTTGCTTTTACTTTGTCCTTCCCCGCACCTCTGATGAACACGTTTGGCTTACGTGCGGTGGTGCGAAAGAAGTTCAGCAAACGCGGCATTGTCGTTCTGTTGTCATTACCGAAGAGGGTGAGCGAGAATCCATCCCAAAGACACACGGCCTGGCCCCGTGCCCCGTGCCAAGGGCCCCACAGCAGCAGCATGGCGGTGGTGGAGAGGCTGCCCAACAGCTCGCTGGCACTCATGTTAGCCAGCAGCAGGAAGGAGGGGACGCGCAGGGCCCTGCGCCGTGCGAACAGCAGCAGCACCAGCGCGTTGGCGCCCACGCCAACGCACACGCTGAGCCACAGCAGCACAGCGACCACGACGTGAGCAGCTCGACTCAACCTCACTTCCGACCCTGGCCCCAACGCGGCGTCTCCCGTCGAGAAGGAGTTCCTCTGCGACACCGGCTCCATTGCTCTCTCCTGATGCGTCGCCGGCTGTCAAGGTCCCCCGTCGCCGCTTGTGCGCCTCCGCAGCTGCGTTCGGTGATCCTTCTGTCCTTTAATCGGCTTATACTGCCACGTTCACCAACATGCAGCTGTTGCCATAACAACCAAAAGGGACCCAACAACTGTTATGGAAAGGGTCACACAATAAATGTAAGCTCCTTTACGGCAGCGCTTACAGGGCCGGCTGTCTCTTTTCTCTCAGTTTTACGGCATGAAGTTGCTCAGTGGCGAGTGGATCTTAAATTATTAGGTTTATCTTTCCACAGATGTTTCCTTTCGGTGCTCAGGGACAATTGACGACTCTAAATAGAGTAAAAAAAAAACAATAGGACGTGTCTTAAGTGCTTTTATGTTTTAATTTTATCAAAAGGGGCTCTCACTTGGTTTTACAGCAGTTTTTTTTTAAAACGACATGTGGAGTCATTACTACCAGAAATCTCATTCTCCAGGTTTCCACTATCTTGAGCTTGGAGGGTCAGCAATCCTATTTTTTCCATCATTGTTTTTTTCAGTTAGGTCGTGTAAAAATGTATCAATCCCACCTCGACCCGTGACAGCCTATTCATAAGTGTCACGTGAATAAAATATGCCAAATGTATTCACTGCTTAAGTCCCACCAGTGTGTTGGTGAGTAATCTTACAACATTGAAATGGGTACGTTTCGCTTGCGATTACATGCAGCATCCTCAGGTTAACGGGAGCTCAGATATAACCAAACCTGAAAAAACTATATTGAATATTGTAATTGTTCATGAACGCCTACGTATACATTCACACTTGTAAATCCGTTTACAATTCGAAAATCAATTGTGCTAAAGAAGAGAAATAGCTCAAAGAAGCACGTTTTACATTTTCTTCACAATGTTTTAGCATTTTTACATTTGCATACTGAAGGTCAAATGCATGGTAAAGAAAAGTCCAATACATTGGAAAATGTGTCATTCGGCTTTTTTTCCTTAAAAATATTATTGGAAACTACTTTCATGCCAAGAACATAAAACTTGTCCGATATCTGCCAGGGCAGCCATAACCATTTTAATTAGTTGAACTTGCGCGCTGTGTACATTCAGTGAACATGCACGCGTTTTTTTTACGTACAATCATTGAATATTGTATTAATACAATCAAATTAGGAGAAAAAAATGCAAATTAAAACACCACAAAGAGGGAAGGGAGCGAGGCCATGTTTAATGGAGTGGGTATTTACAACAAAGGACATGTCTTTGGCAGGACACGCCTGACGGAGGAACCGTCCCCGTGCAGGTCACAAACACCACTGCCCGCGCCACGCACAAGGGGTCACACAGCTCTCTCTCTCTCTGTGATTGGCAGGTTTTGGCAAAACATGACGATTCACAACTCAAAATAAAAACCAAATGGGACCAGAGTGTAAGAGGGATAAATGAGGGCATGTTTACCAGGGCGCGGGCAGGGCTGGCTCGTTCATGCAATTAAGTGTAAGTGCCCAAAATGTACACCCACAGCCAGCACTGCCCTGCACTGGCAGTGGGTCCACATGGGCCATCACTGACCGTAAGTGCAGCCAAGTGGCTGGCAGGGCCACCAAGTTACTCGAGCATGTGCCAAATACAAATGTGGCCATTGACAACACTTAGCACAATATTGCTACACGATAATACAATGTGCAAGGCTCTGAGTAACAGAAAAGGCAAATGTTGGTACAAAGTGTCAGAATACTGGATAAGAAAGTTAATAAATTTGCAAAAGTTTTGAAAAATGCTCACTGGAACATATACAGTAATAGTTATTACCAGCTACAGGTACTTAGGAGTTACACCTCACAACACTACTCATTGTATGACCAATTCCTATTGTCATATGCATTAGCTTAAACAACAAACAGCACACGGCTTTGGAAAGGTGATTACCTGGCACGATGTCATTAATACCTCGTAGTTATAAGAGGAAGGTTAACTCTGGAAGACAATCATTTAAAAAAAAAATCTCTGAACAGCACACCCGCCCGCCAGCGCAGGCCTGGCATGTGCTTCGCGAGCAACGCGAAGTGTTCACCTCCCCCCATGCTGACTGAGAGCGTCACGGCAGCGCCTCAGCATCATTAACCTCAGGGCAGTTTCTCATAGCTTCAATATATTTATCAGACTCGTGAGACACAAATACTGATGCTGATATTGGCTCCCTCTGCCAAACACGTCACCAAATCCCTGAACAAAACTTAAACATTGTAAGTTATATATTTACTATCGACCCAGGCAGAGTGAATTGCTTCGGGACTTGCTAATACAAGGTTAAAGCACCTTTCCCCAAATCTTAAATTGTAATGAATATGAAAAATGCATGCTGTCACTAACAACTCTAAGTCACATTACATTGACATACAAAAAACACACATAGGAGTCGTTTGTTCAAACAAAAGCATGCAATGGCAGATTGCGTCTGACGCTGGCAACGTGAACACAGTGGCACAAACGAGAAGGGCCTCACCCGGTGGCCCCGGCGAACCCAGCGCGTGTGAGGTGTTCCCTGCGCACAGCATAGACAAGATGATAGGGAATCCCAGTGCCCAGGAAGGGACCATGCTACCTGCCCCTCCCAACGCTGGAATGCTATAAAACGCTGTCCTTGAATCTTGTCCTAGAAGCATTTACAAGAATGCTCTCATTGTTTCGGTGAAGCACAGGCCAAGATTGCACATATTATTGAGACATTTTAAATAAATACTAGTCATCAGAGAGCACTGATCAAAATAATATTAGATTTATATGATTGTTTTATCTTTCCATCTATTTTCTTGATGTAAACGTAAAATAATTAATATAATTCAATGCAAAAGTGTCAATAGAGTAGGAATAATGTTGCTGTGGCACCGAGGTCACATTTAACGCGGTAGCTAATGTCAAGTGCAGTTTCCCACACTAGAGGGCTGCTGTCTGCCAGTGTAATATCTTAATCGATTCAGGAGCAGCCGTTTAGAGCACTGCAGCACCACATGCTCGTGAGGAGCCACACCCGTTACATGAACATTGCTTAAGAGCAGCAATAGCACGGTGTCACGGCGCCTGTCACTAACCTCAGGCTTCACTGCCCTGTGGCAGAAGCCATCGTTGCTTATGAACATGCGGCTTACTTGTGATTATTCCACCTTTTCGCAATGTTCTGGCAGTAATGGCAAAATTACCCTTCTATTTTTTACTCATGTACATGCTCTACATTGATTCACCTATGCATCAGTCCAGGTGATCGATACGTGGGGAGATTGTCTAATTACAGCAGACCCATTCAGGTCCACATTTAAAATTAAAAAGTCATATCCTGTATGTCATACTGCAATGAAATGTGCACCATGAGATTAAGATGGGTCCGAATTTTACATGGCAGAATTATCAGTCTGACCACAAATTAGCAAGAGGCTCATGCTTTTGCTGAGCTCCAAATACAAAGCCTGTTCTTGCAGTCTCTCGCGAGTACAAGAGGCAATGCCATACTTAATTCAAGTGCAAATGCACATTTCAGAAGAGAGAAAAAAAACCTCAACATAGTTAAACATTGCTATTAATTTTCTTGGCAAACTAGAACAATTCCGTAACACTCTGCACATCATCCTTCAGACGGCAAGACCCCGACAGGGGTTTCCACTTAATTTTTCTGAATAGGACTGAAATTATTGGTGTTGGTTATTGGTGTTAAACAGACAGAATGGACACACATAACACCCTTGGACTCTAAAAAACATGAAAACCAAGGAGATTTCAGGGCGTCTTATGGTCTGCACCGCAAACAACGTTAATTCAACAGGGAAGACCAAGTACAGTGGCCACGCTTCTGAAGCACTGATTCAGTAACTAAACAAAGTTCCTTGGGTCAACATATGGCTTTCATCCCCACTCAAAAAATATACTTGATTCTGAAAAATAATTTTAAAAACCAAAACAGAACAAAAACAAATACAAAATAAAAGTATTGCCCCATAATTGTATTTTTTTAATTGGCATGAGTCCCGTAAGCATAAGGGAGGGTTGGTGGTGACGCGAGTTATTTCTTCCTGCGGCTGCCCCTATCAGGCGCAGGAGCTGCCTTGGTGACAACCGCTGTGGCTGTGCTCTCTAGGCACTGGTGCAAACCGGCGAGGTGCAGCAGGGAGCCGGCTGCTGCCTTCAGCTCTTCATCTTCCTCATCCTTGTCGTCCAAGACCCGTCCAGCCCCACTCTTCCTGCTGCTGCTGCGAGGTGGCTCTTCAGAAGCCCTGAACATTCGTTTGCCCAGAGTGTCCCATCCACCCCTGCCTAGCACCCTCTGCCATTTGTCTGTTTTGGGGGCAGCAGCACCGCTACCCAGAGAAACTCCAAACTTTCTTTTGCGTTTCTCCTGGCTCTTTTCGCTCTTCCCTGCCTGGTGGTTCTGCCGCCTTAACGCCGATTCTTTACCTCCCCCTCCTCCCTCCCCTTGTTTCCCCTCTTCACTCCTCTCTACAGCAACATCTTCCTTCTCCTCACCCTGTGATCCCAAAGGCAAACCTTGCTTGCCTTTCCCACGTGCGTGTGCCGCAGTGCGACCACCTCGGATGGAAAGGTCATAAGGGCCCTGGAAGGAGGAAGGAGAGCAGGAGGAACAGGTGGAGGGCGACGGCACCAAGGGGGCATGGCCAGAGGACCCTACCCCTGATGCCACCACGTAGTTGTGGTCTTCACTGGGGTCACAGCTCACCACCGGGGAGCCACACGAGTGCTCGCTGTCGTGCCGGGCACGGCTCCGTTTGCGGCCCTCTCGCTCCCTACCAAGTGAAAGCAGCAAGAGAGCAGTGATGCATTTAATTGGCTTGATTAAAATCACCTTCTAAGTTTCAACATCGGCTTATTGTCTTAAGCTCCAATGTTCTAAATGTTGAATGAAAATCAGCGTATAATGCAAAGGTCATGCGTTAAACTCAGTCAATTTCGGCGCCTAAACATTTACGGTATTTCAAAAAACATGTGTAAAAGTACAGCAGCCTCACAGCAGAAAACACAACTGTTCACATTCAGTACAATGAGCTTAAAGCTTCTAACAAGCTGCTTGCATATGGCACATTCATGTCGGCCTCATAGCCAAACATCCAAATCACTAAGTATTTATTTTCTTTAACCTTTCTATATATTTTTTTATGTTATTTAAATCATTGGGCCCCTGCTAGTACAAAGAGACCGAAATGAGGGTTGAAGGTAGGTCAGGGTGTGATGCAGAGCGTAGTACCGTGTGCAACCCGTCGTGTGAATCTGCAGCGGCTTAAGCAACCCCCAGCTTCCTCCTCCATTCTGTTGCAGTCGTGCATCTGTTAGGGGATGACAGGAGTGGTTCCATCATGTATCACATACATTCATACCGGGGCAATCAACCACGTGTGCATTTGTGTGTGTGTGTGTATTCGATTCACGCTCAAAGCCAACGCCACCGGCAACGATGATCTTAATTGGTTTTGGACCTCCTCTAGGTCGACTCAGTCTCAAATGAGTACCTGGTGCAGTGTGTGTAAACATCAGTACTGGGGAGACAAAGGCGGCCGGGCGTGGTGTTGGCCACCCAACCCCTCTTGCGCCGCGTGCTGGCCTACATATTTAGGTGCTGCTCGCTAACAGCACCTGCCCCAACAGTCCTTTCACGGCTATATAGGAGACAAAGGCGGCCGGGCGTGGTGTTGGCCACCCAACCCCTCTTGCGCCGCGTGCTGGCCTACATATTTAGGTGCTGCTCGCTAACAGCACCTGCCCCAACAGTCCTTTCACGGCTATATAGGGGATCTTCGTCTTTGTGTGTAACCGTGTGTGTGTGTGTCTTGGGTCTTTGTGCCAACGTTGAGTCTGCATCATTGTACGTGCAAGAATGTGCTCAGAATCAGACTTTATTTAGACTGGAAGAATCCGATGAGCTATGAAGCTCTTGTCCAGTATGAGTGGGTCAGCAAGTTACAACAGCAAACAATACAAAAAAACAGTGGGTGCGCAAAATAGAGAAAATAGTTAGCAAGTCACTAAATATGAATAAATAAATAAATAATGCATTCATTATATAAGACCGATTTATAATGGTCGGGCAAGGCAGCAAAAACAACAGCAACAAAACAGACCTAGACCACACCAAGACAACACCACACAGTAGACCCTCAATAAAACTCCATAATTAACATTGAACAATATCGATACACAGGCAATGAGTTAAGCTAACGTAGCTTCTGCCAAGGCATGAGTGAGACCTTCTCGGTGGGGGATAAAAGCAACCACAGGGGAACATTGGAAGGTGCGAGAAGTAGCATTTGAGAAGCGCTTTACTGGCACATTTCTGCGGTGGTGGATGAGTTTGTTGTACAGTTGTAGGGACCTCACATCAGTGTGATATGTGTTTTGAGAGTTGAATGTGTGATGAGAGTTCATGTGTGTGGTTAGTGTGATGTGGTCAGCTAGAGGTGAGTGTGGTAAGTGAGAGAGGTGAGTGCGGTATGGTGACTCACATTCAGCAGGTCTTTGCTCTGGAGGAGAGTTCAGCAACATCATGGCAGTCACAGCATCAATATCAGATTCTGTTAAAATAGAAGTTAACAGTTAACATTACATATGTGCAATGCCTCTATACAATTTCAAGTAGTGCACAGTATTCACTCATTGTTGGAAAGTGGCTTCTATATAGGTATAACGTATTAGAGATAAAATAATTAGCATTAAAAAAGCATTCGTTTAATTCAATAACGCAAATATTTAACAACTGCAACCTCGAGAACTACAGATGTATTATGATCACCATGATTCTATAATTGTCATTTCACCCTTATAATGCCAATATAATGCTTTATAGCACCTAGTAAGAACCCATTCTAGCGAGTCTCTTTAAAAAAAAGGAGACCTGGGTAAAAGTGTATTGGGAAAACCAAAAATGCAAAGATTAGACAGATAAAAAGTGCCAAAGTCAGTATAAAACGCACAATAAATTGCAACCTTTAGTTACTCATCAAATATAATTGAATAAAGAAATTAATGAATGAAGTAGCAATGTGTTCTACAGACCACAATTAGCATTCACATTATCCAAAAGCAATCCAATACAAACTGCATCCCCCTACAAAGAAATCCATATTCAAAAGGAAGGCAGCAACACTGGAATTCACAACGTATACTACGATTTACATATTCTAAATCATTGAGTGCAACACATTGCTTCAGACTGTCCACATTTAAAGAGCAATTATATGCCGGTTTCTATTTTACAACATACATTTAAATCCAAAATGCGGAGACAGTTCATGTTGTCGGGTTATGTTCCTGATTTTCATATTCATCCGAAAAACATCCAAAACGAAGGGCACAGTACACGAGATTTCGGACGATCAAAACGTGGCACCCCAAATATGATGTCGCTTCCATGATTTTTCCCACCAAAAGTGGTGTCATGTGGAATTGGGTGACATCGCGATCTTTAGCACCACGACATTTTAAATACTTCACATAAATTATCTGAAATTGATTTACTGTCATTTTAAAATCCATCAACTTGCATTTTTGAATCGAAGAATTATTCCGAGCATATTGTGAAAGTCATATTCCGGAAAAAAAATGTATGTATGGGCAATGTTTGTATTTACTTTTGTATATTAATCATGCATCACTGCAAGAGTTTTTTTTAAATGATAGTTTGAACAACTGTGCTCAATTTCACATTGAGACTTTGGAATATGATTTTTATATTTCTACGTTCTAACTGCGGAATACATGATTCTATATAATGGACAGAACAGTTTATATCTAGCATGATATGCAGATGAATGGTCGTATTTTCAGTTCAAGTTGGTATTTTCAGAAATGTATCACGTGTGTAATCGCAACTTTCAATCAATGCAAGTAGCGTGTTATGCGGTACTGTATTGTATCCGTTAGCTTCACTGCAGTTACACAGAGCGGCCAACAGGAGTCTAAGGTGCACTGAATTTGAGCTTTCCGCTTCAGGGCTCGATTGCTAAATATCCGGATCCCTGATCCAGAACACTGCGGTACAGCAGACACCACCAGGCAGTCTGGACATCAAGTCGGACAAACGAGTACTATTCTAAAAGTACTGTCCTAGAATCCAATACCACACCTTGGTGAGAACACAATAGTCCCAACAAAAGCTACCGAGAGGTTAGATACAATGTACATAACAGTGAAATTTACCGAGAGAAAACAATGTCACAGCCACTATCCCACCATGTACACACACAGTGAGCATGCATCATCAAGTGGAGACAGCACATGACAACTATCTTAGATGGTCCTATGAACAGCATCCTTTACCAAATAACCACTTGAATTTTGTAATTTGGGACACAGGCGCAATGTGTCATCAACCGATAGGCAACAGGATAAATCAGCTTTAACGGACAGGCATTGCACCTGACTACATTATATGGCTGGTTTAAAGTACTAAAACGCCATGCACAACAAACATTTGACTTAAGTTATCTGAAATAGTATTATGACCACTGTGGGAACGTTTTGTATTGAAGAGAAAATGATAACAGGAGAGGCATGCTCAACAATATAACACTCGGTGTACTTAATAACACACATGTCCTGTATAAATACACATTTACTGTCATGTGTGAGTCACCATTGTACCATGTGGGTCTCTGATCAAGTGATGGCATCAGGCAACGTGGAGCCCTTCTGTTTCAAGGCTGCTTCTGTTTGTAAGGAAATCTGCTAGGGCCATATTATTAGTTTCTGTCTTTGACCAAATAGCTAAGAGAGCTGCATGACATGCAGAGAGCTACTTGAACACAAACACAGACATAGCAGGTAAACGGCATATGACAAACACATTCTGAATTAAATAAACAAAATAGGTGATGGAATAACTGCGACTCTCGTTTTTGTTCCCACTTAGTTATTCTTTAACAATACAAATTTTATTAATTATCTTTATGTTAAATTATGTTTAAAGATTTTTTTTTACAAAAATGTCAACGACTGCCCACAAGGGGGCAGCCAAAGAGCCGCAAGGGAGAAGCCAAAGAGCTGCCGCATTCGGCTCCAGAGCCGCAGGTTGCCAACCCCTGTGGCTCGGGTGAATGTTGCTCGATACACTTCATGCACTCCGCTCGTAAAATAAAAAATAAAAACTCATTTTGCTTTACACTTCATGAAAAGTGAGATATTAAAAAATACAATGTCCAATGCAAATAAAAAAATAACTAAGGAGCGCTGTCATGTGAAACACATCTTACAATAATGTTTCATTGCTTCGTTTCTATTAATTCAGCAACAGCTCCGTCAGAAATGTGCTCCTGCTCATACGCTGCTTCTAAATGGCAATGAGAACCATTTAAGTGGCCCTTGAGTAATCAATCTCAACAATAAATGATGCCCCACCTAAACACGCAGTCCCCAACAAGCACCCTTCACCCATTAACTGCTTATTTGTCCATTCAATAGGTTCTTAACAAGCTCACTTGGCCCACTCCACGAGTATTACAGCAACACATGCTCGCCCAATCCCTCCCCTACTACCACCAAGCAACTCCCCCCTCCCCATTCCCTTCTACCCTGCTATGCACTTCTTTTCATTCAAGCGTTGTGAACTGCTTGTACACCACTGCGGTCTCCCTTACCATAAGTCAGATTGGCACAACGCATGCTATCGCGTGCTGCTCATACCTCTTAAAGCATCTTTGAATTCATCTCCTTGGTCCTTTCGGTAAAGTCACGTAGAATGACTTTACCGAAAGAACCAAGAAGATGAATCCCTGCAGTCACGAAAGCTTTAAATCGAAATAATCTCTGAATTGTTAATTGCGCTCGGGCTCATTGAATATAATTTATATTTGTGAAAAATGTGTTACTTTCAGAAACTGTCCTTTTATAAATTTTGCTTGGCATGTTGGGCACGAGGTGAGGTAAAGCCCGAGGCTGTAATTCCACAGCAAAGGCAGGATCGTTATCGGCGAGTTCCACCCCCAACCAAACTTCCTGCCGCATGTACTGCGTGGGACAGCTGGTGAGTCTCACACTGAAATAACACATGCGGCATTGCACTTAGGCACGCGCTAACACACGCAGCAAACAACACCGCGCTCCCAAAGACGACAAAACAAAACTGGTAGAGTAACCCATGGCTGCAAACTCTTCGTTGCATGCCTGTCCACATTCCGACATAACGACAACAACGCAGTGTCATATCAGCGAATTCGTGGCTTTTGGTCTTCCGTTCCCTGCTGGTATTGCACAATTTCGAATAAACTACGGGAATATGAAGATTAAACAATGAGTAAATGATTAACAATTATAATAAACAATGATTCTGTTGGATTACAGCCGCTTCCCCCCTTCCCTTGCCATGCGAGTCATGGGAGGTTGTCCGTCAACACTTCACCACGCTGGTGAGTGTGAGCTCGAGAAGCGGGGACCAGGATTGGTTAAAATGTCACTCGCCACTCATTTTAAGCATCCTCAGGAATCGAATTTCGGTTTCCGGGCTCATAGCACAATGCGCTAACCGCTGCACCACAGCTCCATCCCTTATACATAACATAAATAAAGCAAATTACTTTTACTGTCAGCAGTTGTATTGTAGTACAATACTCTATTTACAGACTGCATATTCATTTCTTTTTTTGCATTTCTTTTATTTCTGGTACAGTGAATATATGTATGGCTTCAAGATAGTGTTCATATAAAACAAGCAACACTTTACATAAGATGTTGTTTTTTGGGTTACATCGCGTAAACATAAATGTGTCGTTAAACCCGCCACCACCCGACACAGACAATTAGTAGGGTTTGTCACGTAAACATGTAAATACGTTACTAGTTCAGCACAACGGTGTGTTGGAGAGTAAACCCACAACATTTACAATTGTAAACCCACAACATTTACAATTCTAAACCCACAACATTTACAATTGTAAACCCACAACATTTACAAGTGTAAACCCACAACATTTACAAGTGTAAACCCACAACATTTACAATTGTTGTGAGTTTACTCTCCAACACACCGATTTGCTGAACTAGTAACGTATTTACATGTTTACGTGACAAACCCTACTAATTGGCTGTGTCGGGTGGTGGTGGGTTAACGACACATTTATATTTACGCGATCTGAACAAAAACCCTTTATTATGAATATTGGTCACGAAAGCCTACGTGTTAAACTAAGCAACACCTTAATGCTTCATTTCGTCAAGGGAACTGGACTATAGTCACGTGTTGCACAGGTCCATGTGAATCTCTGTGAAATGTTACGCCCATGCTGGCCAAATCCAGCTTTCGTGTGCCTCCACTGCTCGAGCGACTCAAAAAGTGAAATGCCCAAAGTTGTCAGAATAATTTCGAAAGAATCGAAATGTAAAGCTCCCACAGTTTTTTTGCCCGTGGCGCACAGCGTTATTTTTTTCCCCTTCTAAACAGTAATTCGTTTCCACGGTCACTTCGAAATTCACGTTTCTCAGGAACACCCGTGACTTCTGCATGACAAGGCCGCAGCAGCATTAAAAGTATATGATCAATGGGTTCAACATTTTAAAAAAACCAGAGGAGAAAACGCGCACACAACCATGGTCTAGCTGCAAAATTTATGAACACAAAGACAATTAGCCTCCAGAGAGAGCCAGCAGGCCTTGCGTGTGCACTGTACACACGTGACTGTTTTCCAGAAGCAAGCCGTGAGAAAACTGGTCAAACTGGCAGTACAGGTCACACAGCTGCTGTCGCCTCAGCAAATTACCCACAATTACATGATTATGATTCATACACAGCAGATACAAACACAGTGTTAATACTGTCAGTTTAGTTTTGAAGTTTAGACAGTTTTACTACGGTATCATTTGCAGTGTGGGACACGTACACTGCTAACAAGACATTTTACTACGAGCCAGATTACGTGAGTTTTTAGACTGCAAGACAATATAACTTGGGACTGAAGATGATATTGAACTAGACTCTCCTGAGCAAGCGCCTGACAAAGGGTGGTGACGTGATCCAGCCGTAGCGAATTCGATGCTGATTGCAGAGGTTCGCTGATCGCTTTCGTAGGCCGCCCTAGTTAATTCTACCAGTGTATTCACCATAAATTACATTAAAGAATTCGCGGAATCAGTTGGTATCGTTCGAAAAAGAGTAGGCCATTGTTGCGATGGTGTCACAGTTCAAATTTGTCAAAATCCAGTTGCCGGTTTGCCACACACATATAAATGTCTACAGCAATAAGCATAGCATGTTTACCTTTTTAAAACTGAGAAACAAAGTCAGCTACCGGGATGTAGTGGTTAGCACACTGGACGCTAGTCCGACTTGATCTCCTGACGTGGCAGTTGAAACAATGGAGAACACTTATTTTTAAATCCCACCCTCCCCCACCGCTGTCAATCCATCCAGCGTTAGAAATTTTGGGCAGACAGTTAAACCAGCAGGTCACATCCAGTGGGTAACGTCGAGGTACTCCCACCTCTACCGAGAAGGTCTGGTCAGTGCGGGAGAAAGGACAAACTACCCCATGGCACTCCCTCTCGTGGAGGCCCTCCCACAAAAAGTGGGGTAAGCGAGCAAGCTATTGCAGGGCTGCACCTTGACATTTTAACTCTGGATTGAGGTCACAGGAATGTACTACGTTGGTTGACGTATGAACATTCGCACGTGTCAATGAGTGTTTTCATTACTAAATTCCCACTATAATCGATCATCAGTTCCATGCTTTTTGTATCGGTAATTGATTCTGAAAACGGTTTCTGGTTTCCTGGATATTGTTTACCAACTTAAAATAAGCTTACTCTGAAATGCACTAACTTCGGGAAAAATAGCCGTCGTTGTCCCCTCTTGGGGGGAATAAAAACATACCAAGCACTCCTAAAAAGAGTATTGAGCCTCCGTGAGGTTTCCAGGGTAAACAAGTCATAACAATAACAGCTGTAATGCTGCACACAAGTCATCAGCACGTGGGGGGATGGGGATACCTTGCAGAGCCGAGCCATTGTGACGCAGGCGGCCGCACACCGACAGGGAGGAACTGCAACACAAAAACACAGCAGACAAAACACTGATCACCCACAATAGGCACTCCTCCGACGGTAGAAAAATATCTCAACAGACAGCGGCACAGAGATGGCTCTGCACACACAGCTCGGGCAGTACAAACAACGCCTCTACAGTCAATAACACTGCCCTAGAGAGGTAAGATTATATAATAGGTGATGTGTTGAACAATGCTCCTCCTTCACAGCAAGGGCCATTTCCCGAAATGTCACTCATTGTATAACGTTTTCTTGTTCGGGGCAATGTGGTGCCTTCTTGCTATTCGTGGTTGTCCACCGATGCCTATTCAGTATCACAGATGTCTTTAATTTAGACAGCACCGAGGTCACGACACGCACAGCTCAGACAGCACAGAGATCACTATGCATAAAATGTCCACAAGATGAGGAACCTGTACACCAAGCACATTAGAATACAATTTTCGATTCGCATTAAATATCGTTTTCCATACGTGGAAACTGACCTGCACTTTCCAATGAAATTCCTCATCTTTTCTTCACTCGCCAGTTGAGGTTACTGCCAAACCGGAATTTCGCAGACTAGTTCCTGGATTTTTTGTCAATTTCCAATGTTCATTCCATTCATAACATCGGTTTTGAATTGTTTGTATAGCATTCACTGCACATTAAATAGAGCACATTGTGCTGGTCTACAGCTTTGGTATGCCTCAGTCACCAAGGAACCCATAACTCACAATATTTACGTGCGACTCTCTGCAGTGAGATTCAGAATGTGTGTTTGCCATGGTAACAGCGAAGATCCTGCTACTGCAGCTCAATCTGTGTTAACAGCAGTTGCATAACGCGATGTACATAACAGCCATGCCTCTTGCAATGCCAAAATGCCCCAGCCCGTGGGTGAAGTCTTAGCTTGCGAGAAATGCGGGAATCTCACACACACACACACTCAAAACACAAACCAATTACAAATGTGAATGGCCTCTTTTCACTGCCCAATATCAACAGCATTAGCACCCACTTGGCCGCATATGTTTGTTTTGTACAAACGCGTGGTCTGGATCACATTACACTGATGGAATGCTGACACTTTGGTCACATGGCCTTCCTACTGTAACCCCTGGCAACATTAAGCACTGTACCCACAAAGAGCTACTGTGTCAAAACGTGGCCTTGGAAAATTTAGCTAATTCAGCATTTGTCGGTGAACGCAATGGTGTTATGATCTTCGTTTGAAAGGCAAGTCCCGATGTACATGCTGGGAATAAAACACAGCTTTCTACTCACTAGCTTTATTTGACCATGTAAGTCCCACTGAGCTATAGAGCTCTTTTCAGAAGCGACCTGGCCACAATTGATAGCCCAGTGAAGCGGCTTATGTGTAAATTTATAGCAGCCAAATACTCTATAAATCCACGCAACCATGGAGAGAAAGACATGCAAACTCCAAATATATAACAGGCGTCAGAGCTGGGATCGAACCCATGTCCTCCTGTATGGCGGGCGAATTAGTTAACATCTCGCCACCGCAACGCTACATTTCCCATATCGCCATCGTAGGGGGCATTCAATCAGATCAGTGAACAACACAGCTTTTATGTGATATATACTGTACTGTAGTTTACAGTCGTGGCCAATCTTGTTTATGTGGTGTTTAAATCCACAGAACTTTACATAATGAAACATTTGTTCCAAGTTACATATTACATCAGTAATGTAAAGCAAGTAACACAATGGAATTGAGGCACTGTAATAAGTATAATTTCAAAAGCTCTGAATTATTGGGCATTACAATGTAGAGACGAAAGCTCAATAGCACTATCTCGAAAGGACTGAGTGACCATGTGTGTGATGATTCTGGGTCAAGGGTCAGGGGGTTGATGGACGGCTGGGTTCAGGCATCGAGTCAACTAATTTCAGACAAAGCCTGCTGCTGCTGCCTTCTGTTCCAGAGCACATCCTGCCTTGCACACAAAGCCAGCTGCACCCCAATGACATGACGACAACGGAAACCTAGAGGGGCACGTGATTTAACTCATAAAAGGGACTTCCCACAGTTAGCATGATTTTAACTGGTACCTGCCAGGGAAAGATAGGCGTTTCACGAATGCCACAGGGTTCTGTCGAACTCACGTTGGACAGATATACAATCTATAACCTAGCTGTGTCTGCAATATAAGACTATTGTTCTTTGGGTTTTGTCTTCATTTCAAGTTTTAATTCAGGTGGTGCCGTGGTTTGAGAACTTTATTCAAAATCGGAATCTTGTGAATACAAATTTTGGTCTGGAGTTAACTCATCCCATTTATACACCCGGCACCACTTTGAGGTAAGTTCATAGTGGTCATCCATTTAAGAAAATTGTACCTGCAATGGGGATTATCACCACTCCCTCCATTACACAATTGAGCTGAGAGACACTGCCTTTTAAACTTTGTAACGATTTAGTTGGTATTTAGGTCACAAGACCGTGTTGTGTTGATGTATTCCATTATCTAATTAATAGTGAAATGATACTAATACGCAGAATAGGATTCAGCAGGTATTAATTAGTTATTAAGCTTGATTGCCGAGAAAAGCATCACCTAGTCTCAAGATTTATTTTCAGGAGGGTCCTGCCAAGTTTACCCAGGACGGGAGCAATGCTTTATTTTGAGGTAATTTGATTTCTATGTTTCCCAATTAGGTAACTTGCTATTAATGTAGCAAATTTGGACACACAGACACCGGCACACAATTGCCTACTCTTCTTTGAATGGCGTCGGATGAATACATCCGAAGTAATTAACCTGGGTGGCCTGCCGGATTAAAACTGCAAACCTCTGCAACAAGCAGTGAACGCGCTACCGCCAGGGCATAAAGGGTTATCCCAGTTATTAGGATATTAGTGGGCAGTGTCATTGGGAAAACCTTTAGCGGCACATTCATCGCGTAAGGGTTAAACGTTGACAGTAGGAGAAAATCAGTGTTTCTACAACGGGTGGGAAGAATGTGTGCTTGCGTAGTAGATGAGACACAAAGGGCACGGTAGCAGAATGCGTAGCCAAGCAGAGTACACTTGCGTGCTCAATGACATTGCGGTAATTCCAATACATGGGAAGGCAAGCAGTATTGGGAGTTGCGTCAGAGGACGCACAGCGATCGCCTTGTGAGAAATTGCCAGGAGAGGTGCGACATGCCATCGCGCGCGGGTCGTGCAGCGTGAAAGGCCACACAGACAACTTTATATACAGAGGTTAAAAGTCCGCGCTCAGCACATTTAAACATCCAAAATAAACCAAACACAGAGTTAATGTAACGAAGGTAAACACATAATATGAGTGCTGCCCCCCCCCCACTCACAGGCCCCACAATCACCACCATCAGTTAAGTGCCCCATCCCCAAAGGCAATCGCCAGAATGACCCTTTTAGAAATCCTTAGCAGTCCCGCTTACAAATTAAATAGAATATCTCCAGTGTGCTGTGTTATGAGGAATGTGTTCATTCACAATGGACATCCAGCACTCAAATATTAACATCGAAATTGAAACACTACAGTTCACCATATTTTAAGTCTCAAACACCATTCTCCTAATTCACGAAGGTTATAGCGAATGCATGTGAAAAGTAGCATACACATGTGCCTATAGAAGACCGTTTTCAATCAGTGTGTACTACCTGCTATGATATATGGTTCACAGGCATGATCAGTAACTAGAAATATTGAGAATTGAAGAGCGTGTAAAGAAGCACTAAGCGATGCATGCTGGGAATTACATTAAAAAAAAGGGAGAGGAACATGGACTAGTGAGCACACACAGGTTAATGACATCATCCAAATTATTAAGAAATCTAAGTGTGCTTGCACAGGACACATTGCTAGAAGGAATGGTGGACAATGGTCAACAATAATGCAGTGGCAGCCAAGGCTTGGAACGTGGGGAGATGGAGCAATGAAACCAATTAATGTGCAGGTACTGGAAGGATTATTTGCAATGCAGGAATGTGAGAGGTGGTGGCGGTTTTGGTGAGGAGGCGTCCATATTGCAGTTGATGAATGATGATTATATGAGCCTATGTAAATTAAAATACCTCAATGACAGCCAAGCATTGTGGTCTCTATCTAAATGGCCATAAAAAAGCATGGCGTCAAAACAGATCTATACACAACGGCGTGTCAGCAGTACAATTAGACATTGCATTAGCCGACTGGTCCTTCCATGCCCTGGATAACAGCCCATACTACAATATTTCACCATCGTGGCGTCTGCTCATGGCACACTGTACACAAGCAGCTGTTTGACAAAAAAAAGTGATCTACGGGTGAAAGGCAGTATAGATGTGTAAATTATTAGTATGTACACTACACAAGGTGCACTGGGTTGTGCTCCCACTCATTGGTACAATATTTATAGTTGCATATACCTGCTCGTGCATGCTTTACCAAGCTCTAGCACAGCAACACAATTCTCATGTCAACACCAACTAACACGGACAAAAGTTCCCCCGTACAGACTGTTGGGGTAAGTGCTCCTAGCGAGCACATATGAAAGCTGACATCGCAGACGAAAGGGATGGGTTACCAACAACACATCCGGCCGTCTTTGTCTCCCCAGTGCTGGTGTTTCCATACCACACGCAATACTCATTTAAGGCTGAGTGGACCTAGGGGAGGCCCAGGACCGGGTCTAGTTCAAATATTGGCCACTGTTATTGTGAATTTAACTCGGATCACAGTGCGCTAACGACTACACTACCGCCCCCAACACCCACCAACAAGCGCATACTGACACAAAGAGCACACAAACCTCTGACTGGCAATATCACACACGACTGTTATGTATAGCCTCTCCATTGAACAGAGATATACTACCCTCAATCACTACCACCCACCCTTCTATGCTCATGTCGTTTCTTGGGAAACATGTAGCCACATAACCCTATGACGACTGGGGTTGCCATGCCAATGCACGCTGTCACATGGCAACCAGCGGTATCGCTAAAGCAAAAAGCTGCTTTCCATTACCTATGTTCAGGAGTGTGTGCATGTTTGTACGTGCTCACGTCCGCATATAAACTGTGTACCCAGATGTGTTTACAGGCAATGTTCATGTGATAATGCCATATTTTACACAGGTATGAGCATGTCTGCATCACGTGTGTTGATCTATGCATGTATACACTTGCGTGTACATTTCATTATGTGCGCACGTGTGTGGGTTGCGTTTACGCGTGTGCACACGCATGTACGTGTGTGTGAGTGCGTGAGTGTGCATGTGGGGAGCGGTGCTGTAGTGGTTAGCGCTCTGTGCTATGAACCCGGCAACCCGAGTTCGATTCCCACTCACGGCCAACACCAAGTGACGATTATTTGAACCAGTCATGCGCCTCCCCTAGGTTGACTCGGCCTCAAAAGTGACCTGGTGTGGTGTGTGAATATCGCCACTAGGAAGACAAAGGCGGTCGGGCGTGGTGCTAGCCACCCACCCCCTCGTGTACCGTTCCGGTCTTCATAGGTGCTCACTAAGAGCACTTGCCCCAAAAGTCTGTTGAGGCTATATGGGGGATCTTTTGTCTTTTGGAGCATGCATGTGTAGAGAGCGGTAGTGTAGCGGTGAGCGTGCTGTGCTACAAACCCAGCCACCCAAGTTCAATTCCCGCCCACGGCCAACACCAGTGGCGATTATCTGAACTGGTCCTGGGTCTCCTCCCCTAGGTCGACTCAGCCTCAAATGAGGACCTGGTGGAGTGTGTAAACATCGCCACTGGGGAGACAAAGGTGGTCGGGCGTGGTGCTGGCCACCCAAACCCTCGTGTGCCATTGCCGGCCTTCGCATCTGCTCGCTAACAGCACTTGCCCCAAAAATCGGCTAAGGCTATACAGAGGATCTTTGTGCATGTGTGTGCGCAGTGGGGTGGAGGGGTATACGGGCATGCGCACTTGGGCTCAGTGTGCATGGTCGGTGTGCGTGTGTGCATGCCTGCGTGGTGGCGTGCACGGGAGATGTGTGTGCATGCTTGTGTCAGTGCGTGCATGTAGGGGGGGGTGGGTGCGGGTTGTGCGATAGTCCGTGAGATGCGATACGACGGCGCGGCCAGGCAAACACAGCCAGCAGTTTCCTCTCCAGCCCTCCCCAATCCGCACTTGCCCAGACGAATACATTTTTTATTGTCGTGGCAGCCATTTGAATTTTCTGAAGCAAAGCGGCCATCTGTGGTAATCTTTTATACAATTTATATTATGATTAAAAAGACAAGGTATTTTTAGGATGAAGTTGATGACGACACTGATAATGCCTGGGCAAGTACGTTCATAGTTAATACTTGCAGGTGTCGCCATTTATCGTCCCGTCAAAAGTATTTCTCGCTTCGCAATAACGCCACTTCAGCGCGAGCCTGTGTAATGCACTTGTGCAGGGGGCGATGGAGAAATGAAGCTTGCTGAGCTGTGTAATGCACCACTCATATAACTGCCTTTCCGGACACGTTATATGGTTTGCCACTGGCCTCCTTGAGTAACACCGAGCCAAGGTGAAAGTTATGTTCAACATACTGCCTCATTGACAACCAATAACGAAAACTACTGTGTGAACAACCACAGCATAGTACCTCTGGAAATGTCTCCTTTCCAGGATTTTGAAAAAAAACATTAAAAAACATTACATAGCTTTCAATAAACAATATATTGCAAACATTTACTGTAATTTACTACGAGCACATTAATTATTTTATAAAATGTTGACTTAATAATAATTTGCAAACATAATAGAATTACTTAGTCTAGATTTTACATACATTCAACAAATGTATGTTATTTTGTAGAACTGGTTAGTGCTATTAGACAATACAGACAGAAAAATTATACAAGGCTTGCTCATATAATATGGCATAGACAGCCTTGAAGTCTATTTATTAGAGCACGTGCTATTCGTTTCATACAAGAAATATCAGCAACATGCACATAAGTACGTGTCCAGATGTAAGAGGGACATGCCTTCCCCTTTCTACTCAAGAGCCTCTAGGTACCTAGCTCAGTTGTAGAAACTAGCAACATAAGTTAAATGTTGTATTACTCATGTAATGAAAGGCAATTATATGATTATAGACGACAGTGCTTACAAAGGAGTTTCTACAACATGCCTCATTGCTACACCTTCTCTAATCCATGTATCCCAGCCTTGTCAGTGCCCAACCATCATCCCAGAATGTCAGATACAAAACATAACACGTAATAAAGTGGCAGGACACTTTTATATAACAAGTAAATAAAGCACAGAAATATTCATGTCATTTGTTAACCACTCACCATGTTCTCTCATAAGCATCACGTATATGGCCAATAAGATATGGGTCGCTCCCGCATTCCCCGTTTGTCGATCTCAACATGCCCTGAAAATCACGCATGTCATCTCACCTGCATTCCACCATGGGCCTCGGGTAAGTGTACCTCTCTGCAAATGTCCTCACCTCTGTGCAGAGTCAGGAGATGCTGGAGGGGTGTTGAGGATGTGTGAGTATGGATGATAGGGTGCCTTCTTCAGCGTCTGAATGAGGTTGGGTCGGTAGTCTGGATCCACACACCACAGTGAGCCCTTCCCAAGACTCTGCAGGATGCATCACAGCAAGAACATTAAATACAAGATACAAGACAACTCCACCCTGCTGCATTCATCGCTAACATTGACCATCCATATTTCACTGAACACAAGTATTATCCAGTTAATCCGTTATGTATAATCTTCGCACTTACACTGTGGGATAACTGTTCTAAATGAATTTAAGATTTTAAATGTCCACCCTGCTAGATACCATTGGTGTTATCCTTACTATCCAACAACAGCCGGTAAGGAATTGTATAGCTCTTCTTAGTTCAATAAATGTAATTGATAAGAAGGCCAATGTGGAATATCGTTTTTGCTTCCTTTTGGCTTCAGTCGTTTTTTATTATTGTGTCTTGCATAACCTTAAACATATATATTTTTTTAATGAAAATTATTTGCAAACATTTCATAACATTATGTTACTTAGGAGAATGTATTATCTTAAGCGTCAAAAAAAAATCAAAATTGCCAAATGGATTTGCAATACAGATCCATGAGAGTGACACTAAAGCAGAGGTCGATGTCAAGTTTAGGATTAGGCCCAATAAACCTCTGAATGCACAGAAGGCGAACACATTCACCCTGTAACAATAAAGATGGAGTTTCATGCTCAAAGACCAGGCTCTCCAAGACAGTGTCACACCTGTACCCTCACTGGGCTGACTATTGACCTGTGTGGTCAAGGAACGTATGCACTGTGCAGCTTTGGCCAATGGCGGGCCCGTGAAATTGTGCCTCGTCCATCTGCGTCGCTGGCCTGGCAGATGGGCCATGCAGAACCAGGAGGCACTAGCAAACCAGCCCCATCCCATGGGAGACATCCAGTGTGTGTCTCCAGTGGGCTGCACATGCTGGGCATTTCTGAGGTCTGTCTATGGCATCAAAACGCAATATTCAATGTCAGCCAACATTATGGATGGTATCTGATGAAATCATTTACTCAAGGTTGCTGCTTTTAATTACACTCCATTAATATCAGCACCACTTTCACCGATTTCGGAATTACAAGATAAAATCAAAACGATTAAAAATCTATCCTAGCTTTTTAGACAAACTCCCAGGAAATATCTGTTCACGTTTACATTTGGCATATAGAAGGCCACCATAGAAATACCTCCATTTTAAAGGTATTATAGAACTTGTACAACATAACTAGAAAAAAATATGTCCTTACATTTTCTATACTGTATACAGGACATTTAAACTGCATCATATACCTGAAAATATATTTACATGTATAATGAACTGCTTTTTTTTTAGCAGAAATCTGTATATACCTGATATAAAGTTTTTTTAAGTGATGTAATTTTTGGTTATTATGTTCACCATGCCAATTCATAGTTATCACAAATGACTGCTGTAAGAAAGAGCAAAGCCTAACATTAGGTCGGTGTGGCTGTCGGTTTCCTGTTCTCAATACATATTAACCATCACTCGCAATGCAAGGACCAAGACCAACTTGTATGCTAAATAAGTATATAGGGATGAATGCTCCATTATTGTTCCACCTTATTAACAAGATAACAGGTCCCTGCAGGGTGGGCTGGTAGGAACATTGGAATTTTGCGCAATTTTATTACACCCAACAGCACGAGATTTCTATTGCAGGCTGGTACACTCAGTTTACAACTTCGTTCCTACCAGTATAAGTGTGTGTATAACCCTGCACCAGTTAAGTACGTGTAAGTTTAACATACACCACATTTACAATGTACCACAACTCACAACATGCAAGATTCATAAATAAACTATGGAACAAAAGCATTTCAAGAGGATGTTATCGATAATGAAAACAGTCAATAAAAATATACCAAATTACGATGATAATTGGTAGTGACAACAAAAAAGATTAATAAGCAAACGCTACAAATTATATAGATTTTGAACATGAGAGTAAAACAGTTAACTGTTAATAAATACATAATTGTAGAGTAATGTACAAAATCATAGGTAGAATATAATGCATAATTCACACGTGAATGGAAAGGTTTTTTTTTTCCTGAAGGCAAACAAAGCGGTGGTTGCCCCGAGATTAATTTGAAAATCTGATTCCATCCAGCTCATACACTGCTGCTATGATGTACCTATAATAAATGTAAGTGCCACTGAAGGAGCAAACGATGATCATTTAAGAACATGAATGAATGTGCCCCGTTTGACACTGTTCCACAACTGCAGGTTAAGGTTACCATGGTGAGCACTCACAACTCCAAGTTTGGGATAGTTTTGTTTTGGTAACTCGTGAAAAAGTTGGTGCATGTTTCATGAATGTACGCTGTCCATGGGATCTCGGTGCTTGACGAAATGCTGCCTCATGTGGCAACTAGAAATTCTACATTATTGCTTGACAGTCAACATAATTGTAACAGCAGATATGCATTGTTCATGAACTCAGAGGTTCGAGTCATTGTACAGCCCTTTTCGTCAATCCACTGCTGGATGAAGGCTTGCCCACACCATGCTGTTTGTGGGAGTTATTTGACCATATTTCACCACGCTGGTCAGTGCGGGTTGATGAAGGTGAGGAGCAGACATTGTACTGTGTAGTAATTTAACCATGTGCTGTGTGACAACCATCGTCAAAGCTTCTGTGACAATAAAGAGTGTGGTTTAGCCAAAACGCTTAACAACGTAGAGATGATATAATACCAACAACAGATCATTAAAAAAGTACTTTTAAAAAAAGTACTTACATGGCTCATCAGGCAGAGATCAAACAAATTAGTGTAAAGGGTTCCAACTAATACTGACAGTTCACATTACATCTTCACAGCACAGAGAGAATGTAGTATCACTCCACCTGGAATCCACATGACCACGCACATGCAAATAGGACACACACACCACACCAGAGGGTGCTTATAACAGTGTGCCAAATTAAACAACATTCTGCATATTAAGAAGCATACCGTGCAGCCTCAAACCCCCCCAAGCACACGATGACAATCGCCATCGGCTGCCGGTTGTCATACCACATGCATTATTTGCTGAGATTCCACGCATCTAGGCTACGGCCAGCTATCGCCCATGAATGTTACAAAGACTGTCAGTTAACTGGGCTTAGCGATGGTCTGAGCGCGACACTGCATTCCGCAAATGATAAAGCTGCTTTCTAGCTAGGCGAAAATGCACACGTTAAATGTATGTGTGTTGAACTTCTTTCGTACGTAGCCAACCCTTCTCATCGGAGGTGCGGGGGAAGGACAACAAACTAAATACAAAAAGCAGTTATATAAATAAACACTACTACTAAAGCAGAGTATTTATGAATCTTTACAAAGGCAAGAGGACAGGCCTATCGCTAAAATGTTTTGTGCCATTTTGGAAGGAAGCTGAAAAAATAACAGCTGCTAAAAACTACGATGAAGTCAGATATTGCTAGTTAATGCCACTGGAAGTCCTTGTCATACACTTGAATCCATTTTCCACAACCCTTATTACAAAGCACAATATTTCCCTGCAAATGGGCCCACGTGGATAAATTGAGCTATCACCGCATAAAAAATGCTGGTACCAGTAAATGTCAAATTGCGAATAAATATGCAGACATTCCAAGCCGCCATGTTTGGAATGTGCAGCTTTTAAAAATGGAAACAATCTACACCACACATCTTATGTATTCTAATCCACACGTATTTATGAATAGCGTGTGTAAGCAGTCACCATAAAACAGCTAAATCATAGGTAGAAAGAGGCCTGAATGGCAATGGAAAATAATCAGATGTTGCAAATAAACTGTGCAGAGTCTGTGAACTGTTTTTTGCCTAAGTGTAGCTATTTTGTGGGAATATTAAGCACTCATGCACACCTTTAGATGACAAAAGCAACTCTCAGGTACAACCTGAATTGAACAGTCTCATTCTGAGTGATCACAGGCCCTATTGGCTACGTAACCGAGTCTATTTGGTGTTGTGACAACCCAAGGCAATGGCGCACAACAGACATTTCAACACTAAAACCACAACTCTGTGGCAGGACGTACAGCCACTGGGCATCCTGCCAAGGCACAAAATGACAGCAGAGATTAAACTGTTTAGCAGGGCCGAGGTCTGCAGATCAACAACGTTGGGACATAATGTCCACATCATCAATCTCTTACAAGTCTAATAACTGTTCACATTATTTTTAAATAAGTTAGGCGCAGGTAATTTGTTCATAACGAGTAGAAGGCAGTTTCAAGGTGCAGGATGTATGCATGCATGCATGTTGAACTTCTTTCGCACCATACGTGGCCAAACGTGCAAATCGGGGGGTGCGGGGGAAGGACAACAAGAACACAAAAAGTGGCTTCACGTGGCACCGTGCAGCCCAATTCAGAAATGCGCGCACACAGCTACTCGGCCAGCCCGACGTGGATGTGCACGTTGTCGTGCGAGTCAAGAGTCTCCCCCCCATTGCGTGCAGATGCAGCCACCCTCCTCCTTTCCGCGGTCCTGGTGCACGGGCGCTGGTCGCCACGGCAGGTTGCCATGAGAACACGAGAAAAGTACCCACCCACTCCCACCTCTGAGCACTCCCCATCACCCACCCCCTTTCAGCTTGCAGTTGTGTCTCTATCATCGTTCGGTGCACCAGCATGCGTGTACGTGTCACTCATTAGGTTTGTCTTTCATTAATGAATGAACTCTTACTAATGTTGACTTGAAGCTTTCGTGACTGCAGGTGATCCCTGTTCTTTGGGTCTTTTGGTAAAGTCACGTAGATAGGTTGAAAGAAAATTAAAAATAACAAAAAAAACTACGACGTTTCGATCACAACATAAGCGATTGATATTTTCTTTCAACCCATCTACGTGACTTTACCGAAAGACCCAAAGAATACTCTTACTAACGGTCGTGTCACGATACTTAGCGGTGTTTTAATAAAGTAATAATTTTACCTTCCGTAAATGTGCTCCGACGTACACAATCAGGTGAAAAATATTCATATCCAGCTTGCAAAATGAAAAGATGGTTCCATTGAAATAATAAAATGCGTCAACGCTGATAACAATATTGTAACGTGCAGCAGCTTTTCCTTCTCAGACGTTGATAAAGATGCAGTGGGTTTCCTCACATTGTATTAGAGATAAATAGCACAGCAAGGAGAACCTGGCCTCATACTATACTTGGTAAACTCTAATGATGACAAATGTATCGCAACCTCTTAAATGACCTACAACTCCAAGAATGTCATCTTTACTGCGATTGATATGTTCCATCATGACAGCACTGCAGCAATTCCATTCTATGCCCATGCTGAAGAATTTACAGTAGGAATATTACAAGTAGTTAATCCGTTCAATGCTCCCAGACAAATCACATCCTGCATCTCATTCTATAACTTACCTTAAGTCTACTTTGAAATAATGATTTTGAGTAATATGTATATACACGCGAGACTCTTCACGAGAGATTAAGCATGTGTAGGCAAATTTTAAGGCACAGCTCTTACCTGATGACGGTCCTTGTCCACTTTCTTGAAGCATTTATTCAGAGACAGATTGTGCCGCACAGAGTTCTTCCAACCAGAGGGCGCCCCAACAAAGTAAGGGAAGTGGTCCAGGATCCAGTCATAGATGCCCTTGACAGGTAGTCGTTTGTAGGGCGATGCTTCAATTGAAAGGAAAATGAGGCAGCTGAAGGAGTAGGGTGGTTTTGCATTTGGGTTATGTCCTGCAGCAGTGGTAGTCGAGCGGTGAGAAGAGGGCGTACCCGGGAGGCCGGCGTGTGCATCTCCCTCCCTTGGCGGCAGGTCATCAGAGGGGGCAGGAGAGGGCAGGGAGTCTGGAGGCGGTGGTGGCACAGGGGGGGGACTCACAGCACGCAGGCCCGCCTGACCACCCAGCTTCAAACTGCCCAGAACATCCCTGCCTCCGTGCAGCCAGTCCAGGTTTGTGAGCTCCTCATCATCGCGCGGCTCGCCTGGGCCAGCCGCCGGCTCCCGCTTTGGGGACAGTGCTGGAAAGTGGCCCAGGCCCAGGTGAGTGAGGTCCAGTGCCAGGCCTAACAGGCCTGGGGAGTGATCCTTCACCTCATCCTCAAAACCCACAATCAGATCATTGTGCTCGCCAGTCTCCGGCTCTTTTGACGACCCTTGCATGAAACTGGATCGCTCGGTCTTCACTTCGGGCAGCACCACTGGACCCATTTAGATTTCGACCCCCTAAACATGAAAGCATGGAAACACAAATGCATAATTAACAGTTTTACTCAATACTAGGCGAGTTACTTCATAGTCATTGCCGAGTATAAATTGAATATTGGTCGCGAAAGCGTACGTGTTAAAACGAGTATAAATATTACTGAAAACACCGATTTAAAATAAAATATACGCAATCATATAGCCCAAATAAAACGGTACCATTATAAGCACAATACTATTCTTAAACATAAGCAGAGTATACAATACAAATGCATGAATACAAAAATAATGAAATACATTTTCAAACTACACATGGCTTCAGATGAAGTGTTTTTTTTTTTTACAAATATATCTGGAGGCTCTAATGTCTAACCACGCAAAGATATATTGCCCACATATTATAAAACGTCAGCGTGCATAAAAGTACGCCAAAAAGAGGCAAACAAAGCAACCCCGGCGAACGAAATGCATTCCTGAAAGTGTCCTGTCATTTCTTAAGAAAAGGTGGTTTTTCGTTGTTTCCTACAGCATTAAACACGTAATATAATGTGCAGTGGCGTGGAGTTTTCGATTCCCGTGCCATGCAATCAGGAGTGTGGACAATGCATGAAGCCCGCACTCAGCAAGCGCTCCATCACCTCGGCCAGTAGCAACCAGCTAATTGCCAGGGTAACCATGACAACAACATTGCTCCATTCGTGCAGGAAGTGCTTATCTTCTCAGGCTCTCCTCTGGGAAATGTGTTAATATATTGCGAGCTTTCTTAAGGATGTTCTACCTCCACGTAGTACCCTTTAAACCATCTCGAGTTGCCCATACTGTTCCGAATCACCCACAAAAAGTATAATATTTTGCCATGCAGACTGGTTTCGCGCGCGTGCCGTTTACAAGTGCCTAAAAGCTGGGCATGGCACGCAATGGGGTGGCGTGGCCAGGTCCACATTCAAGCACTTTGGTTTCAAGTACTGATGTTTACACACCGCACCAGGTAAGTTGTAAAGTCCATAGACCAACCCACTATCTTTATGTCAGCACACAAAACCAAGGAGAACTTTAAAAAAAAGGCATCCATTGCTCACGCTTATTTTCTTGTTACAACAAAACGTGCCGCACTTCGTTCCCACCCGGACACGTCGTATCAATTTTGAACGGCAAAAAAAACAGCAACCATGGGGTAAACCATGGTGACAGACAAAAACGTGTGAGCCGACTACAACAACCCAATGTTATATACAATAACAACGAGTGGAACGACTGGACCTGGGCAAAGGAAAAGCAACATTTTCTTTTTCAAACAAAGATAAGCTGCGCGGAATCAAACTTGTCACGCCCTCTGTACAATGCTCTCAAACGACCACATGATTACGAGGGTAAAAGTTCAACGGTGAAACACCTAACAAACATCATAAACAATGGGCGCAGCATTGTGCCTCCTGAGTGCTCTGACATACACGACAAGGTGGGGAGATGTCACGTGCTCGCACTGGCAGCCAAAGATCCAGGGAAGGAAGGAAACCTCCCATCTTATGCACATCGCACAATGGAGTTTGGTGGGCCCACTCAAGCCGCCACTGGGAAACGCAGACGCAATTAGCCGTAGGTGACTATCCAGCGGGCTCATTTGACAACTTAGCATGGTCTCAGCCTCTCACCGTATCCGTACCAGCCAGCAAAGGAAGTTCTGTATCTGGAAAAGACGTAGTTGCTGTTTTACCAAACAAAGAGACCTGCAGTAACTGTGCACTTGGCATACTGTCACCTGTTCCACACCTTGTTTATGTAGGCGAATTTATTGTATTTGACCAAATTGTGCAGTGACTGCGTGCTCCATCCTCCCGGTGTATGATGCCAAAGGGTCTCACCTCTGTAGGACCACCAAGTGCGCCATTCACTCGCTAGAGGTATTTGGACAAGGGCATATTAAAAGTACACTTCAACTGTTTGACTTGCATTATACAAGTCTGAAAACCTCTGCATGTTTGAACAGACAGTTTGACTTACATTATACAAGTCTGAAAACCTGTGCGTGTTTATACAGACTATTCATGCAAATCAAGAGGCTCCCAGGCTAAGCACACGTAAGCTCTGGTGGCAGTGTTGGTTTCCAATAAATAATACTCTTTGATGACGATTGCTTGCGTTGGATCGAAACGTCGTGCTCTATTATTTTTTCTACACTACGTGACTTTACCGAAAGAACCAAAGAGTATGGATTCCTGCAGTCACGAAAGCTTAAAATCAATATTCCAAGAAATAACTTAATTATACAGCACAAGATAGTACTTCAACAAGCCGTGTTGCCAAACTAATTCACTTCTCAGTTGCCAATGATCTACCACAACACAACAGCAAAAAACCACTTCATTACCAATTAGAGCACATTATACGTCAAAATTAGGACGATGTTAAAAGGCAAGCTATTCCTAAAATGTCTACAGCACAGAGCTGCAAGGCAGAACAATGGACAGTGCTGAATATGGTGGGGGGGGGAGTACTCCCTGCACCCCGATGCTCATCCCCTCACATCCGCACCTCTTCCTCAAACCATGCTGTTGCTTCTCACACTTCCCGTTCCCACATTGCCATGATACAAAATGTGCTATTTTGTATAACACGTGAGGTCAAAGTTAATCCACCGGCTGGATCAAGGTCTTGCCAAACCATTGCCATTTCTCACGGTTTTGCAATGAATGTAACATTCCATCTAGCACTCTCAAAGCTGTTACACTATCATTAGTCTTGACTACTGGTCACCTTCTCTTCTAGTCACCGTCCTGCACCAGGCCATTAACTTGTACTCGCAGTCAAGATGCCTCGAACTTGCATAGAGGTTACCTAATAAATGTGTACTCTCCCAATGTCTCATTGGAATTCCAAGCATGGACATCTCTCGGCTTCTATGCATACTTTTGAGCTTTTGTTCCATCATCGTCTTCCATCATTGTCCATGTTTCTGATCCATGTCATAGCCGGTAATATACAAGGATTCAACTTACAGTATTCGTCTTTAGCCACATTGGTATAGTGCTTTTTAGCACTTTCCAACTAAGGTTGAAAGCATCAATTAATCTCTTCATTTGTCTGCCTGTGACATGGAGGAGCAATAACGCTCATAAACATGCTCCAATATCTTATCTAGGATTTTATAAAGCGCTTTTGTCCAAGCGCTTTACAAGAATTAAATGTAATTTTAGTACTAAGTTATCTTGTTATTATGGACTTGGCCTATACAAATACAGTCCAGCCAAATTGATCAGAGGGTTGCCCGAAACCTGGTGTTAAATAAAAGTGTGTAAAAAATAGCAGTCTTTTCAGCCAAGGCGATGATGTCACATGCCTCGCCTCCTCATGACACCACTACACTAAATCTTGTGACCACCTACATAATGCACCATCTTACATAATCTAAGTTGTACACCTCATCATGTTGGCAATCATTACAGTACCCATGCATATGCGTGATGTTTAGTTCTTGTTATTATTAAGAACAGTTTTTAAAAAAAAAAGCCCTGCCTCTTTCACTCACTAAAACATTGACGAAAAGGTTTAGGGAAAAAAAATCGTACTTTGAGGTGAGTACAATATATATACAATTTGGTCCATTACACCAGTTTCACAGATATATTGAGAAGGCTTAAACAAATGGTACTTGTAAAGCAGCATTATTTACTCAGAAGGCTCTTCCAGAAATACAGCTACACACGAAATTCACTTTAGATGGGCCTTGCAGATATCTCATCATATATCTCATTTTCTCCCAATCTACTTGTGTCTTCCCGTGTAATGTAATATTCCCTTCTCTGACAATTATGTTAGTTCCCTAGACAAATTGATAAAGGTATTGATTTAAAGTACACTTTACATTGATTTTGTAGATGGGTTTCATGTTTGTAAACCCTTTAAAAGCAGAGCGTGTTTAGGAGTTCTTTAACATTTCATGTCTTACATATAATCATAATAAAATGTACAAAAATTATGGTAGCTTTGTGTGTGTTAAAACTGTTTTCTTCACAGAAGGTATATTTATTCATTAGAGTCTTCACTGGAGGCCTACTCTGGGGGTGTAACCTAAAATGCTTGTGTTGGTCAATGTAGTTAAGCCACACTGCCAAATGTAACCATTACGTGGTGTCTCACACAGAAGTCAATTTAGACAATATGGTAAAGGCCCCCATTCGTGTACCCACAATGAACCAAGTGTGCGGTTTAGGCGAGCGGTGAGCACAGAGTCTCATTGTAAATCAGGTAATAAAGAAGCACTGACTTTATAAACGAAATAATAATCGTTAACAGCCCTTTGCTGGGTGAAAGCCTCCTCACACCATGTTGATCGAGGAGCTATTTGAAACACTTCAACCACGTTGGCTTGTGCTAGTTTGTGAAAGGGAGCTGCACAGGACTGGTTCAGATGTCACTCGCCACTAGCCATGGAAAGGAAATGAACTCAGGTGGCCGAGTTTTTAGTGTGGGGTGCTGACCATTTCAATAAGGAGGTTTTTCCCTCTTTAAACTTAACAGAAAGGAGAATGCTCACGAGGCAATTATTCTTTCTAATAGGAGCAGCTGCCCACTTGCATTTTCTGTGCGCCTCCTGGCTAAGTTTAAACTTACCAACAAACATCTCCATGGAGTAGTGGTAGTTAACAAGGGGCACTTCACACGGCAGGCTGATTGTTGGTCACGCTTCACCCTTTACAACTAATTACCGATCCAAACGTGGGAGGATAGTGTAAAGTCCCACTTGACGAGTGCACAGTCTGGAAACTAAGACTGAAACGATGAGTTTCAGCATCACTTTCCCGGACTTTCCCAAGGCCACTCTCTTAAATTGCCATACAGGCCAAGTCCTGAGTAAACTCATAATCTAATCCACTTAGGGTTAACTACGTTACACAAAGGAAAGGCTGTCATCCATTCATATAATTTCACCAGATGATACTTGTATTCAGATGTCTGCACGCACCACCACACACACAAAGTGATTCCATCAAATCATACCGAACAGCAAGTGAGAGTGCACGAGAATTGGTTTCAATGAAGCCAATTTTCTCACCTCAGTCATCCCAAACATACTATTTACCAAATACATATAAATACAATGCTACTTTTCTAGTAGTCAACAATGTATATCAATGTACTGATATGTACCTGTGGCAGAGTCGATGTGTTTTCAAATGTAATCATCAAACTGTGACGATGATCACCACACTGACCAATGTGATGAAGTTGATCAAACACCTCCCCATAACCAACAGAGCGTGAATATGTGGGTCAGAACTATATTGATGAAAGCACAACTCAACGGTACAGACCATTTTGTTTACTGAACACAACACTATAGGTATTAATATTGTGTATAGATAAGATACTGCAACACTTAGGACATAAACAAAACCAAGTAGGACAGAGAGCCTGTGCCCTTCACAGATGGGTATGACATTCCACTCATGTGAGCTTCCAGCATTCCTGGTCAGCACCGTGTGGGATGCTGCAGATCACTGCAGGCAGACCCAAGTTAAAAGGTTGATACCGTGTCCCCAACCATGTTAATGACTGAACAAAGAAGTGCAGTTAACTTTGTCACGGTCCGTCTTTCCTTTAATACTGATGACACTGCCACAATTAGGCTTAAATGCAAAGTAGTAATCTCTATAAGAGTATGACTACAAAGACATAAAAGGCTTCGCTATGCAACTCTGCAACTCCATTTGCGAAACGGATGGTCACCGAAGACTGCCAAACTTTTAAAATACACCAATACACAGATGTAAGAACTGTCAAGTGGGAACATCGTCCATTTCGGAGCAGTATTTCCACTTTATCCAACAGATGACATCCCCACCCCCATTGCCAGGCCACGCACCCTCTCCAACTCATCAGCAATTCTGAAGCAGTTGACAACCCATGGCCTCCTCTCCACACTGCATCATTTAAACACGTTTTCCAACACTCAGCAGCACAGTCCAAGTTATGTTATCAGAACTATATTTGGAACATTCCAACTGATGCAAAGCTACACCATTTAACATTCGTTTCAGAGCCTTGCCGAGTAAGAAACAGTTAGTGTATGTCCAGTTTATTTCTAGGTCTGAAACATGACGCTGGCTTCTAAAGACTGGTATGCCTGCAAAAGAGTGAACCTCATGGGTCTTGTTCTGGACAGGACACAGCCATGAATCATAAAAGTGTCTCCGTGTCAGCTGCAAACTCACCCATCAGCACATTGCCAACGTCAGACAGTTTTCCAATGATGGCCAGAAATAGAATGTTTACCGTATAGTTATGGTGATGCTGGTGAGTGGCACTCAAGCAAAGTGCTATCTAGACGTTGCAACCATGTTATCTAGATGCTAAATCTATTGGGTGTATGCTCTGCTTTCATTGTTGCATACAATCATGCCATACATCTGATAGTTGGTGCTCTCCATTTAAAACATCACAATAACAATTTGCCAAAGAGTGTCAAACTTTGGCAGGTAACTCCGATATCCGCTAAAAGTAATAGTCACTCCTAAAAAAAAAATCTAAATATTGCTTCACTGTTATTTTTTCAAGTTTGAACAACATTTCGTCATACGAAAAGTTCTTAAAAACCTTTACACGTGTACTGTGTGCAAAACCAATAAATTACATCCACTCTGCATGCAAGCATGGAGCCTATGCATTCTGAGTGTGGAGGAGAGAACCCAAAACACCTTCCCACAGTCATCTACGAAATTAACAAATAGTGCCACGAGGCTCCTGGGTTGCATGTACGTGCATACAAAATTGCTGGTTTGGACGACAGTGGCGAACAAGATTGCCAGCCCAGAATAATGGAACATTCATGCCGAGTGAAGCCGTGACATTTCATCCGTGTGCACACACAAGAGAGCATTGAGTTGGGCGCTCGGCTCAATGATTCCGTTATGCTCAATGGGCAATGCATGCAGAGCAACGAGAGCATAAATGACAATACAGCCACAGCGTACTTTGGCCCTGCATTGTCACGCAGTGTTGTTGCACAATGAGCACGGCTTAGCGCAGCAAATAAACGCTGAAAATGTACTCCACCAAATGAGTCGCGTTTGAAAAGTAATTTAAGTTTAACAAAAAATATGAACAACGCAAATTGCAAACTACTATACTACTACTGTATGAACACCAGTGGAAACCCATTTGAAGTAAAAAACAAACTATAAGCACAATGGCACACTAGTCATTATGGTACATCAAACATACTTAATGTGACAGCTCATATTTATTTTAGTGTTGTTTCCATAAGAGGAAAACAACACTTACTACATTGTCCAGGAAAGAAACACTATTAAAAATGTATAAAAACGGAGAAGGCTGCATGTTGGTTTTAATCTCTTAATTGTATGTATCTGTTAAAACAGCTCATTGGTGTCGAGAAGCTGTGTTGCCATTACCCAGGCATGCCAGTAGCCCTGCCCGTACAGGTCTGATGCTGACAGCTGATGCATGCGGCTCCTTCAATGCCTCAGGAAATATACACTGTGCCTGTCATGATAAACACGCCTGCGATACAGTACACACCACTAACACATGTACACACAATAGCGGGTCACTGGTAGATCAATTACACTGTACGCAGTCTACATGTGTGCAGTTACGTGAAACTTTAACAAAGATTAATATATATACGGACTTACAAGCTGGGATTTTTTTTTTCTTTTTAGAAATGCACTTTCATTTTCACGGTGGCATTAAGTTTGAACCAAAAACAGTGTCGTGGCTGTTGCTTAAACTGCGAGATTTACTTCACACGTACCCACACTGTGCTTTGTTTATTATACCATGTTGCGAACGTGCTTTTTACGGTGCCGTGGTTTACATCACACACCGTATTGTTTCACAAACACTTCTAACCGTTAATCATCACCGGGCCACCAATATACGCGGTTATAATGGTGCACTGCCATAACTTGGGTGATGGTTGTGGGGGGCGCGATGGTGCTTCTATGGCAGAGGGCACTGACTAATGAACATCACGTGGGGAATGTGAAGCCAAAACCAAACGGGCAGCCTCGGAGTTCATGGCCAGCGGCTGTGGCATCGCACGGGATGGCAACAGCAAAAGCATCACCGAAGCAAAACACTGCAACAACAACAACATAGCCCTTCCTGCCATTGCAGTCACTTCCTCCTGCTAGCCCCTCTCTCGCGGCCGAACATACTCACATTCACAAGCAAGAAAACGGCGAATAACGGCATCTTAAGCGGAACACATTTTCATTTGCTTTACTTTTCACATTTAATTTCAAATGCTGCAATACAGTTGGCAGAGAGAGAGAGAGCTGGGGTATCTTTGTCTTAAATAACACAATAAATACCAAAACAAAGGGGGCGATTCATGGTTTGTCGATGGTGCCAATTGACGTGTGGGTGTGCGGGGTAATTCGCCACAACCACCAGCTCCCAGAGGACACCGCTCCAGTCGCGGCGCCAACTGGATGGGGGGCGGCCTCTCCCCGCCTGGGTCTCGTGATCTCTTGCCCTCTATCCGCCGCCACGCTCCCTCCTCTCTCCGTGGGTTATGCAAACACGTTTCGCAGACCGCTTTGTCAACAGGGCGAGATTAAGTCCAGCGATAACAAGGGCTCGCTTTAAAGTCGCTTTGCCAACCCATCGGCAAAGTGTAACAGCAAACCTCCCACTGTCTATTCGACCTTGGGGCGAACCACTGTTCATGTTGGCGCATTTAGTATTTGGTGTTTTTTTTGTACTTGGCTAGTTTTACTGAGTTGTTCAAGTGTATTCGTGTTCTATTATGTCGCAATGTTTCAGTATGTTATGACAATCCGTGTGGTATGATGTATCGTGGCATTAAAGTCACATGTGATATCGTGTGCGCTCATCCGGCACCACGAGGTCCCGACGGCCTCAGGCCAAGCACCGTCCCGTCCGATCCCTGTCGGCCCGATTTCTCCCAACCTGAGACCCGATCTCTCTCATTACCTGAACCCCTTGCTGTCTGACTGCACTCGACATAACCCCTTCGCCGACCGAATCGGTGCTCCCCGATCCCTTCACGGCCTGCTCGCCACTGCAGCCACGTGTCGGCGTGGCCTCCGAGAACAGTGGCCGCCTGTTGACCACGGACAAGACCGCTTTGCTTGCTCACCAGACACGACCCCCCGCGCTCCACCTATACACACCACGGCCACGGGGCCCACGGGGACACCAAACGAACCGAGCGGCCGCCTCGGGTAGTGTGGCCCAGGCAAGCCTCGCTCTGCGTCTCGTCGGGTCGCGGCATAAACAGGGGAACCAGCGCGTACGCGACGACGTGACTACTCACACGGAGAGCCGGCGGGGGAGTGGCCGAGCGACAGGCAGTGCCGGCAAAGGAAAGCTCGGCCTCGGCCTCGTCGCCACCGCCGCCGCCGCCGCCTCACGTAAGATGGAGCCGCGGGACGCGCCCCGCGCCGCTTCCTCGTCCCGACCTGACGCCACGCGGGCCGCCCGTCTCCATGGCAGCGCGCTCGCCCCGCCCTCGCCCCCCTCGTCATACGCCGAGTCCGCGCGCTCGTCGCCAATGGCAACGGCCCCGCTGCCCCGCCCACGCCGCGCGCGCGTCACCGCGCCCCGCCCTCACGCCTGCCGCGGGTTTCCGTGGCAACGGATTCGTAAGCCCCGCCTTATCGCATCGGCACCGCGAGCGCGCGCGGGCGGGCGCGCATATCCGCTTCCCCCCCCCCCGCCCAGGGTCTCTATGGCAACGACGAGGAAAAAAAAGCCTCCGCCCACCTGCCTCCGCCCGGCCCGTTCGTCGTCACGGCAACGGTTGTTGAGCCCCGCCCTCGCCTCAGGGCGCGGGGAGGGGGTCCCACGTGGCTGCGTCGCGTCCTCGTGCCCCGGCAGTCGCCATGGCAACAAAGTGCGGTTCTGTCGGCCCAGCACATCTCTGCACCATACTGCTGCAGGTGCACTCTGTTCCCTCTGCATTGTACCGCTTCAGGCGCACTCTTTGCACTGTGCTTGCTGCAATAGACCCTGCTCACGATGCACAATCAACTTGACCGTGGGTCAAACCTCCACAGCTTAGAGCGGGGTCAGAACCCCACCACGGCGGTTACGGAATGTGTGAAATCCTGTAGCATCGTTCTGGCGAACATGCAGCGACCTTTCTCTTCCTAATCACCTGACACCTGCAAGGGTAAGCAGGTGTAGCATCTCATTATCTCACCATACTTTATCTTAGTCATTCGTATTTCACATTGATTCGAACGTCACGTGTTACGCAGCTGCTATGGAAATTGAAGGTTTACAAATCCCTCTAATCGGCTTTTTATGGGCATGTTTTGATTAATATGTTATTAATTATTGCACTGTAATGTAATTCATTAATCAACGGTGTGGCTAAATCTACACAACTAAATTGTCCCGGGCGCGGGTGCTGTCACTCGTGGATAATGTTACCATTAACATACACAAATCTCGTGTCGAGCTATAGCCAAGCAAGACAAGGAAGAGAGACAAGGTCGCACGGTGGCCTGCAGGAGGGCAGGACAGAGCTCCTCCTCACGAAGTGGACTATTAATCCAGGCAATGCTGCCCTTACTTTATGGAGTTCACATTTCCGATTAATGGCCATCCTGGTTGCCAGGCAACTACTGCAATATGGTCCTGTTCTGGGATCGTCACGCGATGAGGCACCACAAGGGTAAACTGAATTTGTAAGCCTCGTCCACAGAGGCAATTGCGTTTGTGGCTTTAAAAATCAACAAAATAATCAAAATGTCATGTCTGCATATCGGGTACACATGCTTATTGCTTCTCTCTGAGAAGCGCACCATGCTTCGGAATATAAAGTATAAATACATGGTAAATGAATAACAAAAATACGTATTACTTTATTTTCATGTGACCACACATTGTTGTAGTAAAATAAAATGTATGGATGTGCACAATATATATTCAAATATAGTCATTCAGATACATACAAATTAAAAGCTTACACCTTTTAAAATTTCAGATTTCAATTAAATCTTTAAAATTAAGTATAAAATTAAATGTAGTCTGATGTTATCATTCCCTTTGTCTCATGAAGCGAATAAATGAACGAATCCATTGGACGTAAGCCCGTGTGTCAAGCACCGTTCTAGCAACTGCTCTGTGCTAATTATCCATAACTCACCTCATTACAACACGTGATCGGGCAGCCCGTGCACTGAAGCAGAAACTCAGAAGGTGGGAGGGATGGAGGATTGCAGGGAAATGTGAGATGGGAGGTGGAGTGGACAAGGGGAGTGGAAGGGCAGGAGGCTTCCTGCACTGCCGTATGCTTTCTGGCCCACGAGGATGGCAAATCACGCTGTCACGAAGAAGCTTTCAGCTGTGGCTGCATCACTGTGTGACATTCTGGACATTACAGCCTACGTGATAAACTTCACGTTTGATTTTTTTTTAATCAATGTTAGATTTTAAAAACTGCGGCTTCTGATATATCCATTGCAAAAGAGATTTCGTCACAGAACTATACTCTGTACCTTCGGCTGAAAGCTTCGCTAAGCAGTTGCGATCTCTCAGGGTGTCGTGATGCATGAATCCATTCTCGCCATTGCACGTGAGCAGATTGCATTGTTCTGCCTGTGGTGGATGGACATCATTTCATACGTGTTCCATCGTTTGGCCGCCACTCCATCGTTAGTCTTATCCATCGCACCTCCGATTACCACGGTTGGCTACGTACGGTGAGAAAGAAGTTCAACATACATACATATCATCCCTTCTAGCGATGTGTCCTGCGGAAGCCCATGTACTTTTTTAAATAGTGAAATTATAGTCTTTAAAACGTATATGATCTCTAATCAATGTCTTCCTCTTGATTTGAAGCTTCCGTGACTGAATTTCGATTTAAAGCTTTCGTGACTGCAATGATTCATCTTCTTTGGTTCTTTCGGTAAAGTCACGTAGAATGAGAATACAATAATAAATTGATAAAATAAAATAACAGCGCTGTCCTACCAGACAGTCTCGTCCCTTCACCTGATGAAGGCCGCTTGTGTTGTGGCGGAAACGTCGTGAGAATATTATTGTGTTATTTTATTTTATCAATGTATTATTTTATTCTCATTCTACGTGACCTTCCGTGACTGCAGGAATCCATACTCTATGGTTCTTTCGGTAAAGTCACGTAGGTAGAAAAAAAAATAGATCACGACGTTTCGATCGCAACACAAGCAATCGTTATCAGGTGAGACAACTACAGCAGTGATCTATTTTTTTTTACCTACGTGACTTTACCAATGTCTTCCTCTTTATCTTGCAATGTAATCACGGATGATGCACCTGTGCGTGATACTTTCGCCTGCGCACAAAGGATACATTTACTACAAAACGTTCAAGTCAGTCGATCTGGAAATCTGAAGATTATGTTTTGGCTTAAATATGCAAATAAACTTTTAAAACCCGTTGTCTCTCTCAGTATCGTGTTATGAGACGAAGCATCCATTCGGATCAGAGCAGCTTAACAATTTGTGTGAAAGAATGGTCACGGGAAGTGGATATCACAGAGCTGCCTTTTTGATCCCTTCAAGTGAACCTCAGGTCCACCAGCCAGAGCAACATCTTCCCACCCACAGTAATGTCCCTCAAAGTACGTAATGTTCGTTGCATGGCACTCAAAACATTTTCTTGGAGCAGAAATGTAAGCAAAATAAGTGCAGAACCAATTATGTGATTTTATTAGTATAGTGTTGGGAAGAAAAACGATGGCCTTATAGTTAACGCCCTTCCTTTTAAGGTTATCGTTTGTATCTCACCCATATTTTGTAACTTCAATGCATTAAAAAAATCCATCGTCAAGAACGTTTCAGACTATGGGATAATTTTCAAGAGTGCATCATTGTGTCATAATCAAAATCTCGCATGATCTATAACTAAATTACTGTAGAAAATTCCAATGCATCCTCAATATAGTTTGTTTGCAAATTAGGTTCCACGAATACTCTTTGGTTATTTCGGTAAAGTCACGTAGGTAAAAAAAATAACTAAAAATTTAATAAAATGAAACAAAAATGAAAAAAACTAAATTACATCATTTTTATTTATTGAATCTTTATTTATTTTTTACCTACGTGACTTTACCGAAAGAACCAAAGAGTATATGGATCCTTGCAGTCACGAAAACTTCAAATCTAGAAGGTTCCACGAATTCCTTTGAAATATGATTAACCAATGTCTTGAGATAAGTTAACTGATCTTAAGACAGCTTAAATGCATGATTAGATATTTTAGTGCTGACACATGATACACAGTACTCTTATTCCTTGGATATTTACATTATACCTTTGGTTGTTTGCATAGTCTCTAAGGCTTTCCAGCATGTTGCGTACACGACGGGGTGGGCTTGCGAAGCGTTCTTTAATAGAGTTGGATGTGGCTTCATTGAGCGCGACCACTATTGTGGCGAAATGACCTGTACCTACAAAAGGCTTAAGTGCAATGTGTTGGCGGTCTGGTATCTTGTTGATTAATGCGCCGCACGAGGCATTGTGTGTTTTCAGTCAATGCAAATTGTACACGCCACGTCCATCCACTGATTGAATTTATTACTATAAATAATAATACAATCCACCGATGGCATAAAGCGCTGTCCACGCCGTGTCGAGTGTGGCATACGCTGGGTCACACTTCACGCTAATCGGTGTAAGTTTGTGAAGGGCATGGGTGCCAGGATCGGTTCATATATCACTCGAGAAAGTCAACCGTAGCTGAGAATCGGACTGAAGTGGCCGGATTCAGAGAGCAACGCCAGGTCGGCTGCGCCCAATCTTCTGTACGGCGGTGCAATCGTGGTTTTTTTGCTTTTACTGAAACTTCAAATTTTAAATACCCTCCCGCAAAGCACAAATATATGTTGCATTGTGGTATTCTACGTCAATACGGTACATGTAAAACTTGTTTTTTTTAAATATATAAACTTGGTGACTTGAGTACCATTGCACGTGGTCGATTGGCATTTAAACATCTCGCACAAGGCTCACTCCTTGCAGCCTCAACATGAGCATGCACTGCAGAGGGTGGACACTCCTCCAATTTGCATGGCCACTAAAATTAAACTGCAGATGCCCACGTTGCACAACAAGGTCCCACTCAGACTGTCAACAAGTTATGCAATCGCTTCATCCGAGCCAAAGATTCCCCGTGTAGCCTTAACAGACTGTTGGGGGCAAGTGCTGTTAGCGAGCACCTATGAAGGCCGGCGCTGTGGTACACGAGGGGGTGGGTGGCCAGCACCACGCCCGGCCGCCTTTGTCTCCCGAGTGGCGATGTTTACACATCGCACCAAGTACTTCAGTTTAACACGTAGGCTTTCGCGACCAATATCATCCATAATGCAGGTGTTTTTGGGTTAGGGGCCGTCCATACATGACGTCACGCGATTTTTGACCCCCCCCCCCCTTCTTCGTCACACGGCGTCACAAAAGTCAGCCCCCTCTCAAATATGACGTCACAAAGCTCTGCCCCCCCCCCCAAAAAATGTATATATATG